TATCTTTTGCAACAGTTCAAACACTAAGGATGTTATGTATACAAAAACTAAAGTTTAATTTTTAAATTAGGCAATTTTAGTGTTTTTTTATATAGATGAATTGCCTGTGGCCTTAAAAAATGTTGTGGTGCGACCATCATTTATCTCAAAATTATTACATTTTTTCAACATACTCCATAGTTTTTTACAAATTGTCGGTAATATCAAGTACATAGGAACAAAGCGTTTGCATTTTATTTGAGTTTTTGTAAATAATTATCTCATATATTAGCTCTATAATGTCACAGTCGCTATATCAAATGTAGTTCACTGACTATTTTTTTCTTTAAATTGCATAATACTGATAAAAATGTTTTCAAACTACCTTTCATGTAAGCATATTGTATCAGGTTTTAATGTCTCAGTTACAAAAAAGAGATATTTTAGTTTGTATTTGATATAATTAATGTTATTATTGGTCGCACCACATGATTGGTGGTCGCGCCAAATGACCTGAAGACCTTGTATCATTAAAAATCAATTTAAAGAGACCTATGAACAATTAATTTCATGCAAATTTGATATTAAAACCAAATTTTATTAACATTTCAAACATGAACGCGAACATTTTATTTCCCTTTTTTACAAAAATTTAACTCTGTGTGTGTGTGTGTATGTGGTCCAGAGGCCTGCACTTTGAAGCTGGATTAACACACCCAGGATAACTCTGCCACAACTCGCTCAACTTCACCAGATCTCCGTAACCCCGATCAGCTGTACTACGAGGCAGGATATCAACTCGCTAACTAAATTCAGTTGTGGTCAGTCTAGATCTGTGCGCGCAGACGTAAAGGGGGCGGGGTCAGTGCCACCAGACCAACCTCCACAACGGAGAAGGCTGCACGTCATATTTCACAGCCGAGGAACAGAGCATTATTTTACGCTAATACGAGGAGTACCGCAACATTATATCAGTGAGGAGCAGGACAGCTGCAGCCGCTAAAAGCCGGAGGGACTGCTGGCAACAAAAATCATCGATTGTGTAAATTACATTTGTGCGTTCATAAATTTATGGCCCCCTTATATGTTGTCATGCAGCGTGTGTGATCACCTCCATCATTGACCTCATTATTTCTGATACAACAGCAGTGGGGAAAAGAGTATGTGGGAGCAAATAAAAATAAATCTAAAAACATCCGTCAAAGCGGTTAGCTGGTTTACTGGAAGATTTTATTTGTACATATTTCAACGCGTAAACAGTGATGTCCTCACACTGCCTTTTTTTCTTTCTTCATCATCTGATGGTCACATGTCATCTGCAGACACATTTGGGGTTAAGAGGAGTTTTCTAATCTGCTTCCATAAATTCTGAATGATGATTGATATGCCGCATGAAACTTGAACTTGGAGCTTGGCAAATATTAGTGTATTGCGTTGACTTCATGTTACCTGACTATTGAGGCCGTCCAAGGAAAACCTGTAACGTTCATAGAGAACTTCATCAGGTAAATCAAACGGATTTGAACAATCATGAATATAACGCTCTCGGCGAAGCGCTCCTCTCACCATCCGCGCAGCGATGTCAACAATCTTGGCCCAATCTTTGACCAGCCCTGGCATGAACAACATGCTGCAGGGTCAGAGTTGACACGCTGCCTATGGCGAGCGCTTTTAACTTTGCTCGGCAGTGGCATCTGGTAAAATAAATTAAAATGACTTAAATTGATACATGAAAGTTAATAAATTGCTAACAACGGCATAAATGCCTTAAGTGAAATGGCATGCTTTTAATATTATTTTTCTTATTTTGTACAGAGATGACCTAACCATTATTTCAGAAATGTTAGCAAAATGACTCATCAAATAAAATAAAAAAATCAAAATAATACTAAAAATTAAGTACTTAGTGTTTATCAATCATCAATTGAATATAAAAAGCGTAAATACTGCCAATCAAGGGCATATATTTATGATGGAAAACAATCTGCAGTGGTCGCACCACATGATAATTGGTCGCACCGCATGATATTTCAAATTCAGTCAAATCTTACTGATACAGGATTAGTCACATAAACAAACCTCACTAGCTTCCCACAAAAGGTCACTATGAAATTTATAATTAAAATACTTATTTGTGGAAATAACTTAAATTAATTGTTTTTTTTTTTGAGGTCATACCACATGACATCGAAAAGTGCAAACACCTTTACAGCAGTTGAAAAGGTCTTTTTTTTTAAAGAAATGAGAGAGCCACCAACCCTCTTTCTGCTTCCATAGCTCTACGACAAAATGGTGAATGATCCAACATCCTGTCCTTGAGTAAATTTTAGCATAAAAGTGTCAAAAATGGTCATTTTTTGATGGTCGCACCACATGATATTTAATGAAATGGACACGATCGGACAAAATTCATTTGAATATTATGAAAATAATATAACTGCAAAAGCTTTGCAATTTTGTACAGGAATAAAAAACACTTTCAAAATTATGCCGAATATTGCAGAAACTAAATTGTAATAGATTTAGAGTAATTTCAAAGAAGTTTTCAAAACAGAAGTCATGGCCGGACGGTCGCACCACATGATATTTTGACCCTTTGAAGTTCAGAAAAATTACCAAAAACTCCTGAAACTCCTGAAAAGTTGAAGTGGCTCCATATATTAGAGAGATACTACAAATAGATAGTATATTTTTTTACATTTAAAACTCTTTGTAACATAAAGAAAATACAGCCGGACAGAATATTGAGGCGTCACGTCATTGACCCATATACTTTATTTGATTGGCTTGCGCGTGGCACGCAGCTTCTGAACTCTCCTAGAGGAACTCAGTTGATTTCTACCTGTTCCATTGTTACAGAGGTGCAACTTTGTGGACATCACCATGTTCATATCAATGCGTGAGAAATACAATGTGTGGCGTGTGAGCGTGTGAACAGGTGGGAATGCGTGTGTCACACGCTGAATGCGTGAGACTTGAGAGCCCTGCATAATGATTGAAATCAATAACTTTTAAGGCAGGATGAAAACGTCCTGGAAAATGATTTTTATAAAAGAGTGGGAACCCTAGACTGGCTGGGCCATCCTGTTGCGTGAATCAAGTGATTCACGCAACAGGATGGCCCAGCCAGGCTATGGGAACCCTGTATTTGTTCAGTTTCAATTCAGTTCAACTGAAATATCAAATGTAATAAAACTGTTCTGTATTTAAAGCAAATGTTTGTGTTGTTTTCCATGGCTGATCACTTTGATATACAGCCTGATTTGTTGTAAATGTGGATCTGCTCTTCACTATTTTTCTGCAGTTGTCTTTGTGTGCTCCTTTGCTGTAGCCTAACCTGTTGAGATGCAGGTTAATTTACACGAGTACACTACTGTCAGTTTCTATATCATAGGATTACATTGAATGTAGGTAGGCTGTGTGTCGGCTATAATACCCTGTTATTGAGTTGAAATACAGTACCCCCACCCCATTTGTCTTTGTAGGTCAAAATCCTATGTTTCCTTAATTATTCTCTCAAAAAGCACCAGAATGCTTCATTTACCTTCGAAAACAAATAAAAAATCTCCCGGGGGATGATACCCCCAGACCCCCCTACAGGGCTCTGTTTTCCAAACCGTTTTTCTCACCAGCCACCACTGGGAGTGGGGTCTGCGTTCAAATAGAGACACATTTAAGATTTGTGAGAAAGGGTTTCAAACTTCACAGACCCCAATGACTGTGCTTCAATTATTTGAAATGAGAAACTTTGCTGCCATCTTCTGGTCAAACGGGAAGGCTGTTGTGGCAGCATAATTTAAGACTTGTAACTTTCAGTATTAAAAGCTAGACAAAGTGCCCCCCTCCCTATTTTTCAGAAGCGATATAAATTCTTCCTCAGTGTCTTGAAGTCCATGGATGCAACACTGGCTATATTTAATATTTCTTGTTTTTACTACTGCTGAGTAATGAAATTACAAAACAGTTTTAACAGAAAATTGCAACAGTTTTTAATTTGGAAACCATTTTTTAAAAACTTAGATAAAGCTTTAATTTATGTGTGGTCATTGGTTATTATAAACACAGATGTCTAATTGTAATATTTTAATATTTTTCATCACAATAACAGTGTAACATACATTGGTAACTGTAAAAACTCAAAAACATAAAAAAAAAATACACAAGTTGGTTTGGTGCTTACCTATGTCCTAAATATTTAAAAAGAAAACACTTATAACCATTACATTCAAAGTTACATTCTTTGTTTTTGATGCCAGTTTGTTTCCCAAATATATACTCTGTCTGTTTCCTTGCATCAGTATATGGAGTAGATCACGCTGACGTATTGCAGCAGTGGGCAAACCTGCACAATGAGATGTCCATGCATTTATGTCTATGGTAATGATGACACAAGAATAGCTTTTCAACTAACAGGGCAGGGTAGGAGTTATAAATTAAACTCTGTGTGTGTGTGACAACAAACAGCAGGGTCACATCAGCCTCCGTGTGTAGTTATTCAGTTGAATGCCTTGCAACAAACAACCACCTTTCTAAATGATGATATATGTAAAGCTACTAGTAGACAGTGACTTCTTCCATCCACAGTGCACCTGTCTAGATGTGCAAGGGAGAAAGAGTGAGCCAAAGGGTAAATGATCCAGATTGGTGTGACATATTCTGCAGATCTGCCCAGTCATTCACAAATTTCACTGTGTGTCAAATGGGTCATTGTAAAATCTATATATTTTGATTATGTGCTGAATTTTCTTATGTAAGGAGTGCCAGGTGAGAGTTGATTATTTTTAGTATGATACCTTGCCCTGTGCAATGGTTGTTGGATGACCAATTATTTTAGAATGTATGAGTGAATGAGAAGTAGCAAACATAAATATGTAGCTGACTATTTCACTGGGAGTTGGGGAATTTTGTTGAAATGTCTTGGGCAGCTTTGTAGTATGTTTGTTTTATGAAATTTATATTTATATAGCAAAGTCTCTCATTTGGGGGAACAAGATATAAAAGATCAGGCAAGGAGCTTTTTGCAAAGGTTTTTATTTCATTTTTCACATCATATTTTATGATAAGAAAAATTGAAGCACAATAGTCAGCGCACTTTACTCAGCCTCTTTTCCCTGAAGACACACAAAGAGAAAGAGTTAAGTTGATGAAACATTGAAAGCCTAACACTTACTGTCTCTGATAAAACAATTGATTTACCTTGCTGGAGTCACGGCTCTTGGCCCTCAGTTTGTTAACCTGAGACTCTGCAATGTCAGCACGCTCCTCAGCCTCCTCCAGCTCATGCTGGATCTTCCTGCACTTGGACAGATGAACATTGGCCTGCTCCTCCTGGAAAACAATACAAATTGCATTAGGTAGTGACCTATTTGAGATTTTAATTAATTAAAAAGGGGCTGATTATGTGGTTGACACATAAAATTAAGAGGTTCCATATTATGACATTGTATTTAAAATTGAGGGTCATTCGCTGTACCCTGACACAATTTAAGAAGTAAAGTTGGAATGAGATAGTCATAGCTTAATTTATTTGAAATAGAGAAGCAAGAAATTCTACTAGAGACATATGACTTTGAGGCTCATATGTCTTAATTTAGAAAATTTTATATTTATCTGCTTTTGTAAACGTCTACTTTTCTGGAGCATGAATGAATAGATTTGTAATAAAAGAAGAATTTGTCTCGAAACATATTGTTCTATTATCTTCATATGAGTAAAGAATAAAACCATGTCTCTTACCGCTTCCTCAGCCTGCCTCTTGTAGGCTTTCACCTTCAGTTGCAGCTTGTCAACCAGATCCTGAAGCCTGGCAACATTCTTCTTGTCCTCCTCAGTCTTTAATTAAAGGTAAACATGCAATTAAAGAATGATTTTGACAAGACAATAGGTATGCCAAATTGATTTTGTTAAGTGTCAGTGTGACAATACCTGATAGGTGAGCTCCTTCACCCTCCTCTCATATTTGCGGACACCCTTAACAGCATCAGCTCCACGTCTCTGCTCAGCATCAACTTCACCTTCCAGCTCACGCACCTTAACAAAACAGAAAAACATTGAATATATCAATATAACTATCTCAAAATTCTACACTCAATTTTCTAAACTGTAAACACAACTTTCATACCCTAGACTCAAGTTTCTGGAGCTGCTTCTTGCCACCCTTCATGGCCAGGTTCTCAGCCTCATCCAGGCGGTGCTGCAGGTCCTTAACAGCAACCTCAAGGTTCTTCTTCATTCTCTCCAGGTGAGAACTAGTATCCTGCTCTTTCTTCAGCTCCTCAGCCATCATAGCAGCCTAGAGGAAACAAAATCACTGATAAGAAATATTGTAAAAACACCCACTGATCAGTCAATATGTCCCACACTTCAAGAACACCTACATCAGTGATGGCCTTCTTGGCCTTCTCCTCAGCATTCCTTGCTTCCTGAACAGTGTCATCCACTTCACTCTGAACCTGGACCAGGTCAGACTCAAGCTTCTTCTTGGTGTTCAGAAGGCTTGTGTTCTGAAAGAAAAAGAAAGAATAATGTACCGTTACTGTTCCCCGTGAAATAATGATAAATGTTGAAGTAGCGAAACTCAAAGGAAAGTACCTGTGAGTGCAGAAGTCCAACACGCTCACTTGCGTCCACCAGCTCCTGCTCAGCCACTTTGCGGCTCCTCTCTGTCTGTTCCAGAGCAGCTCTGAGTTCCTCAATTTCAGCAACCATGAGGCCATTCCTGCGCTCCACCATAGCAGCTTGTTCCTTGAGGTCATCCTGGGCTCTGACAGCATCATCAAGGTGCAGTTGGGCATCCTAGTGAGAAATGTAAAGAAAATATGAAGATGGCTGGCCACACAAAAGTATGATGACCATAATCTCTGCACAGTCTATATGTGCAGCAGTACCTTCAGCTGTGCCTGCACGTTCCTCAGCTGCTTCTGGGACTCAGAAGCCTGGCGATTGGCATGGCTCAGCTGAATCTCCATCTCATTCAGGTCTCCCTCCATCTTCTTCTTGATTCTCAGGGCATCATTCCTGCTCCTGACCTCAGAGTCCAAAGTGCTCTGCATGGAGTCAATCACCCTCTGGCTGTTCCTCTTGATCTGCTCCATTTCCTCCTCTTTTTCTGCCAGCTTCCTGTCCACCTCACCCTTGATCTGGTTGAGCTCCAGCTGGACGCGGAGGATCTTGGACTCTTCATGTTCCAGGGTTCCCTAATGACAACGGAAAGTCAGTCTTGAAGCTCAACAATTGTGCCTTTTGTAATATATCATTCTATAGTAGAATACTTGTGGGTTCTCTCCTGAACCAAAAACATACCTCAGCCTCTTCAAGAGCAGTCTGAATCTCAGACTTCTCAGTCTCCACCTGCTTCTTAGACTTCTCCAGCTCATGGATGCTCTTGCCAGTCTCACCGATCTGTTCAGTCAGATCTGAGATCTCCTCTGCAGAGGTATTTGAATGTTTTGTGTTGTTAAGCCTCAATATACAAAGTGAGAATTGAATACAAAAGGAACACACTTTATCAACAGAATGTCTGGAGCACAAAGTGATAACTTACGCTGCAGGTTCTTGTTTTCACGCTTCATGGTCTCCAGCTGATCCAGAGCCTCTTCATATGAGTTCTTCATCTTGAACAGCTCAGTGCTGAGAGAACGAGCCTCCTTTTGAGCTCCCTCAAGCTCTGCCTGACCCTCCTCATACTTCTGTTTCCATTCTGCCAATACCTGAAGTGCAACAAGTTATCTTAGCAACTGGTTGAGTCAATGGGAATGACTACCCATTTGATTTACATGAAGGTTACAAAAGCAAATACTACCTTGTCAAAGTTCCTCTGCTTCTTGTCCAGGTTGGCAGCCAGGCCATTAGCTCTCTCCACATCAATCATGAGGTCCTCCACCTCACTCTGGAGTCTCTGTTTGGTTTTCTCCAGAGAGGCACACTTGGAATTGACAGCCTCAATCTGCTCCTCAGCCTCCTGAAGGCGCTGGGCAAGCTTTTTCCTGTGTTGAGAGGATGAAGTTGGTGACGGTCAATATCTCTACTGACTGGTAGTAACTTTCATAACAGTTATTTAGATGTATAGTAATTTGCTTGATATAGACTCACTTGGATTCTTCCAGTTCCTCTGTGCGCTGGATGGCATCAGTTTCATACTTGGTTCTCCACTGAGCCACTTCGCTGTTAGCCTTGGACATTCCACGCTGCAGCTCAGCCTTAGCCTCCTGCTCCTCCTCAAACTGCTCCCTCAGCAGATCACAGTCATGACGGGCTGATTGCAGTCCATGGGCAAGAGCATTCTTGGCCTGATGTCAGATATCAAATACTTTTTAATACCTGTTTCAGAAGCGCACATACAAAAATATAAATCCACTTGATAAAAGTTTTCGTACCTTAACCTCCTCTTCAATATGTCTCTTCAGCTCCTCAATCTGCTGAGTGAAAGCCTGTTTGCCTCTGGTCAGCTGGGAGACAAGAGCCTCCTTCTCTTCAATTTGGCGGCCGAACTCACCTTGTCAGAGAGGTGCAGTGAAACATTAGTTTGTGTTATATTTTAAAAAATGATACAAAACAAACTTATTCATTCAGTTGTAACTTGTAGCTACCATTTTCTGTCAGGAGACGTGCTTTCTGTCCACCAAGGTCATTGATTTGACGGACATTTTCGTCATTCTTGGTCTTAATTTCACTGAGTTGGTCCTCAAGGGTACGGCACATCTTTTCAAGATTTCCCTGAAGAGACAAAGACAAGTCAAATCAATGATCAGATGTAACATAAATGACCTTGTTCAATGCACTAATTTTAACATCCATTGTCTTTTGTACCTTTGCTTTGGCAACAGCCTCCATGTTGCTGGAGAGGTCATCAATTTCCATCTTGTATTCACTCTTTTCCTTCTCAAGCTTCTGCTTGACACGCTGGAGGTTGTCGATCTGCTCTCCCAGCTCAGCAACGCTGTCAGCCTGTTTCTTACGAAGAGCGGCAGCAGTGGCTTCATGCTGCAGAGTGGACTCCTCAAGATCACGACGGAGCTTCTGGAACTCAGCTTCGCGCTTCTTGTTCATCTCAATCTGAGCAGCGGTGGCACCACCAGCTTCCTCCAGCCTCTCACTGATCTCCTCAAGTTCCCTGGAGAGATCAGCCCTCTGCTTCTCAACCTTGGCACGAGCTGCACGCTCTGCTTCAATCTCCTCTTCCAGTTCCTCAATGCGGGCCTGTGTAATGAAAGCATATTGTCTTTCAGTAAATTTGTACCCAAGAACTGAGCATTTGTATGTATATTTTAATTGAGTGAGTATGTCACCTGGAGCTCCTTGATCTTCTTCTGAAGCTGAGCACCCATTGACTGCTCATCCTCAATCTTGCTGAGGAGCTGGCTGATCTCAAAGTCCTTCCTGTGGGGATAACAGAAAAATTCATAGTTGGAGTTTTTGCTGTTGTTGATGATCTAGTTGTATTCTTTTGATTTAATGTCAAGAACATTACTTCTTCGTTTTCTCCTCAGATTGCTGCTTGTCATTCTCAAGGTCCATGATGGATTCTTGAGCCAGTTTGAGATCACCCTCAAGCTTTCTCTTGGCTCTCTCAAGGTCCATGCGCAGCTTCTTCTCTTGCTCCAGAGAACCTTCAAGCTAAACGGTAATACATGTTCTTAAAGACCAGGTTCTTCTTCCATATTAATTGTTTAGCATAGTGACTTAAAAAAAACTTACATCATCCACTTGCTGCTCAAGCTTAGTCTTGGCCTTGGTCAGAGTGTTGACCTTGTCTTCCTCAGCCTGCAGATCATCAAGGGTCTGCTGATGAGCCTCCTGAAGGGCTTTCTTTTCCTTGGTCAACTTGGCAATGCTCTCATCCTGAGAGGCCATCTCTTCAGTCAGGTTCTTCACCTAAATTTGTGAGTAAAATATTTTTAGTACTATGTGGCAATGTCCTGATTTTATTTGACATGTGAGATATTTGTTTTTCCCCAGACCTTGTTCTCAGTGGCATGTTTCTCCTTCTCCACTTTGGCCAAGGTAAGCTCCAGGTCATCGATGTCCTTCTTGAGCTCAGAGCATTCATCCTCCAACTTCCTCTTTTTGGCAGTGAGCTCAGCATTGATTTCCTCTTCATCCTCCAGTCTTTCAGTTGTCTCTTTGAGCTTGGCCTCCAGCTGAATCTTACTCTTGATAAGACCCTCACACCTCTCCTCAGCATCTGACAGATTCTCTGTTTCCTAGTTCGTAATGTGAAGCATTGATTAGCAGATCCACATTATTTTGACAGAATCAAACATAACATAATTGCAGACTTACAGATGCGACTTGCAGCTGCAGATCGTTCTTCTCCTGCAGGAGGGACACCATCTTCTCCTCCAGCTCCTTCTTCTTTGCCAGGGCAGCAGCCAGGTCTGTCTGCATCTTCTCATAGTTCTCCTTCATCTGCTGAAGCTCCTTCTCAGTTTCAGCGCTCTTCAGAAGAGGCTTGATCTTGTAGTAGACCTTCATCCATGGCCAGTGTTTGACATTCATGAATGAGCGGACATTGTACTGGATGGTATAGATGGCCTCTCTGTGGACAAAAAGCTGCTGTTACAATGTAGTTTTTTACTCGTCCATAATCTAATTCAGCACAATCGTTTTGAACATGCCTCCTCTCCATCATCTTCACAAACTCCTTTCTCATCAGGTAGCCACGGCAGAGAGCCTGAGTCATGGTGACCAAACTTGCCAGTTTTTCATCTCTCATCTCCTCAAGGGTACCCAGGAGACCAGCCTTGAAGAACACCTAATCAAAAAAAAAAAAGAATCAAAATATCTTAAGAGCAAACATCAAGCCAAAGCAATGAATTGAATTTTAAACTGCAGCAAAACAAAAAACATTTTATTGAAAAAAACTTGAAACCTTTCTGAATTTGAAAGACTTTGTGATGTTCTTGAATTTTTTAGCAAAGTTTTTTACAATGCACACATTTAATCAACAAAGTGAAATATACAAGCTTGAAGCAAAAACTCGACTTGTTGGGTAGAGACCTTAAGAATACATAGAAGTAAGTACAGTACCTTGGTGTGTCCAAATCTGTACTGGTCATGATCAACATCAATTGATCCAAGCAGCTTCTCTGAAGCCTTCTTGTTATCAATGAACTGGCCCTCAGGGATGACACTGGCATTCAGCACCTTGTATCTATAATGAGAGAGCCCATTGTCAGTGTCAGTATTGCCTTAAAGCCCCCCCTGAACCAAATCTCTATTTAATCCATTGATACCTCTGCTTGAAGTCACCATAGAGGATTCTGCTGGGGAAACCTTTTCTGCAGATTCTGATACCCTCCAGCACACCATTACACCTGAGCTGGTGGATGACCAGGAAGTTCTCCATCAGACCTTTAAAAGGAATTAAAATGAAGTCAGACTTTCTGTTATAATTCAAAATTTTCCAACATGAAACAACAAAACTGTACTTCAAAAAAGTTACTGGCATATGTTTTGTGTATATACCTGGAGTCTTTGACTCGTTGGGAATCAGACAACGCACAAAGTGAGGATGGGTGCTCCTCAAGTTGGTCATCAGCTTGCCCAAGTTCTCCTGTGGATCCAAGATGTTATATCTTGTCATAGTTCAATTATGAGATTTGATCCATGATACAAGTTTAAAATGTGAATCCTTACCCTAAACTGTGAAGACACAGTCTGCATAGAACCACCCTTCTTCTTGCCTCCCTTCTTGCCGCCACCAGTCTCTGTTGATACATTTTAGAGGAAACTGTTAAAACTGCACATCCAAACCATTTGCCGTCATCAAGTTTGTAAAAAAAATAACTTTATCATGTTTTGACAGTTAATATTATAATAACCATACCCTCAACAACTGGAGGATAGAGAACAGGCAGCAGCTTAACGGAAGACTTCTGGTACAGCTGAACGACAGAATCGTTCAGTGGATCCTTGTTCTTGTCCAGCCAGCCACCAATGTTGTAGTCCACAGTACCAGCATAGTGAACCAGGGAGAAGTGGGCCTCAGCCTTGCCCTTGGCGGGCTTGGGCTTCTCAAATGCTCTGTTCTTGCCAAGATGCTGGTCATACAGCTTGTTCTTGAAGGATGTGTCTGTGGCCTTGGGGAACATGCACTCCTCTTCAAGGATGGAGAAGATGCCCATGGGCTTGAAAAAAATGACAAAAGTAAATATTTTGCATGTACAATGAGTGAAACTGACAGAATTACATAATCACTAAATGTAATCATTACCTTCTCAATCAGCTCAATGCAGGCAGCCAAGTCCATACCGAAGTCAATGAACTCCCAGATAATACCCTCCTTCTTGTACTCCTCTTGCTCCAGGACGAACATGTGGTGGTTGAAGAACTGTTGCAGCTTCTCATTGGTGAAGTTGATGCACAGCTGCTCCATGCTGTTGAACTGTAAAGGGAGAAAAATAGATGATTGATGTTTTTTTGGGGTGAAAGAAAAAAGGACTGATACCCTTGGGAAAAGTGAATTAGATCCTGAATTGTTTAGTATGAATCTTACATCAAAGATTTCAAAACCAGCAATATCCAGCACACCAATGAAGAACTGTCTTGACTGTTTAGTGTCCAACATCTGGTTGATGCGGATGACCATCCACAAGAACATCCTCTCATAGACAGACTTGGCCAGGGCAGTCACTGAGTTCAGCACCTGAATAAAACATAGAAATTATATTTGAGCCAGCTAAAAATTCATTTAAAACACCAAAAATAATAAGTTAACCTAATTTCTGTCAATGTGATGAATCACACTTAAGACCCCCCAAAGAATAACTTAAAATTGCATGAAAAACTGTCCTCCATTCATGTCCAATAAGTGAAATAATTTGCACCAAGTAATTCATGTATCAATCTCATAAAATCTCAGTGAATTCAAACTCTACAAAAACAAACAAACAAACAAACAAACAAACAAAAACAAAAAAAACCTCAGAAAACAAAACATGATTTAAAATACTACTTAAGCAAGACCTTGATAACTTCATTCCTGGGTGCATGGTTTACTAGATATCAGAGATCCATGATTACCTGAGGTACAGTCTGTCCCTTGGTGACATACTCATTTCCGACCTTCACTCTGGGGTAGCACAGAGCCTTCAGCATATCAGCAGAGTTCAGACCCAGCAAGTAGGCAACCTTGTCGGCATCTGACAATAATCAAATGACTTTCAGTGATACGGCATGTGGTTTCCATTGTCTGCCATGATAGAAGACTAGCCAGAATAAAAACCTCTAACTTAAAGTGAACAGCAGAACTCACCCTCTGTGCCATCAGGCTCAGCCTGCTCCTCACGCTGCTTCTGCTTGAACTTCATGTTACCATGGTGAAGCACAGCACCAGTCAGCTTGTAGATGCTCATCTTCTCCTCATTAGTGAAGCCCAGGATATCAATAGCATTCTGTATTTGATACAAGTGTCCAAATGAATGTAAGTAATTTTAATGCAGAGTACCTTGGGTGTTGTCATTTACAAAATGTAACTATTTTGTAGTGAAGATCACAGTTCACTCACATCAGTGGCTTCCAGCTCAACTTTGTCATCAATACTGGCCACAGTGATCTGACCCATGCTGCACATGGGGAAGTCGTAGGGGTTGGTTGTGATGAGGGACATTTCTGGAAAAAAAAAAAAAAAGAAGGATGAGGTCAGTTTTGTTTTGTATGAGACTCAGGAGTAACATTGAGAAAAAAAAATGTGTATACCAATCAGCTCAGGTTTGTGGTTGGTCATCATCTGGTAGAAGATGTGGTAGCCTCTTTCATCAGGAAGCTGGAATGTCACTCTAGACTTCTCCAGCAGATCTACAAACATTGTTCATGAGTCAAATCCTGGCCAAATTGTGATTCTTGTTACAAGAATGTATAAGAGAATTTTCACACTTACATGTCTCAATATCAGCACTAGCCAGTTTGCCACTTGTGCCGAAATGAATTCTGATGAATTTACCCTGTCCAGGAGAAAGTTTCATTAAACATTCATGAACATAGGCAATGTTTGACAAGACCATTTTGATATGCAAAAGTTCCCTCAATACTTACAAAACGAGAGGAGTTGTCATTTCTCACAGTTTTGGCATTACCATAGGCCTCCAGCAGAGGATTGGCTGCAATAATCTGGTCCTCAAGTGAACCCTGAAATGGAGATTTCCAAGTGATATCAGAAAATGAGCTTTTTTAATATTTTAATTTAATGACATTAAATAACACAGAGCTGTAACCATTAAATTTGTACATACTCCCATCTTTGATGGTTCCTTCTTCTTCTGCTCTCCACCAACTGAGATTGTTGCAAAGTACTGGATGACACGCTTGGTGTTCACAGTCTTTCCAGCACCAGATTCTCCACTAGGTGTAGAAAGTCTCTTGTTAGTATTTGGTCAATATTTTTGTGAGTATTTCAAAATGAAATAAGGAAAAAAAAATTAAACTTACGTGATCAAGACAGACTGGTTCTCCCTATCTGTTGACAGGTAAAATAATACATTATGTTTCCTTCCGGTAGAAACTTCAATTAATAGATTGAGTCATTTTTTGCTGTTGTTTCTTACCAGTAAGCATGTTCTGATAAGCGTTGTCAGAGACAGAGAAGATGTGGGGTGGAGCCTCCATACGCTTCTTGCCTCTGTAGGCAGCTACAACTTCAGAATCGTACACTGGGAGCCACTTGTAGGGATTCACGGTGGCACAGAACAAGCCAGAGTAGGTCTGAAAGTGGGAAGAAAGATTGTGATCTCAGTACTTCACACATGAATATATCAGTGAAAACATTTTCATTTGTTATCAGCCTTATTTCCTTACGTAGATCATCCATGCTGCATAACGCTCTTTGAGGTTATAAAGCACAGAGGCTTCATTGAGATGGGTCATCATGGCCATGTCCTCAATTTTGTCGAACTTGGGAGGATTCATTGGAGAGACGTCATCTTCTTTGACTGTCCTCTCCTGTAACAGGAAGGTTGTCAAAATGAGAACAGATCACTTCAAGGAGAATATGACTCTGACTTCAAGATACTAACCTCCTGAGTGTCCAGGACTTTGACAACGACTTTGCCACCATCTTTACTGATAATGGTTCCCTTCAGGTAAAGCTCCTTGGTATCAGCCACATAACAGGCAGCCTTGGCATCAAAGGGTTTGCTTTGAGCCTCAATTCTCTCCTTCTCTGGCTTACGAAGGTAAATGGCAGCTTTGCCATAAACGGCCATCTCTGCGTCCGTACTCATGATGGCAGCTTTGTCTTTGTAGATTAAAATAAACGAAATGCTTTCTTAGTCAGAGCAAATTAATACTTTAAGAGCTTGATATCATCTTTCAAAAGAAACATGTCCATTGGGAAAGTCTGTGGTTTAAAAACAATGCAAGATTTTCTTACCTGACCCCCACTCCCTGTATAGTATTCACCAATCCTGTTCAGAAAACTTATTTTAGATACATCATAGTAGGTGTACAATCACAGGTTTACAAAGTAATGCAAAAACTGAAGTTTAATCATTTGTCAAAGACAAGCTGGCCTGGTCACAGGGATTAAGGAAAGTAGTCTTACCACAAACAGGAGCTGACAGGTCTGCTGTGGTAGTGTTCCTAGAGCACTACTTATATTGTATTGGATTTTGCTGACACATCTCAAGTTAAATGTGGATTGCTTTCCAAATGTGGTATGGTGATACAGACTTATGTGGACCATATAATCTAACACTTGTCGACAGAATATACATCTGATGTGTCAGGTTTCAGTATGTGTGGCTAGTATTAGACTTAAGCTTGATCATTACTTCAAGGAGATATTTTTAGCTCTGAAACCTCAGACATGCTTTACAGACATAAGCTGGGGTAATTTCAAAAATCTGTGTACATCTGACCTAAGTACATGAGACACAAGATTTTATTTGAGTAATCCAGTGTGAAAATCGATACATGTTAATGTTAAAGGGTAATAAGTGTGCCAATAATAGTTGTATCCCAAACATAATTCATCACCGATGAAGGCTTATGAATAATTTTTCTTACTTTATCTGTGATACTAGACCTTCAGCACTTAAAATCCTGCTATTACATTAAAACCATGGTCTCATTGCTTAGTGCTCCTGAATGTGTTCCTAAACAATGAAGTCAATATCTATCTAATAAAACATTGTATGTCTATATTTTTTGGATAAGACCATGTGAACAATAAAAAATAACTAAAAAACATAGGGCAGGAGAGTGAAAAGGAGAGGGCGTCAAATGGCTATTTGTTACAAACACAATATATCTGGATGTTTCATAGGTTTTATTTGTAAATAGTTATTTTTGAACTACAGTTCATGAGTGAGTGAAGAGGAAAAGACAGGAGGTGACCTATAACATTCAAAAGCAGAAGAGGAGGCATGACAAGACAAGAGGGCAGCTCTGAAAGGTATTTAAAGAGTGAGGAAGACAAAGGAGAGGAAGGAGTGAAGAGAAAGTGAGGGGAAAAAATGAACAGAAATGGAAATCACTCACAAACTTTCTGAGAAAGCAAAAGCGGACACACAGCAGATGAAAAAGGGTTGAGAATAAAAGATTGAAGAACAGAGTAGTAAAGGACAGCAGAGGTGCCAGCCAGGATCACAGGTATAGCAGTAAGAAAAATAAGATGCATTTTATTGTAAGTTATTTCCCATCTTTAGTTTATGATCAGTCTAAATAACTTTTTTGTTTCATATTTTCTTCTTTCAGCGGACATGAGGCATATGTTCATGACGTAAGACAGAGACTTCAACAAGGCTGGTGGTAGGACATTTGCATCATTAAAGGGTCTGAATTTTTAAGTGTTAAGCTTTGAATTGGTGGTAAGTTGAAGTAAAAAAAGTTTTAGTTTGGTATATGTTGCAGTAAAAAAAGACAGAAAACATAACATAATAATACAACAATGCATGTTTAAAATGAGAGCGCTAACCAGAGTTCTTTTGGATGAAATCTCTGAAAGTATATGAACTTTTTATGAACATTACTATCAATTTCTCGCAGGTCTATTTTCAACAGGTATATAAATATCAGTCTTTGTTGTTAGGTTGTTTGTTTATGAAAAAGTATACGGGATAATGTTAGTTGGATGTAATTTATTGTTTCACACATCTGATTCTGACTGGTTAGCGGAAGACCGGTGTATGTACCAGATGTGCTTGGGCCCCAGCGCCTGTTGAAGACGTCACACAACGGCAAGTCCACTCAGACAAAGAACATATTGCTCTGTTTAATAAGTCAAATGTGCTCTGTAAAAGACGGTGCTCTCAGTTGTTTCTACTCCATGAATCCAAAGGTGTTGAATCATGTTAGTCAGACACCCTTCTTTGCACTATGTAACTGTTTTGCAAATGTCACACTGAAACGACGGTTCATTCGTATAGTTTAACGTATACCATCTGAGCTGGTGAGCTGTTTCTACCAACATTAGAATTAGCCACAGCAGTTACCTTTCCTGCATACAAGGCTTACAAAAGCAGACTGTGGCAAATCAAAAACAGTACAACTCTCTCTGGTGTTTTTTTTTAAGGATGCTAGCCCTGACTGTAAGGATGAGTACACCCCAGGCCCAGTCACAGCATGGTAAGGTAGAGAAGGTCCCAGAGGCAGGCCATCACAAGCTGGACAGCAAAGCCTTGGCTCGTGGCTATGGTAGAGTCAGAAACTGGAGGAGAGATCAACAAAGAGACAAAGATCCCTGTGCTTTGGCACTGGAGGATCTTGTGGAGAGCCTCAAACTCAGAGACTGACAGATGATCCGGTATGCATGACTAATGTGATTGTTTCACAGAAATAAAATGAGGTTAACTGTTTCTAGATGTAAGATTGTAGAGAGTTTTCTGATATTTACATTCCCAGGCCTGGGTTAGAAGTCTTAATGTAGACCTGGCTTTTTACCTCTTGTTTGGGTGGTCTACCTCTTTTTAAGCACCAATTGTTACGCCAGATTCTCCAGGATTTATTTCATTTTCTTGCTTGTGTAGGCAGTCATGGCCAAAGGAGGATTCAGACATTTTTCTGTACTTTATGACTGGTTTGTACTGTCTGGTATTGTTGCACGCCAACTTTGTTTGGGTTTGCACATTATTTGAGGGCGTGGAGTGTGCCTCATAACCAATCAGCACGAGGAAGCGGAATCCGCCTCACAACCAATCAGGTTGGAGAGGCGAAGAACGACTTTGTTTACAGTCAGAATGAGCGTGATGCTCAAGATTTTTTGAATGTTGACTACACAGGCATAAGAGAACACAGCAATGCTGTAATATCCTCAAATGTCTTCAATAACTAATAGCTATTGATTGATATTAAAAGCTTTTTTGTATATACATTAGAAAAAAGTTGCTTCTTTGACAGATTCCTGCCTACCCCACCTTTAAGTATGTTTAAGCAAAATGATGGTTGTAAAATCTTAGAGTGATTATTAAACCAAAGATTACAGGTAGTTTTGTCATTAGTTGATTACAACTGATCCTTTACAAAATCATCAAGTTTTTTAGAGATTTGTATGATTACCAGGAAAAATGTAACATGATAAAATGTTCAGTGTTATTATTCAATTTAAGTCCATTGTTGAACCCTTAAAAAACCTCAACCATTCGCCACACCTCCTTATGTCTAAGCTACCATCTGTGATAGAAACTGTTTACTAAAATTTTAGAATTTTAAATGTACTTCTCTTTGAGAACAGAATATAAATAACATAACACAATGCATTTAAGATCAAAAAATATTTTATTATGGTTCTTTTCACATCATATTATATGATTAGAAACAACCTGTCAGCAGGAAAGCTCTACTCAGCTGATTCTTTTCCCTGTAAAATAAAATAAAAAACAGATTGTTCAATATGTACACTTCATACACGAATACATGGATACAAACATTAGTTGAGGTAAATCTAGCTATTTTTATTTTTCATAAATTTTTGGATTTCTGAATATTAGTTTACCTTGCCAGAATCACGGCTCTTTGCTCTCAGTTTGTTAACCTGAGACTCTGCGATGTCAGCACGCTCCTCAGCCTCCTCCAGCTCATGCTGGATCTTTCTGCACTTGGACAGATGAACATTGGCCTGCTCCTCCTTTAAAAGGAAGAATAAGTAGAGATTTTTGAAATGTACAAATGGCTGATGAACTTATATATATATATGAATATATGTTTTTGTTGACACATATATTGAATTGATGGATCCTTACCGCTTCCTCAGCCTGCCTCTTGTAGGCCTTCACCTTGAGCTGCAGCTTGTCAACCAGATCCTGAAGCCTGCTAATATTTTTCTTATCCTCCTCAGTCTTTTATAGAAATAGAAAATTTGTGTTTCTAATCATTTCAAATTATTCTTATATTTTACCAAATTATATTTAAATATGAAATAATGATGGGACAATACCTGATAGGTGAGCTCCTTCACCCTCCTCTCATATTTGCGGACACCCTTAACAGCATCAGCTCCACGTCTCTGCTCACCCTCAACTTCACCTTCCAGCTCACGCACCTTCACACAACAGAAAAACATTGAATATATCAATATAAATTATTTCAAACTGTAAACTGTTTTACTGTAAACACAACTTTCATACCCTAGACTCAAGTTTCTGGAGCTGCTTCTTGCCACCCTTCATGGCCAGGTTCTCAGCCTCATCCAGGCGGTGCTGCAGGTCCTTGACAGCAACCTCAAGGTTCTTCTTCATTCTCTCCAGGTGAGCACTAGTATCCTGCTCTTTCTTCAGCTCCTCAGCCATCATAGCAGCCTAGAGGAAACAAAATCACTGATAAGAAATATTGTAAAAACACCCACTGATCAGTCACTATGTCCCACACTTCAAGAACACCTACATCAGTGATGGCCTTCTTGGCCTTATCCTCAGCATTCCTTGCTTCCTGAACAGTGTCATCCACTTCACTCTGAATCTGGACCAGGTCAGTCTCCAGCTTCTTCTTGGTGTTCAGAAGGCTTGTGTTCTGAAAGAAAAAGAAAGAATAATGTACCATTACTGTTCCCCGTGAAATAATGATAAACGTTGAAGTAGTGAAACTCAAAGGAAAGTACCTGTGAGTGCAGAAGTCCAACACGCTCACTTGCGTCCACCAGCTCCTGCTCAGCCACTTTGCGGCTTCTCTCTGTCTGTTCCAGAGCAGCTCTGAGTTCCTCAATTTCAGCAATCATGAGGCCATTCCTGCGCTCTACCATAGCTGCTTGTTCCTTGAGGTCATCCTGGGCTCTGACAGCATCATCAAGGTGCAGTTGGGCATCCTAGTGAGAAATGTAAAGAAAATATGAAGATGGCTTGCCACACAAAAGTATGATGACCATAATCTCTGCACAGTCTATATGTGCAGCAGTACCTTCAGCTGTGCCTGCACGTTCCTCAGCTGCTTCTGGGACTCAGAAGCCTGGCGATTGGCATGGCTCAGCTGAATCTCCATCTCATTCAGGTCTCCCTCCATCTTCTTCTTGATTCTCAGGGCATCATTCCTGCTCCTGACCTCAGAGTCCAAAGTGCTCTGCATGGAGTCAATCACCCTCTGGCTGTTCCTCTTGATCTGCTCTGTTTCCTCATCTTTTTCTGCCAGCTTCCTGTCCACCTCACCCTTGATCTGGTTGAGCTCCAGCTGGACGCGGAGGATCTTGGACTCTTCATGTTCCAGGGTTCCCTAATGAAAATGGAAAGTAAGTCTTTAATCTCAACACTCATGCCTCTCATAACATATCATTCTACACTGGAATTATTTTAGATTCCTCAGAGGAGATTTCTCCTGAACCAACACATACCTCAGCCTCTTCAAGAGCAGTCTGAATCTCAGACTTCTCAGTCTCCACCTGCTTCTTGGCCTTCTCCAGCTCATGGATGCTCTTGCCAGTCTCACCGATCTGTTCAGTCAGATCTGAGATCTCCTCTGCAGAGGTATTTGAATGTTTTGTGTTGTTAAGCCTCAAAATACAAAGTGAGCATTGAATACAAAAGGAACACACTTTATCAACAGAATGTCTGGAGTACAAAGTGATAACTTACGCTGCAGGTTCTTGTTTTCACGCTTCATGGTCTCCAGTTGATCCAGAGCCTCCTCATATGAGTTCTTCATCTTGAACAGCTCAGTGCTGAGAGAACGAGCCTCCTTTTGAGCTCCCTCAAGCTCTGCCTGACCCTCCTCAAACTTCTGTTTCCACTCTGCCAACACCTGAAGTGCAACAAGTTATCTTAGCAACTGGTCGAGTCAATGGCTATGACTACCCATTTAATTGAATTAAGGTTGCAACAGTAAATACTACCTTGTCAAAGTTCCTCTGCTTCTTGTCCAGGTTGGCAGCCAGGCCATTAGCTCTCTCCACATCAATCATGAGGTCCTCCACCTCACTCTGGAGTCTCTGTTTGGTTTTCTCCAGAGAGGCACACTTGGAATTGACAGCCTCAATCTGCTCCTCAGCCTCCTGAAGGCGCTGGGCAAGCTTTTTCCTGTGTTGAGAGGATGAAGTTGGTGAGTTGGTGAGTCAATATCTTGACTGACTGAAAGTAACTTTCATAACAGTTATTTTGATGTATATCAGTTTGCTTGATATAGACTCACTTGGATTCTTCCAGTTCCTCTGTGCGCTGGATGGCATCAGTTTCATACTTGGTTCTCCACTGAGCCACTTCGCTGTTAGCTTTGGACATTCCACGCTGCAGCTCAGCCTTAGCCTCCTGCTCCTCCTCAAACTGCTCCCTCAGCAGATCACAGTCATGACGGGCTGATTGCAGTCCATGGGCAAGAGCATTCTTGGCCTGATGTCAGATATCAAATACTTTTTAATACCTGTTTCAGAAGCGCACATACAAAAATATAAATCCACTTGATATAAGTTTTCTTACCTTAACCTCCTCTTCAATCTGTCTCTTCAGCTCCTCAATCTGCTGAGTGAAAGCCTGTTTGCCTCTGGTCAGCTGGGAGACAAGAGCCTCCTTCTCTTCAATTTGGCGGCCAAACTCACCTTGTTAGAGAGGTGCAGTGAAACATTAGTTTGTGTTATATTTCAACAATATGAAATACTCAAATTATCCAGTTGTAACTTGTAGCTACCATTTTCTGTCAGGAGACGTGCTTTCTGTGCACCAAGGTCATTGATTTGACGGACATTTTCGTCATTCTTGGTCTTAATTTCACTGAGTTGGTCCTCAAGGGTACGGCACATCTTTTCAAGATTTCCCTGAAGAGACAAAGACAAGTCAAATCAATGATCAGATGTAACATAAATGACCTTGTTCAATGCACTAATTTTAACATCCATTGTCTTTTGTACCTTTGCTTTGGCAACAGCCTCCATGTTGCTGGAGAGGTCATCAATTTCCATCTTGTATTCACTCTTTTCCTTCTCAAGCTTCTGCTTGACACGCTGGAGATTGTCGATCTGTTCTCCCAGCTCAGCAACGCTGTCAGCCTGTTTCTTACGAAGAGCGGCAGCAGTGGCTTCATGCTGCAGAGTGGACTCCTCAAGATCACGACGGAGCTTCTGGAACTCAGCTTCGCGCTTCTTGTTCATCTCAATCTGAGCAGCGGTGGCACCACCAGCTTCCTCCAGCCTCTCACTGATCTCCTCAAGTTCCCTGGAGAGATCAGCCCTCTGCTTCTCAACCTTGGCACGAGCTGCGCGCTCTGCTTCAATCTCCTCTTCCAGTTCCTCAATGCGGGCCTGTGTAATGAAAGCATATTGTCTTTCAGTAAATTTGTACCCAAGAACTGAGCATTTGTATATATATTTTAAGTGAGTGAGTATGTCACCTGGAGCTCCTTGATCTTCTTCTGAAGCTGAGCACCCATTGACTGCTCATCCTCAATCTTGCTGAGGAGCTGGCTGATCTCAAAGTCCTTCCTGTGGGGATAACAGAAAAATTCATAGTTGGAGTTTTTGCTGTTGTTGATGATCTAGTTGTATTCTTTTGATTTAATGTCAAGAACATTACTTCTTCATTTTCTCCTCAGATTGCTGCTTGTCATTCTCAAGGTCCATGATGGATTCTTGAGCCAGTTTGAGATCACCCTCAAGCTTTCTCTTGGCTCTCTCAAGGTCCATGCGCAGCTTCTTCTCTTGCTCCAGAGAACCTTCAAGCTAAACGGTAATATATGTTCTTAAAGACCAGGTTCTTCTTCCATATTAATTGTTTAGCATAGTGACATATAAAAAACTTACATCGTCCACTTGCTGCTCAAGCTTAGTCTTGGCCTTGGTCAGAGTGTTGACCTTGTCTTCCTCAGCCTGCAGATCATCAAGGGTCTGCTGATGAGCCTCCTGAAGGGCTTTCTTTTCCTTGGTCAACTTGGCAATGCTCTCATCCTGAGAGGCCATCTCTTCAGTCAGGTTCTTCACCTAAATTTGTGAGTAAAATATTTTTAGTACTATGTGGCAATGTCCTGATTTTATTTGACATGTGAGATATTTGTTTTTCCCCAGACCTTGTTCTCAGTGGCATGTTTCTCCTTCTCCACTTTGGCCAAGGTAAGCTCCAGGTCATCGATGTCCTTCTTGAGCTCAGAGCATTCATCCTCCAACTTCCTCTTTTTGGCAGTGAGCTCAGCATTGATTTCCTCCTCATCCTCCAGTCTTTCAGTTGTCTCTTTGAGCTTGGCCTCCAGCTGAATCTTACTCTTGATAAGACCCTCACACCTCTCCTCAGCATCTGACAGATTCTCTGTTTCCTAGTTTGTAATGTGAAGCATTGATTAGCAGATCTACATTATTTTGACAGAATCAAACATGACATAATTGCAGACTTACAGATGCGACTTGCAGCTGCAGATCGTTCTTCTCCTGCAGGAGGGACACCATCTTCTCCTCCAGCTCCTTCTTCTTTGCCAGGGCAGCAGCCAGGTCTGTCTGCATTTTCCCATAGTTCTCCTTCATCTGGGCCAGCTCCTTCTCAGTTTCAGCACTCTTCAGCAGAGGCTTGATCTTGTAGTAGACCTTCATCCATGGCCAGTGTTTGACATTCATGAATGAGCGGACATTGTACTGGATGGTATAGATGGCTTCTCTGTGGACAAAAAGCTGCTGTTACAATGTAGTTTTTTACTCGTCCATAATCTAATTCAGCACAATCGTTTTGAACATGCCTCCTCTCCATCATCTTCACAAACTCCTTTCTCATCAGGTAGCCACGGCAGAGAGCCTGAGTCATGGTGACCAAACTTGCCAGTTTTTCATCTCTCATCTCCTCAAGGGTACCCAGGAGACCAGCCTTGAAGAACACCTAATCAAAAAAAAAAAGAATCAAAATATCTTAAGAGCAAACATCAAGCCAAAGCAATGAATTGAATTTTAAACTGCAGCAAAACAAAAAACATTTTCTTGAAAAAACTTGAAACCTATCTGAACTTTGAAAGACTTTGTGATGTTCTTAATTTTTTTTTAGCAATTTGTTTTACAAACTATATACACATTTAATCAACAGAGTAAAATTGAAAAGCTCATTGAGAAAACTTAACCTCTTGAGTAAAGACCCTAAGTTATCAAAGTACCTTGGTGTGTCCAAATCTGTACTGGTCATGATCAACATCAATTGATCCAAGCAGCTTCTCTGAAGCCTTCTTGTTATCAATGAACTGGCCCTCAGGGATGACACTGGCATTCAGCACCTTGTATCTATAATGAGAGAGCCCATTGTCAGTGTCAGTATTGCCTTAAAGCCCCCCTGAACCAAATCTCTATTTAATCCATTGATACCTCTGCTTGAAGTCACCATAGAGGATTCTGCTGGGGAAACCTTTTCTGCAGATTCTGATACCCTCCAGCACACCATTACACCTGAGCTGGTGGATGACCAGGAAGTTCTCCATCAGACCTTTAAAAGGAATTAAAATAAAGTCAGACTTTCTGTTATAATTCAAAATTTTCCAACATGGAACAACAAAACTGTACTTTAAAAAAGTTACTGGCATATGTTTTGTGTATATACCTGGAGTCTTTGACTCGTTGGGAATCAGACAACGCACAAAGTGAGGATGGGTGCTCCTCAAGTTGGTCATCAGCTTGCCCAAGTTCTCCTGTGGATCCAAGATGTTATATCTTGTCATAGTTCAATTATGAGATTTGATATATGATACAAGTTTAAAATATGAATCCTTACCCTAAACTGTGAAGACACAGTCTGCATGGAACCACCCTTCTTCTTGCCTCCTTTCTTGCCGCCACCAGTCTCTGTTGATAAATTAAAAACACAAAGTTAAATGTAGTCTTACAAATTGTTTTAAAGTATACCACAGCTAGTCAGAAATGCACCTAACACTTAATTACATCTTACCCTCAACAACAGGAGGATAGAGATGAGACAGCAGCTTAACGGAAGACTTCTGGTACAGCTGAACAACAGAATCGTTCAGTGGATCCTTGTTCTTGTCCAGCCAGCCAGCGATATTGTAGTCCACAGTACCAGCATAGTGAACCAGGGAGAAGTGGGCCTCAGCCTTGCCCTTGGCGGGCTTGGGCTTCTCAAATGCTCTGTTCTTGCCAAGATGCTGGTCATACAGCTTGTTCTTGAAGGATGTGTCTGTAGCCTTGGGGAACATGCACTCCTCTTCAAGGATGGAGAAGATGCCCATGGGCTTGAAAAAGATGACAAAAGTAAATATTTTGCATGTACAGTGAGTGAAACCGACAGAATTACATAGTCACTGAATGTAATCATTACCTTCTCAATCAGCTCAATACAGGCAGCCAAGTCCATACCGAAGTCAATGAACTCCCAGATAATACCCTCCTTCTTGTACTCCTCTTGCTCCAGGACGAACATGTGGTGGTTGAAGAACTGTTGCAGCTTCTCATTGGTGAAGTTGATGCACAGCTGCTCCATGCTGTTGAACTGTAAAGGGAGAAAAATAGATGATTGATGTTTTTTGGGATGAAAGAAAAAAGGACTGATACCCTTGAGAAAAGTTTAGAAAGGATTAGATCCTGAATTGTTTGGAATGAATCTTACATCAAAGATTTCAAAGCCAGCAATATCCAGCACACCAATGAAGAACTGTCTTGGCTGTTTAGTGTCCAACATCTGGTTGATGCGGATGACCATCCACAAGAACATCCTCTCATAGATAGACTTGGCCAGGGCAGTCACTGAGTTCAGCACCTAAATAAAACAAAGGTATCATGTAATTCAAGCCAGGTAAACACTTCATTTACAATACCAGTTTTACCTAGTGTCTGTTCATGGGCTGAATGACACTAACAACCCCCCAAAGAATTATTTAAAATGACATGAAAAAGAATACTACTTAAGCAAGACCTTTATAACTTCATTCTTGGGTGCATAGTTTACTAGATATCAGAGATCCGTGATTACCTGAGGTACAGTCTGTCCCTTGGTGACAAACTCATTTCCGACCTTCACTCTGGGGTAGCACAGAGCCTTCAGCATATCAGCAGAGTTCAGACCCAGCAAGTAGGCAACCTTGTCGGCATCTGACAATAATCAAGTGACTTTCAGTGATACGGCATGTGGTTTCCATTGTCTAGAAGACTAGCCAGAATAAAAACCTCTAACTTAAAGTTAACAGCAGAACTCACCCTCTGTGCCATCAGGCTCAGCCTGCTCCTCACGCTGCTTCTGTTTGAACTTCATGTTACCATGGTGGAGCACAGCACCAGTCATCTTGTAGATGCTCATCTTCTCCTCATTACTGAAGCCCAGGATATCAATAGCATTCTGTATTTGATACAAGTGTCCAAATGAATGTAAGTAATTTTAATGCAGAGTACCTTGGGTGTTGTCATTTACAAAATGTAACTATTTTGTAGTGAAGATCACAGTTCACTCACATCAGTGGCTTCCAGCTCAACTTTGTCATCAATACTGGCCACAGTGATCTGACCCATGCTGCACATGGGGAAGTCGTAGGGGTTGGTTGTGATGAGGGACATTTCTGGAAAAAAAAAAAAAGAAGGATGAGGTCAGTTTTGTTTTGTATGAGACTCAGGAGTAACATTGAGAAAAAAAATGTGTATACCAATCAGCTCAGGTTTGTGGTTGGTCATCATCTGGTAGAAGATGTGGTAGCCTCTTTCATCAGGAAGCTGGAATGTCACTCTAGACTTCTCCAGCAGATCTACAAACATTGTTCATGAGTCAAATCCTGGCCAAATTGTGATTCTTGTTACAAGAATGTATAAGAGAATTTTCACACTTACATGTCTCAATATCAGCACTAGACAGTTTGCCAGTTGTGCCGAAATGAATTCTGATAAATTTACCCTGTCCAGGAGAAAGTTTCATTAAACATTCATGAACATAGGCAATGTTTGACAAGACCATTTTGATATGCAAAAGTTCTCTCAATACTTACAAAACGAGAGGAGTTGTCATTTCTCACAGTTTTGGCATTACCATAGGCCTCCAGCAGAGGATTGGCTGCAATAATCTGGTCCTCAAGTGAACCCTGAAATGGAGATTTCCAAGTGATATCAGAAAATGAGCTTTTTTAATATTTTAATTTAATGACATTAAATAACACAGAGCTGTAACCATTAAATTTGTACATACTCCCATCTTTGATGGTTCCTTCTTCTTCTGGTCTCCACCAACTGAGATTGTTGCAAAGTACTGGATGACACGCTTGGTGTTCACAGTCTTTCCAGCACCAGATTCTCCACTAGGCATAGAAAATCCCTTGTTAGCATTTTGTCAATATTTCATCAAGTATTTATACATAAAACAAGAAAAAAAAAATTAAACTTACGTGATCAAGACAGACTGGTTCTCCCTATCTGTTGACAGGTAAAATAATACATTATGTTTCCTTCCGGTAGAAACTTCAATTAATAGATTGAGTCATTTTTTGCTGTTGTTTCTTACCAGTAAGCATGAACTGATAAGCGTTGTCAGAGACAGAGAAGATGTGGGGTGGAGCCTCCATACGCTTCTTGCCTCTGTAGGCAGACACAACTTCAGAATCGTACACTGGGAGCCACTTGTAGGGATTCACGGTGGCACAGAACAAGCCAGAGTAGGTCTGAAAGTGGGAAGAAAGATTGTGATCTCAGTACTTCACACATGAATATATAAGTGAAAACATTTTCATTTGTTATCAGCCTTATTTCCTTACGTAGATCATCCATGCTGCATAACGCTCTTTGAGGTTATAAAGCACAGAGGCTTCATTGAGATGGGTCATCATGGCCATGTCCTCAATTTTGTCGAACTTGGGAGGATTCATTGGAGAGACGTCATCTTCTTTGACTGTCCTCTCCTGTAACAGGAAGGTTGTCAGAATGAGAACAGATCACTTCAAGGAGAATATGACTCTGACTTCAAGATACTAACCTCCTGAGTGTCCAGGACTTTGACAACGACTTTGCCACCATCTTTACTGATAATGGTTCCCTTCAGGTAAAGCTCCTTGGCATCAGCCACATAACAGGCACTCTTGGCATCAAAGGGTTTGCTTTGAGCCTCAATTCTCTCCTTCTCTGGCTTACGAAGGTAAATGGCAGCTTTGCCATAAACGGCCATCTCTGCGTCTGTACTCATGGTGGCAGTTCACTTCTTAATGAAAATAAACAAAAAAAAAAACAACATTAACAACAAAACAAACCAACTCCACAACTTTGTTTCTTCTGTGGAGCCAAGTTGTTGAAGACCTCTATATAAGTGTTTATAGGAATTATTTCTTCTTTAAATTAATCTTACTGCATAAATTTAAGTCAAATCACACTTCAAAAGTAAAGACTTCATTTACTTTTGAAGACTAGCTTGACATTAAAAAAACAACAATGGTATCTCACTTTCAAATGCATAGGAGTAAATAAAATGTTTTCCATTCAGCAACAACAACCAAGCAGTGATTATTTAAGATTTTCATACCTGACCCTCTCTCTGTCAAAAGCCTGTAATTTTGCACAATCCTGTGAAAACACACAACAGATGTTCTGTGTTTTTTGGAATAGTATTGAATATAATTCATAGAAACAGTAAAGGGATCCAAACCAGATACATGGTTCACTTACCACAAGCAGGGGTCTACTGAGGTCCTCCACCACACACTGCACTGCCCTTTTGGGCTCCTTATATTGTCCTTCTCATGCTTACGCAGTCCAAGCTAAATATGGCCCCGAGCCAAATGTGGTGGGGTCATTCAAAGCGAACATCCATTGAAACAGGTGCTGCCTAAATAATAAAACCAGTGTTTCAGGTTTTACGGAGACTATGTGAGATGACTTCTTATATTTTATTTTTGCTTTCTAAAGGTGATTTACGTAGATTTAACTTTCATTTGTCATTCATCTACAACCTAGATACATTTTCTGTTATCTGCATTGTATTTTTCATCCTGTATCCATTACTTGAAAGTACCATTCAATGTTTTACGCTACTTTAGATGCTAAAACTTTTTATTACATTTTATCAGATTAATTAATGGCATTGCCACAAGTCCTACATTTGTTTCTCCAAAGTGCAATCAGGGGTTCTTCTTTTTAAACAGATGAATTTGTACTTTCACTTTGTCACTTTGTTAAAGTCAAATAAGCAGAAAGTAATCATTTGTTTTCAATAATGTTCTCATACTGTCAGGGATACTAATTAACCACAATCTGGTCATGTAACCGTGGTACATAATGCAGGAATGCTTTGGGATATTTAGAACTTCCTTTGGATGTTTGTTATATTTAGACGTGTTTTTTTCTTTGTGAAGAAGGGTTGCCTTTGGAATCCATGGCAGCTGCCATGAATCCAAGTTGACAACAGCTGTGATTGTCTTAAAGTAACAAGAGATTTGGGTGTTTAAGCTACATCCAGACTTAAAGGTGGAAGTATAAAATCAGGGTTTTAAGTGACACGAATACTGGCTTTGACTATATAGACACAGTATGTTGCAGAAAATTGGTCACACCTATAAATGATTTTATCTGTTGAGATAAGAAACAGAGAGCTGCCACCCTTTTCTTCTATGTGAGATAGAGAAAGAGAGCAAGAGAAGAAAGTATGCATGTCTGGGTCCTTTTTTGTGATGTTCATGCAGAACAAAACTTGAGCTGTAAGGATGCATCAGATGCATCCTTTGTGGCTCACCACACTTTCAAACAATTTGGTTATACACATGGAAATTATAGTTTATCATTTGAACTCAATAGTAACCTTAACTAGAAAAGCACTCGGAGAGCGCAGACCTCCGCCAAGCAGCTCACAGTATCCAGAATTTTGTCTGGATCAGGATCAACCTTTGACACCTCATAAAACTCATTGAGATCCTTTTGTGTAATTTTTTTTACTAAAGACTCTGGACATTTTTATAGAGTTAAATGCAAAAATTCCCAAATTTGCCCTATCTCACAATGATAAAGAATCCTTCAAAAAATTCCTGGATCCAGAAGGCGATCCGGATCACCACCAAAATGTAACGGGATCCTCCTGGGGCTGAGACGCACCTCTGGTGAAAATTTCAGGTCAATCTGTCTGTTACTTTCTCCGTAAAGCTGCTAACAGAAAAACAAACAAACAAACAAACAAACGCTACCAAAAACGTAACCTCCTTGGTGGAGGTAACAAATATTGGAGACAGACTTGATGAAACTTGAATAACCTAAAAAATAGTCATGGTACTTTTCAGGTAACATGGTGCCATTTGTGTTTGCTAGTTAGCCAGCCAACACCCATTGCTAGGTGACAGGGGTGGCATGTTATACGAGTGTATGGACAAGAACAGTCGATAACGAAAAAAAGTATTTCTTGTCCAGGTTGGCTCAATTTAGATCAGCCTAAGAAGTCTGCTCAGGTTTCAAATGCAGGGTCCGGTAAAGGCTGTACCCCCTGAAATGGGACAACTATTGGGAACAATTAGCGAAGCAGGTGTGGCTACCTGTGCCCAAGATATAAATAGTCTCCCAGGGTATAAATAAAGTTCTATGTCATTTCCTGTTTTCGGTCAGTGAATGTGCTTCAGCGGTGAGACTGTAAACTGATTAGTTATTATTGTTAGCTTGCTTGTGTTGACCACAGTTTGCAGATGCCATACAAGAGCCCTATTAGCTTCTCATACAACTTTCCTCAAGGTGAAAAGAAAGTCAACAGCAGTGTGTGAGTACGCTGAAAGAAACCTCAGCACTAAGCACTCTTTTTTCAGGGTACTCAGGCCCGGACTACACATATATAGATATTTATTTATCAGGATGTTTTTGTACTCCCATCTAAATAAATGTATCTGTCCACACGTGTTAGTTCTCAAAAATATCTGCGTCCACACGTAGCCTTCAAACTCCATCCTATCTGTTGCCACTTAAAAAAACATCTAGGAACAAAGCTACCCGATTGGCCAATGAATCGTAACAGCGTGATGCGTCAGAGTTCTCTACTCTGGTGGTGGAGGTGATGGTGGTGGTTATGTGTGTGTGGGCGCATCCCTGTGTACTAAACTTGCTAGAAGAAAACTTTGTTGAAACTTTCACTGACTGATACTATAACATATAAAGTGATAATCACTTTGCCTTGCAGTCAGGGATAACTGTTTGTCAGTGGGAAGATCTAGCTTTTTTTGGCAGAAAAAAAATGCTGCATGCTCTGGAATCAGGTATCAGGTTTCTCCCCTGAGCTGTCACAGTACCCCCCCCGGAAAATACTCTCCATGTGACTTGTAGGGGTGCGTGTCTTATTGCCATTAGAGAGCTTGATATTCTTTCTGTCTGTTCAGAATTGGCAAGGAGTTTGAATCAGTGGTGCAGTGTGCGTCAGATAGCTGATGTTGACCATTGTATTCGGCTTCAGCGTTTGGTGGTAAGGTTTGATGTGAGCAAAAGTTTTGAAAGTGTAACCAAATACTGGCCTTTGCTGAAGATGGTACTGGGTGCACAGCAAATAATGCTAGCATTGCCATGTGCCAACTGGTTGTTGAAAATGAGAATTTGTTTTACAAAAAATCAATTTGAGGGCTTTTCAAATGAATTTGTATTGTAGGAAGTTAAAACTGTGATTCTGATTTTATTTTTTTATTTTTTTTCACCCCAACCCTACTGGTCAACCAGGTGCTCAGAAAATTAGATGTTTGCCATCTAAGTGAAGATTTTATATCTTCATGATGTCACGTTTTGGTTAAAGAAGCCTCAAATACATTTGGAGAATGGCTGGTTGTCTTTTTTCTTCAATTTTGCAACTGTGATTTTTCCTTAATGAATATACAGATTCTTTGGTATTCTTTCTTTTAAATCAGTCTAAAATTGGCTTGAAAGATAGCCCATGCACTTGCACAGCCTCTTTTCTCATGCTCAGATAGGGTTTGCACATATCTTGTTACCAAGGAGCTCTCCAGTTAGCAGCTGCTATACAGCAAACTCTTTCAGAATACTGTCGAAGAAATTATCATAAAGATGCTACTTTTTAAGAATGATATATTATTCTTTTATTTTCTGGTCATTTAAAAAAAACTGCATTTCTCAGTCAATTAAAGATGATTTAACGCAACAATTTCTCGAGACAAAATATTTTTGGAAACCCATTAAATTTCCCAGAGACCCACTCAACCTACTGTCTGTGGGCCCCCTCTTTATATTTTCCCAAAACATTAAACTTTTGATTCTAATGAAATCATGGTCAGAATGGCCCCTTTCGCATTCTTTTATTTCCATGGAGACCTGTCTACTCACATCTGCAGTTGCTGAGACTTTCTCTCCTTCATCATAAGATTTTATCATTTGCATAATTTCGTCCCTGATAGATGTTTTGGGTATTTTAGAAGATATTTTATTTGTGAGTAAGAGATTGACTAAGAAGTCTAACACACTCTCAAGCATGGCCAGCTGCTTTAACATTTCACACCCTCCTGTCTATTTCAGAGCATCCCTGTGTACTAAATTTCTGCCACCTGTTGACTGTCTCTGCTTCAAGTGGGGTGCTTTAATGTGTGAAATCTCTGCTTCTATCCTTAGTGTGTGTAATTAAGTTATTCTCAACAGGAAATAGATTTATGGAAGTATGTGTATGCAACTCCATGGATTAATTTTACAGCTGTCGATTGAGCTTCAGTTGCAAAGCCAGTAATGATGATCAAAGTAATAGACTTATTTATTACATTGTAAATTCTTACATTGAGCTTTGGCATCACATAAAGTAACTAAAAGTTACTGCAAAAGTTAATGCACTATGCCAACTTGGAGTATTGTAAACAATTAATTGGTATCACAATTGATTGATATCAAAATATTAAACCTATTAAAAAAAGTTGCTCTAAATCCTTTTGTATAATGTTGCTGTATTCATGGATTTGTGATATCTGATCCGTTAAGGATATGTCACTGCAAATATGAACTCTTTGAGTTTTCTACCGTGCTCTCAGCCTCAGAGTTCTTGCAGAGAATGTGTGTTGCTTACAAAGCAAAAGTTAATTCAGGGACTCACACCATATATGGGATCGGGTGACAGCTGAAGCTTGGACAAGTTTGGCATTTGCTGGCACGACATTCCTCTCATGTTTCATGTTTCCTTCAGCAAAGGCACATTTTGCATTTGTTTTGATCTTTAAATGGGTAGCATAACTGAGTTCTTCACAAACTTCTTAATTTTGAATGACACATTTTATTTTAACATGGTAGCTACAGTACAGATACTTTTATTTTTTTATTTAACCTTTAATATTGTTTGATTAGTTTGATAAAGGAATGTTAATTTCATTTTGTGTAATTAATATAAACCGTGAGTGGAGCTGCACAAAGGCATGCAAGTAATGTAATAAATAAATAATGAAAGATATCTAACTACTACTTTGATAAGCTGTAAGAGATATGCCTGTGGAATTCACACTCATATGTCAAGCTATTAACACTTTAACTGACTCTGCAGACATAGCTTCAGTCCATATTTGGCTCACTGCACTTTGAATGTCAACCATCTCACTTGTTGAGCAATATCATTTCTAAAAGTCACAGGCAAGAGTGATAAACATGCCATGTAAAAATACACAGTTTTTACTTTCTGTAATTACACTAAGTTGTAGTTTACATTTGAACAATTCTAGCTCCTGTTAATGAGATTATATTACAACCACAAGTGTGACATTTTGGATTTAAATTAAGCATATACAATTATCCTTCAACATCACAATTCAAACATATCAATATTGCTCAAGTTTTTCTGATTAGGTTAGGGCAGCAAAAACAGCTGCTACACAATGGCTTATATGATTCTATTCATGGCCCAATGAAACAGTTTAACACTACTCATTTTTCTGCTTTGTTATTAATTCCTCTTGCCGCTAATAAATTCAGGGAGTGTATAATTGTTTGGTGATTCAGTTGCTGTGTTAGGGAAAGACTTCAAAGCTGCCAGTAACATTTTCAAGTAGTTTTTGGTATTTTTTGTTTCTCTTGGGCTCCCAGGGATACTATATCATTATGTAACAGCATATTTTAGGACAGATTGTGTCCACTTTTGAGCCTTGAATAGGTTTGTTTGTTTGTTTGTTTTGTTTGTTTTGTGAATTGTTAAAATGACACATCTCCTGTTGGCTAGTACTCAATGAAAGCAAAAAATAAGAATATTACAAACAGAAATTTAGGATCAAGAACTTAAACTTTATTGTTTCCACACGAGTTATATCATATTTTATGATTAAAACAAGTGAAACCATCAGTTAGCTTTACTCAGCAGCTTCTTTTCCCTGTAAGAAACAGATAAATGGTAGTGTAAGTTTAATTTTGATATAATTAAGGTGACAGTTTTTATCAATTAATTTTCTAAGATTTAAACCTAATGCCTTGAAGTAAGTTCAAAAGAGCAAGGAATATGTTACAATATACAAACTGATGAATTTAAGTATAATTGTTGTTTACCTTGCCAGCATCGCGGCTCTTGGCCCTCAGTTTGTTAACCTGAGACTCTGCGATGTCAGCACGCTCCTCAGCCTCCTCCAGCTCATGCTGGATCTTTCTGCACTTGGACAGATGAACATTGGCCTGCTCCTCCTTTAAAAGGAAGAATAAGTAGAGATTTTTGAAATGTACAAATGGCTGATGAACTTAACATAACACTACAGTTGCACTGTGGAATTGTTTTGTTGAAACATATATTGAAATGGTGGATCCTTACCGCTTCCTCAGCCTGCCTCTTGTAGGCCTTCACCTTGAGCTGCAGCTTGTCAACCAGATCCTGAAGCCTGGTAACATTCTTCTTGTCCTCCTCAGTCTTTAATTAAAGGTAAACATGCAATTAATGAATGATTTTGACAAGACAATAGGTATGCCAAATTGATTTTGTTAAGTGTCAGTGTGACAATACCTGATAGGTGAGCTCCTTCACCCTCCTCTCATATTTGCGGACACCCTTAACAGCATCAGCTCCACGTCTCTGCTCAGCATCAACTTCACCCTCCAGCTCACGCACCTTCACACAACAGAAAAACATTGAATATATCAATATAACTATCTCAAAAATCTACACTCAATTTTCTAAACTGTAAACACAACTTTCATACCCTAGACTCAAGTTTCTGGAGCTGCTTCTTGCCACCCTTCATGGCCAGGTTCTCAGCCTCATCCAGGCGGTGCTGCAGGTCCTTGACAGCAACCTCAAGGTTCTTCTTCATTCTCTCCAGGTGAGCACTAGTATCCTGCTCTTTCTTCAGCTCCTCAGCCATCATAGCAGCCTAGAGGAAACAAAATTTATCACTGATAAGAAATATTGTAAAAACACCCACTGATCAGTCACTATGTCCCACACTTCAAGTACACCTACATCAGTGATGGCCTTCTTGGCCTTCTCCTCAGCATTCCTTGCTTCCTGAACAGTGTCATCCACTTCACTCTGAATCTGGACCAGGTCAGTCTCAAGCTTCTTCTTGGTGTTCAGAAGGCTTGTGTTCTGAAAGAAAAAGAAGGAATAATGTACCGTTACTGTTCCCCGTGAAATAATGATAAACGTTTAAGTAGTGAAACTCAAAGGAAAGTACCTGTGAGTGCAGAAGTCCAACACGCTCACTTGCGTCCACCAGCTCCTGCTCAGCCACTTTGCGGCTTCTCTCTGTCTGTTCCAGAGCAGCTCTGAGTTCCTCAATTTCAGCAACCATGAGGCCATTCCTGCGCTCCACCATAGCAGCTTGTTCCTTGAGGTCATCCTGGGCTCTGACAGCGTCATCAAGGTGCAGTTGGGCATCCTAGTGAGAAATGTAAAGAAAATATGAAGATGGCTTGCCACACAAAAGTATGATGACCATAATCTCTGCACAGTCTATATGTGCAGCAGTACCTTCAGCTGTGCCTGCACGTTCCTCAGCTGCTTCTGGGACTCAGATGCCTGGCGATTGGCATGGCTCAGCTGAATCTCCATCTCATTCAGGTCTCCCTCCATCTTCTTCTTGATTCTCAGGGCATCATTCCTGCTCCTGACCTCAGAGTCCAAAGTGCTCTGCATGGAGTCAATCACCCTCTGGCTGTTCCTCTTGATCTGCTCTGTTTCCTCATCTTTTTCTGCCAGCTTCCTGTCCACCTCACCCTTGATCTGGTTGAGCTCCAGCTGGACGCGGAGGATCTTGGACTCTTCATGTTCCAGGGTTCCCTAATGACAACGGAAAGTAAGTCTTTAATCTCAACACTCATGCCTCTCATAACATATCATTCTACACTGGATTGGTTTTAGATTCCTCTGAGAAGATTTCTCCTGAACCAACACATACCTCAGCCTCTTCAAGAGCAGTCTGAATCTCAGACTTCTCAGTCTCCACCTGCTTCTTGGCCTTCTCCAGCTCATGGATGCTCTTGCCAGTCTCACCGATCTGTTCAGTCAGATCTGAGATCTCCTCTGTGGAGGTATTTGAATGTTTCGTGTTGTTAAGCCTCAAAATACAAAGTGAGCATTGAATACAAAAGGAACACACTTTATCAACAGAATGTCTGGAGTACAAAGTGATAACTTACGCTGCAGGTTCTTGTTTTCACGCTTCATGGTCTCCAGCTGATCCAGAGCCTCTTCATATGAGTTCTTCATCTTGAACAGCTCAGTGCTGAGAGAACGAGCCTCCTTTTGAGCTCCCTCAAGCTCTGCCTGACCCTCCTCATACTTCTGTTTCCACTCTGCCAACACCTGAAGTGCAACAAGTTATCTTAGCAATTGGTTGAATCAATGGGAATGACTACCCATTTGATTTAAATGAAGGTTACAAAAGCAAATACTACCTTGTCAAAGTTCCTCTGCTTCTTGTCCAGGTTGGCAGCCAGGCCATTAGCTCTCTCCACATCAATCATGAGGTCCTCCACCTCACTCTGGAGTCTCTGTTTGGTTTTCTCCAGAGAGGCACACTTGGAATTGACAGCCTCAATCTGCTCCTCAGCCTCCTGAAGGCGCTGGGCAAGCTTTTTCCTGTGTTGAGAGGATGAAGTTGGTGACGGTCAATATCTCTACTGACTGGTAGTAACTTTCATAACAGTTATTTAGATGTATAGTAATTTGCTTGATATAGACTCACTTGGATTCTTCCAGTTCCTCTGTGCGCTGGATGGCATCAGTTTCATACTTGGTTCTCCACTGAGCCACTTCGCTGTTAGCCTTGGACATTCCACGCTGCAGCTCAGCCTTAGCCTCCTGCTCCTCCTCAAACTGCTCCCTCAGCAGATCACAGTCATGACGGGCTGATTGCAGTCCATGGGCAAGAGCATTCTTGGCCTGATGTCAGATATCAAATACTTTTTAATACCTGTTTCAGAAGCTGACATACAAAAATATAAATCCACTTGATATAAGTTTTCTTACCTTAACCTCCTCTTCAGTCTGTCTCTTCAGCTCCTCAATCTGCTGAGTGAAAGCCTGTTTGCCTCTGGTCAGCTGGGAGACAAGAGCCTCCTTCTCCTCAATTTGGCGGCCAAACTCACCTTGTTAGAGAGGTGCAGTGAAACATTAGTTTGTGTTATATTTCAACAATATGAAATACTCAAATTATCCAGTTGTAACTTGTAGCTACCATTTTCTGTCAGGAGACGTGCTTTCTGTGCACCAAGGTCATTGATTTGACGGACATTTTCGTCATTCTTGGTCTTAATTTCACTGAGTTGGTCCTCAAGGGTACGGCACATCTTTTCAAGATTTCCCTGAAGAGACAAAGACAAGTCAAATCAATGATCAGATGTAACATAAATGACCTTGTTCAATGCACTAATTTTAACATCCATTGTCTTTTGTACCTTTGCTTTGGCAACAGCCTCCATGTTGCTGGAGAGGTCATCAATTTCCATCTTGTATTCACTCTTTTCCTTCTCAAGCTTCTGCTTGACACGCTGGAGATTGTCGATCTGTTCTCCCAGCTCAGCAACGCTGTCAGCCTGTTTCTTACGAAGAGCGGCAGCAGTGGCTTCATGCTGCAGAGTGGACTCCTCAAGATCACGACGGAGCTTCTGGAACTCAGCTTCGCGCTTCTTGTTCATCTCAATCTGAGCAGCGGTGGCACCACCAGCTTCCTCCAGCCTCTCACTGATCTCCTCAAGTTCCCTGGAGAGATCAGCCCTCTGCTTCTCAACCTTGGCACGAGCTGCGCGCTCTGCTTCAATCTCCTCTTCCAGTTCCTCAATGCGGGCCTGTGTAATGAAAGCATATTGTCTTTCAGTAAATTTGTACCCAAGAACTGAGCATTTGTATGTATATTTTAAGTGAGTGAGTATGTCACCTGGAGCTCCTTGATCTTCTTCTGAAGCTGAGCACCCATTGACTGCTCATCCTCAATCTTGCTGAGGAGCTGGCTGATCTCAAAGTCCTTCCTGTGGGGATAACAGAAAAATTCATAGTTGGAGTTTTTGCTGTTGTTGATGATCTAGTTGTATTCTTTTGATTTAATGTCAAGAACATTACTTCTTCATTTTCTCCTCAGATTGCTGCTTGTCATTCTCAAGGTCCATGATGGATTCTTGAGCCAGTTTGAGATCACCCTCAAGCTTTCTCTTGGCTCTCTCAAGGTCCATGCGCAGCTTCTTCTCTTGCTCCAGAGAACCTTCAAGCTAAACGGTAATATATGTTCTTAAAGACCAGGTTCTTCTTCCATATTAATTGTTTAGCATAGTGACATATAAAAAACTTACATCGTCCACTTGCTGCTCAAGCTTAGTCTTGGCCTTGGTCAGAGTGTTGACCTTGTCTTCCTCAGCCTGCAGATCATCAAGGGTCTGCTGATGAGCCTCCTGAAGGGCTTTCTTTTCCTTGGTCAACTTGGCAATGCTCTCATCCTGAGAGGCCATCTCTTCAGTCAGGTTCTTCACCTAAATTTGTGAGTAAAATATTTTTAGTACTATGTGGCAATGTCCTGATTTTATTTGACATGTGAGATACTTGTTTTTTTCCCCAAACCTTGTTCTCAGTGGCATGTTTCTCCTTCTCCACTTTGGCCAAGGTAAGCTCCAGGTCATCAATGTCCTTCTTGAGTTCAGAGCATTCATCCTCCAACTTCCTCTTTTTGGCAGTGAGCTCAGCATTGATTTCCTCCTCATCCTCCAGTCTTTCAGTTGTCTCTTTGAGCTTGGCCTCCAGCTGAATCTTACTCTTGATAAGACCCTCACACCTCTCCTCAGCATCTGACAGATTCTCTGATTCCTAGTTTGTAATGTGAAGCATTGATTAGCAGATCCACATTATTTTGACAGAATCAAACATAACATAATTGCAGACTTACAGATGCGACTTGCAGCTGCAGATCGTTCTTCTCCTGCAGGAGGGACACCATCTTCTCCTCCAGCTCCTTCTTCTTTGCCAGGGCAGCAGCCAGGTCTGTCTGCATCTTCTCATAGTTCTCCTTCATCTGGGCCAGCTCCTTCTCAGTTTCAGCACTCTTCAGCAGAGGCTTGATCTTGTAGTAGACCTTCATCCATGGCCAGTGTTTGACATTCATGAATGAGCGGACATTGTACTGGATGGTATAGATGGCATCCCTGGGGGACAAAAACGTCTGTTGTAGATGTCGAGTTCAATAAAATTACAATACCATGTACATAAATCAAGAAACTCTTCACCCACCTCCTCTCCATCATCTGCACAAACTCCCTTCTCATCAGGTATCCACGGCACATGGCCTGAGTCATGGTCACCAGAGATGCCAGTTTTTCATCTCTCATCTCCTCAAGAGTACCCAGGAGACCGGCCTTGAAGAACACCTAATCAAATAGGAAATAGAGACTGCATCATACACTTCACTAAAATAACCAAAAATACCACTTTGGCACCAGAAATGTGTGAACCAGTTTTAGCACAAATTTCTCATATTTTAACAAATTTCTCTTAGAACCATGCTGACATATTTTAATTTCCTAAGGAGAATGTAGAACAGAAACATAGGTCATTCATCACAGTACATGTTTTTCATTTTTGGAGCATTAGTTCTGGAAAATGCAGATGTTTTTCAATTGATTGTGGCTTACAAGTAATTCATTTACTTTTTCTACTAAAATTATAAAGGACAATAAGTTTGAGCATATTACCCCAAAAACTGAAAACAAAAGAAATGTACAAAGCAGCAAAGGACTGCAGAGAAAATTTCACTCTCATGCCTGAGAGTATCAGGTACAATGCAAAGTGCAAGCCGTACAAGTGGCCACATGGGTGTGCTGTTTCCTTTCATTCATCTCTCTGTCCTTCACTTATCCCTTGGCCACCTTGGCCAATGACCATCATAGTTTATTCAGACTTGGAGATGGGTGTATTAGTTTAGAATTTGGGATAGACAAATTGCTGTTCTCCTAACCTATAATTAGGTTCTTAAAAACAAATTAAGTACAATACCTTGGTGTGTCCAAATCTGTACTGGTCATGATCAACATCAATTGATCCAAGCAGCTTCTCTGAAGCCTTCTTGTTATCAATGAACTGGCCCTCAGGGATGACACTGGCATTCAGCACCTTGTATCTATAATGAGAGAGCCCATTGTCAGTGTCAGTATTGCCTTAAAGCCCCCCTGAACCAAATCTCTATTTAATCCATTGATACCTCTGCTTGAAGTCACCATAGAGGATTCTGCTGGGGAAACCTTTTCTGCAGATTCTGATACCCTCCAGCACACCATTACACCTGAGCTGGTGGATGACCAGGAAGTTCTCCATCAGACCTTTAAAATGAAGTCAGACTTTCTGTTATAATTCAAAATTTTCCAACATGAAACAACAAAACTGTATGTCAGAAAAGTTACTGGCATTTTTTTTTTTTTGTGTATATACCTGGAGTCTTTGACTCGTTGGGAATCAGACAACGCACAAAGTGAGGATGGGTGCTCCTCAAGTTGGTCATCAGCTTGCCCAAGTTCTCCTGTGGATCCAAGATGTTATATCTTGTCATAGTTCAATTATGAGATTTGATCCATGATACAAGTTTGAAATGTGAATCCTTACCCTAAACTGTGAAGACACAGTCTGCATAGAACCACCCTTCTTCTTGCCTCCCTTCTTGCCGCCACCAGTCTCTGTTCATAAATTAAAGACACAAAGTTAAATGTAGTCTCACAAATTCCATTAAAGTATACCACAGCTAGTCAGAAATGCACCTAACACTTAATTACATCTTACCCTCAACAACAGGAGGATAGAGATGAGACAGCAGCTTAACGGATGACTTCTGGTACAGCTGAAGGACGGATTCATTCAGTGGATCCTTGTTCTTGTCCAGCCAGCCAGCGATATTGTAGTCCACAGTACCAGCATAGTGAACCAGGGAGAAGTGGGCCTCAGCCTTGCCCTTGGCGGGCTTGGGCTTCTCAAATGCTCTGTTCTTGCCAAGATGCTGGTCATACAGCTTGTTCTTGAAGGATGTGTCTGTAGCCTTGGGGAACATGCACTCCTCTTCAAGGATGGAGAAGATGCCCATGGGCTTGAAAAAGATGACAAAAGTAAATATTTTGCATGTACAGTGAGTGAAACCGACAGAATTACATAGTCACTGAATGTAATCATTACCTTCTCAATCAGCTCAATACAGGCAGCCAAGTCCATACCGAAGTCAATGAACTCCCAGATAATACCCTCCTTCTTGTACTCCTCTTGCTCCAGGACGAACATGTGATGGTTGAAGAACTGTTGCAGCTTCTCATTGGTGAAGTTGATGCACAGCTGCTCCATGCTGTTGAACTGTAAAGGAAGAAAAATAGATGATTGATGTTTTTTTGGGGTGAAAGAAAAAAGGACTGATACCCTTAAGAAAAGTGAATTAGATCCTGAATTGTTTGGTATGAATCTTACATCAAAGATTTCAAAGCCAGCAATATCCAGCACACCAATGAAGAACTGTCTTGGCTGTTTAGTGTCCAACATCTGGTTGATGCGGATGACCATCCACAAGAACATCCTCTCATAGATAGACTTGGCCAGGGCAGTCACTGAGTTCAGCACCTAAATAAAACAAAGGTATCATGTTATTCAAGCCAGGTAAACATTTCATTTAAAATACCAGTTTTACCTAGTATCTGTTCATGGGGTGAATACAAACAAACAAACAAACAAAAAAAAAAACTCAGAAAACAAAACATGATTTAAAATACTACTTAAGCAAGACCTTGATAACTTCATTCCTGGGTGCATAGTTTACTAGATATCAGAGATCCATGATTACCTGAGGTACAGTCTGTCCCTTGGTGACAAACTCATTTCCGACCTTCACTCTGGGGTAGCACAGAGCCTTCAGCATATCAGCAGAGTTCAGACCCAGCAAGTAGGCAACCTTGTCGGCATCTGACAATAATCAAATGACTTTCAGTGATACGGCATGTGGTTTCCATTGTCTAGAAGACTAGCCAGAATAAAAACCTCTAACTTAAAGTGAACAGCAGAACTCACCCTCTGTGCCATCAGGCTCAGCCTGCTCCTCACGCTGCTTCTGCTTGAACTTCATGTTACCATGGTGAAGCACAGCACCAGTCATCTTGTAGATGCTCATCTTCTCCTCATTAGTGAAGCCCAGGATATCAATAGCATTCTGTATTTGATACAAGTGTCCAAATGAATGTAAGTAATTTTAATGCAGAGTACCTTTGGTGTTGTCATTTATAAAATGTAACTATTTTGTAGTGAAGATCACAGGTCACTCACATCAGTGGCTTCCAGCTCAACTTTGTCATCAATACTGGCCACAGTGATCTGACCCATGCTGCACATGGGGAAGTCGTAGGGGTTGGTTGTGATGAGGGCCATTTCTGGAAAAAAAAAAAAAAAGAAGGATGAGGTCAATTTTGTTTTGTATGAGACTCAGGAGTAACATTGAGAAAAAAAATGTGTATACCAATCAGCTCAGGTTTGTGGTTGGTCATCATCTGGTAGAAGATGTGGTAGCCTCTTTCATCAGAAAGCTGGAATGTCACTCTAGACTTCTCCAGCAGATCTACAAACATTGTTCATGAGTCAAATCCTGGCCAAATTGTGATTCTTGTTACAAGAATGTATAAGAGAATTTTCACACTTACATGTCTCAATATCAGCACTAGACAGTTTGCCACTTGTGCCGAAATGAATTCTGATGAATTTACCCTGTCCAGGAGAAAGTTTCATTAAACATTCATGAACATAGGCAATGTTTGACAAGACCATTTTGATATGCAAAAGTTCCCTCTATACTTACAAAACGAGAGGAGTTGTCATTTCTCACAGTTTTGGCATTACCATAGGCCTCCAGCAGAGGATTGGCTGCAATAATCTGGTCCTCAAGTGAACCCTGAAATGGAGATTTCCAAGTGATATCAGAAAATGAGCTTTTTCTATATTTAATTTTAAAGATATTAAATAACACAGAGCTGTAACCATTAAATTTGTACATACTCCCATCTTTGATGGTTCCTTCTTCTTCTGGTCTCCACCAACTGAGATTGTTGCAAAGTACTGGATGACACGCTTGGTGTTCACAGTCTTTCCAGCACCAGATTCTCCACTAGGCATAGAAAATCCCTTGTTAGCATTTTGTCAATATTTCATCAAGTATTTATACATAAAACAAGAAAAAAAAAATTAAACTTACGTGATCAAGACAGACTGGTTCTCCCTATCTGTTGACAGGTAAAATAATACATTATTTTCCTTCCGGTAGAAACTTCAATTAATAGATTGAGTCATTTTTTGCTGTTGTTTCTTACCAGTAAGCATGTTCTGATAAGCGTTGTCAGAGACAGAGAAGATGTGGGGTGGAGCCTCCATACGCTTCTTGCCTCTGTAGGCAGATACAACTTCAGAATCGTACACTGGGAGCCACTTGTAGGGATTCACGGTGGCACAGAACAAGCCAGAGTAGGTCTGAAAGTGGGAAGAAATATGGTTGTCTCAGTACTTCACACATGAATATATAAGTGAAAACATTTTCATTAGTTATCAGCCTTATTTCCTTACGTAGATCATCCATGCTGCATAACGCTCTTTGAGGTTATAAAGCACAGAGGCTTCATTGAGATGGGTCATCATGGCCATGTCCTCAATTTTGTCGAACTTGGGAGGATTCATTGGAGAGACGTCATCTTCTTTGACTGTCCTCTCCTGTAACAGGAAGGTTTTCAGAATGAGAACAGATCACTTTAAGGAGAATATGACTCTGGTGTTAAGATACCCACATCCTCAGTTCCCAGGACTTTGACAGTGACTTTGCCACCATCCTTCTTCATGATTGTTCCCTTCAGGTACAGCTCCTTGGTATCAACCACATAGCAGGCAGTCTTGGCATCAAAGGGTTTGTTTTGAGCCTCAATTCTCTCCTTCTCTGGCTTACGAAGGTAAATGGCAGCTTTGCCATAAATGGCCATCTCCGCGTCAGTACTCATGGTGGCGGCTTATGTCTCTATAGAAGATCAAGGCAAAATTGATTCATTAACCACTATATATGTCATTCTATGCTTTCAAGGTATTTTAGACTGACAAATATTAATGTAAATAACTTAACATGAATCATTCATGCATCAACTCCTCCTGCATATATTTTTCAGGGGTTGCAGGGGTGCTGGAGCGTATCCCTGCAGCCTTTAGGCAGAGTGCTGCCTTCTTTCAATGTTCACATTCCAAAACTGGACAACATGTCACAGTCACATTCACACTACATGCAATTTAGAGTCCCTAATTAACCTTAGCAGTTGGGCAGGGGGCCCTCAAAAATAAGTACACAGGGACATGAAGAAGTTGAAACTGCTTACAGCAGGAAACAACTTGTTAAGCTGCAAAGTGACAGTGCTGAGACTGCAGCACTAAGTGAGTTAATGCAAAAGAACTTCAAAGTCTACATTGGTAGTTGCACGACATAGTGAAACACACAAAAAAATCAAGAATTTCACATGCCTTACCCTTTCCCTCTGCGAAATGAATGTTGTAATCCACAATCCTGAAGAAAACACATTGAATTAACACAAGAAAAATATATATATATAATTTTTTTTTTGTACAATCTGCTGTTAAAGGTAAGAAATGTCTTTTTATCCCGAGTCTGAGAAAAGTGCCGCTTAAACTGGATAAACCATTTGTACATATTACTTTGTTAATTTTTGTGTAAACTCATTTCTTGATACTGATACTGTATTCCAAAGGTACAGTGAAAAGTAGAAGGCAACCTCACCTCAAGCTGAAAGTTCACTGGTCCTCCACCACACACTCTGAAGCTCTTCTCCAGCCCCTTATATTCTGTCTGGTTTGCTTACAATGCAAAGCTCAAAGAAGGCTATCTACCAAATATGGTTAGACTCACAGCAGCGTCAAGAAGGGTTTAAAATATTTTGCTGACATTAGTAAGTAGGTAGCTCCTGTGTGTGTGTTTTTAACACTACACATAATTGATTAGTTAGTTGATTAGAAAGTTACAAGTGCAAAAATATGATTAGGCATATATTGTTTCATTGAGACTGTAGTTTTAAAACTGATATCAAAGTTATCAACAGCTGAGACATTTTTCTGTACAGTTTTATGCAGCCAAATAGAATTATTTTTGTTCACTGTTCATTGTTGAACTGTAGGCATCATGAGGGCTAAGAGAAAACAGTAAGATTATTTTCATCATCTGTGATTGTAATTAAATCTGTAAAAGTTGTAAAGCTTTGAAATTGTTGAGAGAATCTTTGTTAGAGAAATTGTTTAATTGTGATTGTAAATGTAACAGCTGTTTAAAATACACCAGACCCTGACAGCCATGCATCGAAATCAGGAGAATTAGTTGACAACTGACCATATGGTTGAAATCGTCTGCCATGACAGGCTGGTGGCCGTCTCCAAGTGATTATCTTTTTTTTTTTCTATGTCTTGCCCCTAAAAGGAACCTGGTTGTTCAAAAGTGGGCAGAAATAAACAGGTCTATGTATATTGGCAACCCTTTTATAAGACTGCTTTTATACTTTTTTTGGACAAATAATGTTTAAAGCCAATAGCAAACTTTATAGAAAATGTAAGGTTAATTTGCAAAAAGACACAGATTATGTACATCTACTTAAGTAGGAACAAATCTGTGAAGAATCCAGAACTTCACTAAAGATGTGGCTTAATATGTAATTACACTAATATTCATCTAGGCTTCAAATTAATTAAATGTACTTATTTTTAATCATATTACTACTTAAGTTATTGCAGCATTCAGAAGTACTTAGTTTATAGAATTTGTTTTCTACCCAAATTTCATGAAATTTCCGAGAATTTTTAGTGTCTCTCATTACAAAAATTTAGTGTGCAACTATCTCTGTTACTGTAGAGGGATGTGATTTAGTTGTAAGAGTGAGACAGTTGTCCTCTAACTGAGGGTGCAATGAGAAACATGTTTAAACACACACTAAGTCTTAGTAAGACACATTTGTTTGGGGCCCCTCTGTCATACTCCATCATGTAACTTGAGCGGCTGGTTGCTGCATGTAGAGAAAGTGAAGAAAGCGGGAGGGTGTAAGTCCTGGGCTGGGGGATTCTGCATGGTTTGATGAAAAAAAAAGAAAGCATTCCTGGCAAATTTCATTGCAGAAAGTTTTGATATCAATATCTCTGCTGATATTTTCTTCAACTTGATGTTGCAAAATGCCTTGTTAATGTGCAGGGATAAATAATGTGTGTAATGTGTAAACCCAGATCAATTTTCAAAACATAATCTACTCAGTAATGCAAAAGCAACAGAAATATGCTAGAGGAGAAATTATGAAGTGAAATTATGACCATAAATGGTAACTCTGGTGCCGTGTAATTGAGGTGATCTTCATATAAATTGTTCGGTGAACAAATTCAATTTTTTCCTGCAACCTGTACTTGATTCTTTTTATTTCTTTTCTCATAAATTCTGGCACAGTCAAGTCAAGCCATCCTCCTTTTTTCTACATTACTCGTAGAGAGATGGAGGGAGAGAGAGGAGAGAGAGAGAGAGAGAAGAGGGCAAACTGAATTCTACAAAACTGTTTGTTTGCAAGAATTACTTTTTTTTCTGAACAACTTCATTTACAACGAGTTGGTTCAGGGTTGTCTCCCTCCAAAGTTGTGGGTGGTGGTGGGTATACATCTGATTAGTGGCTCCAAGTGAAGCCCTCCCACTCCAGGGCTTACCCAATTTGGTGTGATGCTAAAGCTGTACTATTAAGGTATCTGAGTAAAGAACACATTCGGCTTTTTGCTTGTGTGGCATACATGATGACATGATACTTGACAGAATATGATGTAAAATTGGGCAAGCCAAATCCCAACCAAAACCATCTTAATCATCAAACTATAGAAGGTTTTATATTTATCTTCCAATTTTCTCTCACTGACCCACCCCTCTAAGTGGTGATCATGGGAGTAACATTTGAAAAGGTGCTCTCTATTTTTTTTCTAGTCAGTCTATGAATCCCTCAGTATTGCAATAAACATGTGATGACATTTTAAATTGCCTGTTTTCTTGAAACTCACTTAACATTTGTAGTAACTGATCTATCTAATTACGCCAGCTCAAAGAAACGGGATATGTGTCACACTACGACTGAGAGGAAAGAGAGAGGCTCAAGGGGCAGAGGTCAGGTGGTATACTGTAGCTGGGGGGATGGGGAGGCCAGCGGGAGGGGGGGTTCTACTTGAGAGGCAGTTGTCAAAGCTTGTGTTAATAAGCAACTCAGCTTTTTACTTACCAAATTGAGATGAATACTGCAAGTTCTTTGACCAAACATGGTATAATCTATTTGTGACCAGAAAGTAGGTATAAAAGCAACCACAGCTCACCACATGTTTAGAGCACTCAAGCACACTGGGAGAGCATCTTGTTTGGTCAACTGCAGCAACTCATTTGTCCACTGAGCATAACCATTTAGATGTGGTGAAGTGGCTTGAACATGTGAAAAAGAATTTTTACTAAATAACCATTCCCCTTACTTTGTTTGTATCTCTAATTTTGTTGTTTGAAATTGATTTTCAGATCTTGATTGTTTAATTGGAGATTTACCCAGGGATAACTTGCTGTGTTATCATCTTAGTTATTTTTAATCAAATTGTATAATTAAAGCAAATTTAGAGTAAGTCTGGAATGCACATCTTTCTGTTTATCTGACAAGGTTTGACAGCAACCGAAGAGTCCATGGAAATGTAACCTGACCGTGCTCTGAGCTCTGTGATGTACTTTTCGAAGGCTTATAGTCTGTATGGTGAAAAGAGTTGGCTATAACGGTCAAAGAGAGATGTGTCCTCAGTCTTGAGGTGCAAGGAGAACCATAAGTCTCTGTAAGCTGCATCTGCCTGCTGGGCTTTCAATCATTCTCCATCTGGTAATCGGAGCAGTACCAGCTGTACAACAGGTTTATTTCTACTTTAAAGGAGTTTTTTTTTTTTTTTCCTTTGAATGCTGCATGTGATTCTACTCCCAATTCATTATAGAAGCATATATTGTACTATTCATACCATGTTTTTTAAATCATAACTTTAATTAGATATTTGCAAAGTTTTTTGTGAAGCATACCCTAGAAGTTCATGCAAATTTGATTTTTAATTGTTGGTATGGATTATGATTTTGAAATAGGCTGCTTGGTAATGCTCTAAGAATTAAAAAATAAATAAATCAATAAGTTAATTAATTATTTATTACTAATATTACTATGATGGTGGTTATGGCTTTGATGGACCGTCAAATTCATTTGTTGGTGCACTCCTTTGAGTTGAGTTGGGGGGGCGTCATGCTTCTAACCTATCAGACTTGTGATTTGGAAAATAAGTGCCTCCCAATGGTCCATCACTGCAGCGCTTGAGGTGACGCGCCAGCTGTGTTCATCGTGCTTCTTATCAAAGAGGAGCTACAGTGTACAAGCACAGTTTGTCTCTCTCTATGATACTGTGTGCGTTTGTGGTACAGTTGTTTCTGCTTCACCGGAAAAAAACTCCCCTTTACTGACTGAATGCCCAGGCTACTCTCTTGTTGGATTTAAAACATATCATTTTAAATAACTACTCCCCCCTCTGCGGTTTCCGTTCGTGGTGTGCCGTCCTTCCCTCGTTATCCCTCTGCATACATAATCTCTTTGAATAGCTGCGTAAAAACGAAACCAAAAGTATATCACCAGCCGGTAGGTTTCGTTTAAAATAACAGACTCTCTGGCTGTGGCATGCAGTCTTCAAAGGCTGCTTTTGGTGAGTTTTAAGATTATTATGTACTGCAAGCTGACTTTAAAATGATTTGTACTGCCGTTTAATGCAGTTCGTTGCTGCTGCTGATGAGACGCACAGACTGCGCTATTCGTGTCCTCAAATGACCCGACTTTATCCCGCTCCGCGACACGCCACACAATACCATTGTAAAAGAAAAAGCACCATGCTATGATACTCGTAATATGCAAAGTATAATCAGCTGTTCTGTACTGTACAAGCGAGGTCATTCGGAAATTAGGCGGTGATCACGTATGGTCTTGTTATATTGAAATGAATTGGAAAAGTGTTTGAACGCAGATATTTTAGGACAGTGTCTGTAATCTCACTGTGTGATCATGTCAAAATTTCTAAACTCTAGGTTTCTACTTTTTATGGAAAGAAATGAAGCGAGCGTGAGCTGTAAAAGATGTGGCTCAACCCTTTAATGTAGTTGGCACAAAGTTTATTAGCAACATGATTGGGACAGAAAGTCTGAAAACTTAAGAAACAGTTCATCAGTGCTCGTCATTGGTCTAATGCCTTATGACATATTTCATATTTCATCTTTTAAGATGACGTTTCTTGTCTGCGATACACTGAAGGCTGCTTGATATCATCTGTTAGCTTGTAAAATCACCCATTAGATTATTACGTTTACATGGGAGCGCTGTTATTCTAAGTGATAGTAATTGACCGGCTCCGTTTTTAGAATTATCAACTCTGTTGTAAGTATATATTTTCAAAATGTATGTAGCCCCATGAATCAACATGACCATTAACTAGAAATAGTCACAAGTTTGTATCTGCTCATTAGCTCTGTCTTTCAAATCCTCACGAAACAAAATACTGCTGTTGTCATCACAAATCACTCTGTTTTCCTCCCTGCATGTCTGGACTTAATGCAGACTACGTGAATCAACTTCACAGTTAGCTAACCTCAGTATCTCTTTGAATCTGTGCCAATACAGCTTTTAGTGTCCTCTTTTAATTGGGTCATAAAAAGTTATTGTATTGTATGATTTCACTTACATGACTGTGACTTTACTAGTATTTTCTTCAAAGACATGCTGTTCCAATCTACCAAATCATCTTTGGTAATTGAGGATCCTAAACTAGAAAATAAAAGCACGCCATCTAATCATTGTGAGTTTACCCTGGTACTCTGTGACATTATTTATGTTTTTTTGTTAGTATATGTCATATTTTCCATGTTTTTTCTCTTTGTTTCATATTAAATTTTTAGTTTCACTTCCAGAATGGACTCTGACATCAAAATCCAACTGAAGTGGGTGTTGGTTTACCTACTTTCTACTTTTAGGTTAAATTCTTCTGCCTTACGCTGGCCTGACCTTGCCGCAAGATGTAACACATTTTTGCGATGTGATTTTTGCTAAGGTCCCAGCACCAATTACTATGACTTTTTACTTTTCAGGGCAGAAATGAAACATTGCTTTCTTAACCTGTCCCAATTTTACCTGATGTCACAGTACACCCAAATTCCCCTACAGTGCATAGGCGCGTCGTCCAACATGAACTAGGGTTAGTTAAACAGATATCGTCAACAGCAGCATTTCCCTTTCATTAAAGAAACTGCACCACAAAACTCCTTTCAAACGTACATTACTGGTAATATGTTTCAGGGATGTTTTAAATATCTTATTAACCCAACATTTCTGTTGTGTAGCTTCAATGGTAAATCTTGTCTATTCATTAAGTTTGATTTTGGAAATTTAAAACTTAATATGAACCCAAGAACCACTAGTTATCTTAATTATTTACATGTACTTTTTCAGGTACAAACTTTAAACTGATACCTTTTATGAGTTTTGATGTTTGTGGTCACAAACTTCACAGCGTTAAGTCTCTGAATATTCTCTGATTAAGTTTTGATTGAAAATTCAAAAAGTATTTGCATAGGTTGAAAGAGCACTTATGATCAACTGGAAATACTGTCCTCAATATCTTTTTAAAGTAGTTCAATAGTTAAAATAGTCTAATAGCTTGTCGTTACTGTGAGGAGCTACAAAAGTAAACCAGAGAAACCACAGGAAACACTTCATACATGTGGGCAGCTGAAATAGACGTATCCAAAAAGTTTCCTGTGGAAGATTCAATATGAGTGTTAATAACTTGATTTTCGTATATCAGCTGATGGAGGCTGACCATGGATGAGGAGGTTGGCGCTGAAGAAGATGATGTGTACAGCATCTTAGCTCAGGAATCCTCAGAGCTCCTCCACATCCTTGGAAACCAGTCACCTGCAGTTATAATGCGCCTGAGTCAAGTGATGCCCAGTGACGTTGGATGGAACATCAGTCGTATGGCTCCCTCTGCATCAGTGCAGACTGAACACATCAGAGCTATGCTGACGTGCTTGAGGTCCGCCTCAGCTGCAGATTGCAGCAACTTCTTTGAAAGCATGTGTTTGCTGTGTGAAAACATCCCCATGCGCCTGGAGTCTAGGCTAATGTCAGTAGCTGGATATGCTCATGGTGAGTAGAATATGGCACTATACATGTAATGCTTATCCTTCACTGGTACACAAATACAGTGTTTACTGCCAGTAACGCTATAGATTCCTAAGCCTTCTTGATCCACAACACACTGCAGTGGTCAAGTGACCCACAAATAGTACAACACGGTTGAGCCTGTGTATATGCAAGTTATTCAAGTTACATTTCTGTATGATAACACCAGAGTCTCATAAAACATCCCTAAAGCTTAGCAGAAAGGAGGTTATAGTTGTAAGGCAAGTGGAGTATACGAGCTGAGGGATCCCTGTATGAAAAATACATGTGCATTTCTTATTCAAAAGCAAATTTGTAATGAAAATTATCTGTTGCATGTTTTACGTCTGTAGATTTCAGCGTATTTGAGTTAAATGACATTTTCGTTAACTCAGTGTTCAGCAAGGGTAACTGGTCTCTTATCTGTTAAACATCTTCCCATGTGTGGCTTCAGGTTTATTTCTTGTACTTGATATAAAAAACGATAACGCTACTTCCTCAAAAAAAAAGACTAATAGTTGTTCCAGCCCAGCTTACAGTTTAGATGCCTGTTGAACCAGAATATGTGAATAACACAGGTGGTAAAACTTTTGTTGATGTCTGTGTGACTGTGAGGAAGTCAATACATGTACTGCTGTGCTTCATGTGTTCATTTACATGTTGACTACACTGGAAGCAACTCATGAACTGGTCTGATAATACAGAGTCTGACATGAAGTCAAAGTTGTCTATTGATTTTTAACCTTTTTACTATTATCGTTGCAGCTTTTTCAACAAAGCCAGCAAACATAGAGTTACTAAAAACATGAAAAAGAAAAGTGAAAGTGAAGGGCTGCCATGGGGCAGTCAGCTGTCTTACAGTGATCAGCAAGTCAAGTTTTATGTGAGCCTCTCACTGTGGGAATCCCCAGAATCTCCAGCTGATTTCGAAAGGAAAAACAAGAAGTTAAAAATAGTGTGCAGCATTCTTGCAGTGCATCTCGCAGCATTGGTCTTCTTAAAAGTTAAAAGACGGGCCTGGCATTAGCTTTTTTGGATGTTCAGAATTTTACATAACTCTTTTTTTTTCTGTTTTCTTTTTTGGTGCTGTAGATGTTTGTGAAAATTCTGGGTCCAGTGAAACTGATCAGAGGTCATCCACACCCCCTTTGGAGCAGCAGCTTATCAAACGTCCTCGATTTGGTAAATCATACATTATAACCCCTTTGCCAGCCACATTATTTGGCACAGTACACTAGGAAAAATGCCATTTCCTGGTCAAAGTTCTGTGATACATGATGATTGTCAGTGCAGTGTTGCTGAGTCTCTTTTACTGTTAATTTGTGTCACTGGCGTTTGAAGACCCTTGAAACTTCGTTATCAATTTGTATTATTTTCTTTATCAAAGCCTGTCTTATTCTTCAGTGCCATCTATTACTTTACATATTCTTCTTATATAGTTCAAAAGACTTATTGCATGTGAAACTTGAAAGGTTCTGATCATATTGTGTGTGTCTACCTAGTGAGGTAACATTTAGGGAGGGGAAGACATCTTTTAATCTAGCTTACAAAACAAGCTATATAAAGACGTAACCATGAAACTTTAAATGGGCGTCTTCAGACCCTAAAACCCAGTGGATGTTTTCATTCCTGACTCGTGTTAACGTGAGCGTAAAGAAAGCATCTCAGCCATGTTACTCTTTTATGGCCAGGTATCAAATTACCAGAGAGAGACACTTTCTCATGTTTACTGCTGAGTCAAAACAAGCTTGGTCAAAAAACAAGGACTAGGACCTTGTGCCCTGTCTACTTACACCAATTACCTGATAGTTACCTCCGCCAAGGAGGTTATGTTTTCGGTAGTGTTTGTTTGTTTGTTTGTTTGTTTGTCTGTCTGTTAGCAACTTTACGGAGAAAGTTACTGACAGATTGACCTGAAATTTTGAACAGAGGTGTGTCTCAGCCCCAGGAGGATCCCATTAAATTTTGGTGGTGATCTGGATTGCCCTCTGGATCCAGGAATTTTTTGAAGGATTCTTTATCATTGTGAGATAGGGCAAATTTTGGAATTTTTGCATTTAACACTATAGCTAGAAAAAGCACTCGGAGAGCACAGACCTCTGCCGAGCAGCTCATGGCCCCGTTATATTTTGATTCACACCAAAACTTTTACTGTTACGTGTCTTTTATTAACTTTTATTTGTGTTTAAACTGGTATGTTCACTGTTCATAATGTTCCTAAAACAAGAAATGCCCTGACCCGGATTCAAACCCTGGACCTTCTTGCTGTGAGGCGACAGTGCTAACCACTACACCACTGTGCCGCCCATCTACACCACTGTGCCTGAATATAGTTTGGTAAATGTAAACTTGGTCTGAGCCTTTCAAATACAACATAGAAATGGACCGCCCTCTACAAGGGAGAATGGACAAAGTAGAAACAGACACCTTTTTATGGAAAGTGACTGGATGAAATCTACTGGTTGGAAAACTAGGAAAGAGAGAAAAAAACACAGTGTGCTAAGTAATTCGAAATGACAGACATATTTGAGGATTAACACTTGACAAATGGAGGATTACACTTGTCATGCATCACAAGTGCTTCTTGTCCTCTAAGGACACCATTTGTTCACCAACTGGAGGGGTGCGCAAAGGAGGCTAATGCTAAATATCTCCTTTTTACACAATCAACCTTTGAATCCAACTTCAAGTAGCTTGTTAATGTTATTTCTCGTGAGCATTTGCTGAATTAAATTTTTTTTCTGGGCTTTGCTAAAGGTTGGTTGGGTGGGGTGGGGTCATTCAGATAAAGAGATGGTGATATATAGGGGGGGGGGGGGGGCACTTCACTGTTGACTTAAATGTGAGAATGGCTCCTGTGGGGGGAGCTGAGGTGTTTAGGGAATGAATTTGTTTATAGCTTTTTCATAGCTTTTGTTTTAAGCTTAGTTAAACAGCTTATTACACTTTATATCTGTAACATTTGATCCAGCATCTTTGAGGTTTCTTATAATCTTGGATCCATGCACATATATTAACCATGAATACATTTTAATTTAATAATCTCTTTAAAATGTAGCCAAAGAAAGGTTGTCCTCTCATAAGTGGTTAACAGAAAGACATTGAGATGAAATCAAGGCTGTGATACAAATGATGTAGATAAACATGCTGATGAAGTGGACGATGAAACCAGTGTCACTCAGACTGCTTTGTGAACATGCAAATAAGCCTTGAGCAAATGCAAACTATCAGTTGTGTGTTTGTGTTCTATGGGATGATGTGGGAAACAGACTGAACTAAAAATTGATGCATCTCTGTGACGTCAAAAAGCAGTTGAGACCATCAATGGCAGGTCTGTTTGTTTCTATATAGTAATATTAATCTGAGTTCCTCACAGGAGCTTTAACTGTGAATAAAAGTTTGATCTTGTAGAAGAGGGGAATCTATTAAATTCTTCTCTTCAATGCCAAATGGTTCTAGGGTCTTTTCAGGACACTTAAACTCCCCATCCAGGGCAGTTCTCACTTTTGTCAAAACAATGAACCCGCTCCTTCTCAGCTGTTCTCACCTCACCTCACCCTCAAAGTGTGACGGGCCCCAACCTCAAACACTTTTTAAAGTCAAAACAATTGAAGCTGAGAGATCTTACGCCACAAAGATAGCAGTGATGAGTTTTTGAATAGCCTCAAATAATGCCATAAGAAATTGATCTATTAACTGTAAATCCAAGGTAATGAAAGAGGAAACATTTTTACAATGTTTACAAATTTAAAGGGAATCATCAAAGTTGAATCACAGTTATTTCTTTTCATGTAGTTTTTCTCGAGTTGAACTTTTGACCCACAAAAGCTCAGTGTTGTAAAATGTCACCATTGACATTAAAAGTCTTAACTTCGTGTGTCTGTCCACCCTTGTTGAATATGAATTTTATAGGTTATAAAATTAATGTAGAAAATAAATAATCATTATGTTTATATATTTATGACTCACTGCTCTTGAAAAACCAAGTCCATTAAGATTTGGAGAATGTTGGAAAAATTTGCAAATATTGCAAATTCTTAGACAATTGCTGGACCTTTAAAACATAATCACTTTTCATGGAAATATGAGTACAACCAACAGAGCAGAATGACAATGTAGACGTGGAATTTCACAAAATTAATCGTCGTTTTTAAGACAGGCAACAGGTGAAGTTGTAAAAGTGCAGCACTGGGCCCTACAGCAGTAACAAAGTACTCTATCCACAGATTACTGGGAGCACTACATTTCTGCAGGAAAGGGTTTGCTGCTGAGGAGGTGGGAGCGACTCAATGAGCTCTTGGTGGGGGAAGTTCATCTGGAAAATGTGTGGGTAAGCCCAAGAACAGCAAACAGAGGCAGAGACAGACCTGACCAAACCCCTGGACCAGCAGATAGAGGAGGCAGAACGCCAGGTGATTCTTATTATTGTACAGCATGGATTCACTCAAGTGTTTCAGAATGAATACGTATGATAATTCAACCACACTTTGATGTGATTCCTGAAAACTGATGTGAAAAATGGAAAATAAACACTTCTGTTGAGCTGGCTCAAGTAGGTATACTTAACCTCCAGCTCATAATGGTTTTTTTCTGCAGCACACAAACTTAACATTTTATTCATCAAACCCAGAGCCTGATGGGGACTACGGATCTATGGAGAGCAGAGTGACCTTGGAGAACTTCCTCCAGGGATGTGCAGGAAAGGTGATAGTTCTCCTTGGCCGGGCTGGATCAGGAAAAACTCTGCTGATGTCATGCCTGGGACAACAGTGGGCACATGGGCTAGTAAGTTTGCATCTCAAATGAACGAGTATTAGCACAAATTGCTTCTAAGGAATTTCACACTTGCGTTTTGTCTCGATTGTTCTTAGTAAGTAAAATGAAAACAAGTTCATTTACAGAACAGATTGATGAAAATGTTTCTGCTGCAGAACTGTTAATTTGTTAGTAGTTGATATACAGTATTTACATCATGTTTTTACAGGAGTTTTATTAAACGGTGAGTTTAAAAAAATAAGTAACAACTTATTTGATGCTAAAGGAAGACATTAAGTGGCAGAATAACCCAAAACTCCAGGCCTAAATCTGACAATAATATAACAGGACAAAAAGTTAAAGCAAGTGGAAGTTGAAGTGTAAAACTGGTGGATTTCATGTTCCATGCCTTTGGTTGTTTGTGATTCTTTCCCTCATTTGTCTTCTTTCCTCCTTATGTTTCCCTGATTGTTGTTCTTCTCTTGTCATCTAGGGCCCTATCCCATCATCCTTCCTGTTTGTTCTGCTGGAGTTCCGTCAGCTCGGCCTACTGTCCCGCCCCCTCTCCCTGTCTGAGCTGCTATTCAGGCACTACCTCCCTTCAACAGGGGGCGACGATGAAAAGGTAGGCAGGAGCAACATTTTTACATTTCCTGTGTACAGCAAGGTTTCGTCAAGTAAACTTAACAGCACAACTCATTCATATAGACTCAACTGCTCTTCGTTAACAGGTCATAAAATTGTGTTGTGAAGCAGATTGGATGTTTTTGGTGGGAACTTTTCAAGAAAGACTGAGAGCATATAAATTAGACAAGTATAAGACAAACATACAAAGTAACTGGGTCTACAAACAATAGAACAAACTATTTTAGAGTGTGTTTGCACTCAAAACAATCCACCAAATATAACATTGTATTACTATTGGTTATGCTGCTATCAGTGATATTGGTTTATGTTGCTGGTGCAGTCAGTCTGTGAGAAATGTTATTTGCTAAAGGGTTGTCAAGTAGTTTCTGTTAGGTTGCTAGATGGAAATTTAAAATCACTGTTGTACATTGTCACATCCACTTGGGTTGGCTTTTGCATTTTGTTTGTTCACCATACTTAATGTTCCATATACTCTTGGTTTTTGGCAGCAAGCAGTTGTGGACTACCTCTTTTCCAATCCCGAGCAAAGCTGTTGGGTGCTGGATGGCTACGATGAGTTTCACAGTAAACTTACTAAACACGAAGCGCATAAAGAGCTGTGGGATCCAAACACCCCTCTGCCTGTGGTAGACCTTATTTCAGGACTGCTGAATCGTCAGCTTCTCCCAGGATGCACTGTTGTGGTCACCTGCCGTGTACGTGATGTCATGGATTTGGAATGTTCATCAGATAAAGTGGGGCTGCTGCCGGGCTGGGAGAATGACAAGATCAAGGAGTACGTGCTCAACTTCTTTGAATTAAAAGGTAAAAAAGCAAATGTTTATGTTTTCATGATGATGACTAACTTTCTTAACAATACATGCAGCACAGTTATTTTGTTCAAGTCAGTGGCTAGTTTAGGATTCTATTGATGTGTATTGATACTTTATATAAGACGTGCTGGTGCTTGCTTTATGTGTATCAAGTAAACGTGGAGAAGAAATGAAGCTTATTTTTTTCATGGTTTCTGGTGCTTGTTGTGTTTTGCTCGTCATCCACTTTTCTTTTGCTGGTGTCCTGAAGGAACTTCAATCTGTTCAAGTGCATCATGGGAAATGTGGGATTCTATTTTTGAGCCAGAATATGACATTATATTTAACTCTGTTGACTTGTTGTTATTCTGTCATAAAGTTAGACACCCCCTTGAAAGATGAGTGTTGCAGACTACTTGCTTCTTTAGTTATACCAACATAAGTAACGACCGCATGATAGCAATACACAGCGATCTATGGATCCACATGCAAACCTCAACCAAAACACCACTCTATAGCCACAAATAATGTTCAGAACAGCAACTAAATTCATCAACAGTACATATAGGGTCCCAGCCATAGCACTAGACACCAAACATCTTTTTAGCTTTGCCTGATTTCTTTAGCAAAGAGACTAAACACAACTCACCCACTCTCCTCCAGCAGCCGCTTGTTTGTGGGGGGAGCCCTGACAAATCAATCACTGAGTGCAACAGAGTTTCACAGCTTAAGGAAGAACATTTATGCGTCTGCAGTGCACAATGATTATTTTGATGATTACTACTTCATGGAAATGATCCACTGCTCTCGGTGATCGACTCATCAGGGCTCCCTCACTAACAAGCAGCTGCTGAAGGAGAACAGGTGAGTTGTGTTTAGTGTCTTTGCTAAAGAAACCAGTTAAAGCTAAAAATATGCTTGATGGCTTGGACCCTATATGTCCTGTTGATGAAGTTAGCTGCTGTTCTGAGCATTATTTGTGGCTATAGAGTGGCTTTTTGGTTGAGGTTTGCTTGTGGAGACATAGACTGCTGTGTATTGCTATGATGCGGTTGTTACTAAAGTTGGTATAACTAGAATAGCAAACATCCGGCAACATTCATCTCTCGGTGTGACAGTGTGTTTGACCCTAACTTAAATTTACGTCGGAATTTCCCTTTAAGTTGATTTGACAAAAGGGTACATTAGTGTATATCTCAATGACTCCAGTCTCACCCTTTGAAACAAATATCTGCTGTGAATCCTGGCATAATAGCAGTAAAATTATTTTGGTATTGAATGTGTAAGCCAGTATGAAACTGTTGATTTGGGCTTGAATTGATTGTCAAGAATGAAACCCACATTTGCATTATGTCATCAGCTTTGCAGGTCTTCACACACATGTTTGGAGTCATTTTTGTTGACCTGCTCAGCTTGAAACAAGGCAGGGCTACGCTGGGTATTAGACACAAGGTGCACTAAAACTAACAAGGATAGAAATGACAATCCCATTCAGGCTGACCACTCAGTTAAAGAATAGGTCTGATCAACCGAAATGAGTAAGAATATGTCTGTTTTGACTGTTTTAAATGTCTGCTTTAATCCACAAAGGTCACTCAGCAGATAGAGGTCTTAATAAGCAGGCTGCAAATCTGCTTCTTTCCAATCAACATCTCCTTGCCATGTCATCTGTCCCGGCTCTTTGCTACATCTGCTGCATCTGTCTCGAGTACTTGTTGCTGAAGGATCGAGAGGATAGAGACCCAGGAGGAAGGCAGACAAAGGCAGAAGGAGGAAGTGAGACAAGGAGAAAATTATCAAGAGACAAAGACGCTGAAGGAGTATGGGTACAAGGAAGAGGAAGAGGATCAGAGGACAGCCGAGGAGGGAGCCATGCAGCAACGCGGGCTCATGAAGGAAGAGGGGGGAATGTTGACACAGTGATGGATGGGACAAATGGCAGAGCTCAGCTGCTGCTCACACCAGATCAGATACCCTCCACCCTTACCCAGGTCTATCTCACTGTTCTTAAAGCATTTCTGAGCTGTGACCCCGATAAGGAACGAAGAAATGACAAGAGGTAAAGACTGAGTTGATTACTGCTCATAAAAATGCCCCATATTAAGAATCTGAGTGTGCCAGATTTTCCTTTTTGCTTTTTAGAATAGGGCTGCTTGGCTGTCACAAAACCATACCTTCATATCAATTAGAGCCTGTCATTTAGTGCAAGTCCTGTCACACATGCTCTACTCATACAATCAGGAGGGGTTACTCAGAATAAAAGCCCCTCGACGTCCACAGGATTTTGGCAAAATTGTTTTAGACAAGAATAAAAACATAATTTACTGTTTGAGAAACACTGGAAAATTCAGGTGACAGCCACATGAGACCTGCACAGTAAGCCTTAAAAAGTTTTCCCACAAAAAGTTATGGATGCACAAATCTGTGAATTAGCCTGGGTTCAAATCATGAGGGAGTGGTTTCTATCAGAGTGTCAATTTGAGCTTTTTTTTCTTTGCAGACTAACATTGTGACTTTTGCCCTATAGCTGCATTTATAACTGAGACAGACATCTTTGCTAGTTAATGGTGTAATCATAAACTGCCCTGTGGTGGTCCTCTCCTATTTTACAAATCAGTGATGCGTCTTCAGTCAGAAGATTATTCCTCGTATCATGCAGCTGTCAGTCAGTCAGTCTGACACACTTAGAGAGAGATCAGCTCTGCGAGATTGTGAAAATCACGCACACGCACTTTTTTAACAGGTCCCTCTATTTTGAAAGGCTAGAACTGGCACTTTCAAGGGGCTTTACTCTAAACTATAATTATGTATAGAATAATTAAGTCTCGTTTCACAGAAGTGTGTTGCATATACCTTAAATAGCTCGGTTTTTCAGAGTATTTTTTTAATGTTCTGTTCTTCTGACTAAATTTTTCAGTTTTTCAGACTAATTGTTTTTCCTTTTCTATGGGATCATAATCATTTAAAAACAGGCACTTTCATCGCCCTCTGCTCGTTTTTTTGGAAGCAAACATGGCCCACTTTAGTTTAATGAAGTTTTACTTTCTTTTGGGTTTGAGACACTGAGAGATACTCCTTTCTTTAAGTCAGATAGATGAATTCGTCATGAGTTTGTCTACTTTGCACAGGCACCTCAGGATTTGGATACCCAGTGTTTTACTAATAACTTGCTTTACTCCTGTTGATCCCGTAGTCAAAGTTATCTTGGAGATGGAGAATCCACTGATTTGGAGCAGCTGTGGTGGTTAAGTTTTTTTGATTGTATGAGATTCTCACAGGGTTTTGAAGTATCTCATGTAGTCAGGAAAAAAAATAATCAGAAAAATGGAAAGACAAAAAAAAAAGTATGAATACAGGATAAAAATTTGTCCACAAAACGGAACTAGGGGAAAAAAATATTAGGACAAAAAAATAGAGGAAAAAAATTAGTCTGAAAAACAGCAACAACAAAAAATACTCAAAAAAGCAGTTTTCTCTTTTCTTTCTTTTTTTTTTTTGTTAGTGAATGCAATACGCTCACGTATGTTTTAATATAATAAAATAGCTCCAATTTGTGTCAGAGGCCACTAAATTTGGGCTTTTGTAGGGTTTTCTATGTTAAAGATTTCTAAATATAGGTAGATGTAGATTTAAAGGATTGTTCAGGTTTCATATTTACAGTCTTTGATTATTTAGTCAGTAAATCCAGTAAATGTTATAAGTGTAAGAACCATCCTAAGGAAGTTTATCATTTTTTTTGTATGCGTTCTTGTCTAGGTTGACTTGCATACTGAGTCAGTATCAGTCTGAGCTGTGTGAGCTGAGTCAGCTAGCCTGGAAAGGCTTAGAAGACAACAAGATTCTGTTCTTGGAAGAGGACATTTCCCCGCATCTTTTGGAGTTTTCCATCAGGACTGGGCTCTTCTCACAGGTCAGTTCTGGTCCTACAGCATGTGTGAGTGCTCGCTATGTATCTATTGGTCTACAGCATAGACTGTATAAAGAATGGACGCCGTCTGCCTTCTTGCTGAGTGAAGCCACCACGAGGACAGCACCCTCTGGTGACGGGCTGCAGTATAGGTCATAAATCCCGCCTCCTCCAGCAATCCCTATGGAACTGGTGACAAACTAGAAATTAATTACACAGAATATAAATTTTTCTCCCTCTTGGTTGTGACGTTGACATGTAGTTACTGTAAGACTGTAACCCCCCTTTATCTGTAAAGCTCAATTTCTAAGTTATTAGGGGTTTCATATTTTCTGTGATTGACACTTGATACAGCCAATTATCACAATGGTGACTCGCAGTGACTCTCCCGCCGAATGCGTACAATGCTACTGCGCAAGTGGTGGTTCCAGGAAGTGGAGAAAATCCTGGAATTACCAAGGCGGAGCCAAGTTGTCCAGAGTATATACAGTCTATGATCTGCAGGCTTCCTCAGCACTTCAGGGATGGTATTAGTTTTGCAGGTCATTGGGTGTCAGGTGGAAGGGTGTGCATCTCAGTTTTTACCTCTTTTTGAGAAATAAAGTGACAGGGGCAGAAGTGAGCATGGTTTCTTTGAGCCATATGTAGCTGCGCTCAATGTTTATGACAAAATAAACAAACCTCTTGAGAACATTGAATCTATTTTGACAAAGTGAGTATTAATAATGCAGAGTGAACCACTGTCTCTGAGTGTAACCTACATTTTAAAATGGTGTATTTATCTATGTCTTCTTGTCTGGTATTTGTCCACATCTTTGTGTCAGGTGGAGATCAGATGTGAGGATGGGATGGCCGTCAATGCCTACTTCTTCATTCATCTGACAGTGCAGGAGTTCTTGGGGGCGCTCAGAATCATGACTAGCCAGGATGTGAGTGACACACAGCTTAAGAAGAGGTAAGATCTGATTCAGATGAGAAGGAGCTGTAGCTTGAAAAGGGATGTGGTGATGTTGATAAGATCAATCTCTTTGGTGACCTGAATATGAACTTTATAGATTTTACAGATTTCTACAGTCTTTAACTGGGTCCAGTGAACATTTCTCTTGGTGAAACGTGCCAAAACTTGAGCTGACCTTAAATAACATGACAACCTTAATGCTGTGCATGTCCTTTGACACCCCTTTAAAAGAACCAATAATTATCAGCTTAGCCACCCACTAGAAATAGATGTACTGTATACTAAGAGTACAGGATGTCCTGGATGACCCAATTTCTTGAATACCCACCCAGAGCTTTGCTCTACCTTGTAAGCATGAAACTCCATCTGTTTACATCTGTCATACCATTCTCACCTTTATGCTGCATAATCCTTCAGGGAACAAACTATCAAAGAGGTAGGAACTGCTGTGTGGGCACTGCTACCTAAATACAGCCTTGTTACCTCAGCTGAACTTTGGAAAAATCCCATCAGATCCTCCCTATAAGTTCAAGTATCAAAACCACAGTATTAACAGGTATGTGTCCTGCTTAGTCAGCAGTGTAGTAAAAGTAAACGGATTTAAGAATCAAAAATGAAAGTAGACTTAATGCGTGACTTTGACTGTTACACCATTGTTAGATTTCAAGCACTGGTGCAATAATATCTGACAAGTTTTATTCATTTATTGGATGGCCTTAAAGAGATGATTTTATATCTGAGTCCAGTTTTTCATTCTTGAGTCACTGGTTTCATAAAAAACATTGACTCTTCAATAATTTTCATTAAATTTCTGTTGATCAATCAACCAATCAGTCAACGAATTAACCCCAAATGTTTTATCCTCAGTAGTTTAATTGTTCACAAAGCCTCATTTTTGCTAACCGTTGGTATGCAGGTGCAGGACTCTTAACTTGGACATGTTCCCCTCTACACCAGGAATAATCTTGTCATGAAAGCAAGATGACCCATTTAAAGTGAGCCCCCTGTGTGACATTCCTGACTCGTGTCCTTTATAGGAGAGTAAGAAAAAGCAGAGGAAGGCCCAAAGCAGAAGGTCCAATTGCAGGAGCGGAGCCTCGAGAGGCCAGACAGGGGTTTCAGGGCACTGACAGTGACACACGACACAGCAGATGTGAAAAGCAGGAGGGACCACTGTCATTCAGTTAAAGCCTTAGTACAGCCATGTCACAAATGACATATATATGTATATGTTTGTTTTTTGTTTTTTCAACTTAGCCTCCATCAGTATATCTAATAAATAAAACTTAATATGTAAAGGACCATGCTTTTAATGTTTGTATCACCAAATAAAACTCTATAAATCCTTCTTTAAGCTCTACATGTTGGACAGCTGACTTATGAAACTGTGCCTTGGTGCTAAGACACGTCCGGTTCACTGATGTCTGTGCAGTTTGATTGATGCCAGTAACTTGTAGGCCAGACGAGTCTACAAGTGTAAAGATCACCTCAGGCACTTTTATCCTGCTCTCAGTACTTAGACTGCTATGAGGTCTCTTCATTTTTACCTCCGCCAAGGAGGTTATGTTTTTGATAGCATTGGTTTGTTTGTCTGTGAACAACTTTACGGAGAAAGTTACAGACGGATTGACCTGAAATTTTCACCAGAGGTGCGTCTCAGCCCCAGGAGGATCCCATTACATTTTGGTGGTGATCTGGATCGCCTTCTGGATCCAGGAATTTTTTGAAGGATTCTTTATCATTGTGAGATAGGGCAAATTTTGGAATTTTTGCATTTAACTCTATAAAAATGTCCAGAGTCTTAAGTAAAAAATGACACAAAAGGATCTCAATGAGTTTTATGAGGTGTCAAAAGTTGATCCTGATCCAGACAAAATTCTGGATACTGTGATCCAGAACACACAAAAATAAGGGTGTCGTTGGAATTTTCAATGCTGAAAGATAACCAATGGGCGGCACAGTGGTGTAGTGGTTAGCACTGTCGCCTCACAGCAAGAAGGTCCTGGGTTTGAATCTGGGTCAGGGCATTTCTTGTTTTAGGAACATTATGAACAGTGAACATACCAGTTTAAACACAAATAAAAGTTCATAAAAGACACGTAACAGTGAAAGTTTTGCTGTGAATCACAATATAAGGGGGGACATGAGCTGCTTGGCAGAGGTCTGCGCTCTCTGAGGGCTTTTCTAGTTCGATATTTGAGCTGTGGATTGTTCCTCTCTCCTGGCTACATGGGCCAGAACCTGTCCTCTACACTGTTGAATTAAAATCCAAATCAGATATTGATTTGGCTCTGTCTTCTGTTCTTCTGTCTTTCCTCTATAGATTCAGCCTCAAAACTCGCTGGACAACAAAATCAGACCAGAGGACAGTCTTCACTGACTCCCTGCATCAGTTTGTATGTGGCCTGGCTTCTCCACGGTGCACTAAGGCCATACTTCAAATAGCCAAGACCTTTGGTCAAGCTGGGGTCCAAGACTGGGTCAAAAAGCGTCAAGCTCTTGTTCTGAAACTGCTAACAAAACTGTGTCAAAGCAACACCCTGACAGGGCCAAAGGTAGAATAAAAAGAAGTAAATCCTGGTGTGCCTTTACCATCTACCCCTGAATTATTTCTCACCAATCAATCCATCTTGCATCTGTCCAGGTTTTGGAACTTTGCCTCTGTGTCCAAGAGACCCAGGACCTCCAACTGGCAAAGCTAGTTGTTGCTATGAGACCCACCTTGGAGCTCCGCAACATCCGACTGTTACCCAATGACATTGATGCCCTGGCTTTTGTGATAAACTCAGTGGGTGATAATGGAACTGGACTAGACTTTGGAGCATGTTCAATGGAGCCGGAGGTTGTGGAGGCCCTGCCCAAGTGTCAGTACATTCACTCCCTCTGGTAGGTACACACAGACAAAACAGAACACTCACATGCTCACATGCTCACATGCCATATAGAGTAGTTATGTAGTTAGTAGAGTAGTTAGTAGTTATTCATAAAGTGTATTTATTAATTTTTATAAAGGAGAAAAAAGGAAAAAAAAAACACTACAACAAACCATACAGGTGCTAAACAAAACCATCACAGTAAAGCTCATCTTTAGTAAGGTAAACAGATAAACATATAAATATAACAAGGCAATAACATGCAGTATTTCCATAGTCCAAAACATAAACCCTCCTAAAGAACTTCCAGTAGTCCAGAAGTCAACTTAAGTAAAAATGGAAGGGAAAGTACTTCACTTAGAATAAAGCAGAAGAAAAAGAAAAACAAACAAACAGGTGGTTTACATACAAGAACATCATGAAATAACCCCACATACTGTCAAAAATGAAATATTTTTTTGAAATATAGTTCTGCAAGCCAGACTCTTATACTTGGTTCAGTCATGGATTTCCAAGATTTGGCTATGGTGCATATTTAGCTTGTAACATGCAAAGAGTAATCATGTATTTGTCGTCCGGAGATTGTGGCTTATTGCAATTCTTAGTTGACCCAGCAGCCACAGAGGTGAGGGTGAGGCACACCTTTAGCCTTCTCAGTAATGGCGACAGTGTACTCACCTCCCAGCTGTGTCAGCCACACCTTTCATCATGGAAACCTTAATATCCTCAAAATGAATGTCTATATTTTGAATCTTGTCCATTTGATGAACTTGCTGTAAGTGTAATTCTTGTGCTATTGTTCATACTACACTCCCTTTATAGGAAATTTCCCTTGAATGTAGACCGCCTGTCATAAAAAGGGTGATGGTAAAAAAAAATGGCATGATCAAAAAAATTTGAAGTGCATGTAACATCTCAGGCTGAGTTGTACTTCAATTTTCTGTATGGTTTGGTGCAAAGAATGGAAAGCTGAAAAAAGATTTTGTTGCAAATCGACCTTGTAAGGTTTTTGCTGTTATTGAGCTCTGAAGGATTCATAAGGCTGCGATTAAACTGTGAGTACATGCAGCAGAAAAGAATGCTTTTTTGAGCTTGGCACCTGTTGGCTGTTTGTTCACCTGCCACACATACTTCAAACAGATGGAAATTCTTGTTTCTTGTCGGCTCCTTGCAGTCTGGTGAGTCTCTCTGTCACAACAACAACAAACAGAGAGCAATATACGAAAAACAGCAAGACACCTTGTAATTAAGAGATGTATACTCATTTTCTTATGACTGAAAGCATGTTTTTTTTTTCCAAACTATTTCTGTGCCTTTAGTTTTCGCAGCCGAAAGTATGGGGATCAGTTTGCTGAGAAGTTATCCACGACTCTTTCAAAATTCACATCCCTGAGAAAACTTGAGTAAGATCTGATCATGATTTTTTTCTCCCAAACTGTTTTGAATCCAAAGACCTCCCAAAATATGGAAAAACTGTCTTTGTCTTTGTCATTCAAGGTTTTGTGGTGCCAGTTTGACAGCCACAGGAGCTGCTCTTTTGGTCTCTGCTTTACAGGACTGTCCAAACATCACTGAAGTCAAGTAGGTTTGATACAGAATCACTGCATCTGTTTTTTTATTTTGGCCATAAGTTCTTTGGAAATGTATATAAGATTTTTGTTTTTGTGTTGCAGTCTCAGTGACAACAATCTGAGAGATGAAGGGATTGAACACATTTCTGATGTTTTTGCCAAACTACCAAAATTAGTTTCTATAATGTAAGTTCACATGTCAAAAAGATAGCTATTTTTTCAAGGAACCAACAGATTTACAGTCCAGGCATACCCTAAGTGTCCTGTGTGTTTGTGCACCTCACAGGTTGGGTCGCAACAACTGCTCCCTGAAAGTGTTGGAGCATCTCATCAGGAAAATGTCGTCATGTGGGAACATCCAGCACATTCATGCAAAGTATGCAGTGCACACACACAAACACACTCAGACTGAGTTTATAAAAGTTTTTTAAATATTAACATGAAATTTATTTTGTCTTTTTTTAAAGTGGAATGAAGGAAGTGACAGTTAATTTCTTCCAAAACTCCAGTTTTAGCAGGTGAGAAAATGATTCAATCGACTGTCTCAATACCCAAAATTCATTTAAACTCATTTTGCATCGAAGTATAATTATCATATGAGGGCTGTAAAGATTTCCTCTTTTACTGATGTATTCTCTCTTCAGCCATCAAACTAAGGCCGACCCAGCCATCAGGTAAGACACGGGGCAACATTATCAATGTTTGTCCTTTCAGAAAATGACTAACATTTACAGTTTCCTAGTTTAACTTTGCAGTTTTTAAAAGTTATACACTTGAAAATGAGATTTACCTTAAACTTAAAAAAAGGAAACACTTTTGAAAAGAATGTATTATAAACAGAATCTGAACCTGTAGAGACTCAACATACAGTCAGTGTGGTTTATAAACAGATTGGTTTGAATATAATTCATTGTTTCTCGTAATTGAGTTGGCCTTTGTTTTTTTTGTCCTCTAGCTTGCTAAACCAGAAATGGAGCAAACCAGAAATGCAAGAACTTGCAGAGTTGTTGGCAGGTTGCTCTGCTTTGTCTGAGCTTGAGTAAGTTTATGGAACGTTTTCTGTTTCGGTTTGGGGGACCTTTTCTTACTGGGTTTTGTTTGTGTACATGTTTAAAGTAAATTTGATGTATTGATTTACAGTGTTGTGTTCCCTGTTCTTTGCAGTGATATGTGTGTAAATCTTTTGCGTGTAACTGTGATTCTAGTCTATCTGGAGGCCAGTGGGATCTCGACACTCTAAGGACCCTCATTAAGTTTTTGCCAAAGTTCAACATCACCAAAAAGATCATGTAAGCCTGTAAACGAAGTGTGAAATGAGATTAAAATCTATTATTGATATGATTTCTGAAAACTTGTGCTGTAAAACCAATTCATTTTAAAAGTTAGAGGAACAACAAACATGTGCAGGCCAAGTGTGCGATGTATAAATGTCAGCTTGTTGATGTTCAAATGTCTCCTCTCAGTTTGAATGACAGCTGCTCTTCAGTGGAGGGTTTGGTCGTTCTGACCTCTCTGCTGTCCGATTGTCCTGCTGTGATGGAGCTCCATATAAGGTAAATATCTGTAATTCATAAGTTGTACATAGAGTAGATGTAAACTTTTAGGGAGACAGGACCACCATGGCACTGTTTTGCAACCTGTTGGGCAGCAGTAGCTCAGGAGGTAGAGCGGTCGTCCAATAACTGGAAGGTTGGCGGTTCGATTCCCCCCTATCCCAAGTCTGTCCGTTGTGTCCTTGGGCATGACACTTAACCCACCTTGCCCCCAGTGTGTGTCCTCCACTGGTGTATGATTGTGAGTGTTGTGTGGTGGCGGTCGGAGAGGTCGTAGGTGCAAAATGGCAGCCATGTTTCCGTCAGTCTGCCCCAGGGCAGCTGTGACTACTAAGGTAGTTTACCACCACCAAAGTGTGACTGTGTGAGCGAATGAATGATGTATCCAATGTAAAGCGCTTTTAGGGTCTCTGATAAAGCGCTACATGAAATCTGCAGCATTATTATTATTTTTGTGTAGATACAACCACCTACTTCTTGCTTACAAAAACCAATAATAAAGCACAAATATAATTTGTTTCTGACCCTTGATTGAAGTGTAACCACCTTTGATTTTTTAGACTACAGAGCCCTGCCCAAGTGTCTGTGATTTTTGCTGGAGGAAGAGAAGAGCATTCGGATGAATCATCTAAAACCCTTGGGTATGTCATAGCCAAGCTTTCAACCGAAGACTTGACCTGGACTACAGAGTTTATTCAGGCGGATTAAACCAGAGCCATATTGGGAGGAAACATCTGTTTTCTTTGCAAAGGAAATAACTCTGATAACTCTTATCTGTATGAAAGGTCTAAGAGGATGCTGCAAAAGATTTCCACACAATAGCCTTGTTATAATTTTGTAAAATAATATCTACCTTTTCACCTCCTCTTCATGATTTATCTAGGGCCTTTTCCGTATTACAAAGTTCAGACACTATAAAGCAGTTGTATCTATTATTTTACAAAGATGTGTACGCTCTTTGTATCAGAACTTGAAAATCATAATAAAACATTTGTGACCACACAAAATCCTGAGTTTAAAGAAATGCCCCCACTTCAACAAGAATATGCAAGTTATTTTGCATAGGACGCTCAGCCATCACAGTGAAGCCACAATAAGCAAACATACTTACGTACAAAATTTAGCCTCACTGAGAGTAACCATGGAAATGTCTTTCTTGTCAGTCTCAGCTTCTGTGATCTGCTGCCTGCTGATCTGGAGAAAGTGTGCAGGAGTTTGAAAGCATCCTCGGGCCTCACTTCAATTGAGTAAGAAAAACAAAAAACTACAATTCAAAAATGATCATTTGTAAACACTTGATTGGAATTCACAAATTTAGTAGTCTGTACCACATTTTGACTGTAAAGCATAATGCTTAGTATGTTCACTACCAAGCCAAGGAAACACTAACTTAACTTATTCTTGGGATTTTTGCTAATTAGTCTAGGTTTTATGGGATATTTCTTATCTATTAAGTCATGTGCATTAATTCACTAACAAACAACTTCTTAACCAAGACTGAATATAAGCATAAAATGGATAAGACACCATATGACCACTGAATATGCTCATTGAAATGACTGAAGCTAGGCTTTTGGTACAATTACATGTTTTAATATTCTAGCACAAATTTAAGTTATGGTCAAACACAAACATCAACTAAAGCCCTGTCATAGAAGTATATTATTGTATCTAAGTTCATAACATTATCAAATATAATGCAATGTTATTTGTACTGTGCTTGTTTCACTTTGACCTGCATTCCCAGTGTGCTGTTTTTATGTGTATATTATATTTTAGGAGCCAAACATATGCTCCTTCCTCTCTTCACTCTAACATTACTCTAATCCCACTCTGTACTCTACCAGTCTGTCCAGTAACCGCTTGGACAACAAAGGTCTGAGGAAGCTGTTGGACCTCCTGCCTAGGCTCAAAAGCATCCAGGAGATCAAGTAAGACACACTTCCATAGACATACACACACACACACACACAGGGCTCTATTTTTGTGTCCGCCAGTGACGCGGCGGAGGGTGGCGGACTGTGCGCAGCACCGAGGTACGCCGCTGGGATGAGCTGAGTGAGGGAGAGGACACACACACACACACACACACACACACACACACACACACACACACACACACACACACAGTACCAACAAAACACAATGAAAAAGAAAAACATTTAAAACAGGTCTTGTTGTTTGAATGGCAAACCATCACAATATCAGCCAGCATGGACTTATTGTTGTGTTTGACAATGCAAATCTAATCTTGGCAGGAGCTCGGCTTGTGTTTTAAAACCAAACAGGTTCCAAACACCATATGTTCATACTGGCAGCTACCACAATTACCCAAGGGCAATGTTTGATATAAATGCCCTACTTAGGATATGCTCAATTTGCATATATGTTCCTCCCCAGGCGTATCCTTATCTGTATGTGTTTTTCAGAGTGAGTCACAATCGGATCACCATGGGAGGAGTGGGGATGCTGGCTGGTGCTTTAAGCTCCCATAGCAGCCTTACACATGTTGACATGAGGTACTCTTTTGTTTAACTCCATGGTTGTGTAAAGGTTGTGTTAGAGTAGCAACAGATGAGGAAATTATTTCCTGTTTTACAGTGATGGAGGCAGAGAGAAGCTGATCCTGAGGTTCTGCGCTGACATGAGGTAGAAAGAATGAACTAATGAAACACTGAAACATGTAAAGACGATGGTCTCCATTTTTCCCCAGTCAGTCAACTACATTTGTGCTTCTCCCCAGTGCTGATAAACAGCAGCTGAAGATTTTCAGGTACGATGAATGGATGTGTATGTGTCATTTCTTGTTTTTGTTTGTATTTATTTAGTTAGTTTTGTTGTTTGATTTATTTTATCCATTTCTACTCTTATTGTGTATTCTTATTTTGGTTCCCCCTTCCTCTCTTCCCTGTTGATTTGTCTATCCATTTCATTATTTATTTACTTATTTATTTACTCTCATTGAACTCATTTTGCTGTACTGTCTGTCACACATTTTTAAGGTCATATGTCAGAAAATGCTTTGTAAAATGTTTAAATAAAAAGTTCTAAAAAAAAAAAAATTCAGGTACAGTAGGAGACAATCAATCAATCAATCAATCAATCAATCAATCAACTTTATTTCTATAGCACATTTAAAAGAACCACAGGATAGCCAAAGTGCTGTACATTGTGACATAAAAACAAATAAAACAAGCAAAGAACAAGATAGAGCGAGCAAAAATAAGTAAATATATAAGCAGGCTCACGGTAAGTGCTAAAAGCCAAGGAATAAAAGTGCGTTTTTCAAAAATGATTTAAAAACAGGAAACGAGGACTCCTGTCTAATTCTCAGGGGCAACTCGTTCCAGAGCTTGGGAGCAGCTGCGGCAAACGCTCTGTCCCCTGAGCTTCAGTCTTGTTTTGGGGACCGTCAGTAACAGTTGATCGGCTGATCTTAGGGGTCGGGGTGGGCAGTAAGGCTGGAGCATATTAGAAATTTAGAATGGAGCCAGATTGTTCAGGCCTTTAAAAACAAATATTAAAAGCTTAAAATGAATTCTGTACTGAACTGGGAGCCAGTGTAAGGACGTCAGGACAATGATAATTCATCTTCTCCATTCAGAGAAATCCTCCTCCTTTCTGCTTCAGGTTAAACAACAGCAGCCTCCTGCCAGCTGAGGTCACCACACTCTGTAGTCGATTGGTCCAGTGCCCCGCTTATCTGGAGTTAGAGTGAGTTAAAAATCTTTCATTTTTGCACATTAAATCAGAAGACGTTCACTAAACAGATGGACATCAAAACAATTTTGTGTGTCAGTTTTTCTACCAGCTCACTATCTGATGAAGTCGTTGAGAACCTGGTGAAGATCCTGCCGAAGATGACAACACTACAGAAACTCAAGTAAGACAAGCAAATGTGCATGAATGAGTTAGAGTGGAGGTTTTTTTCTTTTCTAAATCAAGTGAGCTTCGTTGTTTTGGTTGAAACTCAAGCTAATAAGCCCAGATGTGCAAATTATGTCTTTATATTGAAAAATAAACCAGATAATAAATATCAGTTTAAGGAAAAACGTATAACTGAAAGTTGATTGTGATTTGAGTTTTGCATAAGAACAGTTTCATAACATGTGAAGTTTGTACTAACTTGAGTTCACATCAAACTTACTTTTAGTTTAAACCAGACATGGCAGTCCAATTTGAGTTAGTGCAGCCTCTTACCTGGAACTCTAAGAACGCATGCTTTCATTCTCCAGGCAGTTTTCCCCTAAAGTACAAAAAAGGAGACATTCTGGTCACAGTTTGAATAAATGCTGCTCTCTTCTTCCTCAGTGTCAGCCAAAGCATTTCATCTACATCTGGAGCAGTGACGCTGGTCAGTTGTTTGACTGTCCATCGGCAAGTGGAGTCAGTGCAGCTCAGGTATAGTTTCCCTGCAGTCAGGACAGTGTATTCTGTTTGTTTCATGCCTGTTACAACTGTTTGAAAAAAGAAATGTTCTGTGTAATATGCTCAAACATTATTTATTGATGTCTGTGTGTAATGGCGTTTTAGTAAAATTATTATTTTTTTCTCATTCTCAGGCCTCAGTTTGAGTCCTTCATCCGTTTTGACAGTGTTAAGGCAGAGCAAGCCAGCTGCAGGTTTGTGATTAAGAAACCCCCGTGTTTGGGTGCTTTGTCTCCTTGTTCAATTGAAACTATTGAGTGGGTTTGGCCATCATTGTACTTCCTTCAGTATTTCAGTCTGAGTGACAGTTTCAGTACATCAGGTTTAGAAATGATCAAGAGACTCTGCCCACACTGGATACTTGTTATTATGAAGTGAAAGTACTGTGGTGCACCAACAGGCATACTTGTTTACTCCTCAACCAGCACAATAATAAACATTAACAAAAGATGTGACTCTCAGATTTATTACCTTAACAGGGAGTGTCTCTGTCTGTGTCTCTGTCTTCTCTCTCTGTACAGGTTCACTGGTTTCTGCCTGAAGGATGACAACCTCGAGAGACTTCTCAGTGTCTTACAGCAAGGCCCCAAACTGACTAACCTGGAGTATGTGCCACACAAAGCTCACCTACAAAACAGAAATAGGCTGCACACTCAAAGTTATTGAAGAGACATGATTATACCATATAACATGATATATTTGTGTGTGTGTAAGTTACTCAAGTTGTCTTTATGTTAAGCATACACTGGCTTATGATGTAAAGAAAAGATTCTCTTCCCTGCCTAATGAGGTATGTTTTTAACATATGTGCATGCGTTTACTGAGTTATCCTTACTTTGTCTTGCAGTCTATCGAGCAACCAACTGGAGGACAAAGGGTTGAAGCAGGTTTTGGATTCTCTACCCAAACTTCAAATCATCAGCTATGCTAAGTAAGGCAAATGTTTTAATTTGTTATTACAGCTTCAAGTGATTTTAAGTAATATTCTATTATTTGATTTTAATTAAAAAAATGTTCAGAAAAGATTTCTCCCATTATTCCTTTGAGTTTTGTAAGAGATGCAGTTAAAAGAGTGTTTACTGTAGCTGATAGAAAACATTATTTCTGTGATGAAGCAATGTCGTCTACCATGTTAGTCCATTTCTGTCATGAAAGACTGACATTTCAGTTAGCTTCTGGAAACGACCAGTGTTATTTGTACAAGTTTTATGTTAATGTTTTTCTTAGCACAAATTTTTCAAACCTGTTTTGATGTTTACAGGATAATAAGGAGTAGAAAAGACGTGATTTTGTTAACTAGTTACAAATAAAACATTTCCTTCTTTATAATATGCAAGAGAGTAAACTATAAAAATATGTAGTACAAATCGATGTATTTGGCCTTGTTGCTTTGAACAAATTGGAGTTCAACTTTCATATATGACAGTTTTTTCCAGGAAAGGTATGCCAGAATTCAAAGAACTCATACAGGACAAGTGTCAGCATTTTTATGCATCTTTTACTGAATTTATTTTGGATACCAACATCATAAGTGAAACTAAATGTTGTTTATGGTATAATACAGAGTGTTTAAGAGTGGTTTACAGAGTTTATCATGTGTAAAGCTCTTATCTCTTCTTTCCAGTTTCAGCAGCAATGGCTTGACCCATCAGGGACTGTTGGATGTGGTCAGCGCTCTGTGTGTATGTGGTAGCGTATCAGGGGTAGAAATCAGGTAAGTCAGTGCATTATGGGTAAGACTAAAAGATAAATGTCAATGTTTAAAAGTGTGCAAATAAAATGATGCAATGACCCTATGTTTCTCTCTGTTTCTGTAACCCTACCTGATGTGTGCTGTTAGCCTGGCAGAGGAGCAGAAGTGTCTCATCTGGTTTACAGAAGATGAAGGTTGTGAAAAAACTCTCAGGTAGGAAAAAGTTTGTTTTGTCAGAGTGTTCTTGGGCATATTGCATAGATTTGAGGATTGATTCAAACATCTTTCTTTTATCTCTTTTACCTCTATCTTATATCAACTAGCTATCCTTTTAGCCTTTGTCTTACTTATAATCTTTTCTTATTTTACCTGTAAGGTCCAGCATGTATCCTTTTTGAATATATTAAACTTTTTTGTTTCCTTTTTACTTCAGCATCAGAGAAAGCAGTTTGGAGCGTGACCATATGGTCAGAGTAGCAGAGATGGCATCTGACTGTCTCAGGCTGACTAAACTGGAGTAAGTACAACTTAAATGCATGGACTATTTCACGTTGCAAACACACAAAACTTCTTCAGAAAATGTCAAACAAATTTCAGTAAGAGTTTTCTTACAAAATAATTTGAACAGCTAACAGAAAGTACTGCTTCTAGGCTCTAAACATTACATATGAGTATGCAGCTCATAGAAATCAGGGGAGGACGAACAGCTTGAAGACCTGACTGTCTCAGTTTGGTGAGTGTTTGTGTAAATTTGGATAAAAAGCACTGATTATTTCTGCATTTGGTTCACAGTTTCAGGAACAATAACCTGAAGTCTGATTGTGTTGTGGACTTTGTGAGACTTTTGGATGGCAGTCAGAGAGGTCTCAGCGTCAGGTAAGAGGGCCTCTCTCACATGTAATCTGTGTTCTGTGCACCCAAAGAGAAACCGTTGAAAAAAGCCCCTGACAGACCAGGATAGTGAAGATGAATCTCCTGCCTCAACTCTTGTGTCTGATAACCACAAAGAAAATCGTATCAGAAATAAATACCGAATAGTGTTAATAATATGAAAGAAGAAGGCAACAGTAATATTGATTTTTAAAAAATAGCGTTTAATCCCTGATTTGTGTTGAATTACTGAACTATTACACTCTCTTGTCTTCAACAGCATTGAGGAGTCTTGGATCAGGTCTGAGGAAGCTGTGAGTTTGTTGTGTCGCTGTCTGGAAACCTGCAGCAACATACTTACTATCGGGTTAGATGTGCACATAAACACACACACACACACACATTGTTGGACCTTTTAGTGAAAGGTAGGTATTACGACATTGATGTGTAACATTTATCAACAGGGTTCACCACAGCACACTACACTTGTCCTTGATGAAGGCCGGTGAACTGACTGCGACCAGGTAAAATGTTTCCTGATGCTTTCTTGGTTTTTGAATGAAAGTCCTCTTCCATAAAAAAATGTTTCAAAAATTTGGTTTGAGTGTCAGCGATGCAATCTTGAATGAGGCCGCTTTGACTGGTTCGGTATATGCTAACCCTGATTGGTTGTTTGATCTGGTCCGGACTACTTCCATTCAAAATAACATTTACATTTAACATTGTAAACAACATGGGATGATCAGAATTTATCCTTTTATGGTCACAATCACACCCTGGTCTGTTTCTTTGGATAGTCTGATTTGTTCGGAGTGGTTCTAAAGCTCATTCAAACTCTGCTTGAAGCTCGAAAACAAGGGTCTTAGTTTCCTACTGGGAAACCACGGTATAGTTTTTTTTCTGGTTTGAAAATAAAGCAGACCAACTCATAAACCAAAGTAAGTCGGTGGCAAGAAGAGCAGTGCATTGGGGTTTAATATTTGTGCATCAATACTTTGCCCCATGTTATGTTACCAGGGCAACGCTTCATAGTCTCCTCTTCTCGTCAGGGTCAGCCTTCTTATTCAGTACTTATTTGTCTCATGTGAAACATTGCATGCTAGTCAGCTCACTCCCACTCCTCAAACTGAGTCCCACCAAATTATCACATGATACAACCTAAACCAAAATTCTCCTTTAAATAATATTGCCCACTGGAGCTTTAAAAATGTGACCACTGGTTAGGGAAAGTTTCTCTCCACCTTCCTGATACTGTAGATGGACACTTTTGAATTCAAGATTTTTGTAATTCAGATCATAGACTTGCAGTGCTTTAACTTGCCTTCAGGCCTGTGGTACATAGATGTTGAAAAGTTGAAGGGCTGAGGGGAGGCAGGCTTGTAGGTGAGAGTGCAAATTTCTAGATCAGCTTCAGATCAAAAGCCGCTTGATAATACAGGAAGAAGGAAATATAAGCCCTCAGTGTTCAAGCTCTCTGACACATGAAGAGGTAGAACGAAATAGAAGAAATAGTTAAAAACAATAATAGTTTGTTTTTTTTCTTTCAAATTTCTTCTATCCTGAGTATTTTGAGTAGGAGCGCTATTAAATGTATTGAATTGAATCTTAATTAAAGTTCTTTTTCTTTCCTGTGTGACTCTGTATGTGTTCAAAGATGAGGAGTTTTTTGAGCTCACATGGTCCTCATACAGTCTCACTAATACATCCTCCAAATAGCAGCATGTACTGAGCCGCAGGCTTCTCACCTCAGACTGGGTTTTAGTTGGTCTTTGCCACAGTCGCTGTCTCTTTCCTCAAGATAGCAACACACCACCTGTGCGTCTGACCACACCTTAGTTTGAGACCACATCCGTGGGTGCTAATGTGGGTGCAAGTTAATTTGCTGTGCATTAACGTGGGTACTAGGTGTAAAAATGATGACCTCAGCAGGTGGAAAATAGCAGTGACACTTGCACCACATGCTAGAGAGCTTTTCACTTGGTGTCAGACAGGGCACTGTGATTTTTCAAAAGTGCAGTTGTTTTTTTGCACTTTTATTACAATATCACATGATTTAAAAGCGCTCTTTGAGTTATCTTAGACCAACTGTCTGAAAGAGCTTAAATAGTTGACATATTAGACATAATTAAGTGTTTCATGCTGTGAATATGCATATAAATATAAATGTGTTTGTGTGTTTTTCAGCGATAACTCCGCTCATCATGCTCAGCCCATCGCCACATGGAAAATAAGGTAGGCTGTCTTTTCAATGGACCATTCACAGTTTTGAAAAGTTACAGCTTTTAGTGAACCAGGTTATGTTCACAGCATCAATTTGGCCGTGTCTACACTCAGACAAACTCCAAGATTTTAGTGTTTCCAGTTCATCTAGTATTTCCTGTAATCAGCCAGCATCTGAACGTTTCTGTTCGTATCTCTTCTCCACTCTTCTCTCCTTCAGCCTTGTGGATTGTGCAGTAGAGGGTTACCAGCTTGCACCGTTGAGGAGCATCATTTGGAGATGTCCTTTACTGACGGAGCTGGAGTGAGTACTTTGCGTCTCTCTGTTGTAGTAATTTAAGTAAACAAATGAGAGTGTACTAAAGAAGTATATGTGCAGAGCTGCAGAAACAAAGTTTACTTTCACTCTTCGCAGTTTTTCTCAGAACCAACTCGGCATCACTGGAGCTGAGTTTCTCACTTCTGTTCTGCCCTCATTGCCAAACCTCGTCTCTCTCAGGTCAAAACCTTTTCACATTTGACTGTGTTATATTTTTTCAAGGCTTGTTTTGAGATTCCTGTTTGTCAATTATCCTCTCTTTTCTCCTGCAGTGTTGGTTCCAAAGAGACAAGTGAAGCTGTGGCTGAGAAACTCTCAGAGACGTTACTTGAGGCTGAAGCCATTTGCTGCTTAAAGTAAGAAACAGAAACACACATTTCATTTCATCACTGATCTGTAACTCCTGATTGTTGTTTGGCTCATTTATCATTATCAGTTTGCTATAATGATTCCTCATTCCTCAACATTTCAAAGGTTTTGATCTTTCTCAAAGTTTCTCACAGATTTTCATTTTTAGATCTAACAAAGTTAAAAACGAGGACGGCACAGTGGTGTAGAGGTTCCTGGGTTCGAATCTGGGTCAGGGCGTTTCTGTGTGGAGTTTGTGTGTTCTCCCTTCGTCTGCGTGGGTTTACCTCAGGCACTCCAATCCCCACATCCCAAAAACATGCAGGAATGGGGTTAGGTTGATTGGTCACTTTCAAATTGTCCGTAGGCGTGGATGGTTGTTTGACTCTAAAGGTCCTTACACACCAGCAAATTTGCAGAGTGAAGCAAAAAAGCGAGACGAAAATGCGAAAATATTCGCCGGTCCGAAAAATCGCTTTCGCCTATACACACCGGGATAAGTGGTAGAAAATGAATGGATGGACAAAGTTAAAATCAGACCATTGTTACTCTTTAGCCTCCTATTTTCTGTCAAGTTTCCAACTATTTTATTAAAAAAAAGCCAGTTTTTAGCTTTTTTGAATTGTGTTGTGCATTATGTAACCTTAGCACTGCATGGCATAACCTAAACTGTTAAAAGTCTTGCATTATTTTGCAACAGTTGTGAACTATTAATGGTAATTTCCTTCCTCTCTCATCTAGTCTTTCAAGCCATGTTATTAGCGACACAGCAGCTCGGACTCTAACCAGAAAATTGCCCCGTCTTCGATCTCTTAAGTAAGCATTTCACTTCTTGCTTGATATTTCTGTTGAAGATTGAATCTGATAAAAGGGAAGCTCTCTTTGTTATCAAAAATCAAAAAGTAAATGAAGAAACTGTAAACAATGACAATGGCGTTCCTTATTTTTCGCTGCAGTCTTTCTCACTGTGTATGGAAAGAGGCCGGGTTGCTGCAGCTCATCAAAGCGCTGGGAGAGTGTGTCAGTCTAGAAAGCCTTTGGTAGGACACACATGCAAATGAATGCACATGGTTACAGTCACATGTTGATCTCCTTCATTTCTGAGTTTTTACATGTTTGCATGTGTTTGTTTTTCCTTGTGACCCCAAAGTCTGGACTCTCTGCAGCTAAGTGAGGAGAGCAGGGTGTGTCTGGCACAAGCACTGCGGAGTGTCAACTCTATACGTGTCCTCAAGTAAGAAACTCAATCTCTGAGGAGAATTTGGCATCTGCAGAACTTACAACACTTTAAATATGTAGCACACTTGAAAAAAATACTAATTTATAACTAGAACTTGACCTTTCCAGATGTTTTTTGAGTCTTGGATCCGGTTGTAGCTCCTCATGTTCTCAGAGGTGTTTATTCAATATATGGTGCCAGTTATTTCGGACAGGCATCCTTTACACTCACTGCTACAGACATGCTGATACTTTATGTGCGAGTATCTATGCACCGCCCCACAATCTGATCTATTTATGATGCGGCGCATTTGCTGACTGCCAAGCTTCCTTTCCAATGCTCAGATTGTGACCACTGTCGACATACCAGCATGTCAGCGGCTCAGCATGAAGTGCTTCATAAATAAGTAGCATCTGATCCCCCCTGTGGGAGAGTGTGAAGCCGTAAAGTGTTGCTCGCTGATGAGCTGTGAGGTCAGGACTCAGACAGGAAATGTCAGTGGTGTTTATACAGCATATAAATTCATATCATATTTACATGTTTGATATCCTTCCCACATGGAGATTAATTTTATTTCCTGGCCAATATTAAATCAACATCATAGTTGGAGCAACTTCAGCTATCCCACAAATGGTGTGGTTGCTTCCCTGACAGTTAATTTGACCCTTGTGTATTATGCTTGTCTGCGTGCCAGGCTTAATAAGACTGCCACTGTAGATGGTGGGCTCGACCTCTTTGCTGCTATGGAAGGACTCACCCAAATAGAGGAGATTGAGTGAGTTTTTCAGTCAGTTATACACAGTAGAAGCCGCACATCCACAATGTGATTTATTTCTTTCACTTTCTAATGAATTATTTTTAAAGTGTTGTCTCTTGTTGGTTCAGGTTAGAGGGCTTGAGGCTGGCTGACAGAGGAGCAGAGCAGCTGACCAGACTCCTCCCTCTCTGGAAGAATCTCAGAAAAATCAGGTGGGCAATAAAAACAAGAGGATTTGATGATAGACCCTTCAGAAAACTCATCTCATGTGTTGCTGCATATGTTCCAAGTACTTGAATTTAGAATAATTGCAGTCAGTAATTCTTTATTTGTCTAATACACAAACTGTATATGCTGATCTTGATCTGTTCTATCACAGGCCTGCAGTCTGATTACTTGCCATGATTTGCTTTGCTTCTAGAGTTGGATACTCTTGCAGTGGTTATTAACTCGATACCAGTCTTGATATTAAATATAAAATATTGCATTTTCTGTTTCCAAACAAGTAAAATGTCCTACTGTCCCTTTTTACTTCTGAAAATGTCAGAAATGCAATTTCGCTGTGTCTGCAGCTCATAACTCTGCGTGGTAAGGTCACTCACTCAGAACATACCAGCCGTTCTATTGAACTGTCATCACTGGTTTTATGAGGACCCTGCAGCAGACAGTCCTTCTTCACAAGTCCCACTGACAGCCTCGGAAAGAGTCGGACTCAGGAATGTGAACTGGCCAATGCTGTTTCTTTACTACATGAACTATATGTTTTATGGTTGTTTCACAAACACATTTATCGTGTATTCATTATGACTGCAGCAGCTAAACAAGGTAACATGGTTTTTTGATGATGGGGAATTTGTAAATGATTCTGAAACAGGTTGAGTTTAATACTGACTCCTCTTGTACCCAAAAATAAAAAGCCAAACCATCAGCCAGAAGAACGACTCTTTCAAATAGACTTTAAAGTACCCATCCCCACTACAGCTGGGTTTAAAATCAAATGAAGCAGTTTGCAGACGTTGCAGATGTTCCCGAGCAACTTATTTCAAGCAACCGCTGCACAAGCAAGGTAAACTCTTCCCCCATGTGAGTGGTTTGGAACAAGGGGGGTCAACGGCATCATCCGCTTCTTACCGAGAAGAGTAAGATTGAAATGTGCTTTTAACGTCAGAGTCTCCAAACTCCTGAAAATTGTCACTAGATTTGTCGCAAATTGCATTTTTGTAAAAAGTCACAAGGGGGGTCTGAAGTGACAAAGTCGCTAAGTTGGCAACACTGCAGAAAATGCTCAAAATTGAACGAGGCAAGGCCAAGGTATTCACAGAGCACAAATCATCCACAGAGCAAATTTAGTGTTTCTCCCAAACAAAAGAAGATGATGTAAAAAAGAAAAAAGTTAAACAAGTAAAGGAGTAGAATAAAACATATACTGCAAAAATGGCATCGTGCAAAAAAAGTGAATGAAGTCATTTTAAAATCAGCGCATCATGAGATTCAGTATTATAAATATTTGTGCAAACGAAAGCAAATAAAAAAAGTTAAAAATATTTCTCTTTTTGACTTGATTTGAAAATGTTCATGTTTGGAGCACATTTAACCTCTGAGGAGAGTTTGTTACACACACATGTGCAGTGTACTACTGACTAAACACAGCTATTTAACATCAGGCACTGTGCAAACCACACTGCACATCACTGCTTTGACTGTTATCTAAAACCGTTCATCACGCTTTTCAGTGAGAAAATCGCTGACTATTCTAGTTGCTGCTAAAGTGCGCGGCACTTTGCAACATGCATTATGACCGTGTCACATTCTCCCACAAAGGGCTGGCAGGAAATCAAAAATGACACACGAACCTGCTACCCTGTTAACAGTTGGCTCAAAGCCAGCACCTCTATGCTTGTTCTTGTTACAAGGAAGGTTTGACATGTGAGGTGTCTCTGCTGATGCCTCTGTGTTATGAGGTAATTCATCAAGGATATGATGATGGCTAAATGAAAACAGAGTCTTTCCATTTTCAACTCCTCTGTAACGACAACAACCCCAGACCCTCGTGGCTGAAAGTTCTCAGTCAACAGAGCCACTTCATTTAAGAATATTTAGGCAACTCACATAAGTTCAGGAAGCACTGAATTCTCATTCCAGCTTCTTTACTCTCATCCTCACGTCCTCATTTTTGTTTCCAACATATTTCTTATTGTGTTTATGTGTCTTTGTTTCAGTCTATCAAAGAATCAAATCAGTGACCCGTCAGGAGACAAGCTGCTGGAGGCTTTGAGCTGCTGTATTCATCTGGAAGAGCTTTGGTTAGTAGTGAATGAATGAATGGTTTTATTTTGGTCACAATAACAACAAATGAGAAACAAACAGAATTATAAACTTGAACAAAAAAAGGATTAGGTGGAAGCACAATGCTTATAGTTGCCTATCCTTTACAATCCTTAAAACATCATTTTAATATTTAAAACACTTGATAATGTTGGAATAAGATAAAAAAAGAAAAACACTTTAATATCAAAAAGAAAACATTAAAATAATATGTTGCACTACGAAAAGAAAAACAAAACACAAAGAATGAAAGTGTTTTACTCAAAGCTGTACTCCTGAATTATTTTGCTTTTTAACGCTTTTTTAAATATTACCTGTGAGTTACATCACAGACTTTGTATTATAGTAGGATACATCTGACTTGTAAAAGAAATTATTCACAAAGAAATTAGTTTTAAGTTTCACTTTTTCAAGGTGAGACTTCAGTCAAACTAACCTTTCTGTTCAGAATTGGCTTATGGTTTTCTTATCTTGTTTTTTGAGTATTATTGTATAGTTTATGTTGTTGTGGTTTGATTAATATATAAATAGAAGATGCCTTCTGTATATTTATATCAAAAAGAATGAAAACATTTAACTAATCTGTCGTTCAGTCTGTCTGGTAACGACCTTGGTGACCTGACTGCTGCCAGGATGGCCCTCGTTTTACCATCACTGACAGACATCACAGTGTTAGAGTAAGTCTCACCTTTATTCACATTCCTGTATGACATTTATTACACATGTCACACTTGTCTGGAGGTTAACGCTCTTTATAGTCTTTCAGAAAACCACATCAAATATGAAGGGTCCGTGAGTCTGTCTAAAGCAATAATGTGCCTGAAGAACCTCACCAAGCTGAAGTGAGACTTTTATCTCCTCTTACACTGTGGGCCATCACAACTCTAAACATAAACATATAATTGTTTCATATCTATAATTTTTCTGTCATGTCAGTCTGACCTCCGCTGGGACTCAAGAGCTTTGTGCTGTAGCCGCCAGTCTGGCCCACTGTCCACTTCTACAGGATGTTCGGTAAGATGTAAAATCATCGCGGGATATATGCTCTGTCACTAAAGATTAAAAAATATATATTATTAACACATAGGTAAAAACTGTAAATCTCTCTCTCGCTCTCTCTCTCTTCTCTGTCTGTCTCTGTGACTCTAGATTTGGGTGGAATCACTGTGAAGATAAAGTGGCAGAGGAGCTGGCCAGTGTCATGCCTCTGTGTCAGAAGCTCACCATTATAGAGTAAGTTTGTCAACGTGGATGGAGATGTCTGAGGTGGTTTTGGGACCGGTGATTATGAGATCTGATTTGAAATATTTGGGTTCATTTGATATGGACTTTATAGGAGTTTAAAGTTATGATTATTCTCAAATGAAATGATGAAAGAGAAGGAGCTCATAGATATTTTTTTGTTTTTGAAATAAACAGTGTAGTGAGTACAGTGGATACAATTTATTATTGAGCTGAATGGCCAGTGAAAGAAAATCAAAATACGAGCAAAATATGCTCAGAAAAATAACTGCTTTTCCTTTAATTTTTTTTTTCAGTTCACTGTATTTTTTTTTTTACAAAGTGGGTCTCTGATGGATTGACTTTATAATCAAAAAGAAAAAAAATCAGTCTTTAGTCTTCGAAGGTCTGATTTTGATATTAACTCTTAGTAACAGCTGAAGACCTCTCGAAAAACCGAGCCACTGAGAAAGAGAAAATAATTCTCTATGCACTTCAAACATGACACTGCATTTAGTTTATGTGGTAATCAGTAATTCCCTTTTTTAGCTTTTTTTTCATTTCCCCTTTGGATTGTGCCCTGTAAACACATTCAGACACATGATGATTTAAAGTCTGCTTTTTCCCCTCAGTCTTGAATCCAACAGTCTGAGTGTTTCTGGAGCGGAGGCCCTTGTTGGAGCTTTAGAGTTGTGTCCTGCTCTGAAGCTCATCAGGTAAATTTCTTCATTGTTCTTGAAGCCACCTGCTTACTTTCTCATCATCTACATAGCCCTCCGAGAGCACTTTGTTACCTCCACCAAGGAGGTTATGTTTTTGGTAGCGTTGGTTTGTTTGTTTGTTTGTTTGTCTGTTATCAACTTTACGGAGAAACATGAGCGGGGGACATGAGCTGTTTGGCAGAGGTCTGCGCTCTTCGAGTGCTTTTCTAGTTCTGTACATAAAATGCTTTTATCCATTGTTTTTCTTTGTAGACAGAAACATATGGTATATTTTATTGTTAATACCTGTTTATTTTTTTTAAAACAGCGATATTCTATCTGTAATTTTGGTTTTGGGCATTTGAAAGAAAAAAAATCTGCTTTTGTACTCTCCAGGCTGTGGAGAAACAAAATCTCCTCCAGCGACGCGCAGAGGCTCAGTCTGAGGGACAGGAGGCTGAATTTTTCATCCACATGATGTGATCTATACAGGATTCCACTCACTGAGGAACTCCAGGTGAACAACTTCGAACAGTACAGTCAGGCCTCAGCTAAAAACTAAGACAGAATTAGTTTTCCCTGTATGGTTTAAACACCAGAAAAGCTTCATAAAAATATTACAAAAAGACTTGCTCTCATAGAGCGTAGTAACTTGTAAAAAGTAGTGTATTTGATGACTGCTGCCAAAGTTATGTCTGCATTTCATATGATATCATACTTTGGAGTACTTCTGATGTTTTATAAAGTTTATTTATACAATCCACACACCTAGTTGACCTTTAGTTTAACCACTGGCATGATCAGCTCCTGCGTGGCAGTGTTTTACCCTCTGAAGTTGACATACTATTTGTCGGTGGTTTACACGTGTGTACGGGGATCCGGATGTGTATGTATATATGTTGTGAATATTACACCAGGGTGTTGATCTCGATCTGGTGACAGAAACCTGGCAGACACTTTGTATGTCTCATACCTGTCGGGTGACTGGATAGGAGTCAGAGGAGTCCTTCTGATACCAAAAGTTAATTTACAGCTACATGATTTGATATCATATTGCATAATAAGTTGTCTTAATGGAAGCTGTAGATAAATAAAGTGAGGTGTCAAGTGTCTGTTTTGTCAAGATGGTAGATAAATGATTACATAAACTATCACTCATCCTGTCTCACAGACTCTGCTTCCACTATCCTGTTTGAGCCGTCGCTCTACACTTTGCTCCTACTCACCCTGCCAACACAAGCTGCTGCTAACCCACAGGCCGGGATGTGAAGGACTCCAAGCAGCGCTTCCATGAAAAGTCACTTGTTTTATTTATGACTTTACTCATGACTCTCCTTCACTGAGTCACTTTGCACTATGATGTGTTTACAGTAACAAGAGGCCACATGAATGTAAAACACACCACGTCACATACACAAAGTACAAGATAACTTGAGGATTTCCCTATTAGGTTGTGGTCTCTATTCAATTTACGTATTTATTTCAGCTGTTTTCTTGGTTAAGAACTTTAGTGGATTAATTTAAAGATATTTATAAAGCTGTAACTTTTCACAGAATTGTTAGTTTTATTTACTAACTGTGTTTAATTGCCTTACTAAATCGGGTACAATATGTTATTTAAGATCTCTGATAAAAGCAATGGGTAAAACACTGTAAATGTAGACGCCTTGCACTGTGGCAGCTAATTCAAGAATTTTATCTCTTTCAAGTTCTTATTTGAGTTCTCCTCTTGGCCTTTTGTTTCCATTGCTGACATTCATTCGTTTTGAAATGCACTGATATTTTGATTTAAATGCAGAAAGACCACATTGACTCATGACTTTATGTGTGTAAATACATTTTCAGTTGATGTGAAGTTGTTTTACAGTTTGTGTCAAGTATTACTGTTTGTTTAATGTCTTCAAGGTACATTCATCAATAAGGCTGATGGGTTGATTTTGTTTATCACTTCCATTTCTTCCCTCTTTTTAAAGGTACGGTGTAGCACTATCTCTCAGTCAGATTGAAGATTAAAATGCTCTCCTTGCCATCCCTCCTGTTGATGAGGCAACTTCGGCCATTGAGGGGCAATAGTCCCTGTGATGGATGACAAGTGTTATCTGTCATTTGTTAAGTTCTTCCACATACCAATACTATTTCATGAGGGCTCAACAACCACTTTCTTATACTTCATTCATCTGCTGCATTTCATGTGGCTACTTAAAAAATACTCTGTTACTAAGTTTGCCTTCTCTATGCTCTGGTAGAAACATGGTAATGCAAGATGGTGACCTCCATGAAAAGGTACCTGCTCCTAAAATGCTAAGGATTTCTTTATTACTGTCATTTTATAACAATTTAAGTCTACTGATAAATACAATATTCAATTTTAACATAGTCCCTCTAGATCATAGATTATACATTATTAAAACTATAGATGAATTAACCAATAACCAGCATTTCAAATGACTTTGATTGAGGGTTTTATTCAGTAGTTTTAAATAAAATAAAATAATAATAATAATAATAATAATAATAATAATAATAATAATAATAATAATAATAAATTATTATTATTATTATTATTCAAACTCAAGCCAGCCAGAGCAGCTGAAATTATTTGACAGCTGTGCTTGAAAATAGACACAGGATTCCATTCCACTGTGTGCTCAGCTGGCACATCCTTGTGGCCAAGATGGGTAGTGCATGTGTGCAGATTTTGCTCCTCTTCCTTTGGGCTTTTAGATACTTTTTGATGGTTGATAACACATGGGTATGTTGTTTCACGAGTAATTTCATTTATTTTAAAATTATTTACTAGAGACAAAATTTATGTAACACTGTTGCAAACACATCTTGTAGCACTAAAAGCTTGTAAAATTCATTAAACTCAAAATTTAAGTTAGGCCAACTTAAAAAATACATAGCACCAAAAGTTTTCATCAAACTTTATTAATATTTGCCAAAAACAAGATGTAGCAACAGCCACAATAAACATAAAATAGAAGTAACATAACATTATCACTGTGAAATATGTTCTTTTTATCTATTATCAAAGGCACCTATTTAGCTGATAGACTAATACTGGACAACAGAGATCTCGGTAGAGCTGTTGCAGCCCTCTTTTTTGTTTAGATTCATATTTGAAACATTTTTGTATTCGCAACAAAAACTTGAAACATTCATCTTCTCTTACATCTGCTCTACCACCACACTAAATACTCCACCTCCTTCCCCCTCAGGTGTGCTGCAGCCCCACAGGTAGGGGGAGGAGGGAGACCAGAGATAGAGAAAGAGAGAGGAATCAAGGAGCAGCCAGCCACACATAACAGTCCAAAATAAAGGAATTTTTAATTAATTGCAGAGAACAGGAGGACTACTCTGTGAAAAAAAAGAAAAAATGTAATGGCCCTCCATCCATCAAGCCCAGACACAACTGGCCAATCAAATTAAAGTGCAGGCTAGAAGTTAATTTTTTCAACTCTATTAAACACAAAACCTATATCTAAACTATATCTAAATTATTAATACTTTTCATTTTAAATTTTTTAAACTTGAACTTTTTGTACTCTAATCCGGGTTTACAGTGTAGTGTACTTTGGAGTAATGTAATAACACTTTCTCACCGTATACACTTGCAAAAAATATATATATTAATGCAGCTTAACTTTCTATTTTTATTCTTTTTTTATTACAGCATAACAAAGTGAAAATATTTCATTTTCACCATGGAAGATAATTCAAGGGCGGTAATTCCTGGTTACATGAGATTTACCACAAAGCACTTAAGTCTTTTTTTCTTTTTTAAATCTTAAACTGTCTATTAGTTTTTGGCTGCTAGTAGGTGCTTGATGATTTTAAAACCATATGGTTTCACGAAAATCCCTCTATCACGAAGCATTTATTATACCTTTGTGTGCCACAAGAGAGTGCTAGGGAAGTAGATATACTTTACCTACCACACTCTTTAGACAGAAAAACAAAACACAGCTTTTAACTTGACGAACACTTGACTTTGAAAAAACAGAAGGTGCACAAAAACACGGGGTAAAACAATAAAACCAGGTATTTTGTGAGTTTTTAGTTTTGGTGTCTAGTGAAGCATTAGGTGAGCCTGTCGGTTAAGTGAAAGTAATGCGTCAGACGGAAGCGCTGTGTTTAAACTTTACAGTGAGGCTTTTATTTTGTAAATAAACTAGTAGCATTTCCGGTTTTGCACCGATTATTATAGTTTGATTTCACTCCATTCATCATTGGCGCCAGGCAGAGACAGCAGAGTTCAGGTGGCTACGAGGATGAATTCCGTCTACACGCTGTTGCACCTCTCAGTACACTTGAAAATGGCAACAGAAACTTTAGTTTTCACTATTTTGTAGGGGGGAAAGAATTGTGGGATTTTATCAGGCTTCTCTTCATTGTGCGCAGTTGTTGAAGATATTGTCGAAAAGCGGGGAAGTTAGACGTCGTTTCCCGAGGTGAGTTCGACATTACTTTTGACGTTTTTCTCCGTCTTTTTTAATCTCCTGTAAAGGTGTAACATTGAAATTCTGGTTGGGGGTGATTGTTTTAGGGGTCGTGAGGTTCTACTGCCGTTGTTTATGACCCTATAACCTAACATGCGCTCAGAGAGAGGGAGGCAACAAATGATAATAAAAAAAGAAAAACGCGACAGTCCAAGGTGTGCCTTTTTTCATGATTATTTTGGACCTATTTCAGATACATTTTTGTATGACTACTCCTCGGGTCATCACATCATCCTTGTTAACCACTTTGGCTGGAATATAGCAGGGAAGCTTTGCAATTAGAGTGAGGGCAGATGACTACAAGGTGCAGATGACTACTAGGATGACACAGCTTCCACACACGCGCCACAGTCAAACTCAACCTGCCCTCTCTACCTGGCTTTTTACCTCCCAATGATAGGAGTGGTGACAGGTGTGAACGTGGGGTGTAATTGTGTGTGGACCTCAGAGGGCTCAGAGCTACCAGAAACTTGGGAGGAAAACCTGCATGACTTACTCAGTTGGCACCTGCTTTAGTGCTTTTACCTTCTTCTCATAAAAAGTGCAGATAGTCTTCCTCGAGCAGCACACTGTAAAGGCTTTAGAAAAAGTTGGGATACCCTTAATGTGTTATGTCTGATTTGCATTTGGTGGGGAAACAACATATTGATGAAATATCAATTTCCCCACCTGAAAATAGATCTCTGCCGGGTCTGTAAAAGGGCAGTGCAGTCATCTGCAGGTCGAAGCACCTATCAGGGCGCATTATTGCAGCATATGTGAATGATTTTAGTTGTATGCAGTGCAAACTTGGTTTTGTGTCAATAATTTTTTGAAATCAAGGTTGAAAAAACCCAAACATAGCCTGACCTTATCCCTTCATCACCCCTGGGAAATGATATGAAAATAAGTTTTAAGATTTTCAGTCTGTCCCAGGCTTTGCATCACCTATGAATGAGTGTGCGAATGAATGAAAATAACAAGTATTTTCAGCATGTCAACACTAGCAGTGTGGTATCACAGGAGCAGGGCTGTGGGGAAGAGAAGGGAGGAGCATGCTGGGTATGACACATTAGTATCTTAGCAACAGACAGCATCCGTGTAGCTTGCCGCTTTGAGAACAAAAACACCTTTATGGAGACAAGGTGCCCTGCTGTTTATTTGTTACTGAAGCCTGTCGGAAAGGATGCCTCAGTTGTTATTACATATCAGAGAGCAACAAGTTACTGACATGTTCAGACAGGTTGTTGTTATAAAAAAAAAAAATTTTGTTTTTTGTCAGTGGATTTTTCTCCATTAAGTTGCCTGAAGCTTCTCCATTTAAGAGATTATGTGGTGTTTTTGATCCAAGTGTGTTTGTGTGTGTGTGTGTGTGTGTGTGTGTGTGTGTGTGTGTGTGTGTGTGTAATACTGTTGAGGCATCCTGAGTGCAGCCTAAGACCCACTCTGGAGTCATTCTGCATTTCTAAAGCCTCATTTCATGTGTATAACTTTCTGCTGTGTTTAGTACCTCCTCTGAGGGTATTTTGAACCCATTAAAATCAATAGCCATCATAAAACTGGACTGTAGGGGCTGTAAAACCTGCTTAAGGGTAGAGTTATTGATATGTAGCCTCTCGCCTGTACCATCATTTTTTCCACTCATGAGTTCGAAGCTTGACCCAAATTTAACAAATTCAAGCTCCTTTTTTTAAGCACTTTAATAACCTATCCATGTTAGTACTGATATATTTAGGGAAACTGCCTCACATTACAAAATATGTGCAAATAAACACTCGCTCGTTGATATGTGACAAACAGGTAAATGCCTAACAAGACACAGCATTTTAACCAATGTATTCATGTTTGTACAATTAAATACAGATGTTTGTTTTTTATGTCATGATCGTTTCTGTGTATCTTTATAATTTTATGTTTGCATTAGGGATGGGTGATAAATTGTTGTTCACAATATATCGTCAGAAAAATCCTCCATGATAAATATTTGCCATCTCATGATACGATAAATGCAAGTTGATGACATAAGCGCGAGTGACGGACTCGCAGCCATAGCCAACACAGAGCAGAATAACAAACAAACAAACATGGCTGAAGGTAATGAAGAAGACGTTTCTGAGCAGCTCGTTACTAACCGAGGCTCCACATGAGGGATCTCCTTCAAGATTGGGGCTTAGATGAATGCAATCACGTATGCCTGACACTGGACAGTGGATCTGCTGCTGTTCACTGTGAAATAAGAGTTTTCAACAAATGTTCAAATGTTGTTTTCACATTTGAGACTTGTTTGATCAGTTGTCATCAGTTTTCTCTATAACCTACCTCTCAAACTTGTGGTTAAGTATCTTATTTGACTACTCCAACTAGTGTTCCCAAGGCAAAATGAGTCAAAAATATAGACTGGAATTATAATTTATTTTGTTGGGACTTTTTTAGTTATCACCAGAATGGCAAATCTTAATGTGATAATTTTTTTAGCCCATATCGCCCATCCCTAGTTTGTATGTATTTATCTTTGTACATTTGTTTGTTTGTATGTTTCTATGTATGTTGTGTTTCTTAAAGATAATTTTGGATGATATGGTTATGACCAAGATACTGCATGAAATGTGGTTTGATGTTGGTCTCTTTCTTAAAATTAGTCATTAAAAGAAGTTAGCTAATACTCGTAGAAAAGTTTAACATGGAGATCCTTTATAATCAAACAAATCTTAATCAGGGATGCTCTGTATTATTGATACAAATTGGTATCAGCAAATAAAGGCTTGAACAGCCTGGTTGATAAAAATTTCTGCTGATTTCTGCACGTTAATAACAAGAAGCTTCAACATAGTACTTCAAGCTGTAAAAAAAAAGAGGCTGCATATAATAGCTTTTTGCAATGCCTGGCATCAGCATATGCCCAAAAACCAGTTTAAAAATGTTGGCATAACAGATACCAGCAAGAACCCCATATCCTTTGTCCCTATTCTCAATACTTGACAGATAATTTTAGGTCCAAAATACTATTTTTAACCAGTGTTGTTCCAGTGCTGCATTTTATTCCGAACACCTGCTGTGGGCACTTTAAATACGCTGGCAACGATTGAGTTTTTGTCATGTTAACCTGGGTTGGTCAAAATACTGTTTCCTAATTAGACATCAAACTTAATCATCAGAGACTTCCTCAGTCCTTCTAACATCATTTATCAGGGTTTTTTGGGGTGACAGTAGCTCAGGAGGTTAAGCGGTCGTCCAATAACTGGAAGGTTGGAGATTTAATTCCACCCTATTCCTAGTCTGTCCGTTGTGTTCTTGTGCAAGACCATAGACTGTATATAGAATGGAAGCCACTGTGAGTATAGAACTGGTTTGTGCTCAAGTCCTCTTTTTTCTGTACAGCTCCATTTTTAAAAGTTATTAGGGGGTTCATGTTTTATATGATTGACACTTGATACAGCCTATGGGCGTACAAAGATTGGGTCGCTCACCAAGGGGATACGCTGTTTGAGCCAAGCTTCATCACAGCGGCTCTCCCGCTGAATGCGTACAACGTTACTGTGCAAGTTTTGGCTCCAGGAAGTGGAGAAAATCTCAGAAGTACCGAGAGCAATTTGGCTTTAAATTTTATAATCATGGAAGGTGGAGCCAAATTGTTCGTAGTCTATGGGCAACACACTTAACCCACCTTGCTCATAGTGTGTGTCCTTCACCGATGTATGATTTTGATTGTTGTGTGGTGGCAATCGGAGGCGCAGGTGCATACTGGCAGCCATGTTTCCGTCAGTCTGCCCCTGGGCAGCTTTGACTACTACAGAAGTTTACCACCACCAGGGTGTGACTCTGTGAGCGAATGAATGATGTATCCAATGTTAAGCGCTTTGAGGGTCTTTGATAAAGAGCTTTGAAATCTGATGCGCTATTATTTTTATTACAATGTTGTGCATCTTCATGGAACTTAGTCATTTTCGAGTATTTACCTTTACTGATTTGTTTTGTGGTTGCTGTCTTGGGCATTGTGTTGTTTTGTTTTTGTTAAATTAAGTAGCACTAAGCCCTATGTTTGTTTTGCACCATTGCCAAAGGCAAATTTCTTCTCGATGACACTAAAGAGTATCTGCTCTTAAAAACATTAACATGTGTAATGAGATGATAAAAATTCTCCTGGATCAACGTTTGTTCATCCATGTTTTAGAAAGTCAGATAGCTCTCTGTCATCATACTGTCCCCTTAAACCAGACTAAAGCTGTAAAATTTTGTCTGTTCTACATTGTGCTTTTAGTCAATAGTGCTAGGAGGAGTCCAAATGTTTCAAAATTACCACTTGATATTTAAAGAGCACCCATTGTCAGGTAGGACATGAAGCCATTGTGGGATGCTGTTAAACTAAAGTAAGTCTTATCCATGTCTCTTTTTTTATTGCTGAAGGGTGTTTAGTTGTGACCTCAAACCATGGCCTACACCCTGGGTTCAGCTACTGATGGCCAGACACGCAGTGTCGCACCTCAGCACTGCGTCACTCGGGTGGAGCTGTCTGTTACTGCATCCAGCCTGCTGGACCGAGATGTAGCCTCCAAGTCAGACCCGTTCTGCGTCCTCTTCCATGAGGTGGATGGAAACTGGGTTGAGGTAAGGATTAAAGAGTAAAGCTGGCAGAAGGAGATAGTGAGAGCAGAAGACACTACAGAAAAGAGAGAGAGAGAGAGAGAGAGAGAGAGAGAGCAGTGAAAAGTGGGTGGGTTTTGTCTAAACAAAGCAGGGAAATAGATATATATCAGCCAAGGATAAAAATGGTGAACTGAGAGGTAAAGGCTTAACAGAGAGATAATATGTGCTTAGATCATCAGGAGTCAAGCCTGTGTCTGGTACTCTCTGTGCTATGAATTGCCACTCCAGTGGGGCTGAGAGCAGAGAACAAAGGTAAGTCAGAAAGAAGAAGACTGAAGGAATATTGGGAGATTTTTACAAGTATCTGAAGACTTTTCAAGGTCACATCCAGTGTGATGGCTCCTCTAAACAAAGGGCCTAGCCAGGATCTTTCTGTGTTAAGTTTGCAGAAATGATATGCTGTGAATAACATCCAAACTCATGCTGTCTTGACCATCTGCCATGCGTCCCAGTTCACTTGACCCAGTAAGATGTTGCACCATCAACTAGTGTGACATAAGTACTTGTTGTGCACAAACTCAAAACAAAGAAGGTCCTGTGGGTCTGTCTGCTGGCAAGCTAGGTGGGACCTCTTTGTGAGGGAGATGCATGTTCTCTCCATGGCTGCCGTGAAATTTCACACTGAAATCAATTAAATCCAAAAGAATTGCTTTCAACAGTGGATTTACTTAAGGAGAGGGTATTAATCCTACAAACTGCTTTGATTCATGAATTCTTTTGAGGGGTCAGGGAGCCAATATGGGAACTATGATGGATTACTCACACTTTTATTTTTCATCTGTTGCAGAAAAAAAGGCTTTGTTTCCCAATCCAGAGTCAATTTTAATTAAACTAAACGGTAAACTTTGTTCCACAAATGCTAATGCAAGGTTTTTAAGAGGACTCTGGGAGCTAGTTCTGGACAAACATTTAAACCCCAGATTTAACAGTGCGCATGCTTTGTGTACATGCACATGTTCTGCTAAATGGTGAAATTACTCAAAGCTCTTCTGATAACAAAGACTTTCTCTCAAAATCTTACTCCGATCGTATTTCTTAAAATTGTGATTATTAAGTTTTTAGCCAAAATCACATTACCTTTGTCATTTTCAAGGGCTTTTCTTCTGCAGAGCTCCACGAGATCATTAGCAATTCACCTCTGAGTCGTGGGCGGAGACAGCGCTGCTCTGCACACTCTTCTTCATGCTAGCTTGTAGCCTAACATTGTTGGTGTAGATAGAAGAAGTAGCAGGTAACATAGGAACTTTTCAGCTCTAAGACACTAATGTCTTTGGGGTCATGATGAAAACTAATATTATAATCAGCTTCCATATGGGCATTGCAATCTGCTAATGCACACGCTTGTTATGCAGTCGTCCTCTCTACTTCTCAAAGTCTGGCCTGCAGAGCGGGGTGCTGGGGGCAGTGCTTGGAGTTAGAGTTGTTCTGATTCCGATACCAGTATTGGAAATTGCTCTGATAATGCCAAAAATGCTGGCATCAGTATCGGCAAGTACCGGTGTCCAGGCACTGATCCGATACCACATTATTTATTAAACAAGTAATTTATTTAATGGTTAGCACCATTAGCTCTGTTCTGTTCAAAGTCCCTTTTTATTTAAAATATATTGGCTGCACTTTAATTTTTTTAAAAGTAATTATTCCTGGATTTATTGAGTTAAACTGCATTTGCTGTTTTTTATACTGTTCTATTTAAAAATAAATTTGTTGAATTTGCTGTAGCTATTTGTATTTTACAAAGGGTTTAACCTGTGCCAGACCGTCCCACAAGGATAATCATATCATATCACAGCACACAGTAGGATGTTTTTTTATAACATACTCATATCGGATCGGTACTTGGTATCGGCTGATACCCACAGCACAAGTATCAGAATTGGTATTGGGAGGGAAAAATTGGTATTGGAGCATCTCTACTCGGAGTTGTGATGTAAAAAAAGCTCACTGCATCTGATCCTGCCGTTTAAGTGTGCCAGAGGTTCATAGCAATATGAATGCAGAAATACTCAGAAATGCAATTTTGCACATAGTTTTTTTGTGATATGTCCTGTAGCATCAAAAAATGACCATATGAACATGTAGACAACAAGAAAAACATGATTTTAATCAGAGTGGGTCTTTAAGTGCCACAGCCAAAAATTGGCAGCATTTTGACAGGCTCTGTCTGAAGAGTAGCAGCTGATGACACACCTTTGACTCTTGCAAACCATAGCCTGGCCTCTGCAGGCAAACAGTTCAGGGCTGTGATTCTCCCACCTGGGAGCTGACCTGGTAGCAGGCACTGGGAGTTGGGTTTTCGGCAGAGCATCCGAGAAGGAAACAGGAGTCGGCAGGAGTCCCATCTCCAATGGGAGCAGGCGCATTCCCAGCCAAGGAGACAGCTCAGTATTTCACAGGCCACTATAATCCGACTAGACCACTCTAAAATAGCTTTAAAAATAACTAATTTTAGAAAAATAATCAAAGCTGTCTATAAAGTCTGCTGGGTTCATTTCTGGTTGGTTCATTCTGTCACAAAGCAGGCTTTTACAAGGAAAAGGACCAAAATGTAGACTTAAAAATATGTCAACATTTAATAAACAAAAGCACTACACTAGATCTTGATAAAACAATGAGGGGCATGGAATGTATGGACAATGAACAGGTTTTGACAATGAACCAATGAGAAGAGGGAAAGACAGGGACTGTAAACAAGCAGCAGGTGAGGCAGATAAGACACAGGTTAGACTCCTGAGTAATGAACAAAGGAAGGAAAACTAAGGAAGTAAAGTAGATTGGATACACAGGGTTTGAGTAATACAAAATAAAACAGGAAACACTGAAACAGGGAACAGAAACACTAGAGAAAAAAAACAGAAAATACAACTAAATCACAGAGAAAGAAAATCCAGGTTTTAAGTGTTCCTGATGTGTTTGATAGATTTCCAGGTCATAACCAGAACAGTCCTGGTGACTAACTGAGACAGACCCTACCACAATCCCTGCCCTTCAACTCCTGGAAACACTGTTCACCAAGATGTCTACAAGTTTTGTGTTGAATAAACTCACTGCAAAGTTTTTATCCCTTGGACAGACAAACCATCCCTCCTTCATGTGTTGATCAAACCTTTTGCCTGTGCTGAAGCTATAATGACCTCCGCCAAGGAGGTTTTGTTGTCGGTAGCGTTGGTTTGTTTGTTTGTTTGTTTGTTTGTTTGTTTGTCTGTTAGCAACTTTACGGAGAAAGTTACACACAGATTGACCTGAAATTTTCACCAGAGGTGCGTCTCAGCCCCAGGAGGATCCCATTAAATTTTGGTGGTGATCCGGACAAAATTCTGGATACTGTGATCCAGAACACACAAAAATAAGGGTGTCGTTGGAATTTTCAATGCTGAAAGATAACTAATGGGCGGCACAGTGGTGTAGATAGGCGGCACAGTGGTGTAGTGGTTAGCACTGTCGCCTCACAACCAGCAGGTCCTGGGTTCGAATCCTGGTCAGGGCATTTCTTGTTGTAGGAACATTATGAACAGTGAACATACCAGTTTAAACACAAATAAAACTTCATAAAAGACACGTAACAGTAAAAGTTTTGGTGTGAATCACAATATAAGGGGGGACATGAGCTGCTTGGCAGAGGTCTGCGCTCTCCAAGTGCTTTTCTAGTTGAATATTAAAGCAGGTTTTATGAAACAGAATTAACAGTCATAAAAATAATTTATGTCCACTGGTACATCCTGTCCTGTATCTTTTGTAGTTTTTTCTTGCTCGAACTGGTAAAACACAATGTGATGTAACTGCTTGATGTAACACATTTTATGGTGTAGAGACAGAAAGGTATGAGCTCTACATTGAAGCTGTTCCAGGGGAATATGGTGATGAAGTTTTGGTGTGTGTAGGCTGCTGCCTCAAGGCTTTTCTGTAGCAAACGGCTGGTCAACAGGGCAAGCTGGCTTCTGTGCATGTGTGCGTGTGTGTGTGTGTAGGCGAGTGCCTCAGGTTTTAGCTAGCTGGCGGTCAGCAGGGCATGTTGCTCTGATGTGAAATTGCCAATGGTTTCTATGGCAACAGAGGGGGAAACAAAAGCTTAGCACTCCTGGTGTGAGGGAACGATGTAGAAGGCAAAATGAGGCCCAAACCTTTTCTCGGGTATCATCCACAGCTCGCTGTTTTTCTCACATCACAGCTTTCTCACTTTCCATGATCCCCTCCTGTTAGCTTTGTAATCTCTCTTCTGCCCTTGTCTGTCTTTTCCTATCTCAAGTCCTCCTGTCACTGTGTGTCTGTCCTGTGATATGGAGGTGCAAAGACTGACTGGTGAAAAAAAAGTGGAGGAGAATTCTGAGAAAAGAGAGTGAAAAAGGGACGGTCGTGAAAAATTCATGATGGAAAAATTGATAACAGCTAAAACTGGTGTTGGAGAGGCTTTAAATAACACTGCAGTCTTCCAGAAACATGACACTCAGCTATGCAAATGACATGGCACCCTGTTAGCAAACTGCTTTTAATGGCTTTTGACTTCCACTTACTTTTTTCTTTCTTTTCTTTAAACCCTCACCCTAATCACAACATGTATCATGGACCCCTGTATATGACACGACAAGAGATAAATGTGGAGTTCAACCAAATCTTTAGCAGGGAGCTAATGTAAAGTCGTGCAGCATCATAGATCAAGTTTTATTGTCCTAAAATTAAATGTTCTTGTTTCTGCATCATTCTCTCTCAAATTTAGCATAAAGGATTACTACCTGAATGACTGGTAACCAAAACTTTCACTTGAACACAGTGACTGCCTTTAAAGTGATAAATCACAGCAGTTTCACATTCTCAATAAAACAAACCCTTCAAAAAATGTTTGTGTTGGTAATTTATCAAAAACTGAGTTAAATGTTGTCACATAACAAGTATCAAACAGTATTATTTCTATGCACATATATTTTGGGAGTAAATACATCCCCAAATACATAAAACTCATGCTGGATTGTGAACAAAAACTTGAAGTTACTCCCAACTGTTCGGCCTGTAATGGCCTTGCTTCCAAACTTTTGGCCTGTACTGTATATTTATCACCCCAACACAAACCCTTTGCCATTCCTCCAGTTTTATGGACAGTCTAGTGTTTTTACCAGCTGTTCTCCGTCTGCTGCAACCCCTGGCCGGGCATAATTTCCCGGCTTTATTACAGTGTAAATGTGTTCTTAGTTTATATTGACATATAAAAAGTCTGACTGCATCACACCCACTGCGGACCGGACCATAGTTCGTTTGGAGGGGGACCGAGTCCGGCATTTTCAAGAGGACCATGACCTGTTTGTTTGATCCGGACCACAGTTCCCTTGCGCATTCATACCACCCGGACCAACGGAGTAAGGGAACCATGGTCCTTTTAGAACAAACCAAACAGTCCTGGTATGAATGTGCCCTTAGAAACTAATCCCACTTATTCTATTGACTCACCCTCGAACTCTAAGGTGTCTGGCTGTGCAATTCCAAATAAAACTGAGCAGGGGAACAACTATTAAATAAATGTGCCCATAGGTAACTTTCAAATCGTAGGATATGACAAAAGCCTGAGTGATTCATATTCTTATATTAATATTTGCATGTCAGTGTTCGATAACTGTTTTTTTTTTCTCATGTATCTGGTGTTTAGGTGGATGGATATAAAGAAAAAAGGCAGAAGGAGATTGCCACAAGGGTGTCATTTATTCCCTTGAATGTGACCAGTGAGTCTGGTTTAAATCCACAGGGGTATATGCACTCCAGCCTGCCAGGCTGCTATGATGCCTTAGTGATATCAGATTTTAAGCTGAAGTGCAGCCATTCTTCCTCGGCTCTCCTCTCATGCGTCACACAGATGAATAAGAGCTCTGAGCCTTGTTAACAGTCTGAAGTTTCAACCTTTTTGTTAAGCACACCTCTACCCAGTTCTAAACTTATGACACTTTGTTCAAAAGTTCTATGATTGCAGATAAGAGGTACGTGTCTAAGATTTTTGGTACCACAAAGTCATGTCAGCCAATGTCCAAGATTTTCTGCAGCTTTAGGAAGACTACTAAGAAAAAAAGTCATGTTCATTTTCCACGTTTATCCATGATAGATAACTAAATAAATAACCGAACTAGAAAAGCACTCGGAGAGCGCAGACCTCCGCCAAGCAGCTCATGTCCCCCCTTATATTGTGATTCAGACCAAAACTTTTACTGTTACGTGTCTTTTATTAACGTTTATTTGTGTTTAAACTGGTATGTTCACTGTTCATAATGTTCCTAAAACAAGAAATGCCCTGACCACGATTCGAACCCAGGACCTGCTGGTTGTGAGGCGACAGTGCTAACCACTACACCACTGTGTCGCCCATCTACACCACTGTGCCGCCCATTGGTTATCTTTCAGCATTGAAAATTCCAACAACACCCTTATTTTTGTGTGTTCTGGATCACAGTATCCAGAATTTTGTCTGGATCAGGATCAACCTTTGACACCTCATAAAACTCATTGAGATCCTTTTGTGTCATTTTTTACTAAAGACTCTGGCCATTTTTATAGAGTTAAATGCAAAAATTCCAAAATTTGCCCTATCTCACAATGATAAAGAATCCTTCAAAAAATTCCTGGATCCAGAAGGTGATCCGGATCACCACCAAAATGTAATGGGATCCTCCTGGGGCTGAGACGCACCTCTGGTGAAAATTTCAGGTCAATCCGTCTGTTACTTTTTCCGTAAAGTTGTTCACAGACAAACAAACAAACCAACAAACAAACCAGTGCTACTGAAAACATAACCTGCTTGGTGGAGGTAAAAAGTTGATTATTATTTCTGCTCTAATGGAATCCAAAAAACAGGCATAACACATAACACAAACATGCTGTAGTAAATTAAATCAAACACAAGGCATTTTTAAATATTTCTCTGGTGAATGAACATGACATTTTCTGTTTAGATTCTTTTTCTTGTGTTTTAGCTATGTCTCTAGAGTGCATGCTAGGTCTGATCTTGTTTATAAAATGAGCCAGGCCTTTTAGTAAACCCGCTCCTCAAAAACAGCTGAGTGTAATTTTCTCGCTCTGGAGTGCTGTTTCATTTTTGGACATCCAGCTGATCAGGTCCAGGCTCTTTAACTGTCAGCTTTTCCAAAGATCTCCTCGGACATATGATTAAAAGCTGCCTTCTCTGCTGTCTCAGTCCAGTGACCATTCAGAAATACCTTTTTCTGTTCAGTATAATTTAGGAGTGTTGATGGGCTGGACATGTACTGACCTCATCTAATGGTGGATAAACACACTGTGCAGAGCGCTCTGGGTGAGTCAGACTGGAGAGTAGCACTGTGAGTGAGTATTAGTAATCCAACCACCAGATTTAGATGACCAAGTGCAGAAACCATGACTCTCACAGTGCTCTTACTGACACCCTTGCACTCTCATCTGTCTGGGTGTTGAAAGGAATTCTTATTGGGGACACACGAACACAGTATTTAAAGAGTCATAAAGCTAGAACAACTCTGTATGAGTGCAAGAACATGGAAATGTTAATTCAGACTGAAGTTTCCCAACCATAATATTTGTGTCCTTTGATATGAGCTGTGGTCTCCTATTCTGCTTAAATCCAAGCTGGGCAACTTTGCAACTATGTTGATCCTTTTGTCTTTTTTGGCTCTTGTTTTGTTTGTTATTATGCTTTAATAACCTTTAGTATCAGTCTTCAGGGGGATCTAGTTTGGTTGCTGTCTCTGTTTTATACAGGTACTGTGTGAATATAACTGTTCGCCATAACTAATAAAATGTGTGACTGATAATAATTAAGTAATTACCTCTGCCAAGGAGGTAATGTTTTCGGTAGAGTTGGTTTGTTTGTTTGTTTGTTTGTGAGTTTGCTTGTCTGTTAGCAACTTTACGGAAAAAGTAACAGACGGATTGACCTGAAATTTTCACCAGAGGTGCGTCTCAGCCCCAGGAGGATCCTATTAAATTTTGGTGGTGATCCGGACAAAATTCTGGATACTGTGATCCAGAACACACAAAAATAAGGGTGTCGTTGGAATTTTCAATGCTGAAAGATAACCAATGGGCGGCACAGTGGTGTAGTTGTTAGCACTGTCGCCTCACAACCAGCAGGTCCTGGGTTCGAATCCTGGTCAGGGCATTTCTTGTTTTAGGAACATTATGAACAGTGAACATACCAGTTTAAACACAAATAAATGTTAATAAAAGACACGTAACAGTAAAAGTTTTGGTGTGAATCACAATATAAGGGGGGACATGAGCTGCTTGGCAGAGGTCTGCGCTCTCCAAGTGCTTTTCTAGTTAAGTATATGACTGGTCACATTAAGCCAACTCAAAGATATCTCTTTTACGCTTTGGTGATATGGCTCAATGATTCTAGTCTTATTAGTTGCACTTGTAGGCTTAATTTGCCAGTGGTAGCCAGACTGATACCTCAACATCTTTAAATTTGCCCTTTAAAAGCAGGGTAGTGTTGTTGTTTTCCATGGTTGCGATGGTAGGAGGCAGGACGGTGTGCAACTACACACTACTGAACAAATATGTGTTTATTTCAGACTTTCATCATACAGTAAATCATCCAATAATACTGGCAGCCCCAGTAAGAACAGTGTAGCAAACTAGAGAAGATTGCGGGACCATGCTTATCCATTAATAGAGGAAAAAAACTTATTGCACAACAATCAAAAATATTCTGCTGGCAGGAAACACAATTGGGTTTGATTTATTTCATTAGAAAAACACAGAAATACAACATATTCTCTATCCATCTTTTTATATCCCTTAATTTATCATAACCCAGACTTTTGACACTGATTTGATGCTAAACTGAACATTGTCTAAACAACAATTCCATTTTATGACTTAACTGTGACTTCAGTGTGTCATTCAAGAGCTACATGTGAGGGTTTTACACTTATATGCAGTAAGTGGTGATATGAGTAAGAGGCTAAATCCAGCAGAATAGTAAATGCAATAATCAGCCTTAGACTTTGACCTCAGACAGCTTTAGAATAAAGTGGGTTTATCCTCAGCTCACTTGGTACTGAAACGACAAAGACAGGCTGACTGACTCAAAAGCTGGCTTGCTCTGACACAATCATATCTGCATCATGTAAGGTCAAGGAGATAAACAAGAAATTTGTTTTTGCAGCAGACATTTGCCTCCTAACCACAAAGTGCTATCTTTTACTGGTTATATTCTGTTAGATGGGTAATTGTTTCTCTCAGGGCCTGATCTACTTCAGGTTTGCGTGTGCAAAGAAACGTGCAAACTTGATAGCGAAACCTGATCTACTAACCAGGTTCTCAAATGAGCAAAACAGCATGCGCAATCCATTTAGCATGTTTGCCTTCATGAATATGCAGATTGTATGTAGATCATCAGAATGCGCAAAATTCTGGGAGGAGTATATGCAAATGCAATCATTTAGCACCCGCAGTATGATCTATCAAACCCGGAAACTGAATGCGGTCGCTGTTTTGCATCTATATTTAGCATGTTTGAAAGGCACGTGCAAACTGGCACAGCATTACGCACGGTCATTGTGGGGAGAAGGATGCAAAAGTGCCATGACAGACGCCATGATCCTTGTCCAAATGTTTTTGATTAATTTCATTTTGCTGGTAAATATGATTTTCATAGATAATAAGGTGAAACACGGAACAGACGAAAAAAGTTATCTCTCTGTCTTATTGATTTTAAATTGTTTTAATCCCTTTTTTGAATTTTTTTTTTTAAGTCTTTTACTTTTTTTGTGTGTTTCAGCTCTGCCGCACAGAAACAGCTGTGAACAACTTGAACCCAGTGTTTGGGGTGAAGTTTCAGGTGGACTATCACTTTGAAGAGATCCAGAAACTTCGCTTTGCCATGTTTGATGAGGACAAGTGTGCCACACAGCTCTATGAACACGACTTCCTGGGAGAATTCATTTGTACCCTGGGAGTGGTATGGACTCATTTCTTTTCTGTACTAAATCGATTGACTGAGAATGAATAATCAGTAGGTATACTGACATTGTGTGACCACCCCATTCAAAAGCTCATGGTGTTTTTTGTTTGTCTCTTACTTTTAGCTAATATCTTCATCAGTTCATACAGCCAGCTGTAGTATTTCAGACTGAGTTCATACATATACTCACATAGCAGAAGCAATGAGACAGTTTGACTGTCAACAAATTATGTAATGAGATGATTTGTAATTGCATATGATAAACATTTTGTGTTCAAGTTTTAAAAGTTTTTAAAAAATTAGCGTACATGTTATCCTGTAATTAGAGTTTGGAGTTGATGGACCAAACTTCACCTGTGAGCACATCTCATCTTTGACTTCTACTAATTGAATTACCACTGTCTTTCTTTGTTTAACCTGTGGCTCAAGTTTTGAAACATCTTTTTTTATTATTTCTCTGTGTCATGAAGTCTCCTGACTTCTGACTTTTGGAGTCACATCTTAGCTTGCATTGTGGTCGTGGTGTTGTTTTTGTCTGTTGTTTTTCGTGGTTTGTGGTCAGTTTCCGGGTTTAGAGACTCAGTTTGAAAAGTCTACTGCTTGCCTGTTGTGCTCTAGCGTTTGCAATGTTTTGTGTATAACTTCACAGCACTGCAGCAAGAAAAATTTAATCCTCCTAATTCCTCCAGATGAGTCTTGAAAGAAGAAATATGGAACACACCTCCTCAGATAGCACCTTTTGCACAATCAAATAGTGATAAACCCCATGCGATAAACGTAATGTAACATGTAATAACAACTCACTCACCTGCCAATATGTCAAAAGGATGACCAGCTGATACATAGTAACCACATAACCACATTGAAAAGGATTTATAAATAAAGTTTGTCAGACTGCTGTAGAAGGTCTCTCCTGTCTTCCCAGCTCAGTTTGTCCATCATGCTGTTTTTTTTACATTATTAAACTAAGCAGTTATTTTCTCACATGTCAAGCAGAAGGAGGTCACTTTGCAGTATCCTTTCAGTGTTTTAACTTTTCTTTTCTTCAATGATTTCTGTCCCATCTGTCTCCATTTGACTACGCTCCAGATTGTGTCTAATAAGAAACTTCACAGACCGTTGATCCTAGCCAATGGAAAGCCAGCTGGCAAGGGATCCATTACGGTAAGGCTCAGAAACGTGATTTAAAGGTACTCTTCCTCTATGTCTTTAACTCTGTTTATTCCTGTGTCCTGACACACTGAGATACATACACATTCATACACACAAGCACACAAGCACACAAACACACACTCAGAGAGTATACAGCTAAAGCTGGCCGTGCAGATGAGGTCACTGTTGTTTACTATAATGACATGTTGCTTTAGCTTATGATGATGATGATGATGATGATGATGATGATGATGACCACAGTGAAGGTGTTATTGAGGCTGCTTCTGTTACTATTATTGATGTCATGATTGTTATGTTGCTACTCCTCTTACTGATGATGCTCTGAGTGTCAGTAGTTGCCAGTATTTTTGTTGCAGCTGATGTTGTGTTGTTATGTTTTTTTCAGATAACAGCTCAGGAGCTGTCTGACAACAGAATCATCACTTTGACCCTGAGTGGGCGTAAACTGGATAAGAAGGTAGGCAGTCAGACCCACACTTACAGACAAGCACACACACACATAGACACTATGAATACAAATATAAGCACACACACACACATAGCACAACCCAGTGCATTAGAGCAACACATACTGCATTAAAAGGGAAAACCTACACAGGTGAGGTTTTAATGTTCAGTTTCAAGCTTTTCACCTTTGCCCTTTACTAATGGGTTTTTCTGCACACTTTAAGTCGGGTATGAAAACCATGAAGTATTTTATTTTTTGTAGATTTATTTATTTTCATTCTCATAGCTATCAAGTAATTATAGAAGAGGATCAGGGCCACAAGGAAAAAAAGGTCCAATTTTTTTTTCTCAGAATTGTGCTAAAAAAAACGTTACTAATAATATTACATTTTTTTTCTTGTGGCACTGATTCTCTTCTGTAAGTAACAGCTAGAACATGGCTCAATAAAAATGACCATAGGTTAAAAACAACATTGTTTGAATATTGATTTAAAATATGATTTTATTGTGCCTGCAGAAATACATGTAAAGAAAGTACACCCGGAAAGTCAGAATATCTTCAAACTCTTGTGAGGAGTTCTTGACTTGTCATAGAAAAAGACTGAACTATATACTGACTTGTAAATGTGGAATACGTTTTTTTTAAATAGTTTTTATTCTATATAGTTGCCATTGCAGCTGCTGGGTAGATGGGCCAAAAACAACATACGCAAACATGAGACCCTTGTCGGGCGGCACAGTGGTGTAGTGGTTAGCACTGTCGCCTCACAGCAAGAAGGTCCTGGGTTCGAATCCGGGTCAGGGCATTTCTGTGTGGAGTTTACATGTTCTCCCTGTGTCTGCGTGGGTTTACTCCGGTTTCCTCCCACATCCCAAAAACATGCCTAAGGCCCCAACTACACGAATGCGGATATATTTCAAACCGCACATATTTATGTCAGATTAGGCCTCCCTACCATGCCAAAACGGGAGTTTGGAACACTCAAACTGGATAAATCTGAATCCGAAAAAAACAAGTGGAGAAATAAAAAAATATCCGTATAAGTGGATTCGTGTGGTTGAACTTTTACGGATCGATGACGTCAAACCGCAGCTCGCACATGCGAATTAAAAAGAAAAACAACAACGATGGCGGACATACAGGGTATTCTTTACGTTTGTTTTGCCCTTTTGGGCGAATGTCGGCCTTGCAAGTGAACCTTGTTTTATACAATTACATCCACCAGTCAGCCAGCTCACAGAGGCGTCTGCTTTGTTATAGCCGCCACACCGTCACATGGACCCGACGCACTAGTGTAGCTTCCCCAAACAGTGCATGACGCATCACGCTGTTACGATTCATCGGCCAATCACGTAGCTTTGTTCTTGAATTTCTTTTAAGCAGCACCAGATAGGATTGAGTTTGAAGGCTACGTGTGGACGCAGATATTTTTGAGAACTAACACGTGTGGACAGATACATTTATTTAGACAGGAGTACAAAAATATCCTGATAAATAAATATCTATATACGTGTAGTCCGGGCCTAAGTGAGGTTAGGTTAATTGGCCACTTCCAAATTGCCCATAGGTGTGAATGTGAGCGTGGATGGTTGTACGTCTCTATATGTCAGCCCTGCGATGAACTGGCGACTTGTCCAGGGTGTCCCCTGCCTTCGCCCGAAGATGCTGGGATAGGCTCCAGTCCCCCCGCGACCCCAGGAACGGGAATAAGCGGTAGAAAATGGATGGATGGATGGATGGATGGATGGAGACCCTTGTCTTACTGTTTCCATGGTAACAATTTACAGGAAGTGATATGCTTGTCTGTTTAAAGACAGCAAAACAGGTTTTCATCTGAAAAACAACTGGCACATGTACAGGACAAGATCAACAAAAAGAAAGGATGTACTGCTTTGACCACAGGGATTGCCAAAAATGGATACAAACCAAAACTTTCTGACTGTAGCGTTGATTAAGCTGGTTGACAAGAGAGTTTTCTATCCAAACTGTTAGCATATTGGAGTGTAGTTGCTGAGGGGACACAATATTAAGATGAATAATATCTGCTTTCAGAGGGACTAACTGACCAACTCTCCTTGTTCTGTTTAGGACTTCTTTGGGAAGTCAGACCCCTACCTTGAGTTTCACAAACAAGGAGAAGATGGTAAATGGATGCTGGTGCACAGGACAGAGGTGAGTCACTTGTGGAGTAAAAGCATCATTAACCATGAGCCTGTCGCCGTCAGTTAACCAGGTCTGACAGCCAGTTGTTAACTGCGCATTTAACAATAATTGTAGAACAGACTGCAGTTTAGTTAATTCTACAGAGGCTACAGCTGTGCTAAATATATCTGCTACTGTGTAATTCAGTAATTATGTCCCTGTGTCTGTGACTTCAGGTCATTAAGAACACTTTAGATCCCTCATGGAAATCCTTTACTGTGCCGCTCATTTCTTTATGCAATGGAGATGTGGACAGGAACATCAAGGTGTGTGGTAACACTTTTATTGGTCATTTTGTGTTTAATGAGCTGGTTCTGATTTAGAAAGAAAAGAAAGATAACAATACTTTGTGTAGTTGTATCACTGTCCATTTGAAGAAATTTCTTTTTTTACACTTTCAATCACAAAAGACAAATTTTGAAAAGTGACCTTGATAAAAAATTATTCAAAGGACAAAAATACAAAGGGGTTGATTAAAGCTCTAAGAAATCATCTTTCAAAGCAAACTTTAAATGGAAGTAATGTTGGCATGATCATGTGATGTGTGCTCCACAATAACAGGTCCTATGTTACGACTACGATAATGATGGGGGCCACGACTTCATAGGAGAGTTTCAAACCACAGTTGCCAAGATGAGTGAAGCCCAGAACTCGGTGGAGGTAAAACAAATGGGATTTTAACATGATTTAGTGTGGGTGGAGCTGCTTACTGTAATGATACTGTAAAAACACCTGTTTGTTACTTTAATCATCCTTGTTTATCTTTTGTTTGTGGCGAAAAAAATATTAACATTCTCTCTGTTGTGCTTGTTGCAAAGGTATAAGGATATGTCCCTAACTGTAAAATTGTCTCACTTATTGTTAGTTAAAAAAGCAAAATGTAATCACACACCAGCAACTTGTCAAATTACCATAAAAATTGTCAGTCATGCCTCAAAAACAAACTATTGTTTTTATTATCACAAATTGAACAGGACTCTGACAAAGACCAGCACAAAACAGATGGACTGAATTAGACGACAAGAAAATTTTAACATTTGAACTTGATTTTGTTCCCAGCTGTCACAGACAGCATTAAATAGCTCCTAACAGTTGAAACCTCACTACCTCTGTTTGGGTGTTAGCTTGCTGTCCTTAGTGACTGTATAGGAACTTTGATGTCTGCAAGAGATTTTATTGAACTGATTGACTGATGACTGACCACACCACGTACCCACACTTGTAATTTGAGTATAAGACAGACACTATGTTTACAAAGTGTTTTAAAAATCCAATTTATTATGCTAGTCTGACTGAGACTGGACTTTTTAAGTAGCTGTAGTGGCAACAGTCTGACTTAAATTGCACTAAAAAGAATTTCTCATTTTCAAACCTAGATATTATGGTTGGGGGATGTGAAAAGTATGTCTGTCATTATGTCATGTACAGTACAGGCCAAAAGTTTGGACACATCTTCTCATTCCATGTCTTTTCTATATATTTTTTATATGACTATTTACATTGTAGTTTATCACTGAAGGCATTAAAACTATGAATGAACACATGTGGAATTTTTTACTTATAAAAAAAGTGTGAAATAACTGAAAACATGTTTTATATTCTAGTTTCTTTAAAATAGCCACCCTTTGCTCTTGATGACAGAAGTACTTAGTGACTGACTCTGTTAGTCACAAACTAACCCTGACAAGGCACACCTGTGAAGTAAAAACCATTTCAGGTGACTACCTCATGAAGCTCATTGAGAGAACAGCAAAAGTTTGCAGCGCATGATTCCACATGTGTTCATTCATAGTTTTGATGCCTTCACTGAGAATCTACAATTTAAATAGTAATGAGAATAAAGAAAATGCAATGAATGAGAAGGTGTGTCCAAACTTTTGGCCTGTACTGTACTTGACATTATGGATCAATCAGACGACAGCCTAAAAGTGGCTCGCTGAAAGGGGCACATCACTGCATAGTGTAGCCAAGGTAGACATACTTTTTTCAATCAGTCAGTTTTTACTTTGTGGTTGTATACTGGGACAAATATAATTGTCTAGTTGAATCACCTAATTAAGCAAGAACTGTGGCTTGACTTGACTGTGCCAGTAAATGTACTGAGCCATTCAATGTCAGAATCTAATCACTGCACTCCAATTCATTGTAGCATCATTGGATCCTCTATGGTTAAAATCTTTGACACTTGTGAGCAGGGGTGGTAGTAGCATGTTTTAGCATGTTGCATTAACTATGAGATGAAGAAATAGCAGTAAAAAATAAAACAAACCAAAAAAGCAACGAGTAAAACACGCTCAAATATTACCCTGAAATATGATTGACATCATTTTATGGGCCTTTCCTAAGCCGAGCTGACTATGTGCTCACCCTTCACCCATTTGTTTGAAGGGCCCCCACGACTGCTGTCAAAATCCTCAAAGTGTGAAGTGAGAGTGAGCTGTTAGGCCCTCCGACAGCGAGTCTGCATGGTGCTGTCATGTAGACCAGGTGTAACACTGCGTTTATAAGGAGAGGCGCTCAGCTCATTAGAGTTCCTAGTGGTAACTCGCACAGACAGAAACCACTTATATCAAGATCAGAAACAATACAGTCTCACAACTGCAAAAATCTAAAACTTACAGAATCTAATCAATCCCTTAAAAATGCAAGGTTTTTCAGCAACTAAGTGTTTTATCATTATAAAATGTGCCCCTCATATTGGAGTGAAAGTGGAGGTGAACCAGTCTGAGAAAGGGTGTGCACATGTGTTGCAATTATACATTTTTTTTATGATGTTACAAAAAAAAAAAAAAACACTGCTTGTGAGTCCTGAAAGCTTTATAAAATACCTTTGATCAACGTCTTTATTCTCATATATTTGATCGTGTGACAAAATAGACCTTGCATTTCAGACAGAATGGAAAAGGTAAATACTGATGCTGCAAAAGTCCTGTCATGTCTGGGTCAATATCACTGTAGAGTGCCTTTAACCTTTCACACTACTCAAATATTTTGATCTTAATTTCTCATTCCTTTTATGTCTTTTCATAAATATTAGACATTAAAATGTTAGAAATGCATGTTAGCTAAGCTCCCACACATACTTTCACAAAATTATGGGCCAATTTTCAAAGAATAACCAATAAGATATGTCCACCCTATCATGGACATCATGCCTGACTGTTAAATGTTTTAGTGTTGCAACATTATGGTGAAAATGACATTTTCAGTAAGGTACAATGTCCCTCTTCTAAACAGGGTTATTTTTTTGCTTTCAAATTATGAATAAAATAACTATTTGATGTAAATAATTAGATTTTAAAGAAACAGATGCAGTTGGCACATAATGTTTGTTTAATTTGGCGAAAATTATGACATTTTGATGCAAATTTTCACTTGCATATTATTGCCCCCACTTAGCTATTGATCACAACAGAGAATAAATACAGATATTTCACATTATTATTGCATTATTATCAAAATATATCAAGATGACGGGGTGGACTTTTACATGACAGGGTGGACCAGCACACGACGGGGTGGACACAAAGAGCAGAGACACATGCAGAACACCACTGCATGACAGCAGCAGTAAAATATGAATTCATTTTTTTCTGTACCAAAACAAACCATAAACACAGAAACACTCTCAACTTCTTTCACATCATAAGTACCATCACAAACCTGGTGAGAAACTACTTCCAAGATCTGCAATTCTGTGTCAAAACAACAGAATATACAACATCATGGCAATCTTTGGAAGTGGGAATAATGGCTGGATGCACCATTTCCCCACTAGCCTTCACCATGGCAATGGAAGTGATAATTCGAGCGTCCAAATGGGTTGTGGGTCGAGAACGTCTGAAGTGTGGACAGCGTCTACCTCCCATTCGCGCTTACATGGATGACATGACCACCTGGACTTCAACCGTTGCATGCACCAAACATCTGCTAGGAAAGCTTCATGCCAACATCACATGGGCACGGATGAAGTTCAAGCCAAGCAAATCCAGGAGCATATCCATCGTCAAGGGGAAACTCACAGACCAGAGGTTCCACATCAAGGACACACCCATCCTGTTGGTGTCTGAACTGCCAGTCAAGAGCCTAGGGCGATTGTACAACGCACATCTCAAAGACTCAGACCAGAGTGATCAGCTGAGGGAAGAAACCATCAAAGGCCTCGTCAGCATAGACAAGACCTTGCTTCCTGGCAAGTTGAAACTGTGGTGCCTGCAGTTTGGATTGCACCCCCGCCTGATGTGGCCTCTAACAGTTTATGAGATCCCCATGACCAAAGTCGAGAAGCTGGAGAGAACAGTAAGTTCATACATCAAGAAGTGGCTTGGCCTCCTGTGTTGCCTCAGTAACATCGGCTTGTATGGACATGGTGCCCTGGAACTGCCCATCTCTAGCCTCACAGAGGAGTTTAAGTGCACCAAGGTGAGGCTGAACATGACCCTGACTGAGTCGCAAGATGAGGTGATCAGTGCAGCTGCTCCCAGACTGGCAACTGGGAGGAAATGGATCCCATCTGAGGCTGTACAGCAAGCCAAATCTGCTCTCAGGCATGGAGACATTGTGGGACAGGTGCAGCATGGAAGAGGTGGGTTTTGGACTTGGGACATGTCAACCCACATGGCACAAAGCAACATCAACCCAGAGGAGAAAGCTGGTGATTGCTCAGGTTCGGCAACAAGAGGAAGCAAACAGATGCACGACAGCAGTGGCACAGTCCAAACAGGGACAGTGGACCAGCTGGGAAAACCTGGAGCATTGTAAGCTCACATGGAAGGATCTTTGGGAAATGGAAGGAAGCCAAATCAGCTTCATCATCAGAGCCACCTATGATGTTCTTCCCACACCCAAAAACCGAAACCAATGCACTTGTGCACTCTGTCAAACACCTGCAACACTCAGTCACATCCTCACCGGCTGTAAAACCAGTTTGTCCTAAGGCCGCTACACCTGGAGACACAAACAGGCCCTAAGACAACTGGTGATCACTCTGGAAGGAAGGAGAACAACCAACAATGCCCTCCCTCCCCCAATGCCTAGACGCTCAAACACCACCCCATTCGTAAGAGCAGGACAACTGCCGGCAAAACCATTTGCAAGAGTGGAGGCAACCCTTCTAGACTCTGCCCGGGACTGGAGGATGCAGGTTGACCTAGACCAGAAATTCATCTTCCCGTCTGAGATCCTTCCAACTAGCCTCAGGCCGGACCTGGTCTTGTGGTCAACCACCCAGAAGGTTGTGTTCATCATCGAACTAACTGTACCATGGGAGGCAGCAGTTGGTGAAGCAAATGAGCGCAAACGACTGAAGTATGCGGACATAGCAGCTGAGGCAGAGCAACGCGGCTGGAGTGCCCTGGTGCTTCCGGTTGAGGTCAGGTGTAGAGGCTTCGTTGCCACGTCCACAACCAAGCTTCTGAAGAGAATAGGAGTACAAGGACAGGCCTTCCGACGAGCCGTCAAATCACTATCAGAGGCTGCCGAATGAAGCAGCAGATGGCTCTGGATCAAGAGAAAGGACCCCACCTGGGCTGCAAAATGACCACCTGGGGGTAAAAGCAGAGGGGGGCACACCTGGGACACCAGGTGTCGCCGTTGAGCCCCCTGGAGGTGTCGTGGACCTATCAACGAAACACCAGTGAAGGTGGATGCCCACCTGAAGACCCCAGTGAAGCATTTACCCCCCCCCACTCAATTCCAAGTGCTGATCAATCCAAGGGATTGTACTAACTAGTCCTATGAGCTCAACCAATTATTTGACAAATGAAATACAGTTGGAGACATTTATTTATTTGTTTATTTGTTTATTCATACTACCATATTTACAATAACCTTGAGGGCCTTGGCTGTGGTGGACTCGTTGGCATTAAGGGAGGAGTCAACAACTCTTCTTTCATCTTGCTACATATAATGTAACTGAAGAAGGTTTAAACTAATATAACCGTGTGTGTGTGTGTGTTTGTGTGTGTGTGTCTGTGTGGATGGGTGTGTCTGTGTGTCTGTGTGTGTGGATGGGTGTGTGTCTGTGTGAATAAAATGTCCACCCTGTCAGGTCCAAGTGCACGACAGGGTGGACATTTTCTGACAACGACAGGGTAGACATTTTTCCTTTCACTTAGCATTAGCTGTGCATTATATTGTAACTAGCTAGCTAGCTTAGCCTGATTCTTGAAGAGAACTTGCTAGAGTAAAACTTGTATATTTTGAAAATACTGCATTCTAATCACTTCTGGCCTATTTAATGCTGACAGAGTGGACATACCAAGCTTGGCCAAACCAAGTTTGTGAACTTAAACACGCAAAACTTGCCAATAGAAAGTCAGCTACTCACTTGCTGCAGCTCTAGATTTTCCTGCCTTTTGGAGAGATGAGAGAAACTGTTGGTGTGATGTCACTGTAGTTGATGTCCTTTCTTAAAGAGACGGATCCCCCCACACGACAGGGTGGACATTCATTTCAAGGACATATGCGAACTCATTTTTTAAAATAAAATAAGAAATATGATTTTTATTTTTTATTACTTAAGACACTTAATTTATGTAATATGTTAATGAACTAAAAATAATATATACTTTTTTTTTTTCAAAGACATGTATTGACTTTATTCTACTCATCTTGAAAGTGAGTGAGCAGTGCAGGGGACATAGCAAAATGGCATGCATCCTCCTATACAAAACTGAAAAAAATCTTTAAAATGTTTTTAGAGAAGAATAATAATGCTTTATTAAGCCTGTAGAAACTTAGCCCAATACAGCAAACCCTTTCAAAGTAAATTTCATATTAAATTAACATGTCAACTAAGCTATTCATGTACAGGACACCAAAAGGCACAGTTCAGTGATATTGACCCGTCTATCAGATCCTTTAGAACGGTCACATATGCTGCTTGGTAGTTCCTTTTAAAAGACTAAACCTATTTTATGGAGTAACTAGTGTTTATTTTTTCGTGGACAAATAACTGGGGATCATGCTCTATCCTCCTCAGTGTTGTATTAAATGTAGCTATATTTAAATGACACGACTCTGCCCCATACTGAACAATTTGCAGTTTAAATGCACCCAGTAGTTTCCTCAGAAGCCTGAATAATCAGGCAAAGATATGCATGCTGATTTTTTTCCACACATATCAGACACTGAGAATTGGTTGGTTAAGGAGTATAAGATGCCAAATGCTATTGAGAATTATTCCTTTGACATTTTTCTGCTTAAGACTTTTTAGAGAAGGGATCAAAACACTCTTCATTCATTAGTGGCTGTGTGTATGTTTGCATTTGCATCTCTGTGTGAACAATCTGCATGCTGTGTGTGTGCTCATTTGTGAAAATGTGTGTGTGTGTGTGCATGTGTCAAAGCTGCCTCACGACTTGTTCTCCCACTGAGTCCCTTCATGTGCGTTAATGTTGTGTGGGGGGGAAACACACACACACACACACACACACACACAAAAAAAAACAAGTGGAAAAGGCACAGGCAGGACGAAGAGATGGGGGATGTAAAGAGAGACAGTGTGTGAAAGGAAGGATGAGAAAATGAGAGGTGCTTTTGAGATGTAAAACAGCCTTTTGCTGAGCTCGAGTAACACGACAAGGCATTCAGAGCTACCTGTCATATGAATCACCAGCTGACTGTGGACATGAGAGCGTGTGTAGTATGTGTGTGTATGTCTCAAACATTTATTTTGAGACATGCAAGTGTGGCATACACTCATGTTAAAGAAACCGTTTTGCACGCATTTCTTCTGTCTTTATTTTCCCTTTGTATAATTATTTTATTTCAGTTGATTGAAAAGCAGAATTTTCATGTATACTCCAGCTGTTTTTCTCACACTAAGGCAGCTAATTTACCATGACTTTGACACTCAAGTTGTAGTTACTGAAGGGGCCATAGAGAACATATCTATCCAAGTTTTCTTTAGACTTTATCTTTGATCTTTCATCATTTTTAGTCATTTCCCCCTGTCTTTTATCCTCTTTTTCTGGTAAGGACACATGTCATTTACTTTTTATTTATATATTTTTTCTTGTTTCTCCAGGTTGAGTTTGACTGCATCAACCCCAAGAAACAGAAGAAAAAGAAGAATTACAAAAACTCTGGGATCATCATTGTCAAGTTATGTAAGGTAAGGATGGGTGGATTAAATGGACTGAAATCACTTACTCAATCTATCTATTTATCTATCCGTCTGTCTGTCTGTCTGTCTAATTACCTCCGCCAAGGAGGTTATGTTTTCAGTAGCGTTGGTTTGTTTGTTTGTTGGTTGGTTGGTTTGTCTGTTAGCAACTTTACAGAGAAAGTTACGGACGGATTGACCTGAAATTTTCACCAGAGGTGCGTCTCAGCCCCCAGGAGGATCCAGGGCAAATCTGGGAATTTTTGCATTTAACTCTATAAAAATGGCCAGAGTCTTTAGTAAAAAATTACACAAAAGGATCTCAATGAGTTTTATGAGGTGTCAATCCTGAGGTGTTGATCTTGATCCAGACAAAATTGTGGATACTGTGATCCAGAACACACAAAAATAAGGGTGTCGTTGGAATTTTCAGTGATTAGCATTGTCGCCTCACAGCAAGAACGTCCTGGGTCCGAATCCCGGTCAGGGCATTTCGTGTTTTAGGAACGTTATGAACAGTGAACATACCAGTTTAAACACAAATAAAAGTTAATAAAAGACACGTAACAGTAAAAGTTTTGGTGTGAATCACAATATAAAGGGGGACATGAGCCGCTTGGCGGAGGTCTGCGCTCTCCGAGTGCTTTTCTAGTTAGTTATTCATTTACCTCCAGCAGCAAAGTTTTAATCATTGTCTCGTTATTGAAAATCCCACAAAGACTGGTGGCAAAAAACATTACCAGCTTTGCACCTATAGGAGCTTTATTTGAACTATCCAAAGCATATGGTCGTTAAGTGTTTGGCACTGAGTGAATCAGGACATAGGACAGGTTGTTTTAAGTCCTTCAATTACTCATTTGTGTGTTTTGGGCATAACATGAATCAAATTAATCAGTGCATTTGCTTCCATTTTCTTTGGAAGTTAGATCTGCCTGCAGATGGTTCATTTACTCAACAGATTTCATCCTTTCCTACTTCAGTAGGCTGGACTGGAAGTTGACCTCCTCTGTGTTGTACCGCTCAAAAATGCAGGGAACACATACAGGTCACTGCATGAGCCACAAGACTAAATGGAAATAATTCCTTCACATTGCAGAAACTATCAGATATCAATTCAGCAGGCGTGAGAATATTTAAAAATGATGAGCAGCTGCATCATTTCATTAATTATTTAAAATGCAGGACATGCTGACTGTATAAAACAAGGATAAATAACAAAAGCATCCTGTGCACTTGACATCAATAAAACATTGGCTGTTCCTTACTTACACTGCTGATGGATCACATGGCTGTATATTGTTGAGTATTTAGAGGGAAAATTAAGTTAGGGTCAAACACACCGTAACACTGAGTTAGGCCCCCCCTCAAGAGATGAACGTTGCCGGCCGTTTGCTTCTCTAGTTATACCAACTAGCGATATAGTCAGCGGTACAAAGTGTTGTGTCAGAGGATTTTCAAAACATACCCTTTAGATGTGTGTGAGTTTCCACATATAATTTTGTGTCAGTTTCTGCATATATTCAAGGGAACGCACAATGATGCTTGGTGACGCCTCAGGCTAGTGTGCTGCCATGCAGTGCTGAGGTATCAGGACAATGGTGATGGACTTTCTCTGAACAGTAACATGCCTCCTTTGGGCTTGACCACACATTATTTAAAAAGCAAAACACCCACAGGCTCTAAAGTGGGGCCTAGTTCACCAGCTTTTTGCTCAATATGGGCACAAGGTATAAAACTGACAAGTGGGTTGAGTGGGAAATAACAATGACACTTGAGCTACATGCCAAAACACTTTAAATCAGGTGTATGATAGGGCCATGGGAGTCTGTTTAAGTTGGTTGGAGTTGAATTGTGATAAATTCAGGAAGAAAAAAAAACATGCGTTTAGAGAAATCTTTACCCCTCTCTTTTTCTAATCACCTTTTTCGGCTCAGTGAAACATTGAATGAAGAGAATCAGCTTTTGATCAGCTGATACTCTTCAAACTGTGTCTTCATAACTCCCTGTGAATAACTAATTAGTGCTGAAGATTTGAGCCACACATCAAGCTGAAACACTAGGTGCCTAATGGAATGGCGTGAAAGCTGTGTGCATATAATAACAAGCTTTCATAATTGATTCCTTGGCTTCATCCTTTTTTTAACACACGCAATCACTAACAACCCTGTACAGACATGTGAACACACATGACACCCAGAATATGCACAGAAGTATTATTATATGTGCCAGTTGCCAGAGGCGGTACTTGAATGACAGTAAAATTCATGCTCAATAATCAGAATGGAAACTGTGCTCCTTTGGTGGCACCTGGAATCAGTACCAACACACTTTGGGGTTAAATTTCTGAAAAAAAGTGTACTCACCTAAAACTACATAGTCTGTAGTTTTAGGTGAGATAAAAGAAGAGACTAGAAAAGCACTCGGAGAGCGCAGACCTCCGCCAAGCAGCTCATGTCCCCCCTTATATTGTGATTCACACCAAAACTTTTACTGTTATGTGTCTTTTATTAACTTTTATTTGTGTTTAAACTGGTATGTTCACTGTTCATAATGTTCCTAAAACAAGAAATGCCCTGACCCGGATTGGAACCCAGGAGCTTCTTGCTGTGAGGCGACTGTGCTAACCAGTACACCACTGTGCCGCCTATCTACACGATTGTGCCGCCCATTGGTTATCTTTCAGCATTGAAAATTCCAACGACACCCTTATTTTTGTGTGTTCTGGATCACAGTATCCAGAATTTTGTCTGGATCAGGATCAACCTTTGACACCTCATAAAACTCATTGAGATTCTTTTGTGTAATTTTTTACTAAAGACTCTGGTCATTTTTACAGAGTTAAATGCAAAAATTCCAAAATTTGCCCTATCTCACAATGATAAAGAATCCTTCAAAATATTCCTGGATCTAGAAGGCGATCCGGATCACCACCAAAATGTAATGGGAACCTCCTGGGGCTGAGACGCACTTCTGGTGAAAATTTCAGGTCAATCCGTCTGTAACTTTCTCCGTAAAGTTGTTCACAGACAAACAAACAAACAAACCAACAAACAAACCAACGCTACCGAAAACATAAGCTCCTTGGCGGAGGTAATAAATAGTCAGACAAAGTTAATCAGATTTAGACTGTCTTTTTTTCTTCTTGATCCTGGAGTCAAGACACAAATGACTTGATTGGTTGATCTAAGGCCATACCAGTTGTTCAGTTTGACTTAGGGTTGGGGTTGGGGTTATGGCTTTCCTGTTTCCAGTGGATCAGTACTCCCCCTGTCACTTGCTGTCTTTTATTTCATGCACTGTGCCCTGTCAATTATGTGTCTTTAGATAACGAGAGACTACACCTTTCTGGATTACATACTGGGTGGTTGCCAGCTCATGTTTACAGTAAGAATCATATTAGCATGTCTCTTTATTAAATTATTATCGTCATTGTTATTATTCCTCTGCAATGTTGTTGAAAATTAGTTTTCTGTTTCTGCATGCTTTGCTCTTGAAAAACAGTCTGAAAACATTCAGATCTGCTTTTCCATCTCCTAAGGTTACAATTTCAAAATCATTACCATACAGATGTGTGAACAGAGAGGGGCTGAAAAATAAGTGTAGTAGACAGGAAGAATCACACACCAGAAACACAATAATGTAGTTACTTTACTTGGCTTTGGGAAACAGGGATGTACAAAGGAGAGCAGGATAACAAAGGTGAAAATAACAAACTGGCAGAGGTGGGGGAAAGTCCTTATGTTGCAAGTCCAAGTCGAGTCTCAAGTCTTGGCTCTCAAGTTCGAGGCAAGTCCAAGTCTTTTGCTCTCAAGTCTCGAGTCAAGTCCAAGTCCTTACCATTTCTTTCAAGTCAAAAACAAGTCATATCAAAGCCATAAACCATTTGTTATATGTAAAGATTTACATAAATCATGAGCATTTTTCACTATTTGCATTTATTATTAAACAAGGGTTCTTGTTCGTGTTAAGTTACATAGTGCAGCTTTAACCAAACTATTTTACATGTCATACAAAAAATAATCAGATAAACTTCAATAATTGGAAACTCAATGTGCACAAAAATAAGGAAGACTCAAATACAGTTAAACATTAAACTGATACTCTAATTCACTGTTCCAAAACAAAAGAGAGACACAAGGCAACACGTGGAAACAGGCGGGCAATACTAGCGAGCGATTTATGTTCAGTCCTCCCGGTGTTGTCGTTATGAGGGAGGCTAGAGTTTGAGACAGTGTTGCCAAGTTTCGTGAGAGAAATAAGAAATCAGACCTCCAGAAACAGGCCAAAAACAAGCAATTTTTTTATGCGGGAAATAAGCAGACTTGGCAACACAACACGGTGTTACCAACGGCCGTAATTCCTGACTATTAGTAGATGCGACACTTTTTTAATGGTTTGGGCTTGCTGTAAGGTATTAAGTGACTTGAAAAGACTTGAGTTGACTTTTCAAGTCACTGGGCTCCAGTCAAGTCAAGTCAAGTCAAGTCAAGTCTCAAGTCTTTAGCAATCAAGTCCCAAGCAATCAATCATCAAGCAAGTCAAACACGGGACTCAAGTCCAAGTCGAGTCTCAAGTCGAGTCGTCAAGCCCCCACCTCTGCAAACTGGTGTTTTGTAAAATCAAAAATAGAAAGATTGAGGTTTGGTGTAAGTGAGCCTCTCACTCACTCAGCAAATCATCATCATCTATTCTTGTCTTTTATTAGGAGAATCTAGTGTGCTCTTGGCATTGTCACAACTATTTGTGTTTTATAACACACACACTCACAAAAAAACACACACAGACACACCCTGAGGTTTTTTTTATTATCATCCTGGGTCTTTCAGCCCAACAAATGCAACTGTTCAGCGGATAAATCTGTGGTACATCGTTGCGGTCCACTGCTATCGAAACAGAGTTACAGGCACATGCACACACAAACAGTCACACACTAACACAAAGAAGTTAAGATCTGCATGCTCAGAAAGACACAGTAAAAGTACACACACAGTCAACATATACACATGCAATTTATTTTCTCTTTTCTAGGTCTGCAACAATTTTTCAGTCTTGTGAGCTCGAACCAGAGCTCCAGATGGGTACAGATAATGTACTTTGGTGTATGTTTGAAGTTTTTTGATAAGACACACCTGTACCACACTGTTATTTTCTAACATCACCAAGGGTCATTGCATTTGTTCTTCACAACTGAATCAGACTGTTTTTTTCTTTTCTTGAGGATAAAGACGTTTAGCCACACTGATTAAATACTTGATTTGGGGATTTTTGGAGTATTTTGTAACTTGAGCTCAACATATAAATACAGGTTTACTAATGCTGTTTCCTCTTCTCTTTTTTAAAGAACATTACAGATTGCTGCTGCAGGTTTTTGCGCAACAATTTTTACACGTTGTTTCGAAATCAGGAATCAGGTCCTGTTCAGAGCAAACTTGTTATCCTTAAAGGGATATTCCGGTGTAAATTTAAGTTATTGTCTAACACACAGTGGCCCTCATTTATCAAGCTTGAACAGAAAGACAGACAGAAAACTTGCGTACACCTTGCGTACGACAATTTTGACGTGAGGATCGGCATTTATCAATCTGCACGTGAGCGTACGCTACGACCAAATCTCACGACAGGTCTGATATCGTGTACGCAAGTTTGAGTCAGTGTGGATCTGCGGTGCAGCAAATGTCTGTCTCAAAATAATTGATAAACAAACCTCAAACCTGTCACTAAGCACAATCAGCCAGATTTCATTAAAGATTAAGACGTAAATAAGATAAAATAAAGTTGTTATGTCCTTAGTGAATCGGCCTATTTGATAACTGCCCAGAAACACTGCCACAGAGCAGGAGCGCCGTTTCAACATTACGCACACATGCACACGTGCCACTATTCCACGGCAGCGCTGTTCACCGCCACCATAATCCTGCTCCAGACAGGGGTTTACTGGACTGCTTTTATACCAGTTTTGATGCTTCCGAAGAGAAAATCCTTGTTAGTTTCCACCACAGACGCAAGGATATCCACTTTCAGCTAAGAAAAGTTTAGCATCTTTGAAATATTTCTCCTCTTTCATGTTTAACCTCAGTGGGCGAGGCTTCTGAACCACGAATATTTAAGGGCGTAAACATGTTAATGACGATCGAGTTCAGCCGCCGCATTTATCAAGACCCGATCATACGTACGCTTGGATTGGTCAGATACAAACCCTTTCATAAATCTCACGTGTCCTATCGTAGGATGAATCCTGCGCTAAGATCTGCGCAAGATTGATAAATGAGGGCCACTAACACTGAGTGAGACACCCCCTTGAGAGATTAATGTTGCTGACTGCTTGCTTCTCTAGTTATACCAACTTGAGTAACGACCGTACGATAGCAATACACAGCGGTCTATGACTCCAAACCTCAACCCAAAAGCCACTCTATAGCCACAAATAATGCTCAGAACAGCACCTAACTTCATCAACAGTACATACAGGGTCCCAGCAGTAGTACTAGCCATCAAACATCTTTTTAGCTTTGCCTGATTTCTTTAGCAAAGAGACCAAACACAACTCACCCACTCTCCTCCAGCAGCTGCTTGTTTGTGGGGGAGCCCTGACGAGTTGATCACTGAGTGCAGGGGAGCATTTCCATGAAGTAATAATCATCATGTTGCACAGCAGACGCGATAGTTCTTCTGCCGTAGCGTCTGGGTTTGATTGCATTTCCATGAAGTAATAATCGTAAATGTTCTTCCTTGAGCTGCAGGACTCCGCTGCACTCAGTGATCGACTCGTCTGGGCTCCCCCACAAACAAGCGGCTGCAGGAGGAGAGTCGGTCCAGCATGGAGACATATTCCACAGTGTTTTGCTATTTTTCCTTTTCTGCTATTACTAAAGTTGGTATAACTAGAGAAGCAAGCGGTCGGCAACATTCATCTCTCGAGGGGGTGTCTAACTTGGTGTTACAGTGTGTTTGACCATAACCTAAATTTATGCCGGAATATCCCTGTAAATAGATACGAATTATGCAGTTATTTTCACATGGTAAAAATATGCATAAAAAGTCTGGATAGTCCCAAACTTTTAAATCAACTTCAATAACCTCTGCAGCTATGAGAGTACAGAATAACTACTCGCCTCAGTATGTGAAACATGCAGGGAAAAATAAGGTGGTCCTGCTGGTGACTTTTCACTCAGAACAAGAAGCCAAGTTTTCAGATTATATTTTCGGATTCAAATACTTATTTTCTTTAGGGAAATACAATGTTGTATTTTCTTCTGGAGCACAGACAGACTATTTCAGCCTTTCAGATGGAGCTGTTGTACTGGAGAAGAGTGAAGTAGCTCCTCTCGGAGGTTTCACTGTAGCGATGTGTTAGTTGCATCTGCACCCCCCTTGTTCCTGTTGAAGGTTACGCTGTGACTGTGTGAAGTACTTTTCTGGCTCGAGGTCTCGGTCAAGTTAAAAATAGTTGTGCAAAGGTGACTTCACTGGTGTTGTTGTCAGTGTGAGAGGATGTGTTCTTTGTGTCTCCTGGGGACAGGTAGCTGCTGGATCTTGAGTTTGAATTCAGGGTATTGTAGACCAGCACACGCACAAACAGAGAACGACAAGCTTCACTTACAACCTGTTATTCTCACATTTTCTTATGATAGCTTTTAGAGCAGGGAGCATAGCGGTGTTGCCATAGTGATGGGTTTGCTGTTGATGAGAATGTTTGCACCATGATTGAAAAGTGGGGGAGAAATAAACCTTCAAGTGCCTGGAAGAAATCATCTCGTAAAAATAATCATTTGTATGTTTCCTTGTGTGAGAATGTATTAAAGAATTTTTGGCAGGGATCATTATTATTATTTACATATTCTCAGTTGAGTGCAGGTTAACTGAGAAGTTGAAAAGGCAGTTAAAGTTCAATTGCATCCTTACTCAAAGATTTGACTTTTGAAACACTGACAGGAATTTTTTTTGTATTTGTATTATATGTAGATAATCAAACAGAAAAACAATAAATGGGTCAGGTGTGGTTTGAGTCAACGGAAAATGATCACCTCAGGCTACAGCTCTTCATGGGTTTGCAGAGCCATTGTGGTTCTCTTTTACCACTCTTTCAGTGTTGTTCTCAGTCAAAGCAAGCATCTGTCTCTCTCTCTCTTTGTTTTTTTTTGGTGCTGTAAAATCCCATTAGACTTGCCCAGCCACAAACAGACAGTCAGGGGAATAACTAGTGAAGACAGTGTGACATTTTGCAGGAACTAAAGAGCTACATATTAAACCAGGAGTTGGTAAAGATAAAAACAAGAAATAAATGAGATTAAGAAATTGAATTACATCAAATAAAATATTCTAAAAACAGGTCTGGTAAATGAAGTTTCGTCTCCTTACAATTTAAAAATGCACACCTGGAATCAGATAGTATTAACTCCATGTAAAGTTTCCTTTATCAACTTATTAGGATGATTTTTGTACCGCAGCAGCTTTCATTTGAGCTTCTTAAGAAGCAAATATAAGAAACTGCTTTTGTCCAGTTTTGTTGAGTTTGGTGTTTTCATTTGAGCTTGGATAAAAACTTGAAAGTAACCAAAGATTGGTGGAGCCTGGCAAACGGACAAAGCACAGATTATGGGTCAAAGACAGGGGGTGTGGAGTTTAGCGGAATTTAATAGAGTGAGGCATTTATTTAGGTTTGATTACAGCTCCTTATCATCATAAAAATATGATAAATGAGACTAAACAAGTATTTTGCCACCCGCTGTGCTCCCCCCCCTACTTCTTGTATGTTGAACGAAGTGCACCTTCCCTCTCTACAACAGCTGAGCGGCCATCATAAGCAGCTCAGATCACTGTGAAACAAAGTTTTGGAGCACAAGGATGTTGTAGCTCTGTCAAAGATCAATAGTGGACCACTGTGCCTTCAGGACGTTGGATAGAGGATCCAGGGAAAGGAACAAAAGGAGGCAGGTGTGTGTATCTGTGTGGGTCAGAAAGGTCAAGGGACAAAATGACCATGATAAAAAAGAGGCTGAAGGGATCATAAGCATGCAAGTGTGTTAACATGCTAAAAAGTGAGACATCATTCCCTATTGTAATAAATTACAAGCGAAAGAATTCAAGCATTCAAATTCTTCCATTTTTTTATGACAGTATAAAAATGGCTTTATACAAGTTAAATCTTGCATTTTATTCAATAAGTATGATCACCAAAATTTAGATATTGCCCTTAAAGTAATAATTGATTTCTTGGTCCCCTTCGGTAGTAGTGCATATGATTTTTAAAAGACAAGGACATATTCTAATCAAACAGAAAGAAATAATGTTTCATTATTTCAAGTTTTAAGGTTTAAAGTGGTTGAAAGTTGCATTTCCATAGCCCTCTGTCCATTTCCTCTGAGCTAAAAAGTCTACTCCATTTGAAGTCACACTCACAGCCCAGTGAAGCTCCTCCATCAGGGTGGAGGGATCAGATTTAGCTGTACGCTTGGGTACGAACTCCTCTCACCTCAGTGGAAGCAGGAACTGTAGCCATGGTTATACATCACACAATGTAGCAGTAGCTCAGGAGGTAGAGCGGTCATCCAATAACCGAAAGGTTGGCGGTTCGATTCCCCCCTATCCCAAGTCTGTCCGTTGTGTCCTTGGGCAAGACACTTTGCTCCCAGTGTGTGTCCTCCACTGGTGTATGATTGTGAGTGTTGTGTGGTGGTGGTCGGAGAGGCTATAGGCGCAAAATGGCAGCCACGTTTCCGTCAGTCTGCCCCAGGGCAGCTGTGACTACTAAGGTAGTTTATCACCACCAAAGTGTGACTGTGTGAGCGAATGAATGATGTATCCAATGTAAAGCGCTTTGAGGGTCTCTGATAAAGCGCTATATGAAATCTGATGCATTATTACAGTTGTAAATAGAAAACGCTTAATAGTAAAGACAGACTGCAGTTTTCATTAGATGGTCTAATAGCCCACTCTCACTCCATATGCAGTGGTCCATATGGTACTCGATGTGAAGAACCCTGCACATGACCATGACATGGAGCGAAAGTGTGTGGGGAGGAGGTGTGGTGGACAGTTTTGCAAAGGCCATATGAGGACCTACTGTGCAAAACCCCAACATTTTTTATTAAGATATTTTTTCAAATGGAGAGCTATCCATGCCAAAGCTGCCACTTTTCAGCATGGTGTAAGTTAGTTGGAACTCTTAGTCGGCTAGTTAGCAGCACTGTTGGCTGTCTATGCCAGCTGTTAGGCTCTGAGTTTGTGTCAGTTGCAGTGTAAAGTTAGCCCACAATCTTTTTTGCTTCTGTTTTTACAATTTTTCCTTTTTACGTAATTTTTTGGGGTATTTTTGTTTAATACATAGAATGGGGGACGAGAGACAGAAAATGTGGGAAGTCCATCAGTGTTCAACTACTTCAATCTGGGGTTGGGTCGCGGGGGCAGCAGCCTGAGCAAAGAAGCCCAGACTCCCCTCTTCCCAGCCACTTCGTCCAGCTCTTCACGGGGACCCAGAGGCGTTTCCAGGCCAGCTGAGAGACGTGTGTGTCCTGGGTCTTTCCCGCGGTCTCCTTCCAGTGGGACATGCCCTGAACACCTCATCAGCAAGGTGTCCGGGAGGCATCATGATTAGGTGCCCAAACCAGCTCACCTGACTGCTCTCAATACAGAGGAGTAGGAGCTCTTCTCCTAGCCCCTCCCAAATGACGTAACTTCTCACCCTGTCCCTAAGGGAGAGCCCAGCCACCCTGCGGAGGAAACTCATTTCGGACGCTTTCGGTCACTACTCACAGCTCATGACCATAGGTGAGGGTAGGAACATAGATAGACTGGCATATCGAGAGCTTTGGCTTTCGGCTCAGCTCCCTCTCCACTTGGGGCAGGATCTCATCTCAGACCCAGAGAGGGCACTCCACCTTTTTCTGGCTTTAGAACCATGGACTTAGATTTGGAGATGCTGATTCTCATCCCAGCCGCTTCACACTGGTCTGCGAACCAGGGCCCGACCAATATGTTTTTTTGGGGCTGATGCCGATTATTAGGGGGGTAGTTAGTGGATGAAGTCACGAAGTTGCTGCGCCATCTACAGGATAAGTCATGGAACTTTTCAAATGGCGGAAAATTTTCGAAGTGAAACCAAATCTTATTCTCTGCATTTTATTTCTGAAAATATTGGCAAAATTTTGACCGATTACCGATTTGTCTCAAACTGACTAAAATTGGTGAATTTAATTGGCTCGCTGATAAATTGGTCGGGCCCTACTGTGAACTGATCCAGTGAGAGCTGAAGGTCATGGTCCAATGAAGCCAACAGGACCACACCATCTGCAAAAAGCAGTGACCCAATCCTGAGGCCACCAAACCCAACCCTCTCAACGCCCTGGCTGCACCTAGAAATTCTGCCCTTAAAAGTTATGAACAGAATCAGTGACAAAGCCTTGGCAGAGTCCAATCCTCACCAGAAATGAGTCCGACTTACTACCGGCTATGCAGACCAAGCTCTGGCACCGGTTGTACAGGGAATAAACAGCCCTTGTCAGGGTGTCGGGTACCCCATACTTCTGGAACCCCCCCTACAGGACTCCACAAGGGACACGGTCAAATGCTTTCTCCAAGCCTACAAAACACATGTGAACTGGTTGGGCAAACTCCCATGCACCCTTGAGGATTCTGGTCCACAGTTCCATGACCAGGGCGAACCGCATTGCTCCTTCTGGATCTGAGGTTCGACTAATTGGTGGACCCTCCACTCCAGGACCCCTGAATAGACCTTTCCAGGGAGGCTGAGGAGTGTAATCCCCAAATAGTTGGAACACACCCTCCGATCCCCCTCCTTAAAAAGGGGGACCACCACCCTGGTTTGCCAATCCTGAGGCACTGCCCCGATGTCCATGCAATGATGCAGAGTCTTATCAGCCACGAATGCCCCACAACATCCAGGGTCTTGAGGAACTCAGGGCAGATCTCATCCACCCTAGGGCTTTGCCACCGAGGAGCTGATTAACCACTGCGGCAACCTCAGCCCCAGAGATAGAAGAGCCCACATCCGAGTCCCCCAGCCCTGCTTCCTTGCTGGAAGGCGTGTTGGTGGGATTGAGGAGTTCTTCAAATCATTCTTTCCACCGATCAACAACGTCCCAAGTCGAGGTCAGCAGCGCACCATCCCCACCGAACACAGTGTTGACAGTGCAGTAAAGGGTCATGACAAGGAGTCATAGCAGTGACCTCTGCGATGAAGAATATGGCCTTCGATGTGACACCATAAACTAAGCAGAGTTTGCTGGTTTTGTGGTGTCTTAATTAGCATTTTTCATTATTTTTACTACCTTTGCTTTGAATACTGTTGTTTTGTCTTGTTTATGTCATTAGCATTGTTGTATATGTTTTAGACTTAAGGATTTTAAAAACAGCATGATTTCTAAACTTACAGCACATTTCACTACTGCCAATGGGTTAGCCTTATTCTTAACTGTTGGTGAAGGAGAACCTCTAACCTCTTTCAGTGGCCAAGTTTACTCAGAGCCTTGTTTGTTTGTAATGAGCTTAATTTTAGAGCAACGTGAAGATTTGCCTGTTTCAGTGGCAGCAAGATGAGCAAGTTCAGGGCGTAATGGAAACTCTTAAATCCTCACTGCTCCCTTCCTAATCTTTTGCCTTTTGTCACAGACCTGCAGCTCTGTCACTGATGCACACACACTCACACCCACACACATTCACACCTAATACTGTCTTAACACAGATACATTCTCTCTCCTGCTTACAAACTCATTTACATGCACACATGTGAGCACAAACATACAACATCCTCTCCCTTCATCCCCCTCCTCCACTATGACCAATTCACATGCAAACTCAGGAAACCATGACTCTCACACACTCACATATGTCCAAAGATTTCTTATTTCATCATGCAAACCTCATCATTTAGAACAAAACTCATACTGAAGGTGTGCACAGTCTCTACAAACATGCACCCTCACTTCATACACACACACACACACACACACACACACACACACACACACACACACACACACACACACACACACACACACACACACACACACACATGGACTGATCCAAATATACACGAGCACACATAATCTCACACAATGATGGATAACTGGTGACATCTTCTCATAAACACACTGCACACTTAGATACACCGATTTGACATACAAAATACATACATGCATGCTTTTTTTTCACATCGTGTACAAAAACACACCCACACTAAAACACACATGCAGAGAGAAAGAGAGAGCAGGAGAGCTGTTCTGCGGTGTTCAATCAGACTTAGTATGACTCTAATCCTAATCTCCAAGAAGGGAAAGTCTCTCCTCCAGGCTGGGGAAGCTGAAGGCAAGAAGAGTGTGTCTCTCTTACACGCTGTGACACAAGGATGGGCTGTTTGTAAAACACCCAGTTTCATATGAATTGCTCTATTATTCAGAACTGATCACTCAGAGCTATGTAGGATGTGCGTCTAGTATCCCCATGGATTTAAAGAGAAAAACAAACTTAAAAAAAAAAAAAACATGGAGATGAAGGTAGAGAAACCACCACTGAAGACGCACAGTTGTTAGTTTCAGTTATCTCAATGCTATTTTACAATTTAGCTCTGAAATCCAAACCCTGGACAGAATCTAGTGTTAGATTTACAGTTAAGATGCACTTATGTCACAGCTTTATGATTCTGCATCATCCATCTGAATAAATATGTTCTCAGAAATGTGAGTATTTTAGTCTTATTCATACAGCTAAAAAAATCATCCCTCTGATTCCACAGATGGTGGCGCCTCCATGGCAACATTTTATTTTTATTAGCCCCTTGAGGTTGCGATAAACATCAAACCACACATATTCATTCATTGTAGATTCATAACATTCACCTGCTTTTCTGCTGTAAATCAACTTGACCTTAATGTTTCCTTTGACAGTAAACTCAAGGCATTTGTGTTTTTCCTTTGGCATTTTGAACTGATGCATAAAATGACCACTGCACCTGTTTAAATTCTTGCCTCAGCTCTGTAGCTTTGAAAGTCTGATGACATTTCCATTTTGCTTAGCCAGCCCTCTAACTCAGCCAAAGCCCAAACTGTGCTCTGTTTACTGTTTGCTTCTGGTCTGTCTTCTTTGTGATTATTGTCTCTTTCACCCAGCTCTGTGTGTCTCAGAAATCTCATCCCTCACTGTATCTGTTTCCTCCTCAGACATTTATGTAGAGGTGAGAACACAAGTTTCAAGAACATAACTGCCATGAAAACATAAAAAAATAACTCTGTTTTTCTCTTTTTCCACATTGTTTACTTTACCCATACTCTTTCTCTAAATCTTATCCCTGAGTCAATGTACTACAGCTTTTTTATCTCTCTTTCTTTGTCTTGAGGCAGTTTTTGGTTAAAAATATGAGTATAGATCTAGGTTCTTTTTTTGCTTTTCAATACTGCTGAATGTTGTGTTAATAAATAATGTGCCATTTTAAAGCAGGAGATACCAAAACAGTTTCAAAGTATTGAACATTTTGACAGATTTAATTGCAAATATTCAAATTAGACTTAATTGAATCATGTAATAAGTATTTATTTTACAGATTGGCTTTCTTATTAATGTTGTGGTGTCTAAAATAAAGTCACAGCCATTAAGTTGGTGCTTGAGGTCATCAGAAATGGGAGTTTTTCATAACTGACAACTGATAACACAATCCAACTGTAATTATTATTATTATTACAAATGTTACTCAGTGATGCAGCTTCATAGCTACCATGAGCTATTCACCAACCTGTGCTAGGAAATGTTAGACTGTATTATTTTGTATATATATGCTGTTTGGTTGAATTTTTTCACGAGATAAACTATATATGGTACAGTTATTGTGGAAAAAAGTTTTTAAAGAGTGGCAGCTGACAGTAGGTCTTGGCACTGGAACGTCTAACACTGCGGACGCTGCTTTTGAACTGCTGCTCCATCAAACTTTCTGCCTGTTTTACTGCGACGGCTGCTAGTAGATCTTGGTGTGAATTTGGAAGCACAGTGGACTCCTTGTTTTTTATTACAGCCCCAGAAAAACTCAGTCAAATCACTGCACAGACACATGTAGTATTAAGTTGCTGCACTTTCTTACTACTTGTTGAAAAGACATCTTTAGCCAAAATCATGTTACCTGTGTCATTTTCAAGGTCTTTTCTTCTGCAGAGCACCAGTAGCTCATTAGCATTTTGCCTTTGAGTCGTGGACGGAGACAGCGCTGCTCTGCACACTCTTTTTCATGCTATCTTGCAGCCTAACTGGTGTAGTAGAAGTGGCAGGTAACGTAGGATCTATTCAGCTCTTGGACACTGATGTCTCTGGGGACATGATGAAAGCTAATATCATAGTTAGCTTTCTTATGAGTATTGCAACTTGCTACTGCACATGCTTGTTCTGCAATTGTCATCTCTACTTTTGTGACTCTGGCCTGCAGAGCAGGGCTGCGGGGATGGAGCTTAGATTTGCTATGTAGGAAATCTCACTGTATCTGAACCATAGACTGTATCTCAAATGGACGGCGTCTGCCCCCTCGTTGGGTGAAGCCACCTCAAGAATAGCACACTCTGGTGACGGGCTGCAGCATAGGTCATAAATCCTCCTCCAGCTGTCCTCATTGAGCTGTGGACAAACTTTAGAAATTAATTACACAGAATATAAACAGAAAAGAGAGAAAGGACCTTGTCATCTCTGAAGTGACAAAGATGGCTGAGGAAGAGTACAGGGTCAAGGCAGTGGCACAAAGGCAGCAGGGATGTTGAACGACATGGGAGGGGGTTGTGGGTCGAGTGGTAAGCTGGGCAGACTTCTGGAAACTACCACAGGCTCGACTCAGCTTCCTCCTCGGGGCAACGTATGACACGCTGCCCTCCCCCCAAAACCTCCAACAGTGGCTGGGCACGGAGCAGGCCTGCGACCTCTGTTGGACCATCAGTGCTTCCCTGCAACACATCCTATCAGGATGCAAGACCGCACTATCTCAGGGCAGGTACAGATGGCAGAAGTGGTGGAGAAGAGAAGGCAAAAGGCAAATAATGGGAGCCAGCCGGGGATACAGCAGTGGATCCAGTTCCTGAGGGAGGGGGAAGTGGGTGAAACCTTCAGTGCAAGACCAACACCTACCCTTCTGTTGCCAGTTGTGGAGTGGAGAATGGAGGTGGACTTGAGCAGGCAGCTCCATTTCCCAGGAGAGATCTCCCAGGAGAGTACCACATTACAGCCAGACATGGTGCTGCGGACCAAGGCGGAGAGGTCTGCTGGTGGAGCTGGCTGTGCCATGGGAGGAGGGGATGGATGGAGCCTATGAGAGGAGGAGGGTAAAATACACCGACCTAGTGGCAGAGTGCAGGGAAAATGGTTGGCGCACACGGCTCTTCCCAGTGCAGGTGGGCACCAGGAGTTTTGTGGGAGGCTCAACAACTTGCCTACTGAAAGAACTAGGGCTGAGGGGCAAGGAGCTACACAAAGCTACCAAGGAGCTGGCTGAGGAGGCAGAGAAGGCATGGGCAATCCCTGAGAAAAGCTAGCTGCAGGGGATGACTGGGAGACGTCCCTGTTCACTTCTTCGCCACCAGGAGATGTTCCGGGTTAAGGGGCAAAACATCTAGGAGCGGTGGTCCCCCCGGCTGACCCTGCAGCTAGCAGAATAGGCACCGGTGGAGGTGCGGCAGGCCAAGAGCCTAGTGCAGGTTAGAACATCTACCTGTTCAAACCATTTACATTTCTCTCCCCCCTGCTTGTGATGTTGACATGTAGTTACTGTAAGACTGGTTTGTGCTCAAGTCCTCTTTTTTTCTGTACAGCTCCAAGTTATTAGGAGGTTCATTTTTTCTATGATTTAAATCTGATACAGCCTATGGGCGTACAGAGGTAGCGTAGCTCACCTGGAGGATATGCTGTTTGAGCCGAGCATCATCACAGCAACTCTCCCGCCGAATGCGTACAATGCTACTGTGCAAGTGGTGAATTGTGTACAACGCTACTGTGCAATGCTGGTTTCAAGAAGTGGAGAAAAAATCTGGAAATACCAAGAGCTTTTCGGCCTCAAATCTGTATACTGGTGGAAAGCAAAACCAAGTTGTCCATAGCATATACAGTCTATGATCTGAACCTGCCATTTGGGTCTGCCAGAGACTCAGAGATTTGAATGCAGAAACACTCAGAAATGCAGTTTTGCACTTAGTTTCCTCATATGTCCACTAGCATATGAACATGAAAACAACAAGAAAAACATGATTTTCATTGGAGTGGGTCTTAAAGTCTACTAATGTGTTTGCAGTGTCTAATAGCTTTCAGTGAGAAATAAGCTGGAAACAGAATAGTGGCATTTCTTACTGTCAGGAGTTTACAGTATTCAAATTAAAATGTCTGTCACTGAAGAGAGCACCGAAGGAGAGAACTGTAATAACTGTAATAGTTTTTTAGATGATCTTGTCCAAGCGACTGTCAGTTCAGGCTACATATTTTCAGGTTCATTGAAAGACGAAATAAATTGAGGTCAGGCTAAAAACTGACAACATGCAGCAGGCAGGGAACAGAAAACTAGAGTAATATTTTGTACCATCGTAGTCATCTCATCCATGCATACAAACAACATACATTCATCTCTTGTATATGCAGGGATGCACACAGGTTCTTGCTATGGGTGACTGTCAGGTCAAATGCTAGGTTGCACCATGGGGGCATATAAATCCCTAGGACACATTTACTTTGTGAAGTGTGCTGTGAAGATGTTGAAGACATGTTTTATCTTGTGCATTTGCCAGAGAGAAAGGGATTGATTTTTTGGAGTGGGGCTGTATGAGGTACTGAGGTCAATAGTAGTTTGCGGTTCCTTAAATCTAACTGATTTGGGGAGTTGACCTGGTCTGCTGTGGTTGTTGGGTTTTCTTTTGTTCTGGTTCTTTTCCTGGTTTCTGTGTTCCATACATTCAGACATGTTTCACTTTCAGCCATGACATAATTGTTGCAGCTTTTGCCAGGAGGTCATGTTGTCAGATGGTTTCAACCCTTAATAATACTCCCATATTGGTGGGTCAGCATTGGTCTAAAAGGCCTCCTTGCACCCCTAATCCAATGGCACAGTCAACTCCACCATGCTGATCATTTTCCTTCTTTTAAGGACAGTCCTGCATCTCAAAGTGGTATGGATAACATCTGTAAACTGGAGCCTTCTTTCAAGGTCTGACTGCAGAAGACTTCCCTTGGGTTTATTGGGTGTTACAGACTTTGCTCCTTCCTCAATAAACATTACTGTATTTGGCAGCTTGCCCTGATTCTCTCCTGCTCTAAAATATCATATTAATATGGTGCCACCTGTGTCTGCCCTAGGTCGGACCAATCTTGCATCCTGATCATTTTAGTGAAATTGTACCCTTTTGCCTGCAGAGCTTGTACAATGTGTTGTCTCTACTGCCTCACTTGTGCAGGTTCACAGGGGTTGGAAGGGTGCCATTGACAGGCCTTAATAAGAAAAGATCCCAAAGGCTCAAACCTCCGGAAGTCATCCTATGTTGATTTCTTTTTGAAGAGCTTTATCTTGTCCAGGCTAACTAGGATCCTAGCTCCACTACTCTTGACCTCCTCCATTCTTCTTCTGGGCTCCCAATTTCAGCCTGGATCATAGCTGTCCTCTCCCCACAGATCGAATTGAATCATTCTCAGTCCTTGTCTCCCAGTGCAGGGCATGCTAATGACATCCTTAAGTTGGACATTTCCTTCTTTCCTTCTGCTTGGGCCAATGTTTCTGAGGCCTCCTAAATTTCCCCAACTCTGTTTTGTTTTTTTATCTGAGCCTCAGTAGCAGTCGGATCTGTTGTACTGTGAAGTCTAGAGGGATTCCCAACCATCTTTGGAGGCACTTGTTGATCTTGCACTTCACTCCTACTGCTTTAACTGGGTCTTCATAAACCATCATCAATCAGAGCAGGCTGTGCTGGTAAAGCCATGCTTTAAACTTCTCCTGGAGGCCAGAGAAATTGTCCTTCAGCCAACCCTCTGCTTTTTTCTCAGTGCTGTGAACATTGTTACTGTCCCTCAATAACTCATTATACCATTTTTCCAAGTATTTGATGGTATTACCCCGATTGATGGGATGGCCTAATTTCATTTGAGCGGCTTGTACTGGTCGCTGATGTCCCTTTCTTGACTTGCTTTCCTACCTTGCCATCTCATCAAGCATAGTAAGCACACATCTTGTCTATGCATGGGATGTTGCTATTGTAGGTTATGCATGAAACCACTGATCCCTGGTTGTTGGACCCGGCTTAATTGTTGGACTTCTAGTTTCCTTTTCCGTCATTGTGATGTTGAAGTTCATGCCCATTCTCAACAAAAGGGCCAAACTGAATGGCATACACTCTCTATTGAAGAATCTTGCTAAGAAGAATCAACTTAATTTAGCTAAATTCTCAGTATAAATAAAACACGCAAGACAAAAATCATGGTGCCACATGTGGCTTTAGATGCAGGAAAAAGTATCTGACACGAGGAAAGCAGAGTTCAGTCTAAAGATGTAAATAAAGACACATAAAATACTAATGCAGTTGTATTGGAGAGATAAGGTTTTGTTGGACCCTTGCTGGCAGTGTTGTCAATTTGTGCACAACTGTTGCTGTGGGTTGCACTAAGAGATTCTTACATGTAAATAACAACAGGATGCACACTTGTAGGTAGGCAGTGGAGGTATCTTTAATTAATGATAATTTGTTTTCAAGTTAATAAGGCTGCATGTTTTAAATTCATTATGAAGTTTGCATGGCAGAAAGAAAGTTACTGTATGAAGATGAAGGGAGGTTGAATTATTCAGAGAACAGTAAAAAAAATCTTATTCTTAAGCGTAAAGAACAAGAACTGGTAATAAGAATGAATTTTCTGGATATAAATTTCAGCTTTCATCTATGAGCTTTGGTAGTTAAACAAAAAGGCTGGGATTGTCAATTTACACTACATTAATTGTTGGTGGATAAGTCAGTGTTTTTTTTGACTGCTTTATTACTTGGTCCTTGAAAGTTTTTGAAACAGCATAAATTTTTTGGTGCAAAAGATACTGAAACTCGCAGTGGCATTGCTAAATGCTATATCTTGTAGATTCTGTTTCAGGGCTTGAAAAATAGCATTTGAGGTCCTGTATCCATAAAGTGTTAGAGATTTTTTTATGTCAAAAATGGACTTAAATGTCTTCTTGATTTTCACCAGCATCTCTTTTAGTGAAAACATTTGTCTTATTCCTGAGAAACAGCTCTAACTCCATGCAGAATTATGTGGTAACCGTCTGTAGGAGTATTTTTGCACATATATTGTTAAGGAGGTAACACTCACGCTCACACAAATATAAAACAGACAACACGCCTGGTTCTGTCACCCTGCATCTCTGTTCATCACACCTGCTGCCCCTTCTGCTCCTCATACTCGGTCTACTCACTCATTATCGCATTTATCTTTATTTACACCATCTTTGTTTTGTCCAGCTGCTTCTCCCTTGGCTCTCTCTTTGGTAGTCGTTCAGTTGAACCACAATATTTAATTCTCCAAACAAAAGAGACGGTTCAGACCATCTCTAAGCTGATAGGAGGGAGCTGGAGTATCTTGGTGGGATTCTTGTCAGCACACAAACCAACATTCACTGCCCGAGGAAAAGCTTGTCACTCTTAATCTCATAATATGTTCAGCTGCGTGGCTCTAAATCTGTCCCTTCTGTGTTGATGTGTTTGTGCTTCCCTGTTATGGTTTTGTCTTTGTTTTCAGATTTGTCCATACTCCCTGTCATTGCCGTGTCACCCTGAGGTCATCTCCTTTAAAAATACTTCTCTATTTCTTTTTTTGTCAGTGCTGTGCTGCTTTGAGTCTTTCAACCGTTAACAGATGAAAACTCAAATTTTCTAGAATTAAGAAAAAACATTTTTTACTTCTTACTGGTAAACTTGAACTTTTGAGTTCAACATCATTATGCTATAATGGATTTATTTAAAAAAGTTTGCTGCACTAACAAATGAGGATTACAATTAGTAATCTATTCAAATGTTATAATGGAACAAGGATTGGACTGACAGACACAAAGATTGTAATGACGGATCATTGCTAGGTACTCTGTGATATTCGACTAGAAACCAATGGTGATTTATTTAGAGCTGATGTAGACATTTGATTTCATTGAGTAAAAATTCACACAGATGTATCTGATATTATGTAAAGGGTTTGTGATCGTGCAAAAAAGTTTTTTATTCATCATTAATAAAGAAACGATTTAAGTGCTGGCCACAAAAAGTAATCGTGCCATGACATTATCATGTATCTAAAGGACCCTGCTCAGTACCATAAAAAAGGTTGTTCTATTTCTATCTTTATTTTTATGAGTAAACTTTTGTATGACCTGTATATGAGTATAAAAATACCCTTCTAAGCGAAATCTGGCAGATTTTGGTTGTTGTATCAGCCATATCAGACACTCTATGACAAAGTACTTACAGTAAAATGTAACAATTATATGCTATATGATGCGACACTTACCAAAGTACTGAGAAAAAGTGAAAGATAAGTCTTGAGAAATGTAGCTGAAGTGCTAAAACTGCAGTTCCTCAAATGTCCACTTCAGGCTGACCCCAAAAGCCTTAAACACCCATTAAAAAAAGCACATCTTTAAGGCAAAAACAAATGTGTTTACACCTGGGTGCAATAGATGTTTATGCTCTGAATAGCTCACTTCTCTCATCCACAGGAGGGGAGTGAATGATTTATAACTGAGTAGTTATGAAGAAATATAAGTTACAAGTTTTCAACTAGAAATTCCCTCTGGGAAATTTAGAAAGGGCCACGAGGTCTACTGCCAGGGTGTTTTCTTCAGAGATTTTAATAATTAATACTATTGATACAATAGTTATATTATCTTAGACTGTATAAAGAATGGATGCTGTCTGCCTCCTTGCTGGGTGAAGCCACCGTGAGAACAGCACCCTCTGGTGATGGGCTGCAGTATAGGTCATAAATCCGCCTCCTCCAGCAATCCATATGGAGCTGTGTACAAACTTCAGAAATTAATTACACAGAATATAAATTTTTCTCCCCCCTGCTTGTGATGTTGACATGTAGTTGCTGTTATACTGGTTTGTGCTCAAGTCCTCTTTTTTTCTGTACCGCTCCATTTTTAAAAGTTATTAGGAGGTTCATGTTTCTATTATTGACACTTGATACAGCCTATGGGTGCACAAAGATTGCGTAGTTCACCCGGGGGATACGCTGTTTGAGCCAAGCGTCATCACAGCGACTCTCCTGCCGAATGTGTACAATGCTACTGCGCAAGTGGTGGGGTGCGTACAACGCTACTGCGCAATGTTGGTTCCAGGAAGTGGAGAAAAAATAAGGAAATACCAGAGCAATTCGGCTTCAAATTCGTATAATGACGGAAGGTTGAGCCAAGCTTCCATCGTATATACAGTCTATGGATATTATATACAAAGAGCACACTGATAACAAACATTTCTTTTTCAAGTTTTTATTCATACAACAAAAAAAAATGATGCAAAAGGATGCAGGCTCATGTGACAGAAGAGCTAAGTGGGAGGACAGTAATGATCTTCCATGTTGTCTGCAAATACACACACACACACACACACACACAGAAACACACACGCACATGCACACACGCCCACTCTGAGAGGTGCTCACACATTAAGCGGACCTACAGTCCCTATAAAAAATTTAAAAAAGCCAGAATGTGCTCATTCTGACCCATGCGCATACTCAGGAGGTAAAACGAGTTGCCAGCTGACCATCAGGTTGGTGGTTTGATTCCCGGACCCAGCTCTCACAGTTGTGTCTATGAGCAAAATTTTAGATTTTACTGTTGCTAATGATCACTAAAATGTTTTTTTAAGGCATGTCCAGTATTCAGAATACAAAAAATGTATTTACAATTGTTTTTTGTCTTTGCTTTATTGACAGATTCATTTTCAATTCTTGAGATTATGGCATATTTTAAATCAGATATTATTTTAGACAGTGAAAAAATGTGATTATCTAATGTTAGGGTATGGTCTCCTGTTGCAGCCTCTTTTTATGAATCCTGACGGTAAAATAGTTTGATATTCATGACAAAATCTAAGTTACCGGGCTCTTACTGCAGCTTTAACTGAGAAACAAATTGATATTATTGATTGCTCCAGTAAAGTGATAATAAGGTACAAAAAACAGCACCACCAGAGAAGTCAGATAAGATTTATAACTTAGTAAAATTGGCTCTTGAGCAGTACTCTGTGTCTTTATATTGACCTCTCATTCGTGTCTCATCTGGATTTTCTCAGGTTGGCATTGACTTTACAGCATCCAACGGGAACCCTCGAGAGCCATCCTCCCTCCACTACATCAACCCGCTGGGGAGCAACGAGTATCTGGCCGCTATTTTAGCTGTAGGACAAATTATACAGGACTATGATACGTGAGTATCTCCCACATCCCTCTTGGTCACTAACACTTAAGTCTACAGTTAACTTTTTTAAGTCTTGTCATTTTTATATATTTGAAAGTGATAAAATACCTCATTACATAAAGTAGGTTCATGTTGTTATGATTTCTCAGAGGCAGATGTGTATGATCTGATAGTAATTAAAAAAAATCACCAGCAACCTCAGGAGTAAGATCATGATTTGTTGTTCTTAAAGTGTCTCTTCAAATGTTCACTGAAAACATACAAAGGTAGACATGACTTGTCAGATCATTGAAAATGACTCCTCCCTCTCCACAGTATCTTCAAAGTAAGATCAAATCCCCGTGGTAAATAGATCATCTCTGAGGTTTTTGTGTGATCTGACCTCTGAAAAAGATGCTTTCTTTCTTTTTTTTTTGGTGGCAATCCATTTTGCAGTATTGTTTCATTTTTCCTCTGCCAGCTCTCTGTGACTGTTTTTCTTTCACTGAGTGTCTTTATGAAAAAAAAGATAGCATGATTACCTCCAATGTCTAAATCCAGCTTGGCGAATTCCGATGAAAAAAAGGTTTAACGAACATTCAAATCTGTTGTCATGGTTTCCTCCTCAGTGACAAAATGTTTCCTGCCTTGGGATTTGGAGCTCAACTCCCACCAGACTGGAAGGTGTGTGTATGTTTTGTTTTTTTTTTCTTTCAGGAATGCTATTGGCTTGTGTGTGTGTGTGTGTGTGTGTGTGTGTGTGTGTGTGTGTGTGTGTGTGTGTGTGTGTGTGTGTGTGTGTGTGTGTGTGTGTGGACTACAGCTCTGTATGATTTGTGGATCTATGTAAGAAGAGCATATGAGAGAGGGTGAGGGGTTGTCATGTGCCAAATGACAGTGTAAGCAGTCCTGTATTATACATGCATTTTACACGCACAATCATGCAGACAAAGATAAAACTGTAAGCATTGTACATGCATATTCACATGATTACGCAACTGTCAACCCATCTGTGTTGCCATGGCACTGAGCTGATGAAAAGGACAAAGGAGAGAGAGCAGTACACAGAGAGAGGGTGGGAGGGAGAAGGTGTGGGAGAAATGGACAATATTTCTGAACATTTTTTAAGTGTACTGATGATTTGAGGATAAATACCAATTTAACAGAACATGTCCTCTGTCTCTTCAGGTGTCACACGAATTTGCCATCAACTTTAACCCCACCAACCCCTTCTGTTTTGGTGAGTTCATGGACAGTACTAGTCACAGATGCTCCTACGACACTCAGAAATATTAATTTCCACATTATTACATCATTCTTTGAATTTAGGCCTTTTAAGGAATTAGGATGTTCAAATTTTAGACTTACGTTGACCAGCCATAACAAACAACTAGGCAATCTAAGGAGACCCTACTCACTCACAGAAATATTTAGGCCAAACTGCATATAAAGGGCTCTATTTTCATGCCTCGCCAGAGATGTGGTGCGGCGTAAGTCAGGTTCACCGCGCCGACAAGGCGTTCCCAAGCACAATTTGGTATTTTGGTGAGCGGCGCAGCCCAGCGTAAGTATCCCCCCTCCCTATCTCAGCTCCTCCCAGCTGCGTAAGTCGTAGCAAGGGAGGAGAGAGGGCGTGGAGTGGGTTTAACACAGCCGAGACCTGTATTGACCAATAACATCAGCTCCTCTCCTCGCCTTTAAATCCGCCACCAGCGAGGCATATTACTATTTTCCTGAAGTAGTCAAAGAGATCAAGAGATGTCTGAAGACAGTTATGCCACACGATGGGGACAGAAGGCAGCCCCTCAACAAGTGTCACTGTAAACGCTGCAGTGGGCGTCCTGCACACTCTCTCATATAAGCACAGATGGATTTGGTGTGTGTAATGTTGGACCCACTGGTAAGACAAACACCCTTTCCACAAATAAAGACACTCACATAAAGTTGCATATATTCAAACCTCACGTGACAAAGGTGGGTTGTGCACAGAGATCACATCATAAATTCCAATAATGGCATTACAATCGGAACCATCTGTGCGTAAAGGACGCATCGCGCTCCGTGGCCTGGTTCTGTCTTTCATAGATGTTGGCATAAAAAATAAATTTGGCTCACAAAACTGAATATTATAATATTCGTATGTCGGCTTAAAGTAAATAACTCATCTGATCACTGAAACAAATTATCTGTTCAGCCGCCGCAGCAGCAGCTGCAGCAGGACGGAGAGAGGACATGGAGACATGTCCAGGTCCAGCTGCGTGAGAAATAAGAGGAACAGGAAGACAGAAAAGGAGGGAGACGAATTACATATCTAGTTAACTTCATCATGTGTGTCTATTTACTAGATATTTAATTTAATTTAATGCGGTTTCAGCTGTGTTGATTCGGTCAGGTTGTGTGTCCAAACGCGTGTCAAACGCGCTCATCAGATCAGATATAGATCAGAATATATCTATATAGATCTAAATGTATGTGCTGACTCAGATTATTAGTTGTTGATGATTATTTATTGCACTGTAATGTGCCTGACACTGTGGAAACCTGCCGGTGAGGCATCGGTGACGTATGCCGATACGCCGCAGGTCTACCAAAATACCACTAGACCAGCTGCCATCCACCTGCGCTGAAAGCTGACCAGGTTTGAATCAGCGAGCTTTCAGCGCACTTTATATGCCACCGGCGAGCTTGATATAATAATAAATGTAAAGTACAATAACCATGTTTCTAACCATATCAATAAAACTTTTAAGTTTAGTAGCTTCCTGAAAGTAGAATTCATGGTAGGGCTGCTATAGGAGATGGTATTAGATATCCTAGGTGTTCCTAATGTTCTGGCTACTCAAGATACCCCATATGTTCTGGTGTGGTGAAGTAATTCAATACATATGACCACAAGATTTGGAGAGTAGAAGTTTGACACTCACAGATCTCAAACTTTCTCAAATACACTAAATACTTTTTTCTTAATACTTACCTGTCAAGATGAAAACAAACATTAATCGGGCAATACCATGTGAGATGGTAAATGGATCACTTTTCTTAAGCGATTCCTCTTGTCTTTTTCTGACCACTCAAAGTGCTTTACATTACATGTCACAGTCACACATTCACACCACAGTCACGCACTGATGGCAGAGGCTGCTATGTATAGAGCCCATCAGTTTTAGACTAATCTCATTCACACACCACTGGGTGCAGCCAGCGGGGGCAGGTGGGGTGAAGTGTCTTGCCCAAAGACAGCATTTGGACAGCCTTGGGATGAAACATTCGACCTTCCAATTGGGAGGCTACGAACTCTACCCTTGAGCCACAGCCACCGCAGTTTTTCTGTTTAAAAAGGAACTTAGGCTGAGATGCAAGAAGATGAAATGCTGCCAAAAATAGCCCATAAACCCCAGAAAGACATGGGCTTTGATACTAATGAAAGAGACATATATTAACCATTACCAACAATCAGCAGGCCTCTAATACTGCTATACTAAAGGCATGACAACATGATCACTTCATCAAGTTTGTGAAGTTCCACAGTGAAAGAGTGACACATCAGCAGGAGAGATAACTGTTTTAAACAGAAAGGCTGGTAAGAAGTTTACTCAGTTGAACTTTTTTGATTATGCAGTTTTAGTGTTCTCCATTTATATTTACTGCTGCACGACACTACTACTAACCAATGTTATATCCTAGCAGAGGAAGAAAGTTATCGTAAATAAAGGCATTAATACTACAGGTAAAGGCCTGTGACAAAATATGAAACTCTGTGCACTGCTTCCAAATAGATTTAGGGTACTGATGTACTTGCTCCTATTCACATGTCTGCCTCCACACGGCCTTCATTTCAGGGTTAGCAAATGAACTGCTTCTCTTCTAATAGCATAAAACAGTGTGTAATGTAAGAGGTAAGTGACTATATGAAAAAAGAACAAATGGTTGTAACCTAAAGCACTGAGACACAATGATTCAGAATACACAATTTATATGAGTATATGATTCTCATGGTCTTTGTTTGATGAAATTCAGTTAAAGGCCAGTGTTTCAGATCATTTGTCAGGGTGTATATCAGAAATGCTAATGAGATCAAGGTTTTGAGTTGTGATCCACATGCAGGCACCATATTTTACAAATGTGACCCTTGATTTCTTACCCCTTTCAAAGGCCAGAGTCCACCCTCCATGACTTCTAATTTTCATGCAAAGTAACGCTGTGTCTTAACATGATTACTCTGTCTGTGTATTTTTCATACAGGTGTGGAGGGCATTGCCCAGGCCTACTCTGCCTGTCTTCCTCATATTCGTTTCTACGGCCCTACAAACTTTGCTCCCATCATCAATCATGTAGCCCGATTTGCTGCCCAGGCCCTTCAACAAGAGAAAGCAGCGGTAGGTGGTGATGTCTGCATTAATTAATTAATTAATTTTTTCTTCATTTGGACTTTTTAAATGTACATAGGTTGTATTCAATCATTTGCCAACTCATCATTTTCTGAAATCAGGGCTGCTCCATTTGACATGTTGTCATGATCCAATACTCGTGTTTTTTTAAATATCAGATCATATCTCCTCCACTTTAAGAAGCCAATGAGCGGATGGGATGCATTCCGGACACGCTCCAACAGTGCTTTGAGTGGCCGCAATGCATTGCATTTTGCTGTAAAATTTCTTCATTTTCTCTTTTCATGTTCCGTTTTTGTTAGGCTGGCATTAATGTACTTAATTCTAGTTGGTTTTGGATTTGGGACTACTTTTGTGGTGGTTTGTTTGTACATTTTGCCACCAAGGCTTTGACACCGTGGGTCAGACTACAAGCCTAGGTTGGTAAGTACTTGGCTTCGCTCCCCTCCTCTGAGTGACGCTGCCACACATCTTTAAATTGTAGTTGTGGAGCGGTTTTTACAGTACCTCACGATCTCACAATTGTGGCCATTTAATATTGCATATTGCGATTAAATCATATATCATCACATCCCAACTAGAAGCAACTGACTGCATGGATTTCCCTGAGGACTTATTAGGAATTTATCTCTCTCTGCTTTTAAAACTCTTTACATTTGAGATTCCCTTGACATCCACTCCTTTAACTCCTGATACATCATTCTCTTTGTTTTCAGCTTGCTCTTTTGCTTTTATCTAATTTTTACATCCATTTTTGGCAGGTTTTCTCTGTAAAGCTGTTTCCCATGAGTTTTCTGCTCTTTGTGGCACCCTGCTGTCCAGACTGCAGTATGTCAGTCTTATGAGCAGTGATAACCCCTGAGCCTCACTTTTTCTCTCCACCACACTTTTTCTCCTTATCTTGTTCTGTAATCCTTGAGTATTGGTCACATGTCCATCAGGGCAAAGTTGTGATCATGTCCTCATCTTTGTATTTTAAGCAATGCCTCCAAATCAACATAAGCATGTCTGTTATTAAAAGCCACCAGTGGTGAATGGCTGTCAGGGCAGTGTATACTCATAGTTTATTTACTCTGTTTAGCAGCTCGATGGCTGATGGGACAAACAAGAGTGTGCATCTGTTGGCCCAGACTTCTGGCATGTTTACCGCAGTGTCAGTGAGGAGGTTGAAGGACTGAGTGTTGATTTCTCCACCTCACACTCATTTTTCCACCAGCTGAAACACTGACCAGGCGCTTCACACATCCTCAAGCTTAACTTCATGTCAGAAAAACACCTTCATTATCATCTTTTTGGTATCACATTATGGATTGTTTTCCTTCTTTTTATCCTCTACCTCTACTCATGAATCACAAAGGCTTTTGGGAGGGGGATGTAAGTCAATTAGTAGTTGTAATCATTGGTTAACTAGTGCATGAATTGCCAAAGCAGTCTTTGTTTATTTTGTCCTCTAACATGCTTAAAGGAATATTCCGCTGTTAAATTAAGTTACGGTCAAACACACCGGAACACTGAGTTAGACACCCCCTCGAGAGATGAATGTTGCCGACTGCTTGCTTCTCTAGTTTTACCAACTTGAGAAAGGACCGCACGATAGCAATACACAGCGGCCTACGTCTCCACACACAAACCTCAACCAAAACGCCACTCTATAGCCACAAATAATGCTCAGAAAAGCACCTAACTTCATCAACAGTACATGTAGGGTCCCAGCCATAGTACTAGGTATCAAACATCTTTTTAGCTTTGCCTGGTTTCTTTATCAAAGAGACCAAACACAACTCACCCATTTGTTTGAGGGGTAGCCCTGACGAGGTGATTACGGAGTGCAGCGGAGTTTCGCAGCTCAAGGAAGAACATTTATGATCATTACTTAATGGAAATGTAATCAGACTGAGACACTAAGGCAGAAGAATTACTGTGTCTGCAGTGCAAATTGATTATTATGATGATTATTAGTTCATCGAAATGATCCGCTGCACTCGGTAATCGACTCCTCTGGCTCCCTCAAGAACATGTGGCTGCTGGAAGAGAGTAGGTGCGTTGTGTTTAGTCTCTTTGCTAAAGAAACCAGGCAAAGCTAAAAATATGTTTGATGGCTAGTACTATGGCTAGGACCCTACATGTACTGTCGATGAAGTTAGGTGCGGTTCTGAGCGTTATTTGTTTATTTGTGGAGACGTAAACTGCTGTGCATTGCAATCCTGTGGTCATTGCTGAAGTTGGTATAACTAGAAAAGCAAGCAGTCAGCAACATTCATTTTTTGAGGGGGTGTCTAACTTGGTTTTCCGGTGTGTTTGACCCTAACTGAATTTTACGCCGGAATATCCCTTTAAGTAGTCTTCTGACTAAATCTCATCCTGCTGACTTCAAATTTAAATAGGTCAGGAATTCTGAATATTTTACATAATTGTAAAAACAGGGCGGTTTCTGTAGCTGCTTGGCTGACAGCTACCCCTTAGACCAATTTCAGGCATTGAAAATTACCCACACACACACACACACACACAAAGAAACATAAATCTTTTTAGTGATGGTTTTGCTTGCTTTTGTAAAACATAAAAAGGCATCAATGTAAATTTCTTTTCATTTCACACGTCAAAAAACTCCTTACAGAGGCTTTAAGTGTTAAACACTTTGTGACTTATTTCCAAAACAACAAATCCTGTAGATTTCCACTCAGTCTAGGCTTGGGAACACTTAACCATCTGAAACTATTGAGCCCCTGGAGTTATATTTAAAGAAGAGTTGTGATTGCCTGACTTTCTTTCCACTCCCATCATCAAATCCATATTGACTTTGTCTAACACTTGAACAGTACCTGCAAAAATAATGTCATTTTCTTTCTCCTCATCTGTACTTCATGTTTGATGCCATTGAAAGTTGTTAGTACAAATGTGTCAAATAAGGATTCTGATTATAAAGAGTGTACACCTACTGAACATGGGCTTAATAGCATTGTCACTGCTGGCCAATTCGCAAAAATCAAACAGCAAAACATAGACGTACTCTCTGTGATGTCAGTCTTTTTTTCAGAGAGATGTTTTGATGCCCAGCGATTGTGGGTGCCATTTTGGAAAAGCTTACTCAACCTAACTGTTAATCAGCCTTGAGGGCCAGAACTGAGGCGGGCTTTTAACAAACAAGCTACAACACACCCTGTACTGTGTGTATGTGTAAATAAAGAGCTACCCCTAAATGTTTTGGATCCAGGCTGTAAACATGTTTCATTCTCCTGTAAAGACAAGAATTTTAGCAAAGGATGACGAACTGCAGTTTTTTTGTGCACCACATTTCAAGGAAATGTAATACGTGACAACTTGACAAGACAACAGCTAACACACTGGCACTTGTCTACTTTCAAGAAGAGCTGCCAGATTTTTAGGGTGTAATTGCAGGATGTCAAAAGTTAATGGCATTTGATCAAAGTTTAAAAAAAAGGGTTAAGTTTCTTAAGATTTAAACTTCACTCATTGATTTAAAGCCATTGTTCACTTGCTGTGCTGCTACAGCAAGGCTCATGTGGAGTTCCCCCCTTACACAACAAGTACAGGTGTTCCAGATTTTTACCTCCGCCAAGGGGGTTATGTTTTCGGTAGCGTTGGTTTGTTTGTTTGTTTGTTTGTCTGTTAGCAACTTTACAGAGAAAGTAACAGACGGATTGACCTGAAATTTTCACCAGAGGTGCGTCTCAGCCCCAGGAGGATCCCATTACATTTTGGTGGTGATCAGGACAAAATTCTGGATACTGTGATCCAGAACACACAAAAATAAGGGTGTCGTTGGAATTTTCAATGCTGAAAGATAACGAATGGGCGGCACAGTGGTGTAGTGGTTGGTGTAGTGGTTAGCACTGTTGCCTCACAACCAGAAGGTCCTGGGTTTGAATCCCGGTCAGGGCATTTCTTGTTTAAGGGGGGACATGAGCTGCTTGGCGGCGGTCTGCGCTCTCCGAGTGCTTTTCTAGTTATCCATTTCATCATGTGCAAAGATCTACAAACTTTTACTGAAAGGTGCATGTCCTAGTTTTGTACCCTACCGTGTAACAACTGCTTAAATCTGAAGAGAGTGCATTAGCTGGGTATCATTATGCTCCCACAGTGCTTTTTGTCCCTAATTGTACCCTGTCACCCTGTGGAGAACAAAAACATGAACGAAATACATAAAGGGTTGTACACGTTGGTGTCATCTGTGCCAGAATCCTTTTGTTTCTGTACTGAAATGATTGTAGACCCCAGACTCGTTTATACTGTCATTGTGAGTTCAAATAGGGGTCAAATTTAGGGAGGAGTTGTCGTCGATCAGATATGACTGATACAGCACAAGTGTTTGTACCACAGAAGAAGCTACTGATTAGAATGGGAGTGTGTGTGTATATATGTGCGTGCGTGAAAAGTGGGTGGTGAGGTTGTAGGCTGTAAAAATGGCCTGATCCTCTGCCTCAGTGTACTTGTTCCTCAGATAATGAGAGAACCTGTGACTGCAGACTGTGTGACTGTGTACAAGCTCACACACACACACACACACACACACACACACACACACACACACACACACACACACACACACACACACACAAACACATACATGCTGCAGGCAAGTGCGGGTGCAAGCCCCAGTGTGAGAGCGACCCTGTCTGTCTGTGTGATAATGATTCTCTAATGAGCGCTGCTGTTAGCACATTAAAGAGACAGGCTTCAGAGCCCTCCTTGTGTGTGTCTGTGTGTGTAATGAGGAAGTGTGATCCTGCTCTGAGTAAAGTCAGATTGAGTCTGTTCTTGTATTAGCTTTCACGTTTGTGTACCCAGAAGCATGTTCGTGGATGTAGTGTGATTCTTGGTTATTATTTCCGTCTGTGAGCTTGTCTCAGCCCAGAGTGGAAAATTTACATTCATATTTATCTTATCAAGTGGTGACATCCCATCTCCATTTAACACTGTTTTCAGGTTCACATGTTGTATGCTTAGTGTGCCGTAGTGTTCCTCACTTCATGTTGTGTCTGTTAGACACAGTCTGTGGGTGTTACTTTTCACACAGCTTTGTAATCATGAAACAACACAAAGTTTTTCCTTCACAGAAAACCTCTAAGTCTAGAAATTAGCACCCAGGAAGCTCCCCATTTAGTCTCATCAGCATACAGCAACCATTATGGCATCACATTTCTTGTCTGGATTTCTCTTTTTTGCCTTTGTCTTAGATAGGGAGGAGTCATCAGCTTCTAGTCTGCAGTATAGCTCCTCCATGAAAAACAGTGTTTTATTGATGGTCAAGCCATTTCAGTTTTTAACATTAAATGCCAACTGATACTGAGAGAGCAGAGACTGATGGCTGATACCTAATGTCAGTATCACATTGTTGTGATTACCTCCGTTGGTTTGTTTGTTTGTCTGTTAGCAACTTTACGGAGAAAGTTACAGACAGATTGACCTGAAATTTTCACCAGAGGTGTGTCTCAGCCCCAGGAGGATCCCATTAAATTTTGGTGGTGATCAGGACAAAATTCCGGATACTGTGATCCAGAACACACAAAAATAAGGGTGTTGTTGGAATTTTCAATGCTGAAAGATAAGCAATGGGCGGCAAAGTGGTGTAGATGGGCGGCACAGTGGTGTAGTGGTTAGCACTGTCGCCTCACAGCAAGAATCCGGGTCAGGGCATTTCTTGTTTTAGGAACATTATGAACAGTGAACATACCAGTTTAAACACAAATAAAAGTCAATAAAAGACACGTAACAGTAAAAGTTTTGCTGTGAATCACAACATAAGGAGGGACATGAGCTGCTTGGCGGAGGTCTGCGCTCTCCGAGTGCTTTTCTAGTTTTTATTTGCATTTAGGAAAAAAAAAAATATTGATGGGATCGAAGTGGGAAAAAAAATCAAACAAACAATTTTTCAAAAGAATTTAGACACAAAATGTTTGGCTTAATAAAGTGTTGCTACAAGGAACTTTTAGATTTCTGAAAGAATTCAGAAAGAAAAAAATAATAACAGGATAAATATTGAAGTCATAAAAAAGAGGTTAAGACCATTTCCCCTTGAACTGATGGTGAGACAAAGACAGTGTTTTATGCTGTAGTTTTCAGTACATTAATGATTTTTCAGTCAGAAAAAAATCAATCATTATCCACATTATAAAAGAGTTTAATCTAAACCATTAGCCAGTTACTGTTTGAAATTAGATATGATACAGTCATGAGAGGGTCAATGTAGAGATGGTGCTGATGTTTTACATGCCAATTATTCAGTCAGTTGAGTAATTGGTATTTTAATTCATATGTAACAAGCACAGGGGTGTTAACCTGCAGGTAGTGCTAGCTCTGCTAATAGTAGACATCCTCAACAAACCAATTTGACACAGTGTACCCACATACTAAGATTCAGTGTTTTGCTGTGTTAAACAAATTCAGCTCAAATGTTGCCCCCTTTTTTGAGTTTTTATTACCTTTGGACTGATGGATTGTCAGATTTTAAATGTCCTTAAAAAAGACCCAGTAGTTCATCATCTCTAGTCTCAGACCCTTCAACTAACCAAGGACTGATTAAAAAATCTTTCTAATAATGCCCCACAACTTCCACAAGTTGTGTCTACTCATAAAGACAAAAAACTGTGGGTTGTGGGATAGAGATAAAGAACAAGCCTGATTTATTCAGAATAAACTATTTTGCATTTAAACGCAGTGTTAGTGCAGTGTTTATGTTGTTTCTTTCCTCTTCATCTCTTGTTTTCTTTCTTCCCTCTTTTTTTTCAGGAGCAGATGGTGTGCTCAGTCATATGAATGGAGCCCAGAAAAGCTAATGCAGAAAAGCTTTCATTTGATTTTTTCATTGTCCTCCAACAAATACTGTTGTTTTACTCTGTTGTATTTCCTGTCCCCTCTGCACTCCTGACATTCTGAAATGTTTTTTTTTCTTTTTTCATGATTGACTTGTCTTTTTCTCTTTTTAAAAAACATTGCATCACCATACTTACCATTATTTACAGCCAAATCAGCTCCTGTTACAGCTCTCTGCCTGTCATACTGATGCAAATTCCTCCAAAGTAGCTTTCAGAGAGATTTATATTTCATCTGCAACATGATAACATGACTTTTTTTTCTCTCCCTCTCTCCCCACAATCCCTCATCCTCTTTTCCCCTCTGCAGCAGTACTTCACTCTCCTCATCATAACAGACGGCGTCATCAGCGATATGGATGAGACGCGCGATGCCATCGTGCAGGCATCTAAACTGCCCATGTCTATTATCATCATTGGGGTGGGCAATGCTGACTTTGCTGCTATGGAGTTCTTAGACGGCGATGCCAGCGTTTTGAGGTCCAACGCAGGAGAGGAGGCTGTCCGGGACATTGTCCAGTTTGTTCCTTTCAGGGATTTCCGCAATGTAAGACTTTGTTTCAGGCTGTTTGAAAAGGAAAGAAATAATGAGAAGACGCTCAAATGGTCAAGGTGTACTTTATTCCAGAAATGCATTGCCCAGTTTGGAGACAACATCAACACATACATAAAAATTACCATACAGTACATAGTCCAAAATAGTTCAATCTGCTGGAAATGGTGCTGTCCTCAAATCTGTCAAATCTCCTGGCTGACACAGGTGATAAAATTTTACTTTCAAAGGTTTTCTTGTTTGTCGGTGAAAGATCTGTTAGTGAAATTTGGAAATGGAAAGTTTGATAACTTTAAATCTGTAAAATTTTTACTTTTGATAGTGAAGAGGTTGAATATGTCCCCAAAATAAGATATCTTTTTCCCAGCAGAAAATCTGTCTTAAAATCAACATTTCAAGAGTTCAACAAAATCAAAGCTGAAGTCAAAATCAGGTTTCTTTTATCAAAACAAAGGCAGTTTTTTTCTTTCTTTTTTGTCTTGGAAAGTACTCATATCAGCAACCTTTTGACATCTTTGTATGAAACCTTTTTGCTGTTGTCTTAGCCAGGTATGGAAGTGTATTGCAGTAGCTCAGGAGGTAGAGCGGTCGTCCAATAACTGGAAGGTTGGCAGTTCGATTCCCCCCTATCCCTAGTCTCTCCGTTGTGTCTTTGGGCAAGACACTTAACCCACCTTGCTCCCAGTGTGTGTCCTCCACTGGTGTATGATTGTGAGTGTTGTGTGGGGGTGGTCAGAGAGGCGCAAAATGGCAGCCACGTTTCCGTCAGTCTGCCCCAGGGCAGCTGTGACTACTAAGGTAGTTTACCACCACCAAAGTGTGACTGTGTGAGCGAATGAATGATGTATCCAATGTAAAGCACTTTGAGGGTCTCTGATAAAGCGCTCTATGAAATCTGATGCATTATTATTATTCACCAAAAAAAAAACTGTTTTTCAGAGTTGTTTTTTTTTCTGTTCTGTTCTTTGGACTAATTTTTTTCTGTTTTTCAGACTAATTGTTTTTCCTATTCTCTCTTTCAATAGATGCTTTCATCCCCCTCTGCTCGATTTATTGGAAGCAAACATGGCCCACTTGTTTAGTTTAATAAAGTTTAACTTTCTTTTGGGTTTGAGACACTAAGAGATGGTCCATACTTTAAGTCAGATAGATTGAATTGTCATTAGTTTGTCTGCTTTGCGCAGGCACCTCAGGATTTGCATACCCTAAGGTTTAACTAATAACATGCTTTACTCTTATTGACCCCATAGTTGAAGTTATCTAAGAGCTGGAGAATCTGCTGATTTGGAGCAGCCGCAGTGGTTAACATTATCTGATTGTATGAGATTCTCACAGGATTTTTTAGTATCTCATTTAGTCAGGAAAAAAAAATTGTCCAAAAAACAGAAAGACGGAAAAAAAAAACAGAAAAGAATAGAATAAAAAAATTATCTGAAAAACAGAAAGAGGGGGGAAATGCATTAGTATTATTGAATTCACTTTTGAATTTCCCTTCGGAGATTAATAAAGTTCTTCTTCTTCTGCTAGTACAATAAAAAAAACAGAAGAAAAAAGTTAGTCTGAATACAGCAAAGAAAAAGAACACTCAAAAAACAGTTTCCTTTTTTTCTAAGTGAATGCAGCACACTTGCAAAGCTAGGTCTCCTTTCTTAAAGAAATTTAAAAAAAAAGGAGACCTAAAATTAAAGAACTTTTATATCTCAATAGTAGTATTCCTAGAAAATGAAGTTAAATAGTAGATCTTTGTTTTGTTCTTTTAGTTTGGTAAAATGCTTAAATTGTTGAAGCAGGTTGATGCTCTCTCGTTTCTCTCACGCTTCTCCATGTTTTAACAACCGAACAACTTTTTTTGGTGAAGTTTGAAACCTCTCTGTCACCATTTGCCGTCTTAAACTTTGACTAATGTTTCAGCTTGCAGCTGTGATTTGCAATGTCACTTTGACTCCTTCTTAGTTCTGCCGTGGAGGCTTCACCTAATAATGTGTCACGCTGTCTGAGTGTGAATGTGTTTCCAAATGGCAGCCTGTTGGTTCGTAGATTGTAGCACACACACTTTAAGACTCACATACAGGGTTTGCTAGATGAGGAAAGCTGCCTGCTTATCTCAGACGTGACAGAGACCCTGAGAAATGAGTTATGTGCTGTGTTGATAGATAAGCACACATACCATTCACGTAAAAACAGAGCAAGGAAGCAACTTTACAAGTGTGCCACAGGTGAGCACATGAGCTAATTAGTTGGTACAAATGATGGCACATTGTGTGCATGGGAGACATTCTCAATCACTTTTGTATTTTTATATTGTTTCCGTGTGTGTGTGGGTGGGCTGCTGGTGGGCCAGCTGACTTCCTTTGTAGTAGGAGGAACAGACAGTGCTTGCTGGCTTCATTCCAGTTTGTTATTATTGGAGTACAAGACAGCAACAAAAACTCCAGAGGAAGAGTGAGAAATGACAGAGAGGAAACAAAATAATAAGAGAGACCTGAAACAATATGCTGTGTTGGCAGGTTCACTCGAGCCATGAGCCAGTGTCTCTAAAAGTTAGCTTGAAGGAACAAGGCACTCTAACTTTACCTTGGTAAGTGATTTATACTAAAACTTATTGAGTCCTGTACAACCTTTACCAGCAACCCTTTTTCAAAGTAGGCAAAGAAACATGACCTCCATGCTGTATCACCACACAGACAAAAAACTTGAATTTTATTTCACTGATCAAAGATTTGAAGACAAAATGCTTCAACGATACCAAAAGGTACAATGACAAACACCAAAAGAAGCAATAAATGAGCCCAAATTTATTACCTCTGCCAAGGAGGTTATGTTTTCGGTAGCGTTGGTTTGTTTGTGAGTTTGTTTGTCTGTGAACAACTTTACGGAGAAAGTAACAGAGGGATTGACCTGAAGTTATCACCAGAGGTGCGTCTCAGCCCCAGGAGGATCCCATTACATTTTAGTGGTGATCTGGATCGCCTTCTGGATCCAGGAATTTTTTAAAGGATTCTTTATCATTGTGAGATAGGGCAAATTTGGGAATTTTTGCATTTAACTCTATAAAAATGGCCAGAGTCTTTAGTAAAAAATGACACAAAAGGATCTCAATGAGTTTTATGAGGTGTCAAAGGTTGATCCTGATCCAGACAAAATTCAGGATACTGTGATCAAGAACACACAAAAATAAGGGTGTTGTTGGAATTTTCAATGATAACCAATGGGCGGCACAGTGGTGTAGTGGTTAGCACTGTCGCCTCAGAAGTAAGAAGAAGAACAAAAATAATGGTGTTGTTGGAATTTTCAATGCTGAAAGATAACCAATGGGCGGCACAGTGGTGTAGATGGGCGGCACAGTGGTGTAGTGGTTAGCACTGTCGCCTCACAGCAAGAAGGTCCTGGGTTTTAATCCGGGTCAGGACATTTCTTGTTTTAGGAACATTATGAACAGTGAACATACCAGTTTAAACACAAATAAAAGTTAATAAAAGACACGTAACAGTAAAAGTTTTGGTGTGAATCACAATATAAGGGGGGACATGAGCTGCTTGGCGGAGGTCTGCGCTCTACGAGTGCTTTTCTAGTTACATAATTGAATCGTTGGGAGTGCTGTTGGCTTTCAGTGAGTTTTCTTTCAACACAATTTCAAACAAGTCAGTGTCCAGTCAGAGTATTGATCAATGAATATGTACTTCATAGAACTCAGCGATCAGGTTGAGCTTTCTTAAAGGGATATTCCAGCGTAAAATTAAGTTATGGTCAAACACACCGTAACACTGAGTCAGACACCCCCTCGAGAGATGAATGTTGCCGACTGTTTGCTTCTCTAGTTATACCAACTTTAGTAACGACCGCACAGTAGAAATACACAGCGGCCTAGTTCTCCACACACAAACCTCTACCAAAAAGCCACTCTATAGCCTCTATAATGCTCAGAACAGCACCTAACTTCATCAACAGTACATATAGGGTCTCAGCCATAGTACTAGACACCAAACATCTTTTTAGCTTTGCCTGATTTCTTTAGCAAAGAGACCAAACACAACTCACCCACACTCCTCCAGCAGCCGCATGTTTGCAGAGTTTCAGAGTTTTATGATCATTGCTTCATGGAAATGCAATCAGATTGAAATGCTAAAGCAGAAGAACAACCGCATCTGCAGTGCAAAATGATTATTATGATTACTTCATAGAAATGATCCGCTGCACTCTGTGCTGTCAAATAGAGGACCCATGTAAGTCCATATCGGGCTGGTAGTGATTCAAGATACAAGTTTAAGTCTTCATCATCATCATCATTGTGAAGAAAAATAATGAAGCATCTCCCCTGAGCAGTTGAAGTGCTAAATAAGCTGGACAAAATTAAATAGACAATGAGTCTGCTTTATATTTACAAAACAGGATCAGATCAAATCAAATCAAAAAAGAAGCAGTTAGTAAAAACTTACACACAAAGTTAAGTACACTGATCTGTAACTATTCTGTAGCTATGATTATCAATGTTGTGATTTTTGTGGTCTTGAATTTTGTTATCCTTACAGTTGTTCATGCACTTTTTCTCTTTCTTTCTCTGTCAGGCTCCCAAGGAGACTCTCGCCAAGTCTGTCCTTGCAGAGCTGCCTCAGCAGGTCACCCAGTATTTTAAACAGCGGAATCTACCTCCAAGAAACTCGGCATCAGAGTGAGACCTACTGAAGAGGACAGGACCCTGCACTACCGATCAGCGTCTCGTATCATCGACGGAAAACTAAAGAAAAAAGTGCACAAATTAGAAACAATAAGGTGTGAACACAAAAGAATCCCACACTGAAGTTATCTCTTTCATTATATTTGCCATGTTGATATTGGTTAAAGAATGTGTGATCGTGATTTAGTGTGACTCCAACAGAAGAAGGCTTCATTTGCTTTAATCTCCTAAACACAGATCTATGATGACTGAGTATTTGAGACGTCTTCTGCCCTCTATGAAAGGAGGTGTTTTGAAATGATATCATGACTATAGAGGTCAAACTTTAGCCGTCTTTTACAGAGATCAAAAAGATTTAGGAGGATGTACATTTTTAACTTTTGCATGTGTGTCTTGTGATTGAAACTACATGGTTAAAAGAAGTCCTTGGTGTTAAGTCCCCTCTCTAGGCTGACCTGTATCAGTGGTTGAACGCCCTTCTGTTGCCACTCAGATCCTTCCTGGGTAGCGGATCGGATGATGGCTTTTTGCTTTTGTGCTCTTGTGCGGTGAACTCACAGATTGAGCCTCAACAGTGTACTGTGTTCTCACCCCTGCTTGGTTGTCTGGTGGGAGGTTTTAGTGTTCTAGTTTTAAATACCAGTAGTCTATGAGGGAGGTTTTAATGCTCCGCTACGCTTGTTTGATTCCAGAGGGCAGAATCATATGAGGGTGAGGCCGCACTGGCCACTGTAGCACTTACACAGGATTTACTGTATATTGGATACTGGGGGAACTCATTTGGCTGTTAAATAAGGCGCCATTCGCTCGAGTTTACCAACTTTGATTATTATTGACATTGGTTCATCCTGCATGTTGCCAATATCTACTCAGTGTTTACAGACTGATACTGATGATCACAAAGGCATGATTTTTTTAAATTATGTATTTATCCGAGTTTGTAAATATTTCAATGAGATTCTATGGAGAGGGACTGCAGTGTTACAAGGCACAGAGAGTTTCAGAGAAAGCTGTTTGGTGAAGGATTTAAAAAGTGGAATTAGAAGAGAAGTGTCTGTGAAGAAGTGTCTACATATATATATATATGTATATATATACATATATATATATACATACATATATATATATATATATATGTATATGATGCAGTTTATGTTCTGAAAGCCAATGTTTGGACATGTTTTTATGTACTTTTTATGCAGTGCTGAATTGTGTTCTTTGACTATACTGTGTGTTACTGTGCATCTTTGTACTACATATGTTGCTATTGATTTTATAAAGATGTGTCTGTGTCCACACTCAGGTTAATAAACGAAAGAAGTGTCAAGTCCTCCATCTTTGTGGATTAAAGTTTGTTTCACAGCTGATTATCCTCTTCAGCTACCTGTACAGATGGATACAAGATCTGTCATCTATTCTAGCTTGTTTTCTGTTTGTAGTTCAAGTAGTATTGGCAAATATGTTTGAACAGGTTAAACAAAAAAAACTTAAGAAAGGAAAATGAAGACATGAAGAAATGAGACACATGCATCTCCACAGAGCAGAAAAACTGTTATTTTATTCCATAATTTGATATAAAGGCTACTCTGTGATAAACTACATATTCATTGAAGAAATTTGAATATTTTAAGCTTTTTTTTTTATTCTGATGGTTATGGTTTGTAAATCGAGTATCTCACATATATAGAACATTTCATTGGATTTACACACTGAATACTTGGTTAGGGCTCCTTCACTGCTAATTACTTTCTCAGTGTAATGTGGCATGGGGTGTTAAGCCAAGGTTGCTTTGATGGCAGCCTTTAGCTTGTCTACATTAGGTGCTAAATCTTGCTGGCAAAGAAAATCAGCATGCCATAAAGCTTGTCAGCAGTACAATGGAAGCATGAAGTGCTGTAAACTCTCCTGCTTTTACCTGGACTGATATGTCTCTAAGTCAAGTGCTTGACATGAACAGCACAACAGTTTTTCCTTAAGACATCAGGAAAACATGCATCGTGGATCTTGGCGTAATACTACAAGCCTTAGTCCACTCCTTATGAAGCTCCTCCAAGGTCTAGAATAGATTTTTAGGGGGACTTTTCAGCCTTCCTTGGCATACCCTGTTTGTGGAGGGAGTTGATGATTATCTTCTGGTCAGCCATTGAGTCAGCAGTCTTTACCATGATTGTGTGGCAGAGAAACACATTTTTTACCTCCGCCAAGGAAGTTATGTTTTCGGTAGCGTTGGTTTGTTTGTTGGTTTGTTTGTGAGTTTGTTTGTCTGTGAACAACTTTACGGAGAAAGTAACAGAGGGATTGACCTGAAATTTTCACCAGAGGTGCGTCTCAGCCCCAGGAGGATCCCATTACATTTTGGTGGTGATCTGGATCGCCTTCTGGATCCAGGAATTTTTTGAAGGATTCTTTATCATTGTGAGATAGGGCAAATTTTGGAATTTTTGCATTTAACTCTATAAAAATGGCCAGAGTCTTTAGTAAAAAATGACACAAAAGGATCTCAATGAGTTTTATGAGGTGTCAAAGGTTGATCCTGATCCAGACAAAATTCTGGATACTGTGATCCAGAACACACAAAAATAAGGGTGTCGTTGGAATTTTCAATGCTGAAAGATAAGCAATGGGCGGCACAGTGGTGTAGATAGGCGGCACAATGGTGTAGTGGTTAGCACTGTCGCCTCACAGCCAGAAGGTCCTGGGTTCCAATCCAGGACAGGGCATTTCTTTTTTTTAGAAACATTATGAACAGTGAACATACCAGTTTAAACACAAATAAAAGTTCATAAAAGACACGTAACAGTAAAAGTTTTGGTGTGAATCACAATATAAGGGGGGACATGAGCTGCTGGGCGGAGGTCTGCGCTCTCCGAGTGCTTTTCTAGTTTTTCTCATGATATTCCCCGTAGCATCAGAAAAATGCCATATGAACATGTAGACAACAAGAAAAACATGATTTTCATCAGAGAGGGTCTTTAAGATGCAGCTGTAGTTTTGAAGTTGTTTTCTCAATAGGGAATCTACTTTTACAGTAAATGCAGATTACAGTCCCACTGTCTCAAATTCAGCAACATATTTGCACTTTCACCTTGCTTTGTTTGACTTTGAAAAATGACCTCTAAATTCATTACCTGGCTGAACACAGCCAGCAGAGATGGCAGAAAGGTTACGTAAGAAATACAATGTCAAATGAGACAATTCAACCACAAAGACGCATCAAATTGTAAAGAAAAACAAGGGCACAAAAGTACCACATAGATGAACAAAACAATGACTGAGCCATAAAAATAAAGGACAAGTGAAAGGTAACAAACCAAACATACACACAAATAACTGAAACACAAAATGACAACAAAGCGTTGAAAAGGAGGAAAGGAGTGGGTGGTGACAAAAGAAACAAACACCAGGTTTGTGTTTTCTTCACATTTCTCAGCCATGCTTCTATACTAAAATAACTGCCAGGGCTAAAGAGATAATGATATACAGCCTACAGTTACCAGGAAGAGGTCACTGAGTGTAGTTCACCGAATAAAGTAACTAAAAAGGCCAGCCTTTTGTAGCTGTGGGTTTGGTGCTCTGGTTTAATACTGCTGTCTTTCACAAAAACAGGAGAAAAAGAAACACTTCCTGGGCTTGTATTCGGTATGCCACTGTTTGAACAAATAAAATGATCAGAAGGAGAATAAAAATGACAGAGACTTATGCTGTGTTAGAGTCACCTTGGAAGTCAGGCGTACGAGCTGGGAATGACGTCACACCAGAGTTACAAGTGTTTCAGTTACCAAGTCAGAAAAAAGCAAAATCAGAGGCAAACAAGATGGCTACTTCTACGAAAGTTATTTTGGCGCTTGTTATGTTAGTTATTTAGAGTCATTTTAGCATCCCCTTGCCGAATGCCGAAAATCCTTAACTAATATACCTATGTTTATTTTGGTTACATACTTTTTACGGTTACTCTTTGCGCATCTGTAGCTATGAAAGAACTTGACTTGTTGCTTACTATAAGAAACACAAAGCAGCTGTAGTCACAGTAATAGCCTAAACTTCACTTTTCATGAACATAAGCTAACATTACCCAACAATCTTATCATCAATTTGTGTTTACAAAAGCTTTAAATGTCTCATACTTAAAGGACCTCCATCTGACAGACTCAGTGTGCTTTTAAAACAAACATTTTATTGTTTTTTTATTGTTGTTTTTGAATTGCACTGCTAGATTTCAGTAGTCTGATATCTCACCTAGACCCTCCTAGTGTTTTTCTATCTCAGTAAGTAAGTTTAGCTACAGATGCACATGTCTCCTGCCAAGCTTTTAATGAGGACTGAATACACACCCCAGGATCCAATTATCTAGATTAATACAATTTCACACCCGTCCAATTCACACGTTCATTTCATGGCCCTGATCCGTGTGGATGAGGGCTATTTGATTCATTTCAGATCTTTAACCCCATCAAACCAGTCATCAGGGTTTGTATGAAGAATTAAAACATAATCAAGGTTTCAATATGATTCAATTAAGACTTTGATTTGGCCCTTTGACACTGTCTGCCAAACATTTTGATTTATTTTTCTTCCCTCAATATCCCAACATGATACTAAGCTACTACATCATGATGTGGATCAACTCCATGTTTTGTTGCCAAATGTGTCTATGCCATACACTGGTTAGGCCGCAATCTTTAAGAAAACGTGATATTCTGACACTGATAATCCAGATGTAATTTTTCTTTTATAGAAATTCACTACTTTGGTGTTCCCGTCGTTTTTAATTTGTCAAGCACTCTTTAAATCCCCAGCCTGAGAGGGGTTTTGTGCCAGCTCCTAATCCACAACATTATCATTAACATCAACATTATCATTAACATTTTATACTTGAAATCATTTGGCGAAAGGTACTGTGCACTAACGTGTACCTTCAAACAGCTGCCAGGATTGGCTGAATATTCTTGAGTCAAGTAACACAAGTATCTTCATTTAGACTGACATCCAATTGTTCAGATTGCAAGGTTTGGATAAACAGCAAAAAAATTTGAGTCGAGACAAAAATACAATAGTTTAATTTCTGGTGCATCAGCTCTTCACCTGTCCCTCACGAGTCCTTCAAGTGATGCAGTCCTCGTAAATAAATCAAATATATTACAATATAACAGCTATACTATGGACTATGAAAATACTCCTAAGATTCATTTGTTTTTGTTGACGCTGTCAGAAAAGTGATATTGATGATAATATGTTGTGTTGCTGTACTGTTAACTATTACATTAAAAAGTGTCATTGGTGTTCTGTCTCTCATAATTTGTATGTGTGGTGAAAGTTTTAGGAAAAGCTCTAAATACTTTTAATGTAGCAGAGTCACACACCACTGTTAAATACTGCCCTAACAATGAAGAGGTGGCTTCATAAAAACTAACTCTGTTATCCACAACTGTATCTTGAACTGTTTTCGGTAGCGTTGGTTTATTTGTTTGTTTGTCTGTTAGAAACTTTACGGAGAAAGTAACAGACGGATTGACCTGAAATTTTCACCAGAGGTGCGTCTCAGCCCCAGGAGGATCCCATTACATTTTGGTGGTGATCCAGACAAAATTACGGATACTGTGATCCAGAACACACAAAAATAAGGGTGTTGTTGGAATTTTCAATGTTGAAAGATAACCAATGGGCGGCACAGTGGTGTAGATGGGTGGCACAGTGGTGTCGTGGTTAGCACTGTTGCCTCACAGCAAGAAGGTCCTGGGTTTGAATCCTGGTCAGGGCATTTCTTGTTTTTTAGGAACATTATGAACAGTGAACATACCAGTTTAAACACAAATAAAAGTTAATAAAAGACACGTAACAGTAAAAGTTTTGGTGTGAATCACAATATAAGGGGAGACATGAGCTGCTTGGCGGAGGTCTGCGCTCTCTGAGTGCTTTTCTAGTTAAAGAATAGTCTGGTTTTTGAAGATAGTGTGTAGCTAATACACTTAATCTTTAGTATATTACCCTGAGGGGGTGCTGATCAGCCAAGCCCCTTTGTTAAGAGCCTAAACAGAAGCCACCACATCTACAATTTCCTTTCTAGATCAGCATGATCTAGGTCTTGAGGAGCCGTTCCCTTCGAAGAGCTGTTCAAACAACTGGCCTATTGTGATATTTATTTTTTAGAGGCACACATGGGTGGGAATTATTAAATAGGAGTATTGATTTTAATTTTTATTTGGCTTGTGTTTTCAAAATCCTATAAGGTGGTGCCATATTCCCATCTGTGACAGTGAGATCAGTATCTTTAATGTTTCCCTCATCTAAAAACTGTGGCACAATAAAAACTACACAAGCTACGGATAACTGATAAAAAATAATGCAAACTTATACTACCCTACCTGGTGTTTGGGAAATACAAGTGACACGTGAAGGCAGCTTGAGCAATTTGCATATGAGAACGGCTCGCCAGTGTGAACCGGATCTCGTTCACGTAAAAGAGACGTTCAAACAACTGACTTGTTCACAAATGTCACATCTCTAAAAGTCAGCATCTGAGAGGGTATGGGGGTGAATAAGTGCCTACGCCACTTACACTACTGAGGGGGCATCATGAATACTGAATAATACCAATTTTGGTTTATCATATGATGCATTCAAATGCCTTTTCCTGGGATACCTTATGTATTTTTGGCAAGACTGTGCTAAACCACATTCTCCAGGTATTACAACCACTAGGACTACCGAGTAGAAAAGGGGCCAACCTGTAGTCTGAAATTGTAACCATAGACTGTATATAGAATGGACACTGTCTGCCTCCTCACTGGGTGAAGCCCCCGCTAGAACAGCACCCTCTGGTGATGGGCTGCAGTATAGGTCATAAATCCCGCCTCCTCCAGCAATCCATATGGAGCTGTGGACAATTACACAGAATAGTAATTTTTCTCCCCCCTGTTTGCGATGCTGACATGTAGCTATTGTAAGATTGGTTTCTGCTCAAGTCCTCTTTTTTCTGTGCAGCTCCATTTTTAAAAGTTATTAGGGGGTTCATGTTTTCTATGATTGACACTTGATACAGGAGTACAAAGATTGTGTAGCTCACCTGGGGGTTAGCTGTTTGAGCCGAGCGTCACCACAGTGACTCTCCTGCCAAGTGCGTACAATGCTACTGCGCAATGTTGAATTCAGGAAGTGGAAAAAAAACCCCAGAATTACCGAGAGCTTTTTGGCTTCAAATCCATACACTGGCGGACGGCAGAACCAAGTTGTCCATAGTATATACAGTCTATGATTGTAACACATTAAAAACTAGAAAAGCACTCAGAGAGCGCAGACCTCCGCCAAGCAGCTCATGTCCCCCCTTATATTGTGATTCACACCAAAACTTTTACTGTTACGTGTCTTTTATTAACGTTTATTTGTGTTTAAACTGGTATGTTCACTGTTCATAATGTTCCTAAAACAAGAAATGTCCTGACCCGGATTCAAACCCAGGACCTTCTTGCTGTGAGGCAACAGTGCTAACCACGACACCACTGTGCCACCCATCTACACCACTGTGCCGCCCATTGGTTATCTTTCAGCATTGAAAATTCCAACAACACCCTTATTTTTGTGTGTTCTGGATCACAGTATCCAGAATTTTGTCTGGATCAGGATCAACCTTTGACACCTCATAAAACTCATTGAGATCCTTTTGTGTAATTTTTTACTAAAGACTCTGGCCATTTTTATAGAGTTAAATGCAAAAATTCCAAAATTTGCCCTATCTCACAATGATAAAGAATCCATCAAAAAATTCCTGGATCCAGAAGGTGATCCGGATCACCACCAAAATGTAATGAGATCCTCCTGGGGCTGAGACGCACCTCTGGTGAAAATTTCAGGTCAATCCGTCGGTAACTTTCTCCGTAAAGTTGGTGACAGACAAACAAACAAACCAACGCTACCGAACACATAACCTCCTTGGCGGAGGTAAAAATGCCCCTGTCCTGTAACATACATTCATTTTCCACAACACCCCAACTTTTGAGGAACTAAGCTTTAAATTACAAGTATGGCTTTCTGTGCCTATTTAAATATTGGGACAAAACTACAATAAATTCAGTAATCATCCTCATCTCATCGAGGGTTGCTCAATGTAAATGTATACTACATTATACTGTGTTATTTTATTTTTGTACAAGCTATTCAACAGTTTCCTTACCAAGAGGTTTTCTTGGTAAGTCTTTCAAGAGAATTGAGACAGCATTTAAGTGTTTAGTTTTCTGACTAATTGTTATTTTTTCATTTTTTCTCTGTGATATGTTCGATTCTTCAGATGAAACAACCTGAAAGAAGAAAAAAAACTTCCATGGAGCTCATTATTTATGACCCCTTCTGTCTCCGACACACGAAAATACAAATACAACAGAGACAGTGAAGGTGTCAAACAAGGGAAAGCTCTTTATTATTTTCTGCTCAGATTTGACAACAGAACTCTAACACCTGAGACAGCAGCAACCAGTCCAGCATCTTTCCAGCATGATCTGACTTTGAGACAAAGTACTGATGAGAGAACACATCACATCAAACAATTAAAAACACCTTTTCTTCTAATCATTTCACTGCATTTTACCCAAAGCTAGAGAGAGGCCTGTCCTGCCCAACTCTCTCTCTCTCTCTCTCTCCACTGCCGCTCATAGTTTAAAAGGTGAGTCATGTGACACACTAAAGCAGTCTCTTTTCTTTGCTCCACAGCTGTCAATCACTGTTCCCTCAGCCAACAACACAGCTCGCAGTCTCTGTGGCTTGGGTTGGGAGGGGGATGTGAGGGGGGGCAGGAGGTCATCGGGATAGGCAGTGCGGGATTGGCTGCTCGGCTTAAACTGTGTGAGATTTAATTAAAGGAAGGAAGGGGGAGGTGTCATGTTTGAGAGCCACAACAGCAAAAATCACAAATAGATACACAAATTCAGTTCAGATTATAGTTCAGATTGGTCCTGAAGTTTGTTCCTGTTACGCTAAGGGACTGATGTCTGTCTGATGACGAAGAGCAACAGTTCAACTCACAGCTGTGAAAACAACAAGAATATCCAAATGGTTTGCTAGGTATGTGTGGTTCCAGTGTATGACTTACTTGTAGCTCTGCACTGTTGATATGAGTGTGTTTGACCTTTAAAATCCAACTGTATGTGTGTGTGAGTGTGTGTGTGTGTGTGTGTGTGTTTGACGTTACCTTTTCAGACAGTCTGCAAGCCCTACCAACCACTGGTATATGTGTGTGTGTGTGTGTGTGTTTATCTGTAAGCCCTGGTGTGCCGTGGGTACGGCAACATGATTGTGTCCACGCTACCTTCGCTGTCTGAGCTGCTGTCAGAGTCGCTGCTGGCAGAATAAACGCAGAGTCCCGGTAAAACCCCAACGCACACGGCTGCTGACGGCAGGTGTAGTGTGCCTTGACCAGAGCCCACTGGAGCTGAAGGTTTCTTCACTGTCAGGCTAGGGACTGTCTGTTTATTCTCAGCCCCCTCAGCTCCTTCCCCTGCTCCGTCCTCCTGTTCTGAACAGCAAACACATCATCAGGTTCAGGGATTCAACACAAGGACATCAACCTCTCAGGCTAGTTCTTCTCTTTTGCCACATTTCTTAAAAGGTTAAGGATTATACACAGGAAAAACTGAATTGTATAACAAAAGTGACCAAAAAATCTCTATGGAACATTTTAGTGCCTTCCAGCTTTTTGTTTTGGTTTATGGCCCACAGATTTAGGCCACTTTTAGAAGGAAACGGTCTCCCTAGAAAACGGAAAAGTGCCGTTTCGTTTTCAGTTTTTATGCTGTGTTTACACAAAAACGTAATGTGGTTGAAAACGCTGTAATGTGCATGCCGGGTCGCTAAGTGGCGCGTGTCGGTGTGACCGCGCTCCCATATAGACCAATAACGCATACGTAGAACAACTTCCGTTCTACATTAATTATTTGATGCAAATAATTCAGACGCCTCCTCTGCTGAGCAGTATGATCCGTGAGGATTCTGTACAGGTCAAAATTGAGCTCCTGCCCGTTCAATCCTTTCAAGGCAGACAGACACACGTTCCATCTTCCAGGCTGCAGCCCACCTTTGTGTCTGTCTCCGTTTCCTGTTGTCGTGATTTCCACCTTCTGTTTCTTACTGCTGTCTGACGACTGAGAGGAGCTGAGTGAGAGAACAAAGAGACCGTAGAAAGTCCTCAGCAATGTTTTTCATTCAAACATAATCAAGTGAAACTACCTGCTTGACAGGACACTGAAAACACACTGAGATGGTGACCAGCGGGGTAACAAGTCAGAACGTTCTGCACATAGACTGTATATAGAATGGACAGAGTCTGCCTCCTCTCTGTGTGAAGCCACTCCGAGAACAGCACCCTCTGTTGATGGGCTGCAGTATACACCGATTCGGGTGAGAGGTTTGTGTACACCGCCATCTTGTGGCGGCGCCATTGCTGCGGTGTGCGACGTCATGAAGTTGTCATGCTATCAACAAATAAACGTATGCTAGTGAATAGTGGCTGAGAGCATCATTGACAGCATGAGTAAAGTCACCTGGTTTGACGATGTCAGACAGTGGCCTCCGGTTACTGATGAAGGTATCTTAAATTAATACCGATATTAATTTGGGAATTGATAAGATGAAAAGTATGAAGTATTTCATCGTGAAATACTGAAGTAGGAGGAGATGTGTGTGTAAACACTGGCTAGGCTACATTTATACTGACCCTTGCAGGCTAACAGGCAATTAATCATTATGTACAAGCCTACGTGATTAAAAAATAATGTAGGAATTAAATATTTGTTTCATGGTCTATTAGCGTTATGCCAAGAAATGCATGCCTGCCAAGATCTAAATGCAGGGTGTGGGATCGTGCACAACTAAGAACTGAATGGATTTAACAGTAATGGCATGTGCGTCTCACATATCGACTTTTTCCACGACTGTAGTCTTTTACTGTTGTTGTAACAGTTGATGACGGCACACGTCCTCCCAGACTGTCTTGACATAGTTGTGCAGGGTTGCTTGTGTCGCCGCTCGCTGCCTACAGCACTGCTTCTCGTTCACTTTGCGCACACCGCAGTAATGGGGGCCGTACTACTTCCGGTCATTTCGCCGAATCACTGTATAGGTCATAAATCCTGCCTCCGCCAGCAAAGCTTATGGAGCTGTGGACAAACTTTAGAAATTTATTACACAGAACATAATTTTTTCTCCCCCCTGCTTGTGATGTTGACATGTAGTTATTGTAAGACTGGTTTGTGCTCAAGTCCTCTTTTTTCTGTGAAGCTGTTTTTAAAAGTTATTAGGGGCTTCATGTTTTCTATGATTGACACCTGATACAGCCTATGGGCGTTCAGGGATTGCGTAGCTCTCCCGGGGGATACGCTGTTTGAGCCGAGCGTCATCACAGCGACTCTCTGCTACTGCACAGTGCTGGTTTCAGGAAATGAAGAAAAATCCCGGAAATACAGAGTTTTTTTTGCTTCAAATCCATATACAGACGGGAGGCGGAACCAAGCTGTCCATAGTATATACAGTCTATGGTCTTGGCACCAAAGGCAATTTTTTTTTTTTTGATGTTTTAGAGAAATTTAAACTCTACCAGAGAGTGAAGAAAGGGCTGTCCTTTGAATTATGTTGATTTTATAAAACAAAGATCAGTGTTATGTTTACATTAAAGACATGCATATGCATACCTGCGTCTCTTGACAGCTCCAGCTAATAAATGGGCCTGAGACAGGTGGCTCGTCCTCTGCTCTGCCCCTGACTGTTTAGGCGCTGCCTTCTTCTCTGGCTCTTTACGGCTTTCTGCAGATGCTTGCTTCACTACAGCACTGTGAAGGTATCGAGTCAAGGTGACTAAAGCATAGTGGGACCTGGAGGTGGAGGCCACAAGACAATGCAAACTACATTTCACAGCGGTCTGTAATATAGTAAGTGGCGCCCTGTCCTCTCTTCAAAGGAGAGCAGTTACATCTCCAACAGTGCTGTGGAAAAAATGACACGGTTCTGTTAGGCTAAGAAAAGCACTCCGAGAAAGAGACGGAGAGAGATGACACAGATAGAGGACCCAAAAGAACAAGAGGAGATGGACACAGCTCAAGAGACCTGAAATCAGGCCGTGATGAAGAAACAGAGGAAAAAAAGAGACCAAACACACCTCGTAGACAAGAATCAGGTTCAGAGCAGACAGGAGTGGGCAAACATAAAGTGGGACATTAGATAAAAGAGATCAACAGTCTTGAGGTTTGAGCTTGTTTGTGTGTCTGTGCACTTTTGTCTTCACAACTGCTGTGAACCATCACTGTAGTTACCAGCCTATGATACAGTTTCCACGACAACCCCTTCTTTTCCTGCAGATAAACCTGTCTGTCTGTCTGCAAGGACAAGAGGCAGTGACAAGTGACATGAAAACTCATGAGTATGTGTGAAAAATTTACTGTGCACCAGCAAGGATTTCAAAAGTCTAAGTTTGTCATACAATCATATAATTTTTCACAACTAAACTTTGCAGGTCTCTTTGTCAAACGTACAAAGAAACAGAGATAGACTGTTCATCTGAGCATATCACTAAGTTATTTTTTAACCCTCAAAGAAAATGTTCAGCCTTAAAGAAGAACATGGTCTCTGAAATTGAGGAGCAACTTTGGTTCTGAAAAAGGAAAGAGAAGAAGTAAATTCTGTGAATGCAATCAACCCAGCAGTGCGAAGAATGACTTTCAGAGTTGTGTAGTTTTCGATGAAAGAGAAAAATTAAATGTGCCAGTTCACTGCTCCAATTGTCCAAATTTAGGTAACTGAGAAATATGAGAACATTATGAGGCCCCAACTACATGAATGCGGATATATTTCAAACCACACATATTTATGTCCGATTAGGCCTCCCTACCACACCAAAACGGGAGTTTGGAACACTCAAACTGGATAAATCTGAATCCTAAAAAAACAAGTGTAGAAATAAAAAAAATATCTGTATAAGTGGATTTGTGTGGTTGAACTTTTACAGATCGATGACGTCAAACTGCAGCTCCCGCATGCGAATTAAAAAGAAAAACAACACAACGATGGCTGAATTTTTTTTAAGCGGCACCAGATAGGATTGAGTTTGAAGGCCACGTGTGGACGCAGATATTTTTGAGAACTAACTCGTGTGGACAGATACATTTATTTAGACGGGAGTACAAAAACATCCTGATAAATAAATATCTATATACGTGTAGTCCGGGCCTGAGAAGGCAAGAAAAAAAGATCCCTTGCTTGTGATAACTATAATTTTCATAAACCTGTACACTGAAAGGGATAACTCTGCTCTGTGCAGAGAGAGTATCACATGTTTATAGCTGTAGTGCTGGAATTGTACATGAACATGATGTAAAACTGCGTGTGCTTTGTGTATCTATGCGTTGCCAGCAGAAGCTCGACTATAAAGGAGCTTTGCCAGCCTCTGCCAGCACACATAAAGCTGCTTATCATCCTGTAAACTATACAAACCAGGAGACTTCACATTGGCAACATGTCTGAATGTGTGAAGGAGGTAATAGTGTCAAAAAAATGACTAAAAAGCATTTACTATCAGAAACACCTGCTAAGAAAGCCAATTACACAATGAACACGTCTGTTCTGCTGTTCTTTTCAACACTGGACTATTAGCGTCTATCAGTGGAACAGCGTGACCTTTCTGCTCCCTCTGAAATGACTGAACCAAACCCACCTCTTACTCTTTTTGGTCTTTTTTATGGCTGGTGATGCAAAAACTAGACTAATTATGTTTTAACCGACTTAAATACTTTTCTCAGTCCTGGTGACTAAAGCAGCTGGTTTGCATTTCTACTGCCTGACGCTCACTCTTGAAAGGCGCAGAGAGGGGTTTTATAATTGTGTTGATTGTGATTATGGTTGTTTTTTTGTCATGAAAACTGCAGTTCATAATACATTTTTTAGCCAAAATCATGTTACCTGTGTCATTTTCAAGGGCTTTTCATCTGCAGAGCTCCAGTAGCTCATCAGCAATTCACCTCTGAGTCGTGGGCAGAGACAGCTCTGCTCCGCACACTGGTCTTCACGCTAGCTTGCAGCCTAACATTGCCGGTGTAGTAGAAGAAGCAGGTAACATAAGAGCTATTCAACTCTTGGACACTAATGTCTTTAGGGACAAGTTAATATCATAATTAGAGGAACATGCAGACATGTGGCAACACTTCCATGTTGCTGCATGTTGCTGTGCTGGACTGGACGGAAGCCAAAACAAATAAACAAAAAACCTAAACCATAACCTATATCTCTAAATAGCTCACCTTCCCTCTTCTGTTTCCCTTGTTGATGTTCTGTACTCATTTTGTATCCTTAATTGGGTTAGCAGATGTCTTACAGCACTTTATTGTTTTTGACTTTTTGACTTAGACTAGTAGAGAATTCCAGCAAATGATTTCTAGTGAAACAACATGAAACCATGTGTCGTAGTATCTGTTTGTTCTTTGTTTTTTGTCTTTCCTTTCGTCTTACATTTAAATGGGGTAGGCGCTATAAGCTTTTAGCTTCAGCCTATACCCTTTTGGCCAAACAGTGTGATTACTGAAACAAATGTAATTGAAATGTCACGGAATGGAATATACCTTGTTTCAAAGCTGAAATAAACTATAACTAACTAACTAACTAACTAATTAGCTTTTCTTACGAACATTGCAATCCGCTAACGCACAGGCTTGTTTCGCGATCCTCCTCTCTACTTTTCCGAGTGTGACCTGCGTAATGTGGCTCCGGGACGGAGCTTGGATTTGTGACATAGCAAATCTCACTGAAACTGAGCCTGCCGTTTGGGTCTGCCAGAGATTCACAGTGAGTGGAATGCGGAAATGCAATTTTGCACTTAGTTTTCTCATGATATGTCCTGTAGCATCAGAAAAATGCCACATGAAAATGTAGACAACAAGAGAAACGTGATTTTATCGGAGTGGGTCTTTAAAGATTGTAACTCTTGTCCAAGTGTGAATATGTCATGGAAGAAAATTAATGGAATGCATTTTGGAGTGAATGCAGAATATTAACTCAGCTTTTTTGTGAAAAATTCAACTCAATCACCGGCATTAGGGACATCTTATACGATGTAGTTTAAGAGGAGGCATCTGTGTAAGTGACTCTGTTTTGAAATTAGATCAAGATTCCTCATAGTGCCTCTAATTTATTGAAGTTTATTGTGAACAGCTGTGTCCGAAATGAATCACTCAATCCCTAACCCCTAACCCCAATATGGGATTTCACTGTATAGCTGACTATGTAGTGAGCTCAATTACCGGAGGTTTCGGACTCTACATGGCATGACGCAATGTATGACGGGATGCCCACCACCGGTGAGTGACCATCGGATGGTCACTACATTTGCAATGCTTTATGGGAAATTTTGAGTTGCCTATATGGGGCATTGGAATTGATCACTCAGGTTGCGGACACTCCTCAAAATGGCGCTAACCCCCATATAGTCGCCTATATAGGGGTTAGGGATCCATTTCGAACACAGCCTAAATAAACGATCCTCTGTGCCTTGCTATGGCATTATGGGTAATTTAGTGGGGAAATAACAGCTACTCTGTACTCTCAATGATGGTCATGGCAGGACATTCTCTGAATGACTGGGATATATGAAAACAACATGAAACTTAAAACTCCCTCTGCTGTTTGTGGACTAAAACATCAGCAGAAGGAGTTAAATATCAACTGATGTCTTATGAAGCTGACAGATTAAATATTTCACAAACAGAAGCCAGAACCCGTCAGTACCACAAACGAAAAAGACGGAGAAAGTCAGCAGAAGATGTTCTGTACCACAGAACAAACACGACCAATAATCCTGCTTTGTCAGCTGAAGTTTTAAAGACTGGATGATCAGAGTGGGCAGAGTGTTTCAGTTTCAACACAGCTAAGGCGGGAAGGTGTGTTTTGGAAACTACATTTCTCCACGCTGAGTCGCGACAATAGACTCCTCTCATTTTCAAGTCATCATAATAAACCAAAGAACTTGACTTATATAATCTAGTCCTTTACCACTCAATCGCCCATTCACACATTATCTCACACACGTTCATCCACTGCTGGCTCCAGCCGTAATGCTATTCTTATACTCATTCACACATACACGCACATTGCTGCCACAGATGGCGGTCAAACCTCTGCTCATCCAAGTAGATCTACCTTCTGTGTCACAGATGCCCAAGAAAACAGGCAATCAAGTTCTGGGCTGTGCTTCACATGCCGCTCAGTGTTTCTCCTGCAAAAAACAACACTGCTTATTGAAATTCTTCACATAAACAACCATGTGATGAAAGGATATTCTATACTCTAACAGTTCCTGCTTCTCCTCTTCCCTGCGTTGCTTCTCCAACAAGCACTGTTGCCGGGAGACCTCGTCCAGGAAGCTGGTCTCATCTTCGTCCAATCCTCTCACCATGTTCCCTGTCACCATGGAAACAAACATGCTTTGAACACATAACAGTGGAGCGACTGCAGTTTTTCAAAAACAAAACAAACCTTAAGTGCATTTCCAGACTGCAAACATGTGACCTTCATATTCCAAAGAGCTCAGAAATCTTACAGAGCTTCACGCTTTGTGACCATAAGACACATTTCTGTTGTCTTTGAATCATAACACTGTCAACATATCCGGGTTCAGTCAATGAATCTGTATTTTTATTTAAAAGTATCATCAGTGGAGACGAATATACAGCATTACATAGTGGAAAAAAGAAACCGAGCATGGAGAGAAACCTTGACTTTCTCTCTTTACTGACACTCTCTGCTACTAAATGTTGTAGCCTTCCTGGCTTGGAGTTTCAGGCTTCAACGATACTACACCTTACTTTAAAAAATACACATCATAAAATATCACTTATGTGAGGAAAGGACTCATTTCATATTCTGTTCTTGTGTGGGACACATCATTAAAACTCAAAAATGTTTATTAGCTCATCAAAGTCCACATACTTCTTTGTGTTCATGCAGAATGGTCACGTAACAGTGGGATGTCAGCCACATGTCCTGACACACGTTATGCTGTCACCATGTTCTTATTTTCCATGACTGACTGGTAATAATGCTGCGTTCCAGTTGTACTCGGAAGTCAGAATTTCTGAGCTCCGAGTCTGAAATTCATCTGGAATGTCCCACTGAAGTCGGATTTCAGACTCGGAGAGTCAGACGATCCTCACCAACCCCAACTTGACGACAGTGTTATAATCATAGACTGTATATAGAATGGACAGAGTCTGCCTCCTCTCTGGGTGAAGCCACTCTGAGAACAGCACCCTCTGTTGACGGGCTGCAGTATAGGTCATAAATCCCACCTCCACCAGCAAAGCTTATGGAGCTGTGGACAAACTTTAGAAATTTATTACACAGAACATAAATTTTTTTCCCCCCTGCTTGTGATGTTGACATGTAGATACAGTAAGACCGGTTTGTGCTCAAGTCCTCTTTTTTCTGTGAAGCGCAGTTTTTAAAAGTTATTAGGGGATTCATGTTTTCTATGCTTGACACCTGATACAGCCTATGGGCGTTCAGGGATTGCATAGCTCTCCCAGGGGATACGCTGTTTGAGCCGAGCATCATCACAGCAACTCTCAGCGACTGCGCGGCCGAATGCGCGCATCGCTACTGCGCAGCTCTGGTTTCAGGAAATAAAGAAAAATCCTGGAAATACCGAGAACTTTTTGGCTTCAAATCCGTATGCAGGCGGTAGGCGGAGCCAAGTTGTCCATAGTATATACAGTCTATGGTTATAATCCAAGATGGCAGTGCAGTGCATCAACAGTTAAGAGTTACAGTGAAAGCTCTCGTAATGCATTATTTATTAGCACTGCTGTTTTGACAACCGCTAACAACAACTGACAACGGCCAATGACAGCTGACAATTGTAAAAAACAGCTAACAACGGGTAACTGTAGGCGTCCATCTTGGTTTTCCGACTTGTTAACTGGAACACCGTCAATTCGAGTGTTACGTCATTCCCAGCTCCGACATCCGACTTCCAAGGTAACTGGAACACAGCATAAGAACCTGTCTGATACCACTGTAATGCTGTACAGTGATTAGTGTAATTAATGAGTGTTTATAACGATAGTTATACAAGTTTTTAAGCAAATTATTACACATCATAAATATATGTATAATGCATTATCTATGTGGGCATTGTCAGTGAGTTGTTAACAGTTATAACACATTATAATACCTTACCTTGTAAGTCATGAAAAAATGCTTCATAATGTGTTATTATTATTGCTATAAAGCGTTATGATCATGTATGAGTGTATATAACTGTATTCATACAGTGCTATAACGTGATTATAACACATTATACATAAACTTACAATGCGTTATAGAGACAGACATCAAGTTTAAGTGTTGCCAAAACTATCTGTCCTTTTCTCCCTTTATCATGCAGCCCTAGTTGTGTACTTCAGTCTTTCAAAACAATGTGTTAGTCCAGGATTTTTCCCTCTTTCTCAAACCCTGATAAGGAAGCTATATGAGGTGAAGCCCATTCAAACCCAGATGGCAGAGTTCTGATTATAAAGATGAGGAAAGACACAAACACTCACTAAATTTGAACTGCTCCTCGAATTCCTCTTGCTTTTTGTCTTTCTGCTCCTGCAGTCGCTCGAAGAGTGAACGAGGGTCATACTCCTCTTCTGGGGCCTCTGAGAAGTACACAAACAAATCATAATCAGTGTTTTTTCATCGATGCAGCTGGAGGTTTGTTGTGGTTTTGGATCTCTGTGTGTAAAGTTTTACCTTCTGGATCATCAGGTTTTCGGACTTTCTCCCATTCCTCCTGTCTTTTCTTCCTCTTCTCATCAAGCTCTGCTTCTGTCACAAACTTTCTGCTGAGATCCACACCTGCTGCCTCACCCCCTGCCATTACAGCTGACACACACACACACACACACACACACACACACACACACACACACACACACACACACACACACACACACACACACACACACACAATTCTGAGAATCATAACGACTGTAACAATTTCAAAGATCATTTCACTCATGATGGGACGGTGTTGACTTTACTTGCGTGTGGCATCTATAAAACTAGAAAAACACTCGGAGAGCGCAAACCTCTGCCAAGCAGGTCATGTCCCCCCTTATATTGTGATTCATACCAAAACTTTTACTGTTACGTGTCTTTTATTAACGTTTATTTGTGTTTAAACTGGTATGTTCACTGTTCATTATGTTCCTAAAACAAGAAATGCCCTGACCCAGATTTGAACCCAGGACCTTCTTGCTGTGAGACGACAGTGCTAACCACTACACCACTGTGCCACCTATCTACACCACTGTGCCGCCCATCTACATCACTGTGCCGCCCATTGGTTATCTTTCTGCATTGAAAATTCCAACGACACCCTTATTTTTGTGTGTTCTGGATCACAGTATCCAGAATTTTGTCTGGATCAGGATCAACCTTTGACACCTCATAAAACTCATTGAGATCCTTTTGTGTCATTTTTTACTAAAGACTCTGGACATTTTTCTAGAGTTAAATGCAAAAATTCCCAAATTTGCCCTATCTCACAATGATAAAGAATCCTTCAAAAAATTCCTGGATCCAGAAGGCGATCCGGATCACCACCAAAATGTAATGGGATCCTCCTGGGGCTGAGACGCACCTCTGGTGAATTTCAGGTCAATCCTTCTGTAACTTTCTCTATAAAGTTGCTAACAAACAAACAAACAAACAAACCAATGCTACCAAAAACATAACCTCCTTGGCGGAGGTAATAATGGGTGTGGGAGTCTCTGCAGATGTCATTATTTGAAAAACTCTGCAAAGAATTTAAAGATTAAAAGGATTTTGTTGATTTTTGTTAAAGTCCAGCAAAGAAAAAGGCCACTTGAATCCATTATTGGTCACCTTGTGTCCTTTGAGAAAACCCTAGAACCACTGTGGACTGGCAGCAACGACTTATCAGTGACCTATGGGTGTAAACAGATCAAAACCCACCGAGCAAACAGCTCAACAGCACACCTGATGGAAAGCAGCTTTTTAAGTCTTCGACATTCATCATGTGTAAACACTCAGTGGACAAGGCAATAACAGGCTATCACAGCTGAAATCAACACACTCATTTTCCCACAGAGGCCTGGAGTGATGACCAAATCTAGCTGTTGAACCATGATAGCAACATTAAGGCAAAAGAAAAGAAGTGTGAAAGGGTTAGGAGGAAAAATATTCAGAATTACGGTCTTGTGGTGAGATCGATGCAGTGACATCATTACAAAAAGAGTCAGAGCAGAATATCTCTGATATCAACTCTTTTTTTTTAATGCCGAACATAAATTAGGATGACATTTATTAAACAAGACTCATTTCTTGTTTAATTTCAAGAGTCTGGAATATTCCATCATAGCTTTGTGTTTCACTGCTTTTAGAGAATTCACAAAGCATAAATAAAATTGAAAGGACTCGCTAACATTTATCTGTGATGATTTGCTTCCCCCTTGTGGTTACTCTGAATTACTGCAAGTAATTCACAGCTTACACAAATTTAAGCATATCTTTTTTCTCAGAGGACAGCCTCAGGTAACAACAGGATATCATAGCTGCTTTACAGAGGTGTTAAAAAACATTTCTGCTCAATACACACTATGTTTGACACAACTGTCTGCATGGACTAACACAATATTTGAGCCTTACAGGAGCCACATATTGACAAGTTTTGAATCTTAATAATCATTCACTAATCATGGTCAGGGGGCAGACATCCTCTTCCTTAACAGAGGGCTAAAAACTGCTCTCCTGAATAAAGCCTGTAGTTAGCGCCGCCCTGAGCATGGATCACCTCCTACTTGTGCTGCCACCAAACTCTTACCCCCCTATCACTTGCATATTTCAATTCAATTCAACTTTATTTATATGGCACTTTTCGTACATAAGGAAATGCAATTCAAAGTGCCTCACAGAGGCTAAAAACAACAATGAAGACAAAAACCCAACCCTTCCACCCACACATACACCCATGGACCCACATGCACACAAAGACCCACACCCACCCTCACTCACCCACACATACACACACACACACACAACCGCACACAATGTGAGAATTTACGATATAAGTTAATGAGACATGGCCTGACACCGAGACATTACATGGGGAAAAAGCTACCTTTAGGAAACACTGGAGATAAAAATAGAGATAAAAATGGCGAAAAGGGTAAAACCTGATGGACTAAAATAAGAAAATAATAATATTAAATGAACAGATAAATAAAAGGGGTAAAAGAAGTAAAAACCTGTGACGGGAAATTTAAAAAAAGGCTAAGAACAGAGGTAATGAATAGAATGACATAAAATAAACATTAAGAACTTTAATTAAAATTAACATTTGCAATAAGAGAAATCTAAAATGGCAATTAGTAAAAAGCCTGGTTAAAAAAGTGAGTCTTGAGCCTCTTCTTAAAAATATCAACAGTCTCTGCGGCCCTAAGGCTCTCCGGCAGGCTGTTCCACAACCGGGGACCATAAAAACTGAAAGCCGCCTCCCTGCGTGTTTTTGTTTTGACTCTGGGTAAGGTTAAAAGGCCTGTGCCGGAGGACCTCAGGGTCCGCGAGGGTTGATATGGTAAAAGTAAATCAGATAAATAGGAGGGGCCAAGACCATTAATACTAAAAACTAAAAAAAGAACCTTAAAATCAATCCTGAAACGGATGGCGAGCCAATGCAGCGATGCTAAAACTGGCGTTATATGCATCCGGCCTCTGACCCTCGTCAGCACTCTTGCAGCTGAATTCTGTAATAGCTGAAGTGTATGTAAGTTCTTCTTGGGGAGGCCATATTGTCACATTGTTGTGTGCTACGAACCTTTAATCCCTATGTACCACAAAAGCTATGCATTCACCAGTGGTTTTGGTTCAGTACTGTTTGGTATAGTATTTCATTATTTTTGTTTCCATGGTCAAAAGTTGGAAAAGGTACTCAAATAACCACCCTGCTCTGTCCTTAATATTATATTATTATCATTATTATTATTATCATTTTGGCTCCTCTTCTCTACAACCAACCATATATTTCTGTTTTTTTTTCTAGCCCCCTGCCTTGTCTCAAAGGGTGTGTGTAGATATGGCAGTCCCCCCTGCCCAAATGTCTTGTTGGTCACCTAGGTGCACTTTGGTGTTAAATCTACCAATTGGCCTGAGCTGCAACAGGCCTCTAGTTGGATTTTGATGCATTTAAATGAAGCACTTTTTCTTTTGCTAGGACTGCAAGTTGCGGGAAAATAGTTTGCACATCTTCAGAGGGGTGTCAGACTGGAACCACTCCATCAAAAAGTGCAAGGTCATTCCTCTCTGTCTGCCTATATCATATGTCTTTGTAACACTTGAGTAGACATCTGATATGACACCATTAAATGTTTATTACAGTTGGTGTTCTGGGGCTTGCTGGCATTTTTCTAGGCACCCTAAATTGTGAATTTTGACAAATATTCTTTCTTTGAGTCCTCAAAGAACAAAACTAAGAAATTTTAAAGGTTACAGATCTATTGTGTAACTATTCAGTGAAATATATATAATCATATATGTGTAAATGCACTATTGTCATTAATAAACTGTGTTTATATGGTTCCGTTGGTTGTTGTTGTTGTTGTTGTTGTTGTTGTTGTTTGACCGCACACAGCACTTTTTCAGTTTGTGTCACATTCACCCATCCTGTGTAAAGTGACCATCATTATTCACTAACCTCATTCACACCACTAGAGTGGGTTGGGCCAGTTTGGAGTTTTCTGTCATGCCCAAGAATAATAATAATAATAATAATAATAATAATAATAATAATAATAATAAATTTTATTTGAAGGCGCCTTTCTGACACTCAAGGTCACCGTACAAATCACATTAAAAACAGCGTAAAACATTTAAAACACATTTAAGAGGAATATCAAATAAATAAATAAAAAAATAAGAATAAATAGATGAATATTTTAACACACTACCTGCAAGACCTGGGGCTGTACCCCTGCAATATTAAACTGATTTTATTAGCAACGGGTTTCAATTGTGGGCTCGGCAATTGTGAATAATGTTTATTTATGAACACTCTTGTTCACAGGTTCCTCTTGCTTGTTGCTAAAGACCACCACCATCTGTGTAGCTGCTGACTAGAACTGCAACAACCAATACTGTCAGTCTTCATATATCATCTGTGATAACTGTGGTCATTGAAGAGCTACTTACCGTTGTCATCGATATCGTCAGAAACCCCTATCTTCTCATTTCTTAGTTGTTTTAGCTTATGGGGACCCGTATAGCTCAACTACCTTCGAGGACTTCTGACAATGAAATGATGCTTTGTCAATAAAATCAGACTAATCTGCATCGACCTCGCCAATATTCTCACTACTACCTGCAGCGACGATGACAACGCTAAAGGTTAGCTTTCCAAACCAAATAATGACACACTCAAATCATTATTTTCCACCTATTGTTATTTATAATCGTGCGATCTTACAGCCGATGCACAGCCCAGGACAACCTTTGAGTGTGTTATTCCTGTTTGTTATGCTCCAGACTGTTGCAGATCCGCCGTTAGCTTCATTAGCATTCAACAAGCTGCAGTCGCCGCAGTCTCTCACCAAACACCTGACTCGTTTAAAGAGGAAAACATTTGGGTACACAACAGAGCACACTTGAATTCTAGCTTCTTGCTGAGTAATCAGACACCGAATATTTCATTTTTCTCGGACACTTACCACGCAATACTCGGCGATATCTCACAGCTGCAACAGCTTACCGATTTGTGCTACAGTAAAATTATCTCGTCTTGGTTCTCGGCGTGAATTAGTAGTTCCGCCCTGCAATTTCTGTTTCTCTCATAGACTATATAGAGGTAGGAGGTATAGTGGATACAGTCTATGGCACAGGTGTCAAACTCAAGGCCCGGGGGCCAAATTTGGCCCGTGGAACAATCATATCTGGCCCACAAGATCATATCATATTTGTATTATTATTGGCCCACCAGTATGAAGTCTGCAGATTTCCTCCAGGATGATAATGTAAACTTTAGCACCATTATTTAAAATATCCTTAATAAACCATGAAAATCTGGGAAAGTAAAGAGTACGGAAGATTTGATAAATAGTCAAGAATGTGGGGAAAAAATTGTGTTTTATCCATAATTCCAATTTTGCATCTCAAGATTACGAGTCAAACATGATTTGACATTTTATTTTGTGACTTGTTTTTTTCCAACGCAGTATTTTAATCATTTTAATCCTTTAGATTCCAATCTTAAATTTTAAGCCATATTTTGACTTTAAACTCTTGATTTCAAAATGATCTCATATTCTGACGATTCAAACTTATGATTTCAACTTTCCCCTCATGCATTTGCTCTTTAAAAGCATTATTTTTCTATTTTTGATATCATGTTCTGATCTTTTGAAATAATCTATTGGAATTTTTCTTTTAATCTCAGATTGCTTTTAAATTTATCTTTTTTACTTTTTGAATTTTCAAGTGGTGTATAATCATCGCTGATTTTGTTATATATTTTGAAAAGGAGGCTGAGGAGGAGGACAAGGAGGGTCAAATGTTGACCCTGTTTGGCCCTCAGGTTAGAATTAAATCCAGATTATGGCCCTTGCTGTGGTTGAGTCTGACACCCTTGGTCTATGGTTTCTCTAAAGGTGCCTTAGCACAAACAGATGCTACAGTATGCAAACAAGAGAAACCTACAGTGGAGCCTGTTCAACAAGAAAGCTGTGCATGCAGAAACAATCACATATAACGGAAACCTTGAAGTATTATGCTGTATCAGCAGGTGAAGAAAAAGTGAAAAACAGCTCACAATTGCAGAAGCAGGAACACAAGAAAAAGGGCCCCTGCTGTGGTGCGAAAAAAGTGATTATTCAAAGATGTGCCTCCAACAGCACTTCGGGGACCTTAAGTTCCTCAGTATTCTGTCTCTTTGGCAAATGTCTGTTTAGGTTCTCATTCATCCATGGTGTCATGGTGATAGAAATTCCTTTCAAAACCTGAGCACTACAAATCAACAAGTAAGTTCACTCAACTGTTGGATGAGCTCAATTTGTTGGGGGAAACAACATAAAAAACTCCTTGGTGGTCAGGTCCTGGGGGTGGATGAGATCTGCCCAAAATTCCTCAAGGCCCTAGATGTTGTAGGACTGTCATGCCTGATACAGCTGATCGTGTGGACATCAGGGGAGGCATGTTGATTGATCAAATGTGTTCGTTTAATAAAAAGTATTTTCAGGAAACAAGTTTGGGGTCACTTTTTAGTGTGAACTCTGATATTTACCAGCACCAACTTTTAACTAGTTCATTTGCGAAGAGAGTCCTGTCAAACATTGTAGTACCAACAACAGCTTCACTTTTATGATCAAGAGATAGAGAGATAGCAGTTCTGAACAGTTGATACAGAGGTTACATGATTTGCTGCAGTGTCTTTGAGAAACCAGCAGATGACAGCATAGACAAGTCCTCAGTGACAGCCTTTTGTTTTCCTCTCCTACCTCAAATCTCACTCTTAACTTGAAACCATTAACATGAAATATCACCACATCAGACTGAAAAATGTGTTCTCTGTTTTCATACTTTTGGATTAGCATCTTTCAGATTTGCAGTGTATTTGCTGATTAGGCTACATAGCGTTTTTTGTTTCTTTGTAGTTTCTTCTTCTGTAAGTTGCATTACCTGCCTTTCTGCTGTTACACTTCATTATTTCATTAACTCCGAAATTTGCAGCAGGTCTCTCCTGGTGAAGATCATTTGGACTGTGACAGATCAGTTAGCCTTATTGGCCACCATGGATATTTGATGCACTTGAACACTTGGTTCGGAAGAATGCTGTAAATAAATAGCATGAAATAATAATAATAATAATGATAATAATAATAATAAGGATGATGATTACAATGATGATGATGATAATAATAATAATAACAATAATAATGATAACGACAATGATAATGATAATAATAATAATAATAATAATAATAATAATGATAATAATGATAATAATGATGATGATAATAATATTAATTATAATAATGATGATGATGATGATGATGATGATGATAACGACAATGATAATAATAATAATAATAATGATAATAATGATGATGATAATAATAATAATAATGATAATAATAATAATAATTATGATAACGACAATGATAATAATAATAATAATAATAATAATAATGATGATGATGATGATGATAATAATAATAATAATAATAATAATAATAATAATAATGATGATGATGATGATGATTATAAGAATAAGAATAAGAATAATGAGGATGATGATGAAGATGAAGAAGATGATGATAATAATAATAATAATAATAATAATAATAATAATAATAATAATAATAATAATAATAATAATAATAATAATAAGAAGAAGAAGAAGAAGAAGAAGAAATTTCCATCCTTAGCTATACTCTCTTTCTTAGTTGCTGTCCTGTCCATTTATAAATAAAGGCCAATGATGGCATTTCAAGCTTTCCAAACAATCTTCCTTCAATAGTGGCACTCCCCACTCCCATGCCTTTCCTGTCCCTACCTGAAATTCGGACTGTGGACTCACAGTCAAGAGCCAGATCCTCCCACTAACCTTGAAGTCAGGGTCGTTTCTGTAATCAATGAAACGTCCTTTCTTATCGCTACCTGATAGTAACAATCGCATGCTAAACTGAGCGAAACTTCTTGTTGTCCAGCACGTATGTTATGCTGCATGGTTTGCACAAATTGATGCTGCATGTCATAGTTTGGTTTTGCGTGTATTCTGCAGGCTCCGGTGACTACTGTGTTTCAAACACAAAATGTCGGTGGTCTTAAACGCCAGAGCGACTTGTAGGACGCGATAAACTTCGACAAGCGACCTAGAGGTGAGATGGTATGGCTTTGTGTGATTTTTTTTTTTTGCAGATCTTACATCCGAAGAATCCGGACTTAAAATAAGGATAAGTTGTCCACCACTTCATAGCAGCTGGCAGCAGCGGTATTTTGTTAAACATCCGGTGTGGATGGGGCCGAAATAGGGTTGCTGTAAAGAAGAGGAGAGAAAATCTCAGTAGAGTTGTCATGCAATTCGTGTAAAACGTAGAAAACTCGACAATTGCCAAAATGTGTCCAGTGACCATGACATGTGAGCACTGAACTATCTTAAAGTGACTAATGGCCACAGCAGCAGACATTGTGAAGTGGTGTGTGTGTGTGTGTATGAGTTTGTGCAGGTAATTTTATACATTAGTACAATCAACAAATAAAATGAATGGATGAATACATAAATGAAATGTACCATAAAGTCAGGTAAATATGTTTCATAAGACTGTTACAGGCTATCATATTATTACATCTGCAATAAAAAGCAAAAACTAAGGAAAAGCAAAATCTTAAAACAGTAAGATTTATGTTATTATTGTTCACAGTTATTCAAGTCATTGTTTTCTTGATTTTTTGTTTTATCCTTACACACTGTTGAATGGTTTCATCTACTGCAAGAAAACTCTTTCACCGTCTTATTTTTTTAATGCAAGAATTGTATTCCTGGAGTCAGGGGAACCCACCTTTGAGAAGAAATAAAAGCAGGAAATTTTTTATCCTCTATGTTCTCTAAAAAATGGAAGAAACAGTTTGTAAGTTCAGGTTTCCCTTTTATCTACCTGAGTGAAGAATTTCAGCCAATAAAAGCCCCCATAATTACTCTTTTCAAGGACATTCATCTGTTTCCATCCAATCTGTTGACAAGCCTTGAGGTTTACTAAATTAGTGCTGCTAGGTAATTACAAATAATTCAGCTGAGAAACTGTTAAAGTATAAAGTACATAGTTAAGCCAAAACTTGTCAAAACATGTGCCTCTCAGAGGGTATCAGTCTTTCTGTTTGACTTTTTCCTTTACCTTCACCCCAGGGAAGCAAAGTACACCACCAGAGGAGAAAGGGCAAAGAGCTGAGCCACACTTTTGAAGCAAGCCTCCGAGTCTATCTTTTCAGTTTGATCAAGTCCTTTGCACCATGTTTGCCTCAATCATTCTGCTGTGGATCTGCGTTTTCTTCATCATCCTTCAACTGAAAACACGTAGACCCAAGAACTTTCCACCAGGACCCCCTATTCTGCCCATATTAGGAAACATTTTGCACCTCAGCCTTGACAATCCCCTGAAGGACTTTGAGAGGGTGAGTAATGCTGATTCCTTGAACTTTTTCTCTATCGCTTTATTTTTTAAGTTATACTTTTTGACATTGTTGCCTTTATTAGATGAAACGGCCAAAAAGAGACAGGAAATTGGAGTGAATAGACTACAGGAAGACATGCAGCAAAGAGCTGTGGTCGGGACTCAAACCAGCAACCACTGGGACAAGGACTATTGTTTGAACTGCTAGGCTGTCAGTGCCTCATAAACATTTACATCTGTGGTCATGGTGACGTTTTACCTGACAGCAATCATTTCCCAATAAGCTTAACACCTTTGATTTAAGACTACTAATAAAACCAATCAGCTGTAAAATAGTACCACATGTATAAGCAGCAATAGCCTTGTTGTGTGCATTTAAGGACAAGGGTGACTCACATTTATGCTACCATTGTTTTCATATGCTTGCATAACATGTCTGTACAGAGTTGACTGCAGTGATCTTGGACTGAATTCAGGTAGTGGTATAGGCTATCTAGTGTGGGCGTTTTCCAACAGGCATCGAATACAGTGGCAAACTCAAAGGTCTTGTTTAACAAATAATGGTGAGGTTTGTGGGATGTCAATCTACGATGTAGGTGAAAGGAGTTTGTTTTGTGCTCAATGAATCAGCAGCTTCTTGTCAAAGACACTGTGTCCTGGAGGATAAGACAGGGTGAGAATAAGACCTGTCTGGATGAAGCTAACAACACAAAGCCTGTGAAAAGAACATTTTTTTCTGTTAGAAAAAAAATGATCCTGAGCAGGACAGAAAAGCACTCTCACAGTCTCATAACCATGAACTAAAGTACCCTTCATGACCACACAACTCTGATATCATCTATCACAAACAATGCTCTCTGTACACACTCACCTCTCCTAAGGTTGGGCTGACCCCAAACAAAATATGAACCCGTTTATGCACTGATGCCAACAATTGTCTTGTCACTGTTATTACCTCCGCCAAGGAGGTCATGTTTTTGGTAGCGTTGGTTTGTTTGTTGGTTGGTTTGTTTGTCTGTGAGCACCTTTACCAAGAAACTAACAGACGGATTGACCTGAAATTTTCACCAGAGGTGCGTCTCAGCCCCAGGAGGACCCCATTACATTTTGGTGGTGATCCGGATCGTCTTCTGGATCCAGGAATTATTTGAAAGGGCTCTTTATCATTGTGAGAGAGGGCAAATTTTGGAATTTTTGCATTTAACTCTATAAAAATGACCAGAGTCTTTAGTAAAAAATGACACAAAATGATCTCAATGAGTTTTATGAGGTGTCAAAGGTTGATCCTGATCCAGACAAAATTCTGGATACTGTGATCCAGAACACACAAAAATAAGGGTGTTGTTGGAATTTTCAATGCTGAAAGATAACCAATGGGCGGCACAGTGGTGTAGATGGGCAGTACAGTGGTGTAGTGGTTAGCACTGTCGCCTCACAGCTAGAAGGTCCTGGGTTCCAGTCCGGGTCAGGGCATTTCTTGTTTTAGGAACATTATGAACAGTGAACATACCAGTTTAAACACAAATAAAAGTTAATAAAAGACACGTAACAGTAAAAGTTTTGGTGTGAATAACAATATAAGGGGGGACATTAGCTGCTTGGAGGAGGTCTGCGCTCTCCGAGTGCTTTTCTAGTTGATAGTTTTTTTTTACCGATCTTGTATGTGCTAGTTTAATTATTCAGTTACATTCTGTTTTCATCCATCTATCAGTGTGTGTATACGATTTTTTTTTTAGTTTTGTTACTTTACCTAAGTTATATTTTTCTTACTAAATCAGATTTATTGGCAAGTACTGTACATCTTCCTGTTTTGGGAATGAGAGAAGGAGGACAGTACCAAGAAAAGAAGGCAGATAGACTGCCCTTTGAAGAAATATTTATCTACGTTTTTAAGAACTGGTACTTCGAACACTGACATGTTATCTTTTCACCCTCAGCTGAGGAAGTCCTATGGAAATGTCTACAGTCTGTACTTGGGTCCCAAACCAGCTGTTGTCATCAGTGGGATGGAGGCCATGAAGGCAGCTATCGTGACCAAGGCCACTGATTTTGCTGGACGACCCCAAGATCTGTTGGTGAATGAAACCACCAGGGGGAAAGGTAAAGCAACTCCAAGTGTTGGAGTCAATGTCACCTTTTGCCGACAAGATCATTTGATCTGATATGTTGCACTGAATGATCTGTAAGCTCAAACTTGTTGTGTAACTTCTCGTGCTGTAGGAGTGATTCTGGCAGACTATGGCCCCAGCTGGAAGGAGCATCGTCGCTTTGCTCTGATGACTCTGAGAAACTTTGGGATGGGGAAAAATTCGATGGAAGACAGAATTCACGGAGAGTTACAGTATGTCATTAAGGCACTGGAAAAGAGCAACGGTATGTCGTATATGGGTCTATGTCCCCTTCACATGGTGCTCTCTGTGTGTGTGTTTGTATTCAGTTTAAAGCTGAATTGTGATTTTTCATACTGCCAAACTGATAAAAATGAACCTTCTACAGGGAAAACCTTCAGCCCTCAGCTCATGTTTCATAATGCAGCCTCCAACATCATCTGCCAGGTTCTGTTTGGTACACGTTATGAGTACGATGACGAGTTCATCAGAGTGATAGTTGGCTGCTTCACTGAGAACGCTAAGATAGCCAACGGACCGTGGGCTATGGTGAGTTAAAGCATATTATTCATTCTGTAAGTCAGTATTTGTGCAGTTGAAGGGCTGCTCTGCCACTGCTTAAAATCTTCATTACCTCCACCAAGGAGGTTATTACCTCCGCCAAGGAGGTTATGTTTTCGGTAGCGTTGGTTTGTTTGTTTGTCTGTTAGCAACTTTACAGAGAAACTAACAGACGGATTGACCTGAAATTTTCACCAGAGGTGGGTCTCAGCCCCAGGAGGATCCCATTACATTTTGGTGGTGATCCGGATCACCTTCTGGATCCAGGAATTTTTTGAAGGATTCTTTATCATTGTGAGATAGGGCAAATTTTGGAATTTTTGCATTTAACTCTATAAAAATGGCCAGAGTCTTCAGTAAAAAATGACACAAAAGGATCTCAATGAGTTTTATGAGGTGTCAAAGGTTGATCCTGATCCAGACAAAATTCTGGATACTGTTATCCAGAACACACAAAAATAAGGGTGTCATTGGAATTTTCAATGCTGAAAGATAACCAATGAAGATACAAGGAAGTGTACGCTTACAAATATTGCATAATAAACCATGCATTTATGTATCTAATATGAGCTTTGTTGTTTTAGGAACATTATGAACAGTGAACATACCAGTTTAAACACACATAAAAGTTAATAAAAGACACGTAACTGTAAAAGTTTTGGTGTGAATCACAATATAAGGGGGGACATGAGCTGCTTGGCGGAGGTCTTTTCTAGTTCATATTGTGAGACTATTACACAACTTTAACAATTGTAACAACATGCTTTACAATAATGCTTGGCTGTATTCAAGGCTGACTATCTAATAACTTCAAATTAACTCAAGTGTGGGTCCAGGTCAGTTATTTGATAATTTTTTATACTATTATAAGCTTCAGGGAGCTTATTGTATTTAGACAAAGCTGTACTTTCTGGGAAATCTTCAAAGTATCATTGAGGATCAGGAGAATGTCATTAGTCCTTGAAGGTTTAAGACGTGAAAAACTCCTAACCAAACTATTATAGTAACCTTATGTTTGTAAGGTTAAGCAAAAGTTATCCTGATGTGGGTTAACCTCATGAGAACATGACTGGCCTTGAATCCATCTCATGGTCATCAGATATACCCCTCAAACCACAAATCTTCACATGGTAAAGAATGTCATTGCAGGGCTTAAGTAAGCCAGGAGATAACTGAATACCTGACCAAAGGTAACTGCTCCCGGGACTTTGATCTCTCAAGGACACATGAGATCATACTTTGATCAGCCAAACTATACTCTTATTACATAACTCACTTGACAATTGCACTGCCAGCATAAAATTAAATTCAATTTAAATTCAAAATAAAACTCAATCGTTTTATATCAAACCAGTTTAAACCAAAAAGGTAGCAGAAAGGGGGAGGGGGAGTCTAAAAGGTTGATGGGTCACTGGGTCACAAGCATAAACTGTATATAGAATGGACGCCGTCTGCCTCCTCTCTGGGTGAAGCCACTCCGAGAACAGCACCCTCTGTTGATGGGCTGCAGTACAGGTCATAAATCCCGCCTCCGCCAGCAAAGCTTATGGAGCTGTGTACAAACTTTAGAAATTTATTACACAGAACATAAATTTTCTCCCCCCTGCTTGTGATGTTGACATGTAGTTATTGTAATACTGGTCTGTGCTCAAGTCCTCTTTTTTCTGTGAAGCTCCGTTTTTTTTTTTTTTTTTTTAACTTAGTTTTTATTATTTCTCTCTTTTTCTTTTTTTTTTACAGTACAGTACAAAATATACATTTCAAAACAATTATGTTTCCTTTCCTCTTCCTCAGCTGTAAGTGTATTTTTACAAACATCCATAGGCAATAGAAGGTGGAAATATATAACAAAAACCAATCGTTATATCAAATAAATAGGTAATGTCCACTCTAGAGAATAGAATTACTTGTACAAATGTCAATCAGGGGCAGGATGACGGCATTTTGATATACAACAGAAGGGTTTTACATCATAAATATTGTCATTGCAGCAACAAAGGTAGTATAGGTTCCCATCTTTTAGTGAAGGTGGCTTTCTGGAGCCTGAGGGCAAATGTGATCTGCTCCATTTGATAAATATCCCACACGTTTTGAATCCATGTATTGTATGATGGAGGTTCTGGTTTCAACCATCTGATGGTTATAGACTTCAAGGCCACAGTGAGTAATGTACTCAAGAGGTATTTATCCGCTCTCCTGTCCAGGCCTTTGGGTATTACTCCCAGCATTGCCACTGCAGGGTTTTGAGAAATATTCATTTTAAAAACCTTCGTCAGTGCATTAAAAACCTCCCTCCAAAACATACTTAACTTAGGACACATCCAAAATATGTGTGTGTGATTTGCGAAGCTCCATTTTTAAAAGTTATTAGGGGGTTCATGTTTGCTATGATTGACACCTGATACAGCTTATGGGCGTTCAGGGATTGCGTAGCTCCCCCTGGGGATACGCTGTTTGAGCCGAGCGTCATCACAGCGACTCTCTGCGACTGCGCGGCCGAACGCGTGCATCGCTACTGCTCAGCGCTGGTTTCAAGAAATGAAGAAAAATCCCGGAAATACCGAGAGCTATTTGGCTTCAAATCCGTGTACAGGCGGGAGGCGGAACCAAGTTGTTTAACTTCAAACAGAAACTTTGATATTAAAGAAAGTTTGGAGAGCAAAATCATGACAAGAAGCACAGTCTGTATATTTGAATTCTCATCTACTTTTCTGTGGTTTTTTTTCCAGCTCTATGACTCTCTTCCTATGATTCGTGGCCTGCCGCTGCCCTTCAATAAAGCCTTTAAAAATGTGGAGGTATGTTTAGTTGCCTGTAAGATCCATTTGAAAAATAAAATAAAAAAGGACATGAAAAACTGAGGAAAATCATATACAGTGAAAACCATTGCGTGTGAGAAAATTTCAACTCTTGAAAAATGTCTCTTTTGTGCTCAGACTTGTCAGAGACTTGCAGCTACTATGTTAAGTGACCATAAGAAGACGAGAATCCCTGGAGAGCCACGAGACTTTGTTGACTGCTATCTGGATGAAATTGATAAGGTGTGTGTTTGCGTGTTTGCGTAGTGTGTTTTTGTGGGTCGTAGGTAGGTCAAGGTAGGATATATGTTTTCCTTTTTAATGCTGATTTTAGTCGTGTCCTGACATGACTAAGTAACATATTAGCCTGTTTTGGCTTGTGGTTTGTCAGAAGTACCAGACCAAGGAGGATGTTCTAAAAGTTACTCTGCAGGGATAACATCTGAAATCGCACGATGACTAGAGAGGGACAAATAATGGTCTGGAAGTACAGACTTCTTAAACACAGATAGAGAAACAAGAAATAAAACCACTAATGCTGAGCAGCTGACCCGAACCAAACTCTCAGAAAAATCTGAAGTAACATCTTTGATGAAAGAACCATAGCCAGCTATCCACCTGGAAAACTATCAGCTCACACCTGCTCACATCTAAAGACAAATGTTAAGAGTTTTTAGTTACAGCCTAGTCTCAGACTGTGACAAAGACTGTGAATCTTGCAGGGTCGCTATTGATAAGACTACATCTAGATGCTTTTAGCATTTTTTGATAGTTAGTGTGGAGGGGGGGCTCATTTATCAGCTGTGTGTTCACATATGACATCTTGGAACTCGTGAATGCTAAAACTCAGCATGCACACCTGCAGTGCAGCCAGTGTGACCCGATCTATCTCCAAGTAGTTCATGTCCTTTAATAGAAGTACAGCTCTCTCATTCAGTCTTTACATTAAGTAAATAGTGAATCTGAAGTAAGTCTGACTTGATGTATAATTCTGTTGTAAAGAGAAAAAGTACAGTATGTGCATGCATGTTCGTGTGTACACGCATGTGTGTTCAGTTTTGACTGCTGTTTATCTCAATCTCAATCTCAATTATTTTTATTCGATTAGCATTTAAAATCCACCCACAACAGATACATAGTAAATTTCAAAAGCATCATAAAGCTAATCGAAAAGGTGTAGGCTGAAGCTCATGCTTATTTTGCCTACCCTTTTTACAAAAAAAACAAAAACTTTAGCAAGGCGACTCTTTAACAACATGGTCTGAGTTACACCACAAGTCTTCTAAAGAAAAGGGAAAAAGAGAGAAAGAAAAGATAAATTCTCAAAAACATGTTAGAAAATAAATAAACCAACAATATTCCATAACAAGTATACAGACACAACCAAAAATTTCAATATTTTGTTATTGCTCTTCTTCATACCGGATTTAAATATTTTCTTATTGCTTTAGTTTTATACATGTTCTTAAATAAGGAAAGTGAACTACACATTCTTAATTCATCATCACAGCTATTCCACAAGTTAACACCTCTAACAGAAACACACCTCTGCTTAATATTCGTTCTTGTCTTAGTTTTTTTGAAGAAACCTGTTCCCCTCAAATCATATTGACTCTCTCTGGTTTCAAACAGCCTCTGAGTACTACGGCAAAGTAAATTATTATGTGCTTTGTACATTATCTGAGCCATTTTAAATTCAACTAAATCATAAAATTTAAGGGTATTTGAATTAAGAAACAGTGCATTAGTTGATTCAAGAAAGTGGGATCGATTTATAATTCTTATAGCTCTTTTTTGTAACCTAAAAATAGGATCAGTATTGGTTTTATATGTGCTACCCCATATCTCCACACAATAGGTCATATATGGAAGTAACAGAGAACAATATAGCGTGTATAGTGATTTCTTGTTGAGGATATCCTTTGTTTTATAAAGTATAGCAATGGTTTTTGACATTTTGGTTTTCACATTATTTATATGTGGCTTCCAACAAAGCTTATCATCAATTATCACACCAAGAAATTTGTTTTCATTCACTCTTTCTATTTCGATGCAATTGACCCTGATTTTAACTTGAGTTTTTATTTTTCTGGTGCCAAAAATGATAAACTTTGTTTTATTTAAATTCAGAGATAACTTATTAATGTCAAACCAATATTTCAGAATATTTAATTCCTTTTCAACTGTAGTCAGAAGCTGTTCTAGGTTTTTACCAGAGCAATAGAGAGTGGTGTCATCAGCAAACAAAACACATTTTAACAGTTTGGAAACATAGCAGATATCATTGATATATAATATGAATAATTTCGGGCCTAACACAGACCCTTGAGGGACCCCACAAGTGACCCTCAATTGATTTGATTTTACATTATTTAATTGCACATACTGATATCTGTCATCCAGGTAACTTTCCATCCACATGTATGCTAATCCTCTAATACCACATCTCTCTAGTTTATTCATTAATATACTATGATCAATAGTGTCAAATGCCTTTTTTAAGTCTATATCATGTCTTTATCATGCACTTCTGTGTATTTTTGGCTATGACCCAGGTGCAGTGGCATAAAACTGAAACAGTTGTTTTTCTCTCTTTAGAGGGGCCAGGATGGTTCTACATTTTCAGAAGAACAGTTGAGGATGTATGCTTTAGATCTTCATTTTGCTGGGACTGACACGACTTCCAACACCCTGCTTACTGGTTTCCTCTACCTTTCAACACACCCACACATACAAGGTGAGTCTGCCACTGTCACTGTGATATTTTTTCTGTAGTCTGTAAAGTATTTAAACCACATCAAAAATTCTCCATAGGTGCATAAAAACAACTTTGCGAAAACCCTGCACCAACAAAAAATGCAAATATGGATCAAGCTCCCATTTACATTGTACAAAAACAGACAAAATCATTGTAGCAGCGTAAGCACCATGTATTTCTGTGCTAAAGACACATTTTACTAGGCCTCGATGTGTATTTAGCATGGCAATTTAGATCGTTAACTTAGGATCCAACATCCTGTGGTTTAGATGTAACCCACTCAGGTTGAGGTCAACAACACACAGTTTTACGTGACATTTATGAAGAATTAATTTGTTTTATTTTCACTTACTTTCCTCATAATTGACATTAACCAGTTTGCCATGTACCGGCCTCTCTATTTAACACAGCCACGGGGGAGTGAAAATATGTTACGCTCTCTCTAAATAAGAATATGCTGCATGTGCACAAATCTTCAATTACATCCTTCCTTGTTAAATGAGCAGCAATAAATAATAACATATGGTACATTGATCACTAAAGGTAGACTAGATTGAGCCAGTTGGATCTGCCCCCATGCAGTCACAGCAGTTACTCCTTCTTTATAGCGGCTTCTGCTGTTATACCTCTCAGAGTTTTATTAACAGTGTTTTATTCGTCTCTCTTTTTTGTGTGTCTCAGAGCGCTGTCAGCAGGAGATAGACTCAGTGTTGGAGGGGAAGGATTGTGTCACTTTTGAAGACAGACACAGTATGACATATATGCAGGTGAACCATCATTTCATTTTTAGTCTACATGGTTACTCAAATCTAATAAAAGTAGGAAATGTAGTGATGTTTGAAAGGTAATAACGGTGTTAAAGGTAAAAGTTGTATTTGTTTTTGGTGTATTGCAAAAGAGTTTCACATTGCAACTTTATTGTTCTGCTTTTTAGTGTCAGAGTTTCTGAAAACCTACATTTTTAATCTTCTGCCGACAATTAGATGAAAAGTGAAACCACATTGTTTATTAACTCTCTTCATCCAGGCTGTGATCCATGAAATACAGAGGGTAGCCAACACTGTTCCCCTGAGTGTCTTCCATTGTACAACTGCAGACACGGAGCTCATGGGATACTCCATTCCCAAGGTAAGATACAGCTGGTTTTAATTTATGTTTGAGCTGGTTATGATTAAAGGTTAGATATCTTTAAGAAATTTTCCCATCAGTATTACACTTCCATGATGGTATCAAGTATATGTTTAGAACCTTGTTTAGAACATGGCTTGATTTCTTCCTGTGCTTAAATTTCTCTTCAGGGTACAATGATCATCCCAAACCTGACCTCAGTTCTAAATGAGGAGGGACAGTGGAAATTCCCTCATGAATTTAACCCTGAAAACTTCCTCAATGACAAGGGAGAGTTTTTCAAACCTGAGGCCTTCATGCCTTTCTCTGCAGGTATGTCAGCATGATAAATAAACCACACGAAAAGGCTTTCTATGAACCAGAGTCTGGGGATTTTGCAGGGATTGATCAATCTGTTGTAGATGACTATGTGTTCTTTTAATACCTCAGGTCCTCGCATGTGTCTTGGTGAGAGTCTGGCACGTATGGAGCTTTTCCTCATCCTGGTGACACTGCTCAGGAAGTTCAAGTTCAGCTGGCCTGAGGATGCAGGAAAGCCAGATTATACACCCGTCTATGGAGTCACTCTGACTCCCCAACCATACAGCATGAAGGTGGAGCTTAGGGAAACACAGTAAGGTGGTCTCAGACACCTGCTCTCTGCCTTTTGGAACTTCACAAAAAGAAAAACATTTCTTATATTTGCAGAGCCTTTTTGTATAGCCTTGACGACACATACTGTAATTCTACTACCTTTTTAACCAGTCCATTCGGGGGTTATTGCCACCTACATTAGATGGTTAAAAACTGTGAAACAGTCTCAGATGACATATTGCCAAAAGTACCAGTTTCTAAAATGGCACAATCCATTTGTAGTTTGGTTATTTGGATTTAAATAGACATGCTTAAGCCCTACATTTGCTGCTCATAATTTAGTATACATATATATATGTAATGCACTAGAATAAACGTATTGCACTAGTATGATTGATATTATTGCTCTGAAATAAACATTATTTCTTAAGGTCCAAAAAACTTGGGCATTGGACCAGGAAATATGTGTGACATTCAAAAGAGATGTGCTAATGACATACATGTTCTTGAATTTAAAATATTGTATATCTACAAATGCACTTATAATTTTTGTGTGTATTTAATTAATATACAACATAATTTAATATGTCTTCCGACCTCCTCTTCATAGATTCAATGTACAGTAACTCATATTTACTGACATGTATTGATATTTAATTAATTTATGTATGATTTTATAGGAAACAATGTATCTATGTTTTATATTATAATGTGTAAAATCTGCATTATTGTTAAATCAAAGATTTTTTCTGTAAGTTCAAAATCTCAATAAAAATAGATATAAACTGAAATATTCACTTTTTTTCAGACATCTAAGTGTGTCATGTTTTCTTGACTGGCTTTACAGTACATAAAAAATCCCAATATGTTTATAAGAAGAAAAACCTCAGGCTTCAAGTTCAAATAAAGGGAGACTGATATCCAAAAAAAAACAACCTAACTCACAGATATTATGTTTCTCCTTTTGCTTTTTGTATCAATTCTTTGTTAATGCATTTGTAACCAAATATATGCTAAATGTCTAAAATGAAAAACATTTTACACACAACATCTCTTGCTAAAATCTGCTATTTATAATAACAAACTACCTATGTGGGACCCAATATTAATGTGAAGTACTTGTATGATTACTTTTGAGCATGTTGATGGGTACTGACAGCCCTTCTCTTAGGTGTTATTTTTGCTATTTTGTATATTGTTTTTGTCAGTTATAATGTGATACAAAATCATGCTTCAAAGCATCAGTGGTGGATTAGTAGGTTGTGGTTGTGTGTGGTTAAAATAGCTCACCCAGGCACTTTTTGGCAGCCAGGGTACACACATGACATCCAGTACACCTGGATATTCTGCAATGTGCAGTGATGCCAATCTCATGTGCTTTTATTCTTCTATTTCCAGGTGAGCAAAAGTGTTGAGGTATTGTGCATATTTAAACACAAATCTATGCAAGTTATGAGACGTTCCTTGATTCAAATAAGTCACTTTATGTTGTAGTTTATTGATAATTCTGTTTACTGTCGCCATGCAACAAAGTTAAATGAACAATTTGCTCTTTTAAGGAGACTCACTATATGGTGATGTCACGATTTGGGCAAATATCATTGATCTCCCTGAATTCTTGGGTGAGTTTATGATCAAGCCATTCAGAGAACCCTGCAGACCCATTTTGGCTGGAAAAGACAAGGTGTGCATGATACATTATTCAGCATTTATTAGGACATGTCCTTGCCCTAGTAAGTTTTAGCATAAATCACCAATCATATATCAAACTAGTATAGGCAAGAGGTTGAAGACTTATTTTCTAAGACTAATATTTCCTGGATGCGCTGGGACACATCCTCAGTAATGCTGTATCCTGAGGCCATTGGGTGTTTCGGATCTCACAACATCAGATACCCTTGCCCAGGCGACCCAGCCAGGGTGATTGAGTCCCAGCTCTTGTCCCAGTAGCAATCCAAGGATCTGCCCTTTTCAGCCAAAGCCACCTTGTGGCTTTCTCTGCAGCTTCACTTGTGGATTAGATGACCCTCTTCTTGGCCATCCCTGTAACACCCAAACGGCCGAGCACTTCACAGAGACAGCATCCTGCAGAGCCTCTACAGCCAATCTCTATGTGTTCACCAAATGTCCTCCAGCGCCTGCACCTCTCCAACAGTTCCTGGTACTTGAGATGTTTCCTTTCATTGGCTTCTACAATCTGCTCTTTCCAGGGCACTGTAAGTGCCAGTATGATCAGGTGTTTTAAAGCCTCAGAGATAATGATCAAGTCTGGCTGGAGGGATGTTGCAATGTCCATGCTCCCTGCAGCTGGAGTTCCACTGCCTTGTCCACTCACTCTTCCTCTAAGCCTGCTCTGACCTCTTCCTGGAGTAGATGGTGTCGCTCTTTTCCTCAGGCCTGGCTAACTTTGCTCGTGGGGAAGTGGCCCAAGCCTGCTTTCCCTGTTGCCAAGACCCCCACCAGTGCCTTTTTCCTTACGCATGACTCCGCCACTTCCACTGCCTTTGTTGCCTTCCACTTCTTTCCTGTCCTCACTTTAATCCCAGTTGATGACACCTTGCAGTCCCTGGAAACTCTGTACTGTAGGGCTTCTCTTGTGCATGCCACCTTGCACAAGAGAGCTCAGTGAGCCCAGTGAAGGGCAACTGCAGGGTATTACTTGTACAGGGTAGTGCTGTTGAGGCTGCGAGGAAAGCCCAGATATTTATGAAGAAAGCTGCTGATCTTCCTTTTGAAGGATTCCACAGTTGTTACTGGAACTGCACACACAAGAAGAGGCCATAAGACTTTGGGCAAGATGGAGTACTGGTAGATCCAGGCTTTAAATCTGCCAGGCAGGCCGGACTTGTCCACCCTGGTGAACCACCCTCCTAGCTCTTCAGTAGACTTCTGGATGGCAACAGAGTCTTTCAGGCTGGAGTCAAAGAGCTTCCCCAAGCTCTTGGCTGGATGCTCAATGATGATGATAGGATTGCCGTTCCTGAGATTGAGAACCAGAATTTGTCAACCACCTTCCCCCTCTTCAGTACCATGGACCTCGACTTGGAGGGCTTGAAACTTATCCTCGCCCATGTGACGAGTCTCTCCAATCCCTGCAAGATCCACCCCCTCCCTGGGACTGATGTAGTTGTGATGGTAAGATCACCCATCACATATAGGCTCTTATAGGGGGCTGTCGAACACCTGATCTGGATAGTGGCCTTCTGCATTCCACCTTAGCAGCCTTCACCACTATGTTCATTGCTAGTGCAAAAAGGATAACGGAGATGGTACAACCTCTTATTATTCCTGTCTCGAGGATGATGCCAGCCTGACTTTACTGTCCCAGAAGTGACCCTAAGCCCGAAGTTATCATAATAATCCAGGATCAAGTCCTTGATCTTGCTGGGAACGTGGTGGAGGTGTAGCGCAAGCTCAACTAGTTTGTGTGGGATGGACCCATAGGCGTCAGTCAGGTCTAACCACAACACAGCAAGGTCACCTCTGTTTTCATGGGCCTCGATTCCTGGAGCTGGAAGCTCTGCACTGAAGTGTCGATGTAGAAGTTCTTGAGGAGGAAATCGGTCAGCCTTCCCTTCCACACTCAGTAGAGAGATTGTCCACAACTGGTTGATGTTTTTCGAGTCCTCCCTGGGAAATTTCCAAATTCCTTCTATACACCTCCACTGGTCGGCCACTTTCCCCCTTTGTCAGATCACCTTCAAGGTTTTCCATAGGTGCCAGAGAAGCAAAAGAGCATAGCAAAAAGAGCATAAAGATTAACTTCAGCTCAGAGAAAAAAATCCTGCTGCAGATCCAGATCCAAAAGTCTGTTCCTTTTTATCAGTTTTAGTATCAAAGTATACAGTACTTTAGGAAATATGCTAAACTGAACTTCAGTATCCTTCATAAAATGTACTTAAGGTGTACTTTTTTTGGTAAGGGTTGTTAAATGTTTCAACCCCCTGACGGCTCCTTTTACAAAGAAATCTAAACATAATCAAAGTCAGGACAAAGTCAAAAAGGCCAAAATGAACAACAAATAAGACTTGAAACTTAAAGTAACTTAAAAGTAACTTAAAATAAAATGGGTGAATTGATTAAACAAACACAAGAAGGGTCAGCCACCAAAACCAGCCCACAAAGGGCCATCGGGTTTGAGGCTGACCCTCTACCCTAAACCAACAGTTAAACAAACTAAGCCCTACAAAACCAAGAACAAAAGCTGTGAAAACATAACTCACCAATGCACCCAAAATTAAATTTAAGGTGACAACTAAATACTAAGAACAAAGCTAAACATATTCTTTTAACTCAGTCGGAGTCTCTGGTATCTGCCTGGTGATGACTGAATAGGAAGAACAATTGAAAAACCTCCCCCTTAAATACTGGGCACCATCAGTCATAAAATACTCCACACCTGGGGAGACAAGATATGTTAGATTTGAGAACAACAGAGGCATGGTGTCAGCCACTAGATGGTGCCAGAAAAGCCATAATGTTACTTCAACAGGTAAATTAGTTGTAAGGGCCGATGACCTTGCTGGATTGAAGTCAGTCACCTTAGTCACAGTAATTGTAATCTCAATTGTCACCTCATCTGGCCTCAAAAGACATAAACAGCTCTCAACACGCAGTGGGTGACTTTTAGAGATAGTGATATCGCTTTTTACATAAGTCTAATCTCTTACATTGCAGTGAATGTTAAAATTGTTTTCCTCTTACCTCAGGCCCACCACAGTGGCTGACATCATGTGCTTTTGGGGCCAGAGTCTGTGCAGTAGAGACTCACCAGCAGGTTTTTGGTGGAGGGACAGAGGTGCAGTATTGAAGTTTTGTGATGTCTAATTGTTTTATTTGATGATCACTTAATTGTCAGCCGACGTAGGTAGACAGTAAACCATAACACCCAGAGTGAAATTGCTGGAGGTAGATTAGGAATCACTTGAGGGATGCTGGAGTATATGAGGAACTAAGTCAAAGAGACACTGACTAAAGAAAGTAGACATGCAGCAACCACAAACCAAACAAAAGCAAGAGTTTTGGCAGCATTTCAGGACTGTTTCAGAGAAAGTGATTAATGCACCAGTATAGGCCATTTTAAGCCAGAGCTTGTCAATACACAACTCTCTGAAGGGGTGTGAGTCTTACTGTTTGGTTTTCTCCTTAACCTTTAATCCAATAAAGCAAAGTACACCACAAAAGGAGGCAGGACTAAGAGCAGAGCTACGTATTTAAAGCAAGCCTCTAAGTTTAATTTTTTAGTTGAATCGAGTACGTTTACATCATGTTTGCTTCAATCATTCTGGTCTGGATCTGCATTTTCTTTATCGTCCTTCAACTAAGATGTCGGAGACCCCAAAACTTTCCACCAGGACCTCCTGTCCTGCCCATGCTAGGGAACGCTTGGAACCTCAGCTCAGAGAACCCATTGAAGTACTTTGAGAGGGTGAGTAACAGGCTGATATTGTGACTCGGTCAATATTATAAACTGAATTGAATTTTCCTCCAATAAAGTTGACCACTAAAGTTCTCCTCATCTTATTTGATACTGTGTGGAGTTTACTACCAGTAGAAAGGATTTTACAATCATATTATACCTGGTCAGAGTGCTGCTTCCCTGACAGTTATAATTTCACAAGTAATTTAACACTACTCCTTTTAATCCAACTAGCTGTTAGCATTCAGTAATGACATGAAAACTGTTATAGAACTGTTAAGCAAAAGAGGTTCAACCTCATCCCCACCGTTTTAATGGAATTGCCTAACATGTCTGTACAGAGTTGACTGACAGCAATCCTGGACTGTATCCAATTAGTGTTACAGGCTATGTACTCTGGGTGTTTTCCCTTATGCGTCTTGATAATCTAACAATAGTGAGGTTTATGAGATGTCAATCTACAATGTAGGTGAAAGGATTTGTTTTTGTTGTGCTCAGTGAATCAGCAATCTTTTGTCAATGAAACTGTGTCCTGGAGGATAGGTCAGGATGAGGGTAAAACCTGTCTGGCTCAGTCAGTCAACACAAAGCCTATGAAAAGAGGCTTTCCCTTTGGAAAACAAAAACAGCAATCCCAGGCAGCGCAGATGTGAAGGCACTTTTACAGGTTAACAGCCCTGAACAAAAGTACCCGTAAGACCACATGCCACACATTATAAACAAACTCTCACATTACCCAACTCCTACAGAAAACATAGAGCTGCCACACCTTGATCCTGTATTTGCTGGTTTACTAATTTTGTTACACTTTGTTTTCATCCATCCATTGGTTTTCTTTCCTTTCCTATTCTTTTAACCAAGTCAGATTTTTTGGTAAGTGCATGTGCTTTGGCCATGCTACAAGCGTCAGTGACAGAAGTAAATAAGGCCTGCACTGAACAAAGAAGACAGATCGATTGTTCTTTTAGGTAAAACTATCCACCCCAAGTTTGGAAGAAATACACTGATATGTTGTCTTTTCCTCTCCTAGCTGAAGAAGTCTTACGGGAATGTCTTTAGTATCTACTTGGGTCCCAAACCAGCTGTTGTCATCAATGAGATGAAGGCCATAAAGGCAGCTATGGTGACCAAGGCCAGTGATTTTGCAGGACGACCCCAAGACCTGCTCATCAATGACAGCATCAAGAGGGAAGGTACAGCCACACCTGCTGTAGTGTTTGTTTTTGGTCTTTGACTGACAGATGTGAGAGTGTGGTGATTGCAGTAATGCAGCACTAGACTGTTGTGATAGAACAGAAGATGAGCCTAAAGAAAAGGCATTCAGTTTACCAGGTACACCAAGCTCCTACCTTCATCTACAAGCTTTGGGTAGGGACAGAAAGAAAGGGGTCACAGATACAGGTGGGTGTGATGAGTTTACTCTGAAGGGTGGCTGGGCTCAGCCTCAAAGATGGGGTCCAGGACTTGGACATACAGGGTAGGGTTTGGAGTAAAGCCACTTAAGTGAATACAATAACTGAGTAGAGAGTGTACTTTGTAAGAAGAGAGCAAACTGAACTCTTATATTTTTCATTAAAACAGCACAATTAATGACCTGTGAAGCTCATACTGTACATTTCTTATGTCACTTCAAATGCTGCAGGGGTGGTTATGGCAGACTATGGGCCCAATTGGAAGGAGCATCGTCGCTTTGCTCTGATGACCCTGAGAAACTTTGGGATGGGGAAAAATTCCATGGAAGACAGAATTCATGGAGAGTTACAATACGTCATTAAGGCACTGGAAAACAACAATGGTATGTCATAAACAGGCCCATCAAATCACCAGTTAACCCTACAACCTGATAAAATAATGATCAGAAATACCTCTGAGAGGCCAGTACTGTTTTAATATCCTCTATCTCCTTACTTCTGTGTGTGATTGTATTGTTAGATACATACCAGAATTAATGTAATCTGTGCCATCCCAAACTAAAGACATTTGACTTTTCACAGGGAAAACCTTCAGTCCTCAGTTCATGTTTCATAATGCAGCCTCCAACATCATCTGCCAGGTTCTGTTTGGTACACGTTATGAGTACGATGACGAGTTGATCAAAGTGATTGTTCGCTGCTTCACTGAGAACGCTAAGATAGCCAATGGACCATGGGCTTTAGTGAGTTAAAGCATGCTTCGTATTCATTCTACATGCATATGGCATTTGAAGGTGTGTTTTAGCATTTCTTTAAATACGTGTAATGTAATCTCTCCTCCTACAACACAAATGAACAACCCAACCACATACAATCAACAAGTTGTATCTAATGTTATGGATTGACTGTCCATCCTTTTAATTATACATGTTTGGGACCTCAGTTTGTTCATCTGTAGGGTGGAGGGAATAACTGTATGTAAGCACAGCAGTATGTGGAAATCTTACCAGCTCCATGTCTTTCATACCATCACGTCCTTAGTAGTTACTTTAAATGCGTCTTTCTGCTTGAATGAAATTGCTTTGGCAATAGACAATCTTACAGAGAAGTTAAGTCTGGTGTTTGAATTCTAATCTGCTTGTCTCCTCTTTCAGCTCTATGACTCTGTTCCTGTGATTCGTCCACTGCCACTGCCCTTCACCAAGGCTTTTAAGAATATTGAGGTCTGTTTAGTTGTCCATCAGATCTATTTGTATAATAAAATGAAAAAAGCATTAAATTGATAGTAATTGAATTAAAGGTAAAAGATAAAATGAGGAAAAAGCATATGCAGTGAAAGCCATTTTAACTGTGAGTACAAATTTTTGTTATTCAGACTTGCCGGAAACTTCTGAATGCATTAATAAAGGGGCACAAGGAGACCAGAGTCCCTGGAGATCCTCGAGACTTTGTTGACTGTTATCTGGATGCACTGGATAAGGTGTGTGATATATGTGTATGTTTTGAGTGCATTTGTTTGTGTGTGTGTTTAGAATGTGTGTGTGTGTTTAGCATGTGTGTGTGTGTGTGTGTTTAGAATAAATGCTATGTGTCTCTTTTACATTTATCTTAAGTAATCCCCCCCCCCCCCCCAAGGCTAGGTAACATGCCATGCATCATGATTTTCTGCCAGGTAGCAGTTTTTAAGTGTTTGTGCGCCTCAATCTAAGCTCAGCATTTAAAAGCTGTCCTCACTCCTTACACCACTGCTCACAAAGAGCTGAAATCGACTATTTTAGATGGAGATAGTTTTTCCAACTGAGGCTCATTTAACCTTTTGCAGCAGACTGTCCAGAGTGTGTCACAGTGAAAAAAATATCATACTGGACACCATTAACACATGTTGACCAGGAAAGTACTATATCTGCCTTTAGGTGCTGGTTTGGCGTACTTCCCATGTATAAAGGCCACATAGTCCTTTTATCAACACCAACTTCCAGTCTAGACCCTTTACTGTGTGTCTTCCCCTGATCCCCACTCCCCACATTTTTTGCCACCCCTATGGCTTTTTCTTTTATCATAAAAGGCACAAAAGCTCCTGTTACTGCCTGGCTGAAGGCAGATAACAAGAAGGGAGGCAACACACAACAATAACCATTAACGAAGATATTTTATTTAACAAAAATGATCATCAATCTGTATAAGGCGTCAGGATTAAGATCTGTAGTGTCAGCAAGTGTTGGATGTGTGAGCATGTGTGTGGTGGATGTTGTAAGATGGACAAACCCAAAATGGTGGTGGCTGGTGTGGTAGATGCAGGCCCTGCTGTGAGAGAGACCTACAGCATTTCAGCCAGGCCTTTTATGCATAGACTGTATATACTATGGACAATTTGGTTCCGCCTACCGCCTGTCTACGGATTTGAAGCCAAAAAGCTCTCGGTATTTCCGGAATTTTTCTTCATTTCCTGAAACCAGAGCTGCGCAGTAGCAATGCACGCATTCTGCCTCGCAGTCTTCGAGAGTCACTGTGATGACGCTCGGCTAAAACAGCGTATCCCCCTGGGTGAGCTACGCAATCCCTGAACGCCCATAGGCTGTATCAGGTGTCAATCATAGAAAACATGAACCCCCTAATAACTTTTAGGAACAGAGCTTCACAGAAAAAAAGAGGACTTGAGCACAAACCAGTCTTACAACAACTACATGTCAACATCACAAGCAGGGGGGAGAAAAATGTATGTTCTGTGTAATAAATTTCTAAAGTTTGTCCACAGCTCCATAAGCTTTGCTGGTGGAGGTAGGATTTATGACCTATACTGCAGCCCGTCAACAGAGGGTGCTGTTCTCGGAGTGGCTTCACCCAGCAAGGAGGCAGACTCTGTCCATTTTATAAACAGTCTATGCCTTTATGCTTTCTGGCCCTGCCCTGTTGGGCAGGTAACTCAGCCCCTCCCAGCTCCACCCTCCACCATCTCCCTGAGGCTGCAACACAGAGCAGAATCAGACACATGCAAGGGGAGAAAGCAGAAAAGGAGTGGGAGGGGTTGTCACACTCCAAGAATTAGTGAACAATTACAAAAAAAAAAAAAAAAAAAAAAAAAAAAAAGCCAGTGGTGCTACTGTCTTGTTGTTTGACTTTTTTGTGTGTATTTTCGTTAATGACTAAAGTACATGAATAAATGGAATTGCCTCAAACAATTGTTCTTCTTCATTTTGGAAGGAGGAGGATGGTTCTACATTTTCAGAGGATCAGTTGACTATGTACACTTTAGATCTTTACTTTGCTGGGACTGACACAACTTCCAACACGCTGCTTGCTGGTTTCCTCTACCTTTCAACACACCCACACATACAAGGTGAGTCTGCCACTGTCGTTGTGGTTTCTTCTTTCGCTAATTAATTATGTTTCGCTGGAAACCTGTTGAAACAGCTGATTTAAGAAAAGGCCCATAGTGGCAGAGAAAAACAAACTGTGGAAGAGCACTACATCAACCAAGAATAAACCTGACCTCTTTTCACAGCAAATATGAATAAAACTCTCAGTCAAGTTAAAAATCAAGTTAAATAAATGTCCCTGTAATGAGAGACAATCAATAAAAGAGTGTGCTGCTCTAGTTAATTCTGCCCTCTCATGCAGCATGCTGTTACACCAGCAGCTCCCCCTTGATAGCAGCTTATGATGCCACCCCCCCTCAGTGTGTTATTAACAGTGTTTTATTTGTCTCTCTTCTGTGTGTCTCAGAGCGCTGTCAGCAGGAGATTGACTCAGTGTTGGAGGGGAAGGATTGTGCCACTTTTGAAGACAGGCAAAGTATGCCGTACATGCAGGTGAAGGATCCTCTTTTTTATCAAGATAAAACATATGTAAGAAAAGGGAATAATAATCAAACGTTTAGAAGTCATGTTGCCATTTTTTGGTGCATTGCTGGTGGGTCTCATGTTACATCTTTACAAAGCTACTATTTTGTGTAAGAGCTTCTTCAAGAAAATAATTTCTTTAACTTTGCCTACAGCCAGAAAAGGAGAGAAACATGTTTTCTTACTGTCCTTTCATCCAGGCTGTGATCCATGAAATACAGAGGGTAGCCAACACTGTTCCTTTGAGTGTCTTCCACCATACAACTAAAGACACAGAGCTCATGGGATATTCCATCCCCAAGGTAAGACAGCAGGATTTAGTTCATGTTGGTTCAGGGTTTTCTTATTTGTCAGATTCTGAGTAAATGGTTATCATATGCCCGGTACAAGGCATCTTGTTGTGCAGCTCAAGCTGAATATTTATTGTTCACCTGATTTGCTCAAGTCTTAAGGCACACTTTGGTCTTAAAATTATGTGTGGTCAAGCACCAAACGTGTCAAAGGTGGCAAATTGTAATCAAAAACCTGGTCTCAAGCCTGAAGTCAGTCAGGCAGTACCTTCAAACCATAGACTGTATATACTATGGACAACTTGGTTCCGCCTACCGCCTGTATACGGATTTGAAGCCAAAAAGTTCTCGGTATTTCCGGGATTTTTCTTCATTTCCTGAAACCAGCGCTGCACAGTAGCAATGCACGCATTCGGCCGCGCAGTCGCCAAGAGTCGCTGTGATGACGCTCGGCTAAAACAGCGTATCCCCTGGGAGAGCTACGCAATCCCTGAATGCCCATAGGCTGTATCAGGTGTCAATCATAGAAAACATGAACCCCCTAATAACTTTTAAAAACGGAGCTTCACAGAAAAAAGAGGACTTGAGCACAAACCAGTCTTACAATAACTACATGTCAACATCACAAGCAGGGGGGAGAAAAATGTATGTTCTGTGTAATAAATTTCTAAAGTTTGTCCACAGTCCCATAAGCTTTGCTGGCGGAGGCGGGATTTATGACCTATACTGCAACCCACCATCAGAGGGTGCTGTTCAAAGAGTGGCTTCACCCAGTGAGGAGGCAGACTCTGTCCATTCTATATACAGTCTATGCTTCAAACTGTTTAGAAGGCTCAGAAGAGAGACAGTAAGAGGGGCAAAAAAGTTCACAACATACATTATTTGCTTTTTTACACACAGTGACATGCAAAGCAGTATTTCCATTAATGATAAAATATCCAGACTCTGATGATAAAGTGAAGTTGAGGGCTAGCAGATGTGGGTATCCTCACATTGTCATACTGCTCTCTGTATGGGGCTGATCTGGGGATTCCAGAAGACAGGGACACCATTTCTGTAGTCTCGTCACACACCTGCCAAAAACCACTGTCTGCTGAGATGCCATCAAGCTCTCTGTCCTCTATTACCTGCTCAAACACATGCAAAAACACACACACAGCTAACCTTTAACACCGCTCTTGGGCGCTGACGAAAGTGCCCCAAGATATTAATGCAGATCTAACAACCTGTTATGTAACACAACACAATACAAATCCATGTAACAGCAATAGAACTGAATACTGAACAGCCTGTCCTTCTTTGATGTAGAGTGCATGGACATTAATCATCATGATATGCTCTGATACTTTCAGCATGTCCCAAATAACTCAAAAGTTAAGCTGCTATGTCCTATGTGTAAACGTTCACACATCTATTGATCTAGTATGTTCCGTGTTGTTTCTGCTGTGATCAGGAATCGTCTCTCTGGATGTGGCATCAATCTATACATCAACTCAAGCTTGTGTGTGTGTTTTCTACAGGTGAAAGGACCGCATGGAGGAAGAGAAATAAGATTTGCTAGTTTGAGCCTGGTCTGTTGAAGTAGAAAAGCTCGATTCTGCTGTGTCATCAACAACACAACCTTATTTACTTTGTATCCAGCAATTTAAGACCATGCATTTCACATACTGTAGAATCAATTCGGCACCAATTGCCTTTCAGTGCAGTTTAGAAACAATCCCACTGAATCATCATTATCAGCACTATATTTCAGTGAGCTTCACTCCAGTATCTTTAGTAAGCTAAATCTGGACTTCTGATAAATATTTCCCCCGCCTTTTCTTCTTCTGTCTAAATTTTTTTCAGGGTACGCTGATCATCCCTAACCTGGCTTCAGTACTTTGTGAAGAGGGACAGTGGAAATTCCCTCATGAGTTTAACCCTGAAAACTTCCTCAATGACAAGGGAGAGTTTTTCAAACCGGAGGCCTTTGTACCTTTCTCTGCAGGTATGTCAGCATGCTAAATAAACCACAGTCAAAGGCTTTTTATGACCCAGAATGTGGGACTTTTACAGACAAGTTTGGAACAATCAAACTGTTGTAGATGACTGTGTGTTCTCCTCTTAATACCTCAGGTCCTCGCATGTGTCTTGGTGAGAGTCTGGCTCGTATGGAGCTTTTCCTCATCCTGGTGACACTGCTCAGGAAGTTCAAGTTCAGCTGGCCTGAGGATGCAGGGAAGGCGGACTACACACCAGTCTTTGGGATAACTCAGACTCCCCAACCATACAGCATGAAAGTTGAACTTCGGGCAACACAGTGAGGTGGTCTGTAGATAGCAGGAACAGAGGCCAGCACAATTTTATAGAGACAACTGAAGAAAGAGAATAGTTCTGATTTTGAGTGGATGTTTGGATTACTTGCAGTAGCCAACAAGGGTAGAAGATCTGCAACAGCCCAGTGACATTTATTTGGCAAAACATGCTGCAAATACTGGATCAATGCAATTAAAAACACACGCAGAAGTCCAAACTAGATGCTACAAAGCAGTCAGTGCAGAGTTATAATCAATCAAATAGAGAGTGTGAACATATGACATGTTGCCCCACCATCGGGTAAGTTGTCTCACTACATGGGTAAGATGTCACAGTGGATTTTGCAGCTAATCAAACAAGGACAACATTATTATTGTTCTCATCTTTTTACGTGAAAGTGAACATCAAAGTCAGACACAGAAAATGTTTATTGAGCTAGAAAAAGTAATTGAACAAAGTTTACCAAAGTTTGGAAAGCTGTCTGACTCTGTATTTTGGCTGGGGTGAATGTTTTGCAGTACCGAGCTAAGGTATGGTAGTTGACATTAAAGTCCTTTATTGTACTCCAGATTGATTTATTAGCTCACATTAGACACTGCACTGCCAGGTTCTGTTTTTCTTTTGAAATTTCCTGACCACGTCTTCTCTCTTTCTCCTCTCCTTTAAACCACTCTTTTCTCTGTAAAAGTAGTCAAAATTTCAGTATGACAACTAATCCCTTTTAAACATATGACAACTAACCCCAAAATGACTGAGACATGTTGCCAAAACGACCATGTTTGCTAATTCTAGCTCTAGCTAAAAGTTAGCTAAAAACAGAACAATAACTGAGGTATGACAAGATGCCTTAATCTCTCCTCTAACAAGTTCACATGTATCACTGCTAGGATTTTTATCTGGAAAAAACTTATTCTAAAATGTATTAAGTTGTTTGTTTTTACTTTGGGTTGTGCGAAATGGTTAATTGGTGCTCATCTCAGCTTACAAAGTGCTCTTCTTTTCTCAGACAGGACACGACCCCCGACCATGTAGATTGTAGAGGAAGAAAACTAGTATTCCACTTTTCAGTTGCGCCCTCTGGTTTTATTTTAGCTTTGAATGTAACTTTTAATTTGTTAAATGTCTTTTACGCTGTTTTTACATTTCAAATTGTATTGAATGTTTTGCCTGCTTGTTTCATGTAAAGCACCCTGAATTGCCCTGCTGCTGAAATGTGCTATACAAATGAATTTGACTTGACTTGACTTGGTGGCAAAGATAAATGCAATGTGACAATTTACCTATGTGACAACAAGCCCTGTTCTCCCCTTTGTCTTTCACTTTTTCAAAACAAAATAAAAACTCCTATTCTAGTAGAAAAGCATCTATTATTTTCACAATACTATATTGTATTTTCAAACATGACATTAGCCATTCATTCTGACATGATCATTTTTTGTGCATCCTTCCTTCACAAGTTTTTTTTTATTTTTTGTGCCCTACTTTAATCAGAATTTCTCACTGGAGTTGAGAAATTCATGCTTTACCACAAATCATTTATTACTTTGACTTGCTTTGGCAAAAAGTCAAACTGGGAATCTGGGTCAAAAAATACTTGTGAAAAGAGGCATGCAAAAACAATGTATTCTGTTCTTTAATTTTAATGAATGACGTTCTTTGTCATATTCCTTCCTACCACTTACAAGTGTACTCAAACATAAGTAATATTATTCAGTATGTATACTAGTATCCCTTGACTTGTATTCATGTAACTTGCTCATTTGGTGACATATATTGACATTTCATTGATTAATGTGGGACTTCAAAAGATACATCAACATTTTTTAGTTTGGTGTGCACCATTCATCATGAATAATACAATAATCATTATCTGAATTTAAACGTTCATAAACTCAAAATATATAACAATAAACAGCAATATTAAAACAATTTTCATTAGTCCTCTAATTGTGTATCTTGTTTTCTTGACTGGCTTCACACTAAACACAAAATGGCTGAGATGTGTTTAGAAAACCTTAATACGTATAGACATGCGAGAGAAATAAAGGGGGGATAAATATCCTTTTTAACACACTTTCAGCAAAGGAACTGTGCTTTTCTGGTACGTTTTTTTTTTTCTTTTCTTTTGTACCAGTTGCATTTAAATGTATAAGGTCACCACTGGTAATTCAAATATTAAAATGAATTACACTGTAATTTTTTGTAACATTTACAAAGTTTGGTGAAAAGGGCATTTTGTGTTCGGTAGTAACTGAGTGTAACTTATCTTGAGCAAACGACGATGGTCAGTCGAACACGACTCCTTAGTCCAAACAGCAAACTAGAAATGCACTCGGAGAGCGCAGACCTCTGCCAAGCAGCTCATGTCCCCCCTTATATTGTGATTCACACCAAAACTTTTATTGTTACGTGTCTTTTATTAACTTTTATTTGTGTTTATACTGGTATGTTCACTGTTCATAATGTTCCTAAAACAACAAAGCTCATATTAGATACATAAATGCATGATTTATTATGCAATATTTGTAAGCGTACACTTTCCTTGTATCTTCATTGGTTATCTTTCAGCATTGAAAATTCCAACAACACCCTTATTTTTGTGTGTTCTGGATCACAGTATCCAGAATTTTGTCTGGATCAGGATCAACCTTTGACACCTCATAAAACTCATTGAGATCCTTTTGTGTCATTTTTTACTAAAGATTCTGGCCATTTTTATAGAGTTAAATGTAAAAATTCCAAAATTTGCCCTATCTCACAATGATAAAGAATCCTTCAAAAAATTCCTGGATCCAGAAGGCGATCCGGATCACCACCAAAATGTAATGGGATCCTCCTGGGGCTGAGACGCACCTCTGGTGAAAATTTCAGGTCAATCTGTCGGTAACTTTTTCCGTAAAGTTGTTCACAGACAAACAAACAAACAAACAAACAAACCAACCAACAAACAAACAAACCAACGCTACCGAAAACATAACCTCCTAGGTAGGTAAAAAAGGTAAAAAAGAAAATTCAGTTGAAACATTGTGGTTACACTCCTGTCTAGCAGGGGGCAGCAATGAGCCGAAGAGATGGATTGCTTGATCAAAATTAAAGCTCTCTCTTTTCTGTCTCTCTTTCTTTCTCTCTCTCTCTCTCTCTCTGTGTGTGTGTGTGTGTGTGTGTGTGTGTGTGTGTGTGTGTGTGTGTGTGTGTGTGTGTGTGTGTGTGTGTTGGGGGGATCAAACAGCTACTCAGGATCAAATGGTAACACCTGTACAGATCTTCTAAGCAGACTCACAGACAAAGACAAAGAAGAAAGATTCAATTTATCGGTTCACTGACTCCACAGGTAGGAGATGAGCAGTTTTGTTCGATTATCTGAATGAAGAATTTGGGTCTGCCTTAAACATGCTTAGTTTAATAAATCCTCTTAGAGCCACCATTTTAAGTCTTGTATTAATAAATAAATCATTTAAATAATCATTAATCTTACGCAGCTGAAATGAAGATGTTTGCCAACTCTTCATAATTACGTATATTGATCAGTATATGACTTGGTAAAGCAGCATAGAATAAAGTAAGGGATGTTAAAAATGTGAGGAGCTTAGACAAACAGACGCTGACCGAAGAAAAAAAGACATGAAATAACCACAAACCACAATCCAACACAGAATCTAGCAGCATTACAGGATTGAAAGGAAAAAAATCAGCATCTTAAACTGATTTAAGTATACAGAAATTTTAAGCTAGAGCTTGTCAAAACATGTGCCTTTATGAGGTGGGAGTACCTTCAAGCCAGGAATGCAAAGTGCACCATCAGAGAAGGCAGGACTAAGGGCTGAGCTACGCACTTCATGTTTGCTTCAATCATTCTACTATGGATCTGTATTCTCTTCATCGTCCTTCAACTAAGATCTCGGAGACCCAAAAACTTTCCACCAGGACCCCCTATCCTGCCCATGTTGGGAAACATTTTACACTTAAGCCTGGAGAACCCCCTGGAGTGCTTTGAGAGGGTGAGTAACAGGCTGATACTGCTACATGTTCAATATCCTTGGACTGAAACCAATTAGCTGTTAGTGGAACATCATAACACCTATGAAAGCTACTTGAATATTATCAACCCGTGCAGTCAAGGATTACAGTTACCCCAAAACCATGCCATCTCTTTTTAGTGTGTCTGATTTAGAGTATGTGTTCTAGCCATACTACAAGTTTTCCTGGCATGGGACTCACCAAACAAAGAAGGCAGATTGATTGTTCCTTAACAGCGAAACTATTCATCCAAAGTTTGTAAGAAATACAGGTACAGTATTTTAAAAACTGACATGTTATCTTTTCCTCTCCTAGCTGAAGAAGTCTTATGGGAATGTCTTTAGTATCTACTTGGGTCCCAAACCAGCTGTCGTCATCAATGGGATGAAGGCCTTGAAGGCAGCTATGGTGACCAAGGCCAGTGATTTTGCAGGACGACCCAAAGATCTGCTTATCACTGACTGCATCAAGAGGGCAGGTTAGTATAACCACCTTGAGCACTTGAGTGAAAAACAAGGTCACTTTCTTGGTGGCCTGAAGGTGCAAAACACAAAAGAGAAAACACGACAGCAAATCAAAACGCAAACGCAAAACAGAAAATGCAACTGCAAATCACATATGCAAACGCAAAAAAGAAAACGCAACTGCAAATCCCAAAACTCGACAGCATCGTCTGTCTTCTTCTTCTTCGTTGTAGTTTAATGGCAGTTTACTCCGCTGGGGGTGGAGTACTACTGCCACCTGTTGGATGTCGGAACGGGAAAGTAAATACGAACATGGACGCTGAAAGCGAAAGTGTACTCGAAATTATCCAGCAATATTTTGATGCAGGACACAAATATGACGTAATAGTCGACATGTTGTTGACTATTCAAGGCATTAGCATGAGCATTCGAACGCTGAAGACCCGCTTGAAAAAAGCTGGCTTGTTTAGACTTCAGTTCCAACATCGATCCAGCAGGTGGAGGTAGTACTCCACCCCCAGCAGAGTAAACTGCCATTAAACTACAACGAAGAAGAAAACATATGATGCTGTTGTGTTTTGGGATTTGAGATTTCGTTTTCTTTTTTGCATTTGCATATGTGATTTGCTGTCATGTTTAGTGATTTGCAGTTGCGTTTTGTGATTTGCTGTTGTGTTTTCTCTTTAGTGGTTGTGTTTTGCACTTCCAGGCCACCATAATTTCTGCCTGCTTTGTTTTTCTGTGACAAGGAAAACCTATTTGATTTCAAAAGCAAAGTCATCTTTATTTGATTGTGTATTTAAACCTTGAGAATGGTTGGTTTTATCTGGTTTTATTGGGTTTTACTTGCTTTTATTTGGTCTTATTTCATACATTTTAATCTCTTTCCCCTAAGCACTGTTGTCACTTTATATGTATGTACTGTGCTGTTTGTTTGTCTACTATCATAGATCTGATTCACTGCAAACAAAATTTACCTGAGGGTACAAATAAAGTAACCTTTGACCTTTGAGAACAAAGCATCAATTCACTGTTGCCGCTTTTACATTTTCAAATTCACAGCCTGAAAACAAAATTGGACAGAATTTATCACAGTATTATGCCCATCATCAAAGGAACAGTTTACATCTCTGATTGCTGTAAATCAAGTCCACGGATGTGAACGTTTAATCTACCAACAACTCACTTATACAGCGAAGACCCAGTCTGGCATGAAATTTAATGAAAACATCACATTAAAACAATAACAAAAGCTGATATAACAGCTACGTTTTTAACAGTGGATGATCTGTAAGGTCAAACTTGTTGTGTAACTTCTTGTGCTGTAGGGGTGATTCTGGCAGACTATGGCCCTAGTTGGAAGGAGCATCGTCGCTTTGCTCTGATGACTCTGAGAAACTTTGGGATGGGAAAGAATTCGATGGAAGACAGAATTCATGGAGAATTACAGTACGTCATTAAGGCACTGGAAAAGAGCAACGGTATGTCATATATGGATCTATGTCCCCTCCACTTTGTGTTCTGTGTATGTGTTTTTATTCAGTTTAAAGCTGAATTTAATGTAATGTGATTGTTCATACTGTCAAACTGATAAAAATGAATCTTCTACAGGGAAAACCTTCAGTCCTCAGCTCATGTTTCATAATGCAGCTTCCAACATCATCTGCCAGGTTCTGTTTGGTACACGTTATGAGTACGATGACGAGTTCATCAGAGTGATAGTTGGCTGCTTCACTGAGAACGCTAAGATAGCCAACGGACCGTGGGCTATGGTGAGTTAAAGCATATTATTCATTCTCTATGATAATGAGAAGATTTGTTTTAGCATTTTTTTAAACATAGTGGAACTTTCCCTGGCCTAAATGTACATTCTTGTCTAAATGTATCACTTACTGACATGAATATTACATCAAATAATGAGCGTGGTCTAGACCTGCTCTTTTCGGAAGTGTCTTGGGATTGGGCTGGTGTGATTTGGCACTATATAAATGAAAAGAAGAAGAAGAACTTTATTGATCTCCGAATATGTCTATAAAAGTTATGTATTATTTACACAAGAGTTATAAAGCCTGATGGCTGTTGGTACAAAAGATCTTCTAAATCTTTCTGTCCTGCAGTGAAGAGAGAGGAGCTGTCCACCACCATTGGCCCTTTGGTCCATCAAGGTGTTGTGAAGTGGGTGATCCATGTTCTTTAGAATAGACTCCACCTTCCTCAGTGTAGATCTCTCCACCACATCCTCCACTGAGTCCAGCTTGAGTCCCACCATAGAGCCAGCCTTTCACCAGTTTGTTAAGACGTCTTGCATCTTTGTGTTTGATGCTTCCTCCCCAGCAGACTGCAGCGTAGAACAGAACACTTGCCACCACAGACTGATAAAACATCTGCAGCGTCTTACTACAGACATTGCCCCTTTCTGTAGATGTAGTCTATATTCTTAGACCAATCCAACTTATTATCCAGATGTACACCTAGGTATTTATATGATGTCACCACTTCGATGGCCACTCCACAGGTGTTCACTGGCTGAAGAGTGTCAATAGCGGTGTCATCTGAGTATTTCTGGATGTGGCAGGACTCAGTACTGTATTTAAAGTCTGACATATACAGTGTGAACAGGAATGGCGCCAGCACTGTCCCTTGTGGAGCCCCTGTACTGCTCATTATTGTCCCAGAAACACAGTTCCCCAGCCTGACAAACTGTGGCCTTCCTGTCAGGTAATCTGTGATCCAGGAAACACAGGAAGGATCCACTCCCATCTCTGTGAGCTTGTCTTTGAGTATGGTGGGTTGGATGGTGTTGAATGCACTTGAAAAGTCGAAGAACATGATCCTCACATAAACCCCAGGTTCCTCCAGATGAGACAGGGCATGGTGAAGCATGTAGAGGACAGCATCATCCACTCCAATGTGTTCTTTGTAAAATTGATTGGTTGATTGATTGATTAATTTGTAGTGGGAAAAGAAGTACATGCATTTAAAATTACAATAAAAAATAGTCAGTCTTGAGATAAATTTTCTCATTTTCTTTTGTACACAAAAGAGAAGCATCGCTGTTTATTTCAGTCTGTTTTATAAGCTTCCTCACAGCAGCTTCAAGTTGACTTTAGCCTGAATTCTAACCTGCTCATCCTCTGTCTCTCTTTTCAGCTCTATGACTCTCTTCCTGTGATTCGTGGCCTGCCGCTGCCCTTCAACAAAATTTTTAAGAATGTTGAGGTACGTAAAATTGCAGATTCAATCTATGGTAAAATAAAAAATGACCTATTGAAAAAATATTCTTGTTTTCCAGACTTGTTGGAAACTTGTGAATGCTTTGATAAACGAGCACAAGGAGACCAGAGTTCCCGGAGAACCACGAGACTTTCTGGACTGCTATCTGGATGAACTGGATAAGGTGTGTGGTGAATTTCTGTTTTCAGCCTGCTAGTTCATGTGAGTGTTTGTGCTACTCCTCCTCTGATAGCCATCCCCTCTTCTTTATACTTCTGCCTATGAAGAGTGGAGTACAATAATTTCAGTTGTAGAACAAGCTTTTGTAAATGAGGCTCATGTGTCCTTTAGCAGCTGACAGGTTAGGATGTGTCCTCTGGCATTTACTAGAAAATAATACTTACACTGGGGAGCTGTTTCTGGCCTATCAGTTAAAGACTACACCCCATGTATAGTGGCCAAGTTGTCCATGTTTCAGCAGTCATAGATTAGACTCTCTGCCTTGACCCTTCATTGCATGTTTGCCCAGATCTTTACTCCCATCATTTTCTATTCCTCCTTCATGATTTTATCAAAAAAGGCAAAAGAGCTCTAAAAATCTACTTAAAAAGCCGCCCATGTTGCTCCATATCCACTGAGCCTTTGTATTACTCTACCATTGGTTTGTTATTTTTGTAAATTGTGCATTTTTTGCCATGACCAAAGGACAGTTGCATGAAATTGCTGTACTCTTCTCAGATGGATGAAGATGGTTCTACTTTTTCAGAAGATCAGTTGAGTATGTATGCAATAGATCTTCATTTTGCTGGGACTGACACAACTTCCAACACCCTGCTCACTGGTTTCCTCTACCTTTCAACATACCCAGAAATACAAGGTGAGTCTGCCACCGTCATTGTGTTATTTTTTCTTCTGCTGCCAAGGAATTGATATTTTTCATTAAAACATGTTCTAACCTCTGAAAGGCAGAAAAACAACCTTGAAAAGAGCACAGTGCTCACCGAGAGTACACCTAAGAGCCTTTTTAGTACATTAGCATTCAGTCCAGCTGAACACACGTTATAAGGAATAGCCATAGCTCAAGTAACCTATATTTCTCCACTAAAGTTTATCCTTTTTTTATCACTCTAGCCACAGTGTTGCTAAACTGCAGAGTTTAATAAGTGAATGTGACATATGGTTCAGTAACCCTTTGAGTGGTCAGAGGACTTAAGAAAGAGCTGCAAACATAATCTACAAACTATGGTTTTCACATGTGCCTCTTTGCTGTGATGTGTCAAAATGTGGTGTTGGCTATTTGACCCTTACTTGTACCCACTGAGAGGTCACCAGGCTAGAAGATTATATCTGTTTCAAATCGACACTATGGGCTGTATTTTCGTGCTTCGCTGGCGACGTGGTGCAGGCGCGATGTAAGTCAGGTCTGCTGACAAGGCGCTCCCAAGCACAATTTGGTATTTTGGTGAGCGGCGCAGCCGGCGTAAGTATCCCCTCTCCCTAACTCAGCTCCTCCCAGCGGCGTAAGTCGTAGGGAGGGAAGAGATAGGGCGTGGAGTGGGTTTAACACAGCCAAGACCTGCATTGACCATTAACATCAGCTCCTCTCCTTGCCTTTAAATTCGCCACCGGTGAGGCGTATTACAATTTTCGTGAAGTAGTCAAAGGGATCAAGAGATGTGTGAAGACAGCAATGCCACACGATGGCAACAGAAGGCAGCTCCTCAACAAGTGTCCCTGTAAACACTGCAGAGGGCGTCCTTCACACTGTCTCATATGAGCACAGATGGATTTGGTGTGTGTAATGTTGGACCCACTGGTAAGATAAACACCCTTTTCCACAAATAAAGACACTCACATAAAGTTAGATACGGTTGTTTTTGTTTTCTTTCGGCTGCTTACTTCCTGCGTGAATGATATTGATCAGTTATTTAACAGCTGCTCTTTTCATACTGGCACAGATAGAGAGGGTACAAAAATATTTTCCCTTTTCGTTAAAAAAAATCTGCAGCTTTTGAACACAATCATTAATTACATTCTTCTTAATTAAATGTCACTGGAATGAGAGACCATACATAACAAGGCATGGTGCACTGGTCCTAGATCACTCTAGATAGGCTCGATCAGACCAATTAGTTGTGCCTTACATGCAGCATGCAATTACACCAGCAACTTCCTCTATAAAGTGGCCTCTGATGATACACCTCTCAGTATGAATGTACAGTATTTTATTTATCTCTGCCCCCTCTCTTTATTTTGTATATCTCAGAGCGCTGTCAGCAGGAGATCGATTCAGTGCTTGAGGGGAAGGATCGTGCCAGTTTTGAAGACAGACACAGGATGACGTTTTTACAGGTGAATGAGGATTTGTTTCCCTTTTTTACATGGTCACAGAGGCCTGAAGCGCCACATTTGTCAAAGCCTGATACAAATGTAACAAAGGTAGGAAATGGGGTCATTTTTAAGAGGTTGTCATGAATAAATGTGGTCAGGTTTTGGAATTTCTGTTGCCATGGTTTTGGTACATGGCTTGTGGGTTTCGCATTGCAATTGTACTTAGCTACTTTAAGGTGTTAGAGCTTTGAAAAACATGCATTTTTATCTTCCGCATGGAATCATAGATGACATGCATGTAATTTCTCTTTCTTTTCATTTAGGCCGTGATCCATGAAATACAGAGGGTAGCCAACACTGTACCCTTGAGTGTCTTCCACTGTACAACGGCAGACACAGTGCTCCTGGGATATACCATTCCCAAGGTAAGACACAACTGATTTTAGTTCATGTTTCATCAGGTTTTGGTTACAGGCTAGATATCTTTAAGTGCTGGTAAGACAATTTCCCATCAGTACCACACTTTCATGATGGAATCAACATGAGCAACACAATTAGAACCTTGGAAAGTAAGACACAACTTACAAACAGGTTTTAGTGTGTTTTTGATCTGGTTTTTCTGATTTTGCTAATTCTGAGTAAATAAATATGGGCCCTATCATACAGTTGGAGCAGAACGTCTTGGTGTGCAGCACTTCACTGAACATTTTTTTTTGCCAAGTTTGGTCATTAAATGAGATGTTTATGAAAACACATGTTATGAAATTCAGTGATCTGGTATATTATAAAACAATACAAATAATGTATAAAGCTAAATCACATTTACTCCCAGTCAGTATACAAAGGTGTTTTTCAACTCAAGTGACAAAGTATAATTTAAGAGATGTCTGTAAATTTACTGTACCAAGGGCAAAAAAAGAGGTTAAAAGAAGATGCATATCTGTTGTAGGGGTTTCACTTTGGAATAATGCTCATATTAATTTAAGAATGTGTAGTACATTTCTGATTTTCAAAAGGATGGTTTACAGTGCAATCTTTAAGGGCTATAAGTCTTCATGATTCTGTAAAGGTTTTTGTTACTTTCTATTATTGGTTCTTTATGAGGATTTATTCTTGATTTTTTGAAAAAGAGGATATGTTAGTGTTATGATTTGTTCTATGAGTTTATGAAATTAGTATTTTATTTTGTATTTTTTGTATACGTAAAAATTGTTGTTGGGTAGCTTAATATGTGCATTTGATAAAGAGGACAGGCTTAAATATAGTTTTATGCTTCCGTCTGTGCCTTTTCAGTCACTTTCTTTATGATATTGTTTGTAAATGTAAATATTAAGCTGTATTGTGTCTGTGACTGAATAAAAAATCTTCACTCTTCACTCACTCTTCAGATGTGCTCAGGCTCAAAGTAGCAAATTGCAATTTAAAAACCCAGTTGGAAGTCTGACATCAGTGATGTAGTACTTTTCTACCATTTAGGGGATGCATCGGTGAAATGGTGAGATAATCCTAAGAGTTCAGAATACTTAGTCCTTTGCTATTTTACTCTCAAAGAGAGATGCACAGGGTGCTCCCAATCATTTGAAAATATCCAGACTGCTGTCAAGGGATAAATCAGAAATCTGCTGTGTCAATAACAACATGCCCACTTGCAGGACAAAGAGAAGACAAACCGATTAGTTTGATCCTTTTTGATTCTCCTCAGGGTACGCTGATCATCCCTAACCTGGCTTCAGTACTTTGTGAGGAGGGACAGTGGAAATTCCCTCATGAGTTTAACCCTGAAAACTTCCTCAATGACAAGGGAGAGTTTTTCAAACCGGAGGCCTTTGTACCTTTCTCTGCAGGTGTGTCAGCATGCTAAGTAAACCACAGTCAAAGGCTTTTTATGACCCAGAATGTGGGACTTTTACAGACAAGTTTGGAACAATCAAACTGTTGTAGATGACTGTGTGTTCTCCTCTTAATACCTCAGGTCCTCGCATGTGTCTTGGTGAGAGTCTGGCTCGTATGGAGCTTTTCCTCATCCTGGTGACACTGCTCAGGAAGTTCAAGTTCAGCTGGCCTGAGGATGCAGGGAAGGCGGACTACACACCAGTCTTTGGGATCACTCAAACTCCCCAACCATACAGCATGAAAGTCCAACTAAGAACAAAACAACAGCAGGGTATGCAGACACAGCAGAAACAGTCCAAGGCAATTCAATTTAAAAGAGATGTTTAAAATATTACTACTTTTGAATTATTTTAATTGATCTCCAAATGATCTCCATTGGGAAAAAATACCAAACTGCAAATGCTGGACTGATGCAACTTCAGAAGCAAATGCAGAAGTCGAAATAGGATGCAACATTTAGGTTATCGAAAACCCTATATGAAGCTTCATTTGCTTTGTATCCTAGCCCCTGGTTAAAGTTTGACTATTAGATGTGTTTTTGTCTGTTTTGGATGCATTGAGAATATTTTAGCAAAAAGAAACTGTCTTTTATATCTTGAAGACACTTTTTTATACAGTCTTAGTGGCATTCCTGTAATACCTAAGCTGTTGCATATTTTTTTACTGTTTCTACCTTTTTAACACATAAGAGGAACAAAAACAACCAAAAATAAAAACAATCACAAACAACACTGTTTCCAAAATGGTACAACTTGCCAACACTTTCTTTTTTATTTAATCAGGAATACTCGGGAACGCCTACCTATGATTTAACTTGACTGTAATTATGCACAGGTGTAGATATGTTGCTCTTGGATGAGTGGAATTGTTGCATTTGAATAAAGATGATTATTACAATACAATAAATGTTATTAAACTATGCACAAAAATTACAACTTGTTTTATGAAGCTACAGTATATCTTCAGTGTAGACATACTGCAAACTGGCTATGTACTTGTGTGTTTCAAAAACAATATCAGACCAGGAAAAAATAGAAATTCAAAATACAAATTCAAAATTCAAACACTTTGTCCGATTTTTTAAAGACATTGAAGGATGACTGTTTTAAAGGGATATTCCGGCGTAAATTTAAGTAATGGTCAAACACACCGTAACACCGAGTTCGACACCCCCTTGAGTGAAGATTGTTGCTGACCGCTTGCTTCCTTAGTTATACCAACTTTAGTAATGACTGCAGAATAGAAATACACAGCAGTCTGAGGAGCCATACACAAACCTCAACCAAAACGCCACAAATAATGTTCAGAACAGCACCTCACTTCATCAACAGTACATCTAGGGTCCCAGCCATAGTACTAGCCACCAAACATCTTTTTAACTTTGCCTGATTACCTCCGCCAAGGAGGTTATGTTTTCGGTAGCGTTTGTTTGTTTGTTTGTTTGTTTGTTGGTTTGTTTGTTGGTTTGTCTGTGAACAACTTTACGGAGAAAGTTACAGACGGATTGACCTGATATTTTCACCGGAGGTGCGTCTCAGCTCCAGGAGGATCCCATTACATTTTGGTGGTGATCCGGATCACCTTCTGGATCCAGGAATACAGGAGGGTGCACAAACCAATTAACCGAGTGACTCTAAACAATTTATTGAGTGCAAAATTATACAGGGCACCCCAGACTCACCTATACACGTTCACCTCCCACCGCATCCTTAAAACACAGAGCACACAACTCAACCAGGCTTTGCATCAGGAGAAAAAGGAAGAGGTTGTAAGAAACTGATCCTCTTTTAGCTTTCACAGCCAATCAGCAGTCAGCTTCTCCATCTCCACCTCCCAATCAGCAGCAGAGCAGAGTCTCTCAGGTGTGGCTGAATCAACTACTTCCCCGGGGAAACAAGCAGGGAGGGGGAGACTGTGCAGGCAGGAAGAGAGGAAAAATAACACAGCAGTCTGCTTCATGCCTGGCATGTCACGGAAGCGATTAGGCAATAGTTGAAGCCAGATCTGGTCAAGAGTGTGAGTCTTGGTGTTTGGTTTTCTCCTTTATCTTTAATCCTATATAGCAAAGTACACCACAAGAGGAGGCGGGACTAAGGGCAGAGTTACGTATTTAAAGCAAGCCTCTGAGTTTACCTTTTCAGTTTGATCAAGCCTGTTTCACCATGTTTGCTTCAATCATTCTGGTCTGGATCTGCACTTTCTTCATCATCCTTCAACTAAGACCTCGGAGACCCAAGAATTTTCCACCGGGTCCTCCTGTCCTGCCCATGCTGGGAAATACTTGGAACCTCAGTCTGGAGAACCCCATAAAGTACTTTGAGAGGGTGAGTAACAGGCTGATATTGATGGGATTGCTCTTTGATATCTTAAACTGTTACTGCACAGCTGCGTTTACCACTTAAGGTGCAAGAAAGGTTTTGAATACAACATAACTGCTCTTGTGGTTGTTTTACTGCTTTACCTTAGAGGGATTTCCAAACCGGCTCAACAACTTTACTTAAAGACTGGAAAGGAAACCCTTAAGCTGTTGTAGAAAGATATCATGTGACGGCAGCTGAAGTCTTGGCAAAGAGCAGTGTGCATCTAAGGACAAGGGTTACCACAAGGTTAATGTATAAATGTGTGTAATGTTTGCAGTCATTTCTGTATAAAATCACATGTTTTATACAGAGATGACTGTAATTGATCTTGGACTCTATCTGTGTTTTCCTACACGCATCCAATACATTGGCTTACACCAAGGTTGTGGAAGTGAGATATGTGAGAAGTGACATATTTAGGATGCCAATTCTCACTTTAGGTGACAGGGGTTTGTTTTAATATGCTCAGTGAATCATCACTGTTACTATAACCTGTGTTCTGGAGTACAGGTTGGGATGAGTAGAAGACCTACAAGATAAAAAGTAGTGATACCTAACAGTACAGATGTAAGTGCAAACACAGTTTTACAACTACAAAAGTACCCCTAAGACCACATGCCATATATAAATAATCCTCACACCCCCGAGTGAAACATAATAATGCATCAGATTTCATATAGCGCTTTATCAGAGACCCTTAAAGCGATTTACATTGGAGACATCATTCATTTGCTCACACAGTCACACTTTGGTGGTGGTAAACTACCTTAGTAGTCACAGCTGCCCTGGGGTAGACTGAAGGAAACGTGGCTGCCTCTCCGACCACCACCACTCACAATCATACACCAGTGGAGGACACACACTGGGAGCAAAGTGGGTTAAGTGTCTTGCCCAAGGACACAACAGACAGACTTGGGATAGGGGGGAATCGAACCACCAACTTTCCAGTTATAGGACGACCGCTCTACCTCCTGAGCTACTGCCGCCCATGGAGGAGAATTTAATAAATATCAGGTGTTTTGCACTGAAGCTGCCCCTTTTTATGCTTTGTTGATGCTTAAAGCTATCTTACTGTTGTCATTGTTCTGTTTTTAATATTTGTATTTGCTGTTTCAATATTTTTCTTACACTTCTATTATCATCTATCCAGTGGTAAATTTTGCTAGTTTGTTTATTTTGCCTTTAATCTAACACATTTATTGCCCAGTGTATCTGCTTTTTAGTATCTGTTTTTCTATTTTGGCCACGCTGCAAGGCTGAGTAATGTTAGAAAATAAGGACTGAACTGAAATAAAATTAGACTTTCCCACCCAAAGAAATACAAGTATTTCAAACACTGACATGACAGTCTTTTTAACTCCTAGCAAAAGAAGTCTTACGGGAATGTCTTTAGTATCTACTTCGGTCCCAAACCAGCTGTTGTCATCAATGGGATGAAGGCCATAAAGGCAGCAATTGTGACCAAGGCCAGAGATTTTGCCGGAAGACCCCAAGACCTGCTCATCAATGACAGTTCCAATAGGAAAGGTAAAGACAATCTGACCACCTGAGTCAGAATCAAGGTCACTGCTGTTTTGTTTGTTTTGTTCTGTCACAACTTGAGTGACAACTTGTCTCAGATTGCATAACACATTGACTACCCATTACTCAAACTGATCAATAAAAAAAACAAAGACAGTGGCTAAGTGCAATGTTTAATCTTTAACTTCTGGCACCACAAAAAGTTGCATGCTCACAGAGAAATCTCCTGTTTATCAGTACCTCAGTAACTTAAGACTTTGCATGACACATGATCTTACTATTCATCCTGTGTTTATTATGTTGTTACTCAAAGCAGGTTGTACCAGTATATTTCCCACTTTGCACAAAAGACAGCATTTTTTCTGCTCTTTCTTCTCTCTCCAGGGTCAAAGTGAGACCCATTTTCCGCCTGAGAGTTTCAAGGCTTTTGATTTTGTATTTTATTTTGTAATTTCTTATAACTATCCCATAGTAGTGACTCACCATGGGTGTATTTATTTTAAGGTTGAGTTTCAGAGTTTTACAAGTCCCCTTCCAAAAAGAAAAATGTTAAAGTGTACTTCAAGTATATTGTTTTTAAACTAAGTATGCTCTCAGTTTACTTTTTGTGGACTTTAAAGGGATATACTTAACAAAGTTAATGTTTAGTATACTTGGCTTGTACTAACAATTATACTAAAAGTCTAAATATGTTTAACCTATACTTAGACATAAAATTTGTTCAAGATATAAAAACGTAAAAAAAAATATATATAAATTAATTAATTACAATAATATAAAATAATTAATTTATCACAATAATAATAATATAAATTAATTAATTACAATAATAATAATAATAAGTTGATACATAAAGGTATGCTTGAGAGTGTACTTATATAAACTACAAAGGGACTGGAAGTTTATTACTAGTTAATTGGTTATAGTTTACCAGTTATAAATAGTTAAATATTAAACAAAAACACGAGTAATTAAATGATTTAAAAATACAATATTTGAGAAAATAAATAAATAACATTAAAATCTATATAAAACACCAAATAAAAAAGTTAATAAAATCTCTTTAAAAGCCAGACTGAACAGATAGGTCTTTAGTTTATGTAGTTTAAGTGTCAATATTTTTAGCTCCTCTCAGATCCTCTGGCAGCCTGATTCAGAGTCTTTCAGCATAATGACTAAAAACAGCATCATCAAATACTTTGGTCCTATTCTGAGAAACCGTTAAAAGAGAAGAGCCAGAGGATCTGGCAAGAAGTCCTGGTTCATAAACTAAGAACATTTCTGAGCTGTAGTCTGGTGCAAGGCCATGCAGGGCCTTATAAACCAGTTAAAGACCTTTTAAAATCTAAATGAAAACAGACAGACAAGGAATGCAAAGATTTCTTTAGTAGACCAGTGAGAAAAGCATTGCAGTTGTCTAGCCTGCTATAGTTGTAAAAGTGTGTCTTTCTGTATTGCTTAGAGAGAGAAACAGCCGCACCTTAGAAATGTCCTTTAGATGGTAAAATGCTGTTTTTTGTCACAGAGCGTACATGTGGTCTAAAATTAAAATCAGAAACAAATAAAACACCAAGATTTCTTGCTGCTTGTCTAGGATAAAGTCCGAGCTTATTTAGTGTAGAGGCCAGTTTCTCTCTCTAAGCCTTTTAACCAATGGCGGGTACTTCTGCTTTATACTGGTTAAGCTGTAAATAATTTTGTGACATTCAGGCTTTAATATCTTAAAGGCGGGTAAAAAGTGAGTGTATTGGCCCAGTGTCATCAGGAATCACAACCATGTAGAGCCGAGTGTCATCAGTATAGACTGTATATAGAATGGACGCCGTCTGCCTCCTCGCTGGCTGAAGCCACTCCGAGAACAGCACCCTCTTGTGACGGGCTGCAGTATAGGTCATAAATCCCGCCTCCTCCAGCAATCCCCATGGAGCTGTGAAAAAACTTTAGAAATTAATTACACAGAATATACATTTTTCTTCCCCCTGCTTGCAATGTTGGCATGTGGTTATTGCAAGACTGGTTTGTGCTCAAATCCCCTTTTTTTCTGTACAGCTCCTTTTTTTAAAGTTATTAGGGAGTTCATGTTTTCTTTGATTGACACCTGATACAGCCTATGGGCATACAAAGATTGCGTAGCTCACCGAGGGGATACGCTATTTGAGCCGAGCATCATCACAGCAATTCTCCCACTGAATGCGCACAATGCAACTGCGCAAGTGCTGGTTCCAGGAAGTGGAGAAAATCCTGGAATTACTGAGAACAATCAAAGAGAGAGCTTCAAATCCGTAGTGACAGAAGGACAGAAGGCGGAGCCAAGTTTTCCATAGTATATACAGTCTATGGTACTCAACTATGGAAAAAAAATGCTGTGTCTCCTGATGACACTGGCAAGGGTACCATATCAAAAAACTAAATAGTAATGGTCTTATAATCGATCCATGTGATACCCATCTTAATGTGTCTAAAACCAAAGACATGACTCTAGATTTTAGAAAGAATCCACCTGTCAAAGCTTTAACCTTTTGTTAATGGCAAAGAGGTAGAGATTGTAAGCCAGTACAAGTATCTAGGCACCATCCTGGATGACAAACTTTCCTTTGAGACCAACTCAGATGCCATCTCCCGAAAGGCAAATCAGAGATTATTTTATCTGAGGAAACTGTCGGGTTGAGTCTAAATGATCTTGACTCTGTTTTTAAAACCAGAGCCACTCAGAGGGCAAAGGCCGTTCTGGCAAACCCTCTCCATCCTCCTTATGCTGAGTTTCAGCTTCTCCCGTTTAAGAGAAGGTACACTTTCACTTGCAAGGCTAAATCAAATAGGTACCTTAAATCCTTTGTCCCAACAACCATTGGCTTTTTAAACAAGCTGTAGGCAGGCGTGACGGAAATGATGCACCCTTAGTTTGTGCTGACTCTGTGTATTTATATATTTATTGTATTTGTGTGTGGTATTGGATGTATGCATTTCTGCAATGTGAGGTACTGTAAGAATGTGTGTTTTAACTTCTGTTGCAAACTGAATTGCCCTTAGGGGACAATAAAGATTATCAAATCAAATCAAACCCCACTAGTCACTTCATAGTGTTAGGAGGAATGATCATGATCACCTGCATATGTGGTGGGTCCTCAAATGAAATCTACTGTTTGAACATTACAGTCAATTGAAAGCTACCTGAATAATTAGAGGGCTACTTACACCCACCCATAGCTGGTGCTGCCTTCATTATCTATTTACTGTCACAATAAACCAGTCCTTGCAGCCCTACAGCTAGCCTGGCCCCATGACCTTTATCACAAACATCACAGTGGATGATTTGTAAAGCTCGTATTTACTGTGTAACTTCTCGTGCTGTAGGAGTGATTATGGCAGACTATGGGCCCAGTTGGAAGGAGCATCGTCGCTTTGCTCTGATGACCCTGAGAAACTTTGGGATGGGGAAAAATTCGATGGAAGACAGAATTCATGGAGAGTTACAGTTCGTCATTAAGGCACTGGAAAAGAGCAACGGTATGTCGTAAACAGGTTAACCCTACAACCTGATAAAAGACTGATCAGAAATACCTCTGAGAGGCCAGTACTGTTTTGATATCCTCTATCTCCTTACTTCTGTGTGTGATTGTATTGTTAGATCCATGTCGGATAAATGTGATTTTCTCTGTGCCGTCCCAAACTAAAGACATTATATCTCCTACAGGGAAAACCTTCAGTCCTCAGTTCATGTTTCATAATGCAGCCTCCAACATCATCTGCCAGGTCCTATTTGGTACACGTTATGAGTACGATGACGAGTTCATCAAAGTGATTGTTCGCTGCTTCACTGAGAATGCTAAGATATCCAACGGACCGTGGGCTATGGTGAGTTTAAGCATGCCTGTTTTTATTCTCTAACTTAGCCTTTTTATAAGGTTGTTTTAGCATTGATAAAAATTAGCTACAACCCTTCTTTTACCAATAACATAATAAATTTAAACAACATGCTAAAAATGATGCTTCCCTCAATTTGAAGTTAACTCAATCAACCAGTCTGTTTATAGAGCCAATTCACAATAATCGTTATCGTAACATGTTTTATTACTTACAAAGACAACTGTTCTAAATATAAGAGCTAAAAAAAAATAAAAGCTCTTCAAATTGTAATGATGGTACCCTATGTGCAATAGACAACAAAGTAAAAAGAGGCATTTTTCACCGCATCTGGAACAGCAGCGATTTTTGCTGTCCGCCAATTCCTACTGGATCCGTTGGTGAGGTGAATTTCATGGCGGATTATGGGCAGCGGTAATCGCGGGAACTCACAAGAATCCGCAGATTCACATGCAATTGTGCGATAAAGAGTTGTCTCTGTAAAGACAGCTACAGAGGCTAACCATAAAAGCAGTAGATTGTGTCCCTCCAGAGGTGGAAATCCACCTCTAGACTTCTAAAATCAGCATCCCCTCATCCATGGTGTCATCGGGGTGAAATGCTGTCTATAAACCTTTCACTTCTTCGTCCCGCTTGTTTGTATGATGTGAAATACGTTCCGCCTGAAACACGGAGTGTTTTATTTTGAAAAGAAGCCGAATGTTTTCTTTTGTGTCTTAGCCCAACTTCCTTTCAAGCACAGGTTAATCTCAGTCTTACTCCTGAAAGTTTCCAGCATAGTGAGGAGTAGAGTGTGCTTTCCTGTAAACCAGTGAATGAGTATATTTGGATGAGTGTTAAAGCACAACCCTATGATGCTCCTGCATGCTGATAACAGAGGAGCAAAAGAAAGAAGCTGTCGCTACCCCAAAATGCAACAGACACTTAGCATGGCAGCTTTAACTTTGTTATTGCCCACATTTTGCACTTTGCAATCCTTCTTTGTATTTAGTTTCATTATATTCCATTCAAAATAGTTTCTTTTGTCATCCAGTATTAACTGTCAATGCTTATTTTTAACTATGGCTACGTTCACACTGCAGGTTATGATGCACAATTCGTATTTTTTGTTAAATCCGATCTTTTTGTGCGGTCGTTCACATTACAACAACACATGCGGCATCTAATGTGAACAGAATGCATCTGTGAAGTGATCTGGATGTGCACAAAGCACAAATTGCTTTCCGCGCCTGTTTGCGTTGTCGAACAATGGTGACGTTTGTCGCATATTGATGACATATAGGTTGGATCAACGCGACCTGAGCGTCCGTTCTTCCAGTCCCCAATAAGGATAAGAAGCTTAATGTATCGTGTATGCTTTGCCTGCTTTATCAAAAATGTTCAAAAACGGAGAACCATAAAATCAAGTCAGAACCAAGTTTTTTTCTACCCTTACACAGCTATTTTTTACTGATGTGCTCCCTTGTACTACTTGAAATAAATGTCCTCAGTTACAATCGTCAGAACAATTTATGCTAAGATGCAGAAACTGTATTTGACTTGAATCTATTCTCATGTTTTTCAGCTGTATAACTCTCTTCCTATAGTTCGAGGCTTACCGTTACCCTTCACCAAATCATTTAAGAATTTACAGGTATGTTAATTTCATTGTTGAGTCTATTGTTAAATAATATGAAACTATGAAAAAGCATGAAATGAATAAATATTGAAATGAATATGAAATGTAAATCGGGGAAAAGCACTTATATAACAGAAAAAGCATCTTGTGTGGGAAAATTAACATACATTACAAATACTAATTTTGTTATTCAGACCTGCCGGAAACTTGTGAATGCTTTGATAAATGAGCACAAGGAGAGCAGAGTCCCTGGGGAACCACGAGACTTTGTTGACTGTTATCTGGATGAACTGGTTAAGGTGTGTGTTGCGTGTGTTTTTGTTTGTTTGTTTGTTTGTTTGTTTGTGTGTGCTGCTTGTCTCTGTTAAGTATAGTTAAATCATGTCCTCCAAGACTCTGTAGCATGCTATGAAATATGATTTCAGCCAGTTGGTTCACAGTAGTGTCTGTGCATCGCACTCCAAACTCTGCCTCTGATTTCTCTTTAAAAAAAATGTTCTCCTCCATTTGTAAGGACAAGGATGCTTCTACATTTTCAGAAGATCAGTTGACTATGTACACTTTAGATCTTTACTTGGCTGGGACTGACACAACTTCCAACACCCTGCTTACTGCTTTCCTTTACCTTTCAACACACCCACACATACAAGGTGAGTCTGCCACTGTCATTGTTTTGTCTGCCAATAAATTTAGACTTTTCAACTGAAAACATGTTGAAACAAGCCCACACCAACCAAGAATAAACCTGACCATTTGTTACTGCAAATATGGAAAGTTTTCTCAGTCTGGTTGAACATTACGGCAGTAAAAACCACAGCAATAGGTCATACGACCTATTTCTCCTTAATCTCCAGGGCTCCCTCTACTGCTTGGCTGCAGCTTAACCCTTGTGTAACGCTGTGGCTAAAATCAGCCATTAGGGGCAGAATTTAGCCACTAATTCCCACGTAACTTTTTTTTTACTGCAGCAAATGGGATGATTTTTTGTGCAGATGCTTATTTTGATGAACACTTTAAGAATATGACTTCAAAATTTTCACCATGTCAAAAATACACGCTGGGCAAATTTTTGTTAACACTCAGTGGCTAAAAACAGCCACTAAGTTTGACTGCTGTAAAAACATGTTGGGTTAATATTTTTTTCCATTTTTTTTCCATATATCTCTTAATTAACTTCTGCTTTGATCAAAACGAGTAAATGTTTCATCTAAAAACATTTTTTTTAACCCTTTGGGGGTCCATTCAAAACACAATGTCACTAATAAAAATCAGTCATTTTCCTCCCATTTTTCCCCAATATAAGTGACTATGTTTTAAATGGGTCCTTAAAAGGTTAAAATTTGGATTCTTAATGAAACATTTACTAGTTTTGAATAGAGCAGAAGTTAATTAAGAGATATATTTTTAAAATCTGGAAAAAATATGAATCCAATATGTTTTTACAGCAGTCAATGTCAGTGGCTGTTATCAGCCACTGGGCGTTAAGAAAGGATGTAAATCTAAGGGTTACACAGTCATAAATCCTGCCCTTTCATGGTAACAAATATAACATGGTTAAACTACAAACTTAAAACATACAAATCAATTGTTTTCATACTTGTGCTCTGTTATCACAGTTCTCATTATGCTGATTTTTTAATTTTTAATTATTTATTTGATTTAAAACATATTACTGATTGAATGCTGGTTTCTGCAGCATTCTTCTCGAGATTATTAGAAAGCAAAAGGACAGTGAGGGAAAATGTAAGAAACAAACAAGAGTCTCTGAACTTTCTCGGGGGTGTAGTTTATGCAGTCAGTGATGTAAACGAGCAAGCTTACAGGCCAAATATATGGGCCTGTGGAGAATACAGACATTATAACTGATTTTTTTGGCAGCTTGCCTACCTTATCAATGGTAGAAATAAGTTTGATATTTCCTTTCTCTAAAAGCGCTTTCAGTTCATTATCAATTGTTATCACCTAAAGTGCCACAGAAGTGAGAGGCAATAAATAATAACACATGGTGCATTGATCACTTAAAGGGATATTCCAGCATAAATTTAGGTTATGGTCAAACACACCGTAACCCAGAGTTAGACGTCCCCCGGAGAGATGAATGTTGCCAACTGCTTGCTTCTCTAGTTATGCCAACTTTAGTAACGACCGCAGAATAGCAATACACAGCAATCTGAGAAGCCATAAACAAACCTCAACCAAAAGAGTGGCTTTTTGGTTGAGGTGTGCATGTGGAGACTGTGTATTGCTATCGTGCGGTTGTTGCTGAAGTTGGTTCAACTAGAGAAGCAACATTCATCTTTCCAGGGGGTGTCTAACCCTGTGTTATGGTGTATTTGACCATAACTTAAACTAGGACCCCGTTGGGGCACTGGCGGGCCCGAGCTGTGTCGCGTCCCCCCCCCAACGCGCTGCCTCCCCGTCCCATTTGTGTCCTCTGGCCATCGCCCTCTTTGGTAACGCCCATCACTGCAAAGACCCTTTTCCTTCATCGGCGTTTGCTGTTCTTCCTGCCAGTGCGTGTTGCTTTCACTTACACTTGCCACAGCCAGCCTCGTGAGTGCCTAGCCTATTGGATATCACTGTCACCTACACAGGACAGTCATTACCTTTCTATTAATACTTTGTTTTTTAATTTCACATTAATTTCCAAATTGTATAAACGACTGGAAAAAACTTGAGCCCCTGCCTCTGTATAATCATGTGCATGTCTCTGTTCTAGCTCTAAGGTAAATCTTCACTGCTCATGTTCTCCTCAGAAGCAGTCACCTCACTCCCCTCAGGTTACTGTACACATGCACCAACTGCCTGCTTCAGGTTTGGATGGAGCTTCATGGTTGTCTTTTGGAGAAATGAACAGTCAAGTTGTGTTTGAAATTTGATTTTTTTCAGGGGCAAAAGGAGCCTCTGCATTCTTGTCAAATATGTAAATAGCATGTTTTTGCAGGTGCTACAAACCAGACTCTGAGTGTGTGTGTGTGTGTGTGTGTGCGTGTGTGTGTGTGCGTTCAAGTCACATGACATATTTAACCGGATGTAGCTGCAAGACGGAGCCTCGTTGACTCTCCATTTCAATTTATCTCAAAAGTGAGGACCTCAACCTATATACCAGTTTTTAAATTGTGTTGATAGGCCAAATAAAACCAGAGTTATGATAAATTATGTCCGCGATACTTTTTTTCTGCTTATTTTGATCACGTTCGGCGCTCGATCGCGCTGTATGAGACAGGAAAACATAGCATGCAGACATTAGCGACAGGTCTTACAGGCGGAAAAGGCTTGCCAAAAGAAAAAAAATACACACCACAACATCTCTCCTATTGGTGGAAAACTTCACCACAACAACCAATCCAAAATTATATGGTGACTGATTGACAAGGGGCGGGAACTTACGTTCTTCCTGCAACATGAGAAGGGAGGGAGGGACTCTCAGCAGGGATGCAGTCTGGGACACGTAGTTGCAAACCTAGCGACTTTGTTGTTAGATTCAATGACTTTTCAGACCCCCTAACGACTTTTTTTTTAGAAAGAAAGGGACTTTTATCGACTTCTTCTGGAGTTTAGAGACTCTGACATGAAGCAGGCTTTCCTTACTGAGGAGTTAGCAACGCTGCTAAGGGTGCAGAGCCACACATGCGCTCCGAGCTCTGCATGGGAGACTGAAGCTGACAGAGCTGCAGCAGTTAGCAGGTTTCACCCTCAGAGACCACCAGGGGTTCATGTTGAGGCATTTTAAATTTTTTTTTTTTTTTGCCATAGACACTGTCAGCACAATCTGCAGTTACACTAACAAAAATGCTGCAAAAAACAAAGAATTATGGAAAAATTACACATGGACTGACATAGAGGAGGATCTACACAAGTTTTTTACATCATGTTTTACATCATGCATCATTTACATCATGTTTTTTTGTAGTGGCATAAATAAAAAGTGACATTTGTGAGACTATACAGTGTTTTGTAAATGATTTTACAAAGAACGCCTGGGCCATTGCCTGCATTTTGATGTAAATAGAGGTAAATTACTATGTTCTTTGTTAAAAATTTGCATATGTTTTGAAGTTTACAATTTTTATTTGAAGTTTAAGTTTTAAAAACAGTTCATCACACATATTTGTGTTTTAATTTCACATTAATTTCCATATTGTATAAATGACTGGAAAAAACTTGAGCCCCTGCCCCTGTATAATCATGTGCACGTCCCTGTTCTAGCTCCAAGGTGAATCTTCACTGCTCATGTTCTCCTCAGAAATAGTCACCTCACTCCCCTCAGGTTACTGTACACATGCACCAACTATCTGCTTCAGGTTTGGATGGAGCTTCATGGTTGTCTTTTGGAGAAATGAACAGTCAAGTTGTGTTTGAAATCGGATTTTTTTCAGGGGCAAAAGGAAGCCTCTGCATTCTTGTCAAATATGTAAACAGCATGTTTTTGCAGGTGCTAAAAAACAGACTCTGAGTGTGTGTGTGTGTGTGTGTGTGTGTGTGTGTGTGTGTGTGTGTGTGTGTGTGTGTGTGTGTATCCTGCAGTACTCTGTACTCCTGCAGTGGCCAAAAAGACTTTTAAGAATGTGGATTTTTGGGTCATCTTTGGCGCCCCCTAGAACTGCAGTACTCTGTACTCCTGCAGTGGCCAAAATGACTTTTAAGAATGTGGATTTTTGGGTCATCTTTGGTGCCCCCTAGAACGTAAACCGTGGGGTGCAGCGTCATGATTTTTACAACTTTGAATGGGCATGGGGTGTAGATTGCCCTGAGCAAATTTGGTATCGGTGGGACGAAAGCCTTAGGAGGAGATAGCCACATTCCAATGTGTGCGAATCGGCAAAAAATGCGAAATAGCCCTTTAACCGTACATTATACAGATACGCGCTTTTTGACTTTTTCGTAGATCTAATTGAGATACACGTGATTGTCAATTTTTGTGTCAATATGACAAAGCGTTCAGGCATGACACTCAACAATGTGTATTTTCATGTAAGGGGACAAGAAAAAATGGACTTTTTTCTCCTGCCATGGGGGGGCGCTCTTTTAGGGAGTAAAAATTCCTTCACAAATGTGTTGATGGCTGGACATTGCATCATCCTAGAAAACTTGGAGGCCAGTGAGGACAAAAATAAAAAGTTATAAGACTTTTAAAAATGTGGATTTTTGGGTTATCTTTGGCGCCCCCTAGAACATAAACCGTGGGGTGCAGCGTCATGATTTGAATAACTTTTAATGGCCATGGGGTGTAGATTGGCCTGAGCAAATGTGGTGCCGGTGGAACGAAAGCCTTCGGAGGAGTTAGCGAAATTCCAATGTGTGCGGATCGGCAAAAAATGCGAAATAACCCTTTAACCGTACATTTGACAGATACGCCCGCACTGACTTTTTTGTAGATCTTATTGAGATACATGTGTGTGTCAATTTTTGTGTCATTTTGACAAAGCGTACAGGCGTGACAGTCAATAGTGTGAATTTTCACCTTAGGGGGCGCTATGGAGCCATTTTGCATTTTCTTGTTTGGGCGACTTCGGAATATCAAATTTTTCACCAGGCCCGGTCGTCCTGCCAAATTTCATGAGTTTTCGCCAGTGGGAAGTGGGCCATTTTCCAGTTCAAAGGGGAGGAAAAAGAAAAAAGAAACAAAGAAAAACCACTTGGGGAATAATAGGGCTCTCGCAGCTGCTTAGCAGCTACGCTCGGGCCCTAATTATCGCTGGGATATCGCTTTAAGTGCCACAGAAGTGAAAGGCATAAATAATAACATATGGTGCATTGATCACTTAAGGTAGACTAGATTGAGCCAGTTGGATCTGCCCCCATGCAGTCACAGCAGTTACTCCCTCTTTATAGCGGCTTCTGCTGTTATACCTCTCAGAGTTTTATTAACAGTGTTTTATTCGTCTCTCTTTTTTGTGTGTCTCAGAGCGCTGTCAGCAGGAGATAGACTCAGTGTTGGAGGGGAAGGATCGTGTCACTTTTGAAGACAGACACAGTATGACATATATGCAGGTGAACCATCATTTCATTTTTATCCTACATAGTTATTTACGCCTGAAGAGCCATATTTATTAAAACACAACAGTAATCTGAGAAAAGCAGGGAATGATGAATAAATGTTTTTAGGTTTCTAAAGTCATGCTGCCTTGTTTTTGGTGCATTGCTGGCAGGGCTCACACTGCAACCTGACTAATCTTAAAAAAAAAAAAAAACTTTTCTTTCTTTTCTGCCTGAAGTCAGGGAGTAAAATTATGGTTTTCACTCTATATAGGCTGTGATCCATGAAATACAGAGAGTAGCCAGCACTGTTCCCCTGAGTGTTTTCCACTGTACAACTGCAGACACGGAGCTCATGGGATACTCCATTCCCAAGGTAAGATACAGCTGGTTTTAATTCACGTTTGATCAGGGTTTTCTTATTTCCCTGATTCTGAGTGGTATAGGGGCTGTCAGTGGAAGTTTCATTGTTCTTCAGTCTCTCAACATTTATGTGCCCATGGTCTCAAAATTGAGTGTGGTCAGGCACTGCTATCAAAAAACTGGTCCAAGTCTAAAGTCGGTAGCTCTAATTGCTGTTCTTCTTTTCTTATCTTTTCTTTTCAGGGTACATTGATCATCCCAAACCTGGCTTCAGTTTTAAATGAGGAGGGACAGTGGAAATTCCCTCAAGAGTTTAACCCTGAAAACTTCCTCACTGACAAGGGAGAGTTTTTCAAACCGGAGGCTTTCATGCCTTTCTCTGGAGGTATGTCAGCATGATAAATGAACCATTGTAAGATCTTTATTGTGACTAAAGAACCTGTGACTTTCACAGACAAGTTGGGATCAATCAAACTGTTATAGATGACTTTGCATTCCCCAGGTCCTCGTGTATGTCTTGGTGAGACTCTGGCTCGTATGGAGCTTTTCCTCATCCTGGTGACACTGCTCAGGAAGTTTAAGTTCAGCTGGCCTGAGGATGCAGGAGAGCCAGATTACACACTGGTCTTTGGAGCCACCCAGACTCCCCAAAGATACAACTTAAAAGTGCAACTAAGGGCAGAACAATAGAGGGATATGCGGACACAACTAATCTATTTTTTATTTGCAGGTTTGATGATTTAATTTTTTTTTTTAAATAACTTGATAATCATTTACAAAAAGCAAAACAGAGCTAGTACTTACTTGGCTATACAAAACAGTTTGTTGTCACATCAGTATCATTATTTGCCTTAACAGTTTACATCATGTGCAGAGCTGTCCTATGTCCATGTTTCAGCAGTACATTGGTCCATGACACATAAAAATCTTCTGACAAGTCCTGGTGTTGAATGTCTGTGACATGACCATAACATTATAAGTATCCAGAGATTTCTATTAAGTTTTTCATCCAAAAAGTTACTATTTTTTGATGGTAGATGTCTTGGAAACTGTTAACTCATCTTTTTAGTTGGATGCTTGAACCACAGAACTGACAGTGAGTACTGGTCATAAAACCTCACCCTGTTGGTTTAGAGTCGGCTTTAACCTTTACGACAACTTGTTAGTTTTGATGAACAAGGAAAATAATCTGAAAAGGTGGTCTATTTTTAGATAGAAAAATGGCACAGTATTAAACTTGGGAGGTTTAAAATTGCTTTAGCCAAGTGAGTCTGATCTATTCTCTAATATTGTTCCAGGTGAACCCGTGGTGGGGACAGAAAAGGAGTCCATCATGATCATTCTTCATCCCGGAAGACCGGGGGTTAGGGTTGATTGCTGTGAGAATCATCCCAGGGCTGCTAACATTAAGCACCCGCTCATGTGTCCACCCTGATAAGAAGTCAATTTCCCATTCTCACTGTTGCTTTTCTATTCCCATTGTTAGAGACGAGAATTGACTTTCTGTGAACTTTTGGTCATTAATTGACAAAGCAACCTCCCCCTATTGCTATACCTTAACCTGCCCCCTATTATTCATGTAGTAACCTTGGTTTCCTAGCAGTCAGAAGCTCCTGGGGTTCTTGTCAATGTAACTACCAACACCATGGCACTTTGAGTCAGAAGTTAAGTGGTTCATGGCTTTACTATAGCACCATTGCTAACTGACACCCTTAGCTTATCAAAGTCTACTAGATGTCAGATTTCTCAATCAAGTTTACAAGGTTTTATTTACATGTTTATGAAATAATGTTTTGGTATTACAGATATGATTGTCAGGTACACTCTGCTCTGAAGCTGTATGTCCTGGGTCCAATGATTAAAAGGTTCAGTGTGCGATCAAAATAGCTGTTCCACCTGCTACCCCACAGGTCTGTAGCGCTTTATTAAAAACTCTGCTTTTTAACCTTCACCTTAATGCAGTTGTCTTTTTATTTATTTTTTATTTTTTTGTGTGTGTATGAGTTCAACCCAGCAACTGAAAAACAGTACAGCTATCTCTTCAATGTTACAAGTGTTTGTCAAACAAGACTGGACAGATTTACAGTCCAATTACCATCTACAATAATCTAATAAAGCTCAGCTAATATTCTGAGCTACATTTTTCTAACCAAGAAACAAAGAACAAATCAAGAGACTCATCAGTTATCTATTGCTAGCAACAACATGACATGTTACTCTCCTGTGCACTAATTGAGGAAACACCAAGACTTTTTACCCCCAACAGTCAGACATTGAAAATATAAAGTCAAAATGCATTTTTCAAAAATAGACATTCATTCAGCCAGCAAATCATGTCTAAATCTACTTGTGTATCCAATCATATTTACCCAAGTGGTTATTTCAATGGAATAAAAGTAATCTGAAATGATATTACAACAATCTTTACCCATTAGAGTCAAGACATTAGGGTCTCCCTTCTTCTTCAAACTGTTTAAGTTACTTGAATATCAATCACTGCACTGACAAATTATGCCCCTTTAAAGAAGACAGTCTACACCTCTCACCACATTGAAGTTGTACCAAGACTTTTAACAGAGCTGATCTGGAAAGGAATTATGTTACTCCATATCAGACTGACAAGATCCAGGCACCCTGAAGCTCAGAGGAGTGCTGCCTCCATACAGTGCCCATGGCAACCATACAGACTCTTGAAACATCACCTTGTCTTTGGGTTAATACAGATAATTAACACCAAAAGCATTCAAAGCAAAAAAAACAAAAAAAAACAAAACAATGACATAACGTCTTTCACACGTATACGTTTATTTGCCTAAATTCAACCACAGCCTCACACAGGGGTTAAGGAAATAATGTTACTGAACCTTTTTTTTTTTTCACTGGTTAGAAAAGGTTTTGGAAGACATTGCTTCACTTAAACCAGTAATTACATTTAATGTTAAGGCAGTTAAACCTAAAGCCACTGTAAGATCTACGTGACTGGTTATAAGCAGTCTGAAATTGACAGTTTTACCTATACATGGGATGAAAAGGCGTAAAAGATTATCAGCAACAAGATTGACAAATTCTCTATTATAATTTTTAATGTCTAGGAGAGCTGTAAGCAGGTGCAACAAATTGGCATGTATAGTACAAGATCTGCTGAGCTTTAACATGTACATCTTTGTCCATAAGAGGTCACCAAAATCAAAACAAGCTACATTTTCCTTACATAAGCTCTCCATTTCTCTTATATTAATAACCCCAGTACATCATCTGTATCCACTTGCATACATATTTAGGATTTAGTTTGACTAGTTATTTACAATTCCTGCAAATTACTAAATGAGCATTTGGGGTTTTTTTGTGCTGCAGTAACAGTTTTATGCCCGGTATATAACACCTTTACTTTTTAATATTCATTTAAATTTATTGTTAGAAAATCTGTCCTCTGAAGACATTTTTGAATCTCTTAGTTTAACTTTTATTGCAGTTTTTGTTCTTCAGTTAAGTGTCCAAATGGTTCCTGGACAGAATCTTTCTCCTCTGTAGTGGGACCAGCAATCCCACTTCTGAAGCAACACTGATCACTTTTGTGAGCTAGTGTAATGTGTATATTTGTTACTGTGTTAGTGTTAGTTTTTAGCAGTCATGGTGTGACTGCAAAAACAGTACATTATATCCACTGCACCACTGCATTAATGCATCTATCATTATCCTCAGAAATGATCAGCAGTCTGCCTTTTCTAACCTGCACGGTTCAGTTTCCTCAGCAGCTTTTTGATGGAGTGGGGGGGCAGCGGTGCATTATTGAAGCTTTTGTGTTGATGCTGTATTGTTGAACTGGGCGGTCACTTGATTGTCAGCTGGAGGCCGGGGGGTAGAGGTGGGTTTGAATGTGTGACCGTGTGTGTGCTGACGTGGACCTTCTGTGGTGGCATTCATTTGGATGACTGGTGTGGCAGGAAGGACAGAAAGAGGAGAGCAACAGCAAAGAAGAAACTAAGAGGGAAACAAAAATAGATCAAAGTGTATAAAAAGGCTGAGAAAAAGAGAAACAACAAGGGAAAATAAAGAGTGGGAATAAAATATAAGGTGAGACTGTTTTTACGAGGACCTACAGGAACCATTTGACCGACTAAAATGGAATCAAAGAGACTGAGACAAACTTGGGATTATCAGTGACGGATCATCATCAGTGGGATTTATCAAAAATGGACTAGCTTTGGAGTTTCCACATATACACACATCATTTACACACACAAACACTCACACTTACACATATTACACACACACACACACACACACAGATTTGTTTTTTTAGCAGTCTTGGCATTACACAGGTGTCAGTATGCAGGAGTCTCCAGGTGCAATGGGAGTAGATGGCAGCTATGCCAGCAATGTTCCAGCCTTTCTCACCAAGCTGTGGACCCTGGTGGAGGATCCAGAAACCAACCATCTCATCTGCTGGAGCGCTGTGAGTCATCTTTACAACATGCTGTACTTTACACCATAACAGCTCCGTGAAGAAGGAGGTTTTACACTTTACACAAGAGAATAATGCAAGTAGGCCGAAGTCTTTCTCCCCTCGTTTTCTTTATCTAGCTCTTCCAGTATTTGGGATCAGTTCAATGTGATCAGTTTATCAGAAAATGTGGCTTTAACCACTTGTCAATGATTATTTGTGTCCCTGCTAAAAATGGCTTTAGATCTCAGCCTAAGTAGAAACAGGCAATATTTGAGAGAGAGCAGGGAGAAAACAATAAAATCCATGACCATTTTCCCAAGACTGACCGGCAAACTCACAGGTTTTTAGCTCAGGACAGCAAACACCAAACTTTATGGTATTTGTGAACTTGAACAATTAGGATTATCAAGTTGTTCACTTCAAGTCATGAAAAGATGAGAAGATATTAGCTGGAAGTCAAATCCACAGAATCAATAGTAAGGGTGAGACTTTCCAATACGGGTGCATTTTTCAAGAACTAACGAAGAAAAGAAATGTATGTTATTAGTCCCTGTTGCTCATCATGATCAAGTTACTATAACTTCAGTCAAAGAGTACATGTTTAATCTATCATTTGTGAAGGTATGTCAGGTCAAACATTGATCAATCTGTGAACAAATGAGCTTTTAAAGAACTGCAGACGACCAACCTCAGTTTTTGATTTCTGATGACAAATGTGATGGTAAATTCCTTTTCATTAGCCTATACATAAAAAAAAAAAAACTTTTCAACTTCAGTCCTCTAAATCATCTATTAGAAAAAAATCATGTTTTAGAAAACAATTATATTTAACATTGTTCACTGTCCACCCTTGTTTTCCCTTATTTACCTTGATTCATGCCACATGAATTCAAACCAAAATTCATCATGAGTCATGCATTACTTCAACATCAATTTAGCATTAATTAATTTAAATACATGTATCCATATTGTCAAGTGTTGCCAAAGTAAGTCCTAACTCTGCAAAAATATGCATCAAAACCATCTTAATTACATGACTTTATGACTGTTTGTTGTTCAGTATGGTACTGTGGTGTTGGTATGTGGTATTTATCTGCCATTATATATTGTATTACATAGCAATACTTTTCTATTACCTTGAAATAGATGAGAAAGGGCCAAACAACACATCTCTAACACCAACAGAACCATTTGGTTAAAGATCTAAGGTGAAAACCACACCAGACCACGAACTAAAGGAAACTGTGCATTTGAGTTTTTTGCTTCAAAACTTTCGTACTCTCTCCCTCGAGAACTAAGAACTGTGGACACTGTGGGTACTTTCAAACAGCGGTTGAAAAACCCATTTGTTTACACTTGCCTTTGTGGAATTTGGCTGCTAGTGCAGGCCTACTTTTGTTGATGTTTATGTCTTGCTGTCTCACCTTTTTTAATTTAATGACTGTGAAGACCTTAATGACAACTGTTCTGGAAAAGTGCTTTACAAATTAAGTTTATTATTATTATTATTACAAAACAAGTGCTGTGAAAGGGCTGAAGGTAGGTTAGAAATCACTAAAGGAATCATACCTCACAGCTGCTTCATCGCATGTTTTTTCTTTAAGCAATGATATTATTAAAATAATAAATAACACTCTACAAGTGTTAAAGTTCAGTAAAGAGTAGCTCCTGACTATTTGACAACACCCAGCGTTTTCATCCTTATACCTTTTCTGAGCCATTGATTGTTGTTTTTATACAATAGCAGACAAAGTAGACCTCCTCGCACATCCTCTATAAAATGTTGCAGAATAAATGTTTTGTTTAAAATGTCAGTAACACAGCCTTGCACTTTTGCTAATACTTGAACATGAAACCCAGTTTACAAACTTGAGTGTGGCTAGACTCACAAGAGCATAAAAATAACAATCATCACCATCACATAAGCATATGAATGAGTTAAAATAACTCGACCAAACAAAATTATGTTGTTTGCCTGCTGTTTTCTATCCAAGGGAAATGCCAAAGGTTCAATATGGAAACTCAGAAATGTTAAGAGAAGTTGAAAAGTTTTGCAAGGTCATGCAAAATAATTGTAATAACACTAGAGAGAAAATTCTCACATAACCCTTTGGAGGGACTTAAGTGACCCAAGTCAAGTTTTTATTACTATAATGATTATAAGTAAGATCAGTGACCTTGAAAGTCAGAGAGGACCGCTACGCAGAGTCCCTAAATAATCAAGAATCACAAAGGGATAATGAAAGTGTAACAGGCAAAGTCAGCTTCACAAGAATATATAATTTAAGACATCAAACTCCACCATTATATTATATAAATTTAACAATAGGTTTAAAAATAGTTTTGAAGACCCTGTGTGCTTTTAGATGCTTTAGAGCAGTCATTTCAAGTGGAAGTGTCAAAATACTTGTTTCAAACCTGTCTGACTTAGTTTGGAAATGAATGTAAGTGTTGTAAAGTCAATATTTACTTCTATAGTTTTCCTTGACTTGAAAGCTGTTACGCTGCTTAAAATGTTCTTTGGTAATGTGTCAAAGGATCTTTGAAACTAGTGCATATTCTCAACAAACACGAAAGGCTGTCTGTGGCATTGAAATTAGTCTAAAGACCACATACTGATTTAACACGTTTGACCTTTGACCTAGTGTCTATGTATACTCAACATTACTTTATTACTATTTACATGAAGAGGAAACATTGTTTTCGAGGTGAATTTGGTTTTGTGGAGATGAAAGAAAATAGAAAATCTCATTGTGGTATTTAAGTGTTATCAGTTTGTCTTTGTGTATCTGCTGAGCAGCTAGACGGAACAAAACATTGATGAAGTCTTGATGAAATGTCCCATTAGTTTTTGAAGAGATGCTCTGAGGTCTAAAGTTGATACCTTTTTGAAAAGGTTCTCTTCAAAAAACAGTTGGCTAACCAGAGATCAGCAAAGAGAAGAGCCCCTGGTTCAGCCTCTGGCAAACAGTTGAAGTATAAAAATCTGATAGTCAAATCAATCACATCACTTATGATGCATGACTCCTGGCCTCAATTAAATAAACTAGATGAAATATTAAATGCCCACCACCACCAATACTGCCACAGGTTGTGTCCAAACTGGTAAGTGTAGCAGGCTATAGATATATTTAATGTAAAAAGGGGCACTGTGTGTGTGGTCACTGTCAGACTCTACTTGTTTTTTTGGTATCAGCCCCAAGTGGACACTTAAGGAATTGCAGTTTTTTATTTATTTATTTATTTTACATGTGCATTGACTTCATTTGTATCATGTAGGGTCAATCACTGTACAATGATGAGGGTCAGTGAGAAAATGGGAGCCAGCAGCTTTTCTGTTTCCTTTGAAGGATGACAAACAAAGAAACAGACTCATGACATGTACAGTCAGTGTGCAGCATCAGCTGTTGCATTGTTAGACTATTAGGTGGTGAGTCAGCATCACAAAGAGACGTTGTCATTAAATAGGGATAATTGATTTTTATATATTTTACTCCTCTGATACAATTAACTCCTAAGCCAAACTGTATGCAGTAACTAACACAATACTGTTTAGAGAGTTAAACAAAGCTTCTGCACCTGCTAGATAATTGTTTTGGGAGAATTAATCTTCCAAGGTAATGGAGGAAGAGAGCGAGAGTGAGAGAGAGAGGAAAACTGAGAGTGTGTTTGACTACAATCCTGAGCTGAATTTGGCTGCATATGAATAGACTACTCAATCCAGGGAAAGTATTACCTTACAAAACAACTTTTATCAGACAGGCAATATTTGCTTTCAAACATCTATCTGTACAAGTATTTGCTTAGCTGTGTTTAAAAAATTGACCGAGAACATTATCACTGAAAAGATGATTTGAGCAGCAGTTGGAAAGGCATCACAAAGAGATTATCTATTCTCAGTCCTCTTAAGAGACCTGAGTGCACATCAAGCACTGGCTGTGAGCAAGCGAAACCACAAAAGAGCTCATTAGAATCCCAAAAGGGCACAGATGTAAATCACTGCAAACAACTCATGCAGAATAATTCATAAACTGCAAAAAAGTGTGTGGCCAACAAAGCATTTTTACATTTACATGTGTTATTATTATTATTCAAGTTTAGACTCTCGATCTCTTGTTTTGGTGAACAGTGTTTGTTATCACACAATAGCAGGATAAGAGTCAAGAGTAAACTGTGAGCTGTAACTAAATCTGCTGTGTGGATGTGGTACAGGGTCAGAAGGTTCCAACCTAATCAGATAATTTAATGATCAGAAATCTATTGGTACAGTGTGCCATTTTATCAGAGCCAAGCTTTCACTTTGATTGTGTCTCCAACAGGTCAGAGATCACTTATTATCATCATCAAAAAAAAAGAAAGTAAGAGTGTCAAACTGTCATTTTGTCTAATCATGTTAAATCTGTAGGTAATTACAAATATTGATTACATTTTTAAACCTGAGTTCAAAGCTTCTATGAGGACCTTTTTATGCTTATGAAACAGACTGAATTTTATATTATTGCCTTTTTTTGCATATACAAAAGCAAACAAGACCATAGACAATGACACTGGTTATTTTTATGCTTTGCTTGTTGCCTGAAACCTGAGCAAGGTATAGGTGTCACTTTTACATTTTCACATATTAGATGATTAATGATACATATGACAGTCAGAAGTAGGCAGGGTTAGGTTTTTTTGTCTCAACAAAATCATGTTCACCAAGGGCAAGATAATTGTGGACTGGTTTGTCCATGGGAAGCACTAAAACTGACACAAAGGGTCCCTTAGAAGAGCTTTAAATGTTATTATTTTCATCCCAAAAACAGATTTCAAATGCAAATAAATCTCTCTCCCATGTCTTGAAACAAATGCCTGAATTACATGACCGATATTTCTGGAGTTCTGATTCAGTTGCTTGTTCTCTACCATACAAGTCCAGTGTGGAGGACTGCAGGCCAGGAATACATGCCCTCTACAATTGTCTGTGGGTTTTTGTGATGTTCTTGTAAACTTAGCTTATAGGTGGTTACTTTGGTGATATCTTCATTCACAAAGTGATAAAAGTTAAATATTTGAGTTGTTAGCTAAACCATCTGAGAGTTTTATTGGGTAAAATGTGCCGATCAACGCAAAGTGGTGTCATTATTCTTCATCACATTGACAACAAAAAGTTAAAAGTTGCTACCTTAGCCGAACTATTGCATTCCAACAAAGACAAAGTAGTACTTGGTTAAAAAAAAAGTAATACCATCAAAGTATAATCTTTGTTCTTCATGAGTGCTATTTAAAACTAACATGTTTACCACAGTGTCAACAGGTGGAAATGTGCCATACTTTTCCAGTGTTTGAATTTTATTATATGAAATTTGTGATCCGATATTCTCCAGTCTAACTTCTGCTGTTAAAAATCATTTCATAATGTTTTGGTGTAAAAAGTAATCAGTAAAAAGTAAATAACACAGCAGGGTCATGATTAATAGTTCATTTCACAGTTCAAACTTGAATACACATTCAAGAGCTCAAACGTATTGGAGGTGACCTTTCTTGACTTCTCGCCCCTGCCTCTGACAGAAAAACACCTTTACATATTAACTTGTTAAACTCTTGTAACTGTTTTATTTTCCTGTGCTGTGGTTAAAATTACAATAGCTAATTTCTTAAATGTTTGTCTGATCCTGTATTTGAGGTAGAAAGATACATCTTTGTTGATAAAATGTTTTTGCAACGATAAGCAATTAAAGGAGACTGAGGTCAAGCTGTGGTGTTGATTGTTTGTATAAAATCTAGTATTGTGCTGTACTGAATGGAGTTTGCCTATCTCTCTGTTTTAGACTGGGACAAGCTTTCATGTGTTTGACCAGGGACGCTTTGCCAAGGAAGTCCTGCCAAAGTATTTTAAACACAATAATATGGCAAGCTTTGTTCGACAGCTCAACATGTGTAAGTACTCTCTGTTTATCTCTTTTTTTCCCTCAAAGTATGTTCTTTTAATTAGTGTTTGTTGTATTTGTATGTCTGTGTGTATAGATGGTTTCCGTAAAGTGGTGAACATTGAGCAGAGCGGTCTGGTGAAGCCCGAGAGAGACGATACAGAGTTTCAACATCTGTATTTCCTCCAGGGACATGAACATATGCTTGAACATATCAAGAGGAAGGTATGACACAAAACGCAGCTAGTGTGTACCACATAGACTGTATATACCATAGACAGCTTGGCTTTGCCTTCATCATTATACAAATTTGAAGCCGAATTGCTCTCAGTATTTCTGGGATTTTCTCCACTTCCTGGAACCAAGAGTCACTGTGATGACACTCTGCTCAAACAGTGTATCCCTAAGTGAGCCATGCAATCTTCACACGCCCATAGGCTGTATCAAGTGTCAATCATAGAAAACATGAACCCCCTCATAATTTTTAAAAACAGAGCTGCATAGAAAAAAAGAGGAATTGAGTAAAAAACAGTCTTTCAGTAACTACATGTCAACATCGCAAACAGGGGGGAGTAATATTAATATTTTCTGTAATAAATCCTGTAATAAGTTTGTACACAGCTCCATAGGCATTGCTGGAGGAGGTGGGATTTATGGCCTATACTGCAGCTCGTCACCAGAGGGTGCTGTTCTTGCGGTTGCTTCTCCCAGCAAGGAGGCAGACAATGTCCATTTTATATACAGCCTATGGTTTACCACCAAAATTGTTTAGTACAAATCAGTGAATCGGAGAGTAAAGTAGCCTCAAGCAAAGCTTTCACTAAATGACTGTAAATTTACTGGTGCTTCATCTCTTGACTCACACAGCAAAATATCTTGAAGCAAAATTCTCTGTAGCACCTTTAATAGGCTCATATCGCAGGCATCTCCTCCTAAAGCAGCTCTTGTGTCTAATAAGAAACAGAGTTAACAGAACATATTTGTCATGACATTAAAAGCACCAATATTTGGTTAAATCACTGTCAGTACTTCAAAAAATTTTTAGCTCTCATACAACCTTTGCAGCATGAGGAGAGAGGTAAAGGACTACAGATTAGCTGTCCCATCTGACCTTATAGAGATAAGTACATCATCAAAACTGCAAAAGTGAAATTTATGCCAGTGAACATAGAGCAGCAAGGAAGATATTCAAGGTAGAGAATAGAAGTCAAAATGATTTTATGGAGCAGATTATTCAGGTTGAGTTGAAGATCTTGCAACAATGTTATGTACTTTCTCTTAAGAAGTTACAGAACCAAGTGGTGCTCTTTGTGTTCAGGTGTCCATAGTGAAAAGTGAAGAGACCAAAGTTCGTCAAGAGGACCTCAGTAAGCTGCTGTATGAAGTCCAGCTCCTCAGAACACAACAGGACAACATGGAGTGTCAGATGCAGGACATGAAACAGTGAGTGGAAAGGGTTTGCTTTGTTTGTCATGGCCCATCAAGACCTCAGCTCTCTCGTTCAAGTCCATTCTCTCTTACCAGTGTTATAAAAAGGGTTTAAATTTTACCACATGGTGTACCAGCAGCCTCATCATGATCTAGCTGACATGACCAAATTAGTGGTCTCTTTCAAAACAGGTGGTTACCCAAATCTGGTCTGACAAAGTTTGAATACAATGTTCATTGATTTAAAAAGTCACAAAGTAGTCTTCCTTGTAAACTTGTTCTTTTGACAGGTGATTTGTTTTTCTCACTGGGAAAATTGTGGTCCTTTCTTCATTTAAATGAGAAGAAACTAGAATAAGTTATGGTGCTTTATAGTTTGGATGCACATCTGAGGAGAAAACAGATTGTTATTCCTCTTGCTAAGTTGGAACAAATCATCCACCGAAACTGAACTGACTTTTTTCTCTGGAGGCCATTGTTGCTGAAAATAGCTGCTGTGTGTCATTGTGTGCCGGAGCTGCTTTGTGCTGAGTATTGTTTGCTAATGAGAGGAGAGAATGTTCACCTGCTCACCTGACTAACACACACACTCACACAGGCATACACACATACACATGCACACACCAATGACACTATTCTTGGAACCAAACGTACGCAGGTACACGTGTAGGAACAAGAGAAAATATTCCACAAGGCTCTTGTCTTTTATATCTGTGTTGTTGATAAAAATACGTATGGAAGTCTTTGTCAAGATAATGATGAACATTATTAATGTTTATTGTGTTACTTAATTCTTTAAAGGAGCTCCTGTCATAGAGCTCGAAAAGCAGAGGGGATGCTGACTAAATGATGTTATTTTTGATCCATAAATATATTCTTTCAGCTTCCAATTCGGCTGAGATCTTCTGTCCTGCAACAAGATGCAGAAGCAGGAAATATTGACTGAATCCACTAAAAAAGTCAGCAAGCTAATGTATTAGTCTTACTGCTGGTAAATGAAAAGAAAAGTCTGTAAATCAAAGCCACATTCCCATTAGGTCCACATTGATGCCTTATATCAAGATATTGCAAGCAAAACAATTTAGACCTGGATTCCTTATATGAGTAAGATCTTTGCCACTACATACAAAAAATGACTTGTTTTGACTATAATGTCTGAATTAAAAAAAAAAAAAAAACTTTTTTTTTAATCCATTCGCCAGTTTTTCAACTGTTTTTCTTGGCTTGCAGTATCTCGAAATAGACATTTCTCTGAATTTGCCAGGTCCATGTGTTTAAAATTAATGCTAACTTCAGTCTGTTTTCTTTTTACCAGAATTACGTTAAAGCCCCTGATTAGTTTCAGTTTCTTTGCATTGTACAAATGAATGTAATTGACCAAAGGTAAGATTTGCATGGAGAGTTACACAAGGCAAGCACTGTTCAGGGCTTTAAGTGAATCAGGAATCAACTTCTTTGTTAGCCTTGACGCAACACTTTTGATTCCCAGAATTACTGAATCACTTTGTTTTTTTGTCAGTCTGTTTGTCACCACAGAGAGGAACTAGACTATTTGGGCTCTCAGTGTAAGATTACAACATTATCTGCAAGGGGGCTTAGTCAAGGTCACACCAGACACAAATATTGACTCCACATAAATCAAACACTTAACTGCACAAAACAACAATAAAAATCTGTGAACACAGACATCAACAACACAAGCAGTAAGTAAGAACTGTATGGGGTGCAGCTGGCTTAGAGGTCTACTTGCACACCCCATACAGAGGTTATACCACAAACTACTGGCTCGCATTTGCTCTAGGCCGTTGCACCTTACTTGCTCTGTATCCCATTTTCCTTCTCTGACTACTGTCCTCTCCTCTCCAAATAAAAGCATATGTATAGCCCCAAAATCAGTCTGGAAAAAAGGATTGTATGTTTAAAAACATAGAGCCCCAAACCTTACAAACCAGGCACAAAACCTTTAGGGAGATAAAACACGTGGTTTAATTGGAATGCTTAATTGTTCCCTAACACAGGAATGGTCTTTAGAATTAGCTACACTGTTTTATGTTATCAGTTCTGACTTAAATATAAATGTAAATCCCACTGCTGTGATTAAATAGAAAATAGAAAACCCTTCTTAATACAGAAACAGTGCACATATTTCCAACGCTAAGAAAGTCTTCTTTCCATAATACTTTAGATAGACAGCCTTTTTGCAATCAGTGTTGTAGTTACCAAACAATGAGTCTAAGTCGGCGTTTAAGTCCTCAGTGTTCAAATCCAGGTCACGTCCACATTACGTAAGAGCAAGGAGAGCTCATTTTTAGTATTTATTACAAACAGGGTAGCAGTCTCACTACAAACTGTTGTTTGCATGACTCGGGGAGTTTTTTATTCATTAACAGTCCTGGACCCAGCGGCTGAGTCACTGACAGTATGACGATTTTGCTAGCAGTAACATAATCTACATCCCTGTAATTTCCAAAAACTAAAATTTTTAACTAAGTGCATGACTCATAGAACCCCTTTCAGCATCCTGGCAGGGTCTGTTGCAGTACCAGACAGCGTGGTCTTACGAGCCCTTTCTCTTAATGGAAATAATTAATAGGGCCCTAAACAAAATAACAACTTTCACTTAACTTAGTAAAACACTCTTCATCACAAAATATGTTAAAGTCATCCTCTCAGTCTGCTGAGCGCTGCAGTCATTGCTCAGATTTGAATAGTCCAAGTCCCTGATGCTCAAGTATAATCATGAGTCCTGAAAATCTGGACTTGGGGCTTCCTCTGGTACTTCAGCAGGTTGCAGTTATGTATAATTTAATGTATCACCGTGCAGTAACACTTCACTTTACTTGCAATTATCAGGTCTCATATCATTCCTTTTTTGTATATATTCCGTATATATTACTGCCTTTTTACTTTTCTTTTTCTTTCTCATTCTTTACTTATCTTGTGTTGGCTTTCATTCTACTATTTATTTTTTTACTGTTACCATTGCTCTGCACCAAAGGGGGTGGCGCTCAAATTTCGTTGTACTGTGTACAATGACAATAAAGGCGATTCTGATTCTGATTCTGATTATCTGACTTGGGGGCCAGTGGCTTGAGGCGACATTAGTCACATCTTACATAAAATTTCTAGATCTCAGACTGAACTAGTAAGCTCCACTTGCATTGTGGGTGGTGTAATGTTGGCTCCAAAGTAGGCACGGTAGATGAACAACCCAATTAAAGAGACAGCAGCTTTGGTTCTGCCTCACCACTTTTAATACTCAGAGAGAAACAGTGTCTATCATGAGGCAATATTGTTTAAATAATGCAGCACAGCAGCAGCAGAACCATCTTTAGGGTTTACAGTGGATTCTCTTAATTGGCAGGTCGAGGGATGAACCGGTTTTTAACTGGTTAAGAATTCAGAGACTTTTGTGCTTTAAAACTTCATCACGAGAAAACCATTTAAAAAAATAATGACAAGGGCGGAGCAATTCCGATCGAATGAGTGCCTGTGAGACTACGATAGTGAAAATAAGAATAACAAAAAAAATGTAACAATAATTCTTTCTAAGTAGTCTTTTTTGTTTTTATTCTTTATTTGTCTACCATTTACTGACTAGTTTCCCCTCTCCTCTTTGCAGGCAGAATGAGGTGCTGTGGAGGGAGGTGGTGTCCTTGAGACAGAACCACACTCAGCAGCAGAAAGTCATGAACAAGGTCAGTCTACAAGCATGTGTGCATTTGTATGTTAGACCATGCTCTCTTTAGTAGGTATGAAGTATGTGTGTTCCTGCCTCTTTCCTTGTTTTTAAGGGTTAAATTTAAAGACACATTTTTGTGATATAACTCTTTGAGGCATTATTCTTTTTATATATTATGACTAAAACAACCTGCCAGTAGTTGTGTGAAACTGGGTCTGGTCTTCCCCTGTCATTCATACCATGGGAGTTCTGGGAATGGTGTTGTCTTAGGTTCCTTTTTATTTTTTAATTTAGTTCTTATAAACTCATAGGAACCTAATTTTTTCATGATCTCATAATCAAACTTTGTTCAGTGGTGTTCACATTTTGGGAATCTGTATTCTTAATATCAGCATTTACAGTATGAAATTACTACCAACACTAGGGTGATGCAGTGTGGCCTGAATATAAATAAGCCCTTGTACTGAATGGCAGATTTTTTTTTTTTTAATCAAATACTGTTTTAGATTCATGGTAAAACAATCTTTATTTAATCCCCCTACATTTGATGAACACCAATGGTTACAAGTACTTCTCATTTAATTCTTTTGAAATGTTTGATGTGTCATATTTCCTTGCTTTATCACACTAAAAGTCCTGCATGTGATTGAGTTATGTTGTTGGTAAGACCTCTGGCTGGTTGGACTGCCATCCCTGTGCTCAGTTTTAACCTGAGACCACCAAGATTTATGTTTTGGTTGTCTAGCAACTTTTCATGCAGCTAGACTTGTTCTTGCCGTATTTTTCCTTTACATTAATTTGTTGACATGTTGGCAAGAATTATTACCTTAATGATTTAACACTCTTATTATCTTGCTATTTTATTCTGGTGATAATTACGCTCCTTAAATAAGATTAAAGCTCCTGTAAGGTAGTTTTGTCGATTTTGGCGCCCCCTGTGGTTAGAGTGCTATGCTTCACCTGTTTGCTGATCATGCATCCTGCTTTTTTTTGACTTTCAAATATATCACTTTTTTTTAAACATTTTCCATGCCAAATTTTTTAAAAGGTGTCTTTTGAGAGGAGAGCTTCTTTGAAGGGTCTGCATACTTTCCCCCCTTCTGGTTAACAAGCATTTTATAACTTAAATGAAAAATAATTCATTAGTTATCAGATACTTTCCTGTATCTTTGCTTAAAGTCCAACTGTTCACCATTGTTTAGGCTGGATTGGCATTTGATCAATCAAACCAAACATGTCTTGGAATTTTTAGAGCTAATTTGATCCATTATTGTATTCACGCTGAGACATAATTAAACTGTTGATTTGATACAAACCTTAAATCTTATGCCATGTATATTAATGCATTAGTCAGTGTGAGGACGATGCTGATTCATGCTGTGTCTTTTTTCTTTCTCTTTGCCAGCTGATTCAGTTTCTGTTCAGCCAGATGCAGTCCAACACACCCAGCACTGTGGGCCTGAAGAGAAAGCTGTGAGTTCACACTTCCACACAAACACATGCACACACACGTACACACATACAGCAGTGTAATCAACAAAAGTGAGACAAACAGGGCCACAGTGGGGCAGAGGGAAGGGCTGGCTCAGCTGACAAACTGAACAATCTAACTCAACAAGCGCTGTGAATGGTGACAAGTGCTGAATCAGTCACTCAGACACAAACACACGCACATTCACACACAGTGAAGGCAGAGCAGAGTGCGTGACCCTGCTACAGCCTCTGTGTGCAAAACGCTGGTTCAGCTTTGCCGCTGAGTGTGAACAAGGCTGACATGAGAAAGGAGAGGCATGCTGGAACACAAAAAGTGCTATAGAAAATACATTTCAGGGTCAGTGTAATACCTGGCAAAGGTGCAAATTTTCACCTTGCTGTCATTGCCATGTGTGTCCTTCAAGTTTTCAAAGGCTTTCTAAATTCCAATCACACAATTAACTCATTATTTTTACTGTCACCTATTAGCATCTACAAAGGCTAAGAAAAGTACCTTTAAAACACCTACTGAACAGGACTTTAAGGCTGTGTTGTTAGCTCTGCAAGGTTGCATATTAGGCACTGTGGTGATTTGGGCTAAGTGCTAGCTTCAGCAATAACAACTGCACCATCAGTTTGTTCATGTATTGCCTATTGAAAGCTTCCCATCACCATTTTAGGTTAGACATAAGAATTAAACTTAGCATCACATATTGAGGAACAAAAATATGTACGAACATTCATGAATTCAATACTTTCATTTGAAAGAGTTAAAGTCGATTTTGTCTTAACCTTTAGTGTTCGTTTACTAGAACTTAAGATAAATCATTTTGACTTAATTACTTTTCACAAATAGTGTTATGCATTAATACTTTATGTTACAGCAGCAGCAGCAGCCCACTTTATTGCTTGGCTTTAGTCAGCAGAGATAAACTGCAGTGTTGTAAAGTGATAATAGAAAAGTAGATACTGTCAGATTGATGTACTCAGCCCAATCAAAGTTTAGATTATAGATTATAAACTAAAGTGTGGCATTTGTGCCATTTAGCAACATTAACTGATCTGAAATGCTGAAATCATTTCAAAGATATTCAGCCAATAAAATCCCATTTGTTACAGTTTTTTTAACAATAATTCTGTCACATGCTGTTTTGTTTAACTGACTGAAAAAAACAAAAAACAATGCTTGCTTCAGGCCCCTGATGTTGGATGGTGGCTCTCCCAGCCCCCCTGCCTCCAAGTTCAGCCATACTCATCCAATGGAGGCCATGCATGAGACCTTCTACATCCAGTCAGTGAGTACACCTGAAAATGATTGACCTAATATGTCTTGTATTGTGCGTCAGCCCGGTGAAGTCCAGCACTGATGAGCAGTATTGTAGAAATATCTTTATATGTTCTTTATTGGTTGGTAAAAACGCATCTTCCCCAGAAGAACTCATTATTGGTGCTCTGCAGCCTTTCCCAGTGATGAATTGTGCTGAGAGCTGTAACAAGTGGACTACCGAGCTGCTGACCTTACACACTCAGCACAAATGGTCCTGGCAGCCCCATGCTGTAAACAAAAACTTTGAAGTTACTGGCTGGCCTTTCTAAGTGCTTGGCCATGTTGGGTTTTAGTATTAATCTTTGAGCCAGTTAATTGAGCACATAGCCATTTCTTCTGAGTGATGACCTTCTTCCTGCATTTTAGGACATTATTGTTGCATTTAATCTTAATTCAAAGTGTACTCAAAATTGTGCTTGTTAAGTATGTCACAGTTTATACTTTATGTGGATATGAATCATCTTTAGTCTGCCTCTATCAGTCCTGCTGTATATTTTCCACCACTAGAGGGAAACAGTGTGCAGTGATTGAGAAGCAGCTGTTCTGCATAACTGAGCATATTGTCACAGGCTGTATTTCAAGCACTGGAGTGACTTAAATGAGTTTTTTGTGTGTTAGTGTCTGGAACGTATTCCTAATGGAGAAACATGCTGCCTTTCAAACTACAGGAGCTGCCTAGTTGAAAGGCTGGTAGGAAAAGAGCTGAACACACTGCTTATTGACTTCTTTATTTGTGCACATAAATTGTTAGAAGTTTATCCAGATTTTTCCCAAGCATGACTTAAAAAATGTCATTTAATGGAGAGCTTTGCAGCATTTTACATTACAACTTTGAAGCATGCAAGAATTGACCGTTTTTCATTATTGTTTCCAAATGATAACTGAATAACTACACTGCCTTGGTGAGTTATGGGCCATAACTCACCAGATAACCTTTCTTAAAGAGTGTCATCAGTGGTCTTAAGTTGTGGTTATGAAGTTTATAGCCAAAATCATGTCATTTTTAAGGGCTTTTCCTCTGCAGAGCTCCAGTAGCCCATTAGCAATTCACCTCTGAGTCATGGGTGGAGACAGCACTGCTCTGCACACTCCTCTTCATGCTAGCTTTTAGCCTAACATTACTGCTGTAGTAAAAAAAAAGCAGGTAACATAGGAGCTATTCAGGTCTCAGACACTAATGTCTTTGGGGACATGATGAAAGTGAATATCAGAATTAACTTTCTTATGAGCATTGCAATCCGCTACCACACATGCTTTTTTTGCATTCATCCTCTCTACTTTTCTGAGTGGAACGTGCATAGCGGGGCTCTGGGGTCAGAGCTTCGATTTGCTGCGTAGGAAATCTCACTGAATCTGAGTCTGCCATTTGGGTCTGCCATAGATTCACAGTCATTTGAATGCAGAAATACTCAGAAATGCAATTTCGCACTTTTTTATCTCATGATATGTCCTGTAGCATCAGAAAAATGTCATATGAACATGTAGACAACAGGAAAAACAAGATTTTCATCGGAGTGGGTCTTAAAGTGAATTAGAAACCAACTACTTTGTGAGCCTAAAGGAAGGAGATTATTTAGTTTTAGCTATAGCTTTAGCTTTAGCTGTAAAGAGGTTTGCAGCTACCTCTCCAGCTGGCTTCACTTGTCACTTTTGCTTCAGCTCTTTAATCATTTGTTTCTCCATAAGAAACAGCAGTCATTGTAAAAGAGGGCTTCATAGGTCAGAAACATCAAGCCAAAGTGTAGTTATGCCTCAGTATGAAACTAGAAGGTGTATTGTAGCAGCTATTTAGCTAGAGTATGTAAAAAAAAAAAATATGCAAGAAACTGCAAATTTGTTGCAAAATGGAGGTGGAGCAGTATTTCTGTCTTGTTTTCCTTTGACTAATAACTTCAATTCTAGATCATTGCCTCTGCTGTATCAAAAAAGGAAATGTGAGAATAAGAAGGTTTTCACCATAGACTGTATATAGAATATATAGTATATAATAATAATAATTTAAATAATAATATGAATAAATAATATAGTATACAGTCTATGGTTTTCACAGAAAAGACAGGAAAGAGCAAACACATTACAGTCCTCTTCTTCTTCAGCCATCAAGTGATACAGCTTCCTGCTCTACCAGTGGACTGACCGGAGGACCAATCATATCAGATGTTACTGACATGACTCAAGCCAGCATGGCCCTCCAGATGCAGCCTGATGAGACCAGGTGAATGATAGCATTATAATTTGTCATTATCACTGAATTTCAGCATATATAAATTATTCTTTCAGGATGTTGTTACAGAGATCATGGATACCCTCTATGATAGTATGTACAGTTGTGTATAAGTACTGTAAAGTGAATGTAAACAAGCAAATTTTGGGCTCAATAAAGATGTATTTTACCTGATGTCTGAATACTCACTGTACCTGCAGGACACTAGTAGGCAGCATTTCATTTGAGTCACAATTTTCACCTATACAAAAAAGGGAGAAGTGCATGATGCTAATCAAAGAGGAGCCTGTGAGTCCAGGAGTAAGAGGGCCAGGAAAAGGAGGCAGTGTGGGAGGAGGAGAGGCCGTCGCTTTAACCTCCTCCTGTGAAGTGTGCTCTTCTGAACCTCCAGTCCTTCCAGTTGCAATGGTCCAGTCTGTTCTGGAGGGGAGGGGGTCCATGGTGGAGAGGAGGAGTAAGAGACCTGCTCTGGATCGGTAAGTTCTGGCACAAAATCTTTTGAGATCTAAGAGATTTTCACTTGTACAAAGAAAAGGTGTAATTTGTGAAATGATTGTCCCCGTGTTTCAAGAGTGGAGGTTTCAGATACGGTGGAGAATGTGGATATGAGTCTGGAGGAGCTTCAGCAGCTGCTGCTCAGGAGCCATCAGCAGAGTGCTGTGGAGGCTGGGTCCAGCACTGTCATTGATGTGAGCAGAGCTGCAGTCTATAAAAATGCAAACATATAAAAAACAGTCCACAGCCTTGGATATGACTGATGTTTGAAATTTAAGGCTGGTAGTTTATCTTGCTCTGCTTATACAGCACACAGTGGCCAATGAGTTGAGCTATTCTGCTCTTTCAACCTGCATGATTTCTTTCTTCCTCTCCTTATTGTTTTTCTCTCTCTCCTTTTGTAGCCCTTCAGTTTAAGCCTGCCTCTAACCGAGTGGAACTTCACTGAGATGGAGTCCAACCTCAAATCAGTAAGTCTAATTCAGAAAGAAACTGTAAATAGATAAAAGATGAAAAGCTGCCTGCATTTGTCCATTGCACAGCAGAAAAGGTTTAACACAGGAGAAAAAACTACCAGTGTGATAGTGGCTGACAAGGCGAAACTATCTGCAATGCAAAAGTACAAAACAAATATGCAGAATATATAATATTGTAGATAAAACAGATAAAACCTCTGCTTTGACTGCAGATGCAGTGTAGAACTCACCCCCAGGCCTGGATTACTTCTGTGGTGATGTGTCAGTTTGAGACATATTTCTTCTGTCAGTGTGTTTTTGAATCTGCATCATTCTTGAGCTTTTGTACATTTGCTGTCTGTCCTTTTTCATTTGTAGTACATTTCTACAGATGTATTTCCCATCCACTTCTGCGTGTATCTTTAAATTTGCATAATTCCTGAATTTGCAGCAGAGTTCTCCGAAGATTGAAACAGAATCATTGAAGTTTACTTAGCTTTATTGGCCCCCAAACTGTACAGTAGAGAGTATATATATATATATATATATATATATATATATGTGTGTGTGTGTGTGTGTGTGTGTGTGTTGTGTGTGTGTGTGCGGAGAGAGCGAGAGAGAGAGAGAGAGCATATTGATGGATACACATTCCCTGTACAGTATGGATCAGTATATTATATACATATATATTATATGTACATATATATTATATGTACATATATATATATATATATATATATATATATATATATATATATATATATATATATATATATATATATATATATATATATATATATAAACTAAACTAACTACATTTTTCTTCATTTCCTGAAACCAACATTGTGCAGTAGCGTTGTACGCATTTGGCGGGAGAGTCACCGAAAGTGACACTCGGCTCAAACAGCGTATCCCCTGGTTGAACTACGCAATCCTTGAACGCCAATAGGCTGTATCAGATGTCAATCATAGAAAAGATGAACCCCCTAATAACTTTTAAAAACGGAGCTTCACAGAAAAAAGAGGACTTGGGCATAAACTAGTCTTACAATAACTACATGTCAACATCACAAGCAGGGGGAAGAACAATTTATGTTCTGTGTAATAAATTTCTAAAGTTTGTCCACAGCTCCTTAAGCTTTGCTGGCAGAGGCGGGATTTATGACCTATACTGCAGCCCGTCAACAGAGGGTGCTGTTCTCACAGTGTCTTCACCCAACAAGGAGGCAGACGTTGTCGATTCTTTATACAGTCTAGGGTTGCACTAGAGAGAGCGGACTGAATGGTCGGCTGATTTGGCTGCACAAGCGGCTGTTTTAGCTCCTTGCTCTGGTCGGGGTTTATAACCTTTTGTATTGCATGTGCTCTGCTGCGTGGCACTGCTTCAGGTGGTGAAAAAGATTTGAGGTATTCCTAAACTTTGCAAGAATATGTTCTCAACATAATTTGCAGTGCACATTACTCTGCTTTATGTCTGACCTCAAAAAACCAAAGTACCTCCACACCACCGACATTTTTGTACCAGTGTTGTCGACGATGCCGTCATCTGTTCAGACTTCATCTGCATTTGTGTCGGGGGTAGCACTCATTTTCTTTCTTTTTTTCCTCACCAACAGTGCTGTTGGCTTCCCCTGTTCAAGTGCTATGTTTGTGTGTAGCTGCAGCCTGCTACTACACAGTTGTTTGCTATTTGTTTCTAATTAAGCACATGATTGGTTCAGCACAAAGCGGACCCCAAGCAACTTCCCTTTTCTTCGGCTATCGGTATAGTCTACCAAAACATGGCAGAATGCCAACTATCAAAAAAGCATATTGACCATGTTTTATATTGATACTGAGGAGAAATTAATTTTGGATGTATATCGTTATTGTTTTATCACCCAGCCCTAGGCACATTCAACAGTTCTGGTCAGAAACTAACAATAACTAACAACCTGTGTCCTTGACATCAAAGAGAGACAGGCCTGTTATCAACTTGTTATGCAGCTGGATCACAATGCTTTATTTTTTACTGTGTGCATGACAGATAATAGCTATAATTGATAGCATGCAAGAGGTTGCACACATGATAGGGGGCTTGGTAAGAGTTTGGAGTTTTTGGCCTGTGGGGGGGCTGAAGCAGGTGTGTGAAGAGGTAGCAGTGATGGTGTCCGTATCCTTAGATCTTTCCCATTCTATGAATGAACCGTAGTATAGGCCTTGTGGGTGTGAAAAACAAACAAACAAAAAAAAACAGAAATGCAGGTTGTAGACTTGTATGCCTTCACTGCCTCACTTATGTGCCCAGAAATATCAGGAATGTGCTGAGCCACTGATTTTATTCAAGGTTTTTGGCACTTTAAAATGCAGATTAGGATTGTCCAAATATATGGGTGTTAAAGATAACAGCTTTTTTGAAAAAATGAAGCATTGATATAGTGCTAAAAATAAGCATTGGTAACACTGAGTCCATAATAGTACTTCACAATATTTGCTTTTCTGTCATGGCAAGCTAGCATGTAGCAGCTTGGCACTTTTAATCCTGAAATCCAAAATTGAACAGTGAATCCAAAAACACCTGTAGAACTTGTGTCTCTTCAGGTTACTAATCAATTGAACATTTATCCTTTGACCATTCCTGTAATTGTTTTCATTCAGAACCATGATTTACAACTGCAGGAAGCAGCTTCTACTTCAAAATACAAACCTAGTTTTACCATGTGAAACATAAACTAATCTTAACGCAACAGAAAAAAATATCAAAATAAAAGCATGAAAAATAATTGATTATGAAGTAATGTCTTTTCCAAACAAGTTTCAGTCACAGGATGGGTAACATGGATAAATCCAATATTTGGGAGTTGTAAGAAATGGATGAGAAAATGTTGGTTGATTGGGTTTATTGGTAACAATTATGAAGTAACGTATCGCTCTGCACTTTACCTGTAATTCCTTTTCTCAATAAGTTTCTTAACTTATGGCGATAAGTTCAGACTTTCAAAAGAGACCAGACTGTAAGACCAACACACTAATGTGGGTGCGAGTTCACTCACATAGTGGGTGCTATGCTGAAGATACTGGAGTGCATAGAGTAGGAAATGGCAATGACACTTTCATTGCATGCCAAGATGTCTTGTGTCAGGTGTATGACAAGATCCAATAGATTGCTGGTTTCCCTGTTTAGTGCGAGATGAGCATCAATCTTACCTATATGTGAATTTAAATAAAAGCTTATCCTAAACAATGGCTATCTGTAAATTTTAGATTTTTCAAAACATCAAGAAATCCCTTCTCTGAGTTCTCCTGTTCTCTTGTTGCTATTAGACATGAGACTTTACATGGTGTTAAGCAGTAAAATTATCAACATTTTGATCAGTGACTGAAGTTAAGTTAAAGATTTCCAAGTTAGAATACATGTAACATTATAAACAGGAGCATTACTACCCTCTGCATAGTTTGCACCTCAAATATCAGAGGGCTCATTGAATTACCTGCAAGCTGGCCATTTAATCAATGATGCCACTGCAGTCCAGTTTTCTTCCCACCTCAGAATGAACAGACAGGATTTTGTTGCTCTTCACTTTATCAGAGACATTGTGGCGTTTGAAAAGTATTTAATGTGACTCACCTTGTTAAAAGCTTCCTCACTGCTGGCAGCTGGGGCAAGGAGATCCTGATATATAGACATCCAGCCAAAAAAAAGGCTTTGAATCTACATTTAATAAACTGTATTTGACAGCTTTGGTGGAGAGAAGTTACGGGAGGCGCTGCTGCCATCAAATGATAAATGATTAATAAGCCAATTTCAAACGGTGAATACTTTTTCGCCTGTGAAGCAATACAAAATTAGTCTTCATCAGTGACCCAGAAAGCATAGCAGCATCTGAATGATTCATGCTTTTATGTTAGGTACAAATCAATGGCTCTGTTGGTGCCACATGTAACATTGTGTCTCAGTTAGGGCTGCACGATTAATCAATTTTAAATCATAATTGGATTGTTTGATTATCATGATGTTAAAAAAATGAAATTGTCAAATCGAATTTCCTCTCTATTATGTCTAGTGCCTACAGGCCACCGTAGGCTCCCCTTTCCTGCGAGAGCACTCCTCAGCTCCCACACAAACCAGTGTAAACAAACATGGCTTTTGCAAAAAAATAAAGGTGAAATTTTTGGGCTAAATAGGGCAAGAGCGAGTAAGTCGTGTGGAATTGATATGGCTTTGCAGTTTCGGACAATGAGTAAACCACTCCCTGCTTTTTGGGTGACTGTAGACGCTACTTTTTGAAAATTGGCATAAATCTTTGAACGACTACCATTTCATCTCCATGTGGATGCCTATCTGCATCTCTCGAAACAATTATGTTACTCACAGCTTAACTCTTTAATGGCGTACTCTTCTTCTGTCTTTTGTGCATTTCCTCAGCAGAGTTAGAGCGCTACTTACTGGCTTGGCATATGCACTACATCATTCTCAGTGGTTTTGTTTTGAGAGATGATAGCAAAACTTCTTTTTTAAGTGAAGTTTGGGGAAGTTGTCACTAAATAAAAAAATAGAAATCTAAAATTGAGTTTTCAGAGAAAAAATCAGGATTTCATTTTTGGCCAAAATTGCGCAGGCTTAGTCTCAGTGGGCTTTGTGATTTCTCACGAGTGCCCTCTTGGCTCAAATCAAATATTGATTGGTTGAAAAATGTTTTTGCGTGCCTTCCCATTCTTTTATGGTGGTCTTTTACAGCCCAACAGTAAAGACAGCTACACTCAAAGACATGAAGTAATCCTTCAGTCCATATATTTCTATTGCTGTATCGTGCATCAGTATGTTTGACTGCCTGAGAAGAAAGTGTTGTTTTTACCAGGTCAGTATAAAACATGTGACTTTTAGTTGAATAAGCTCAGCTGACAGTTTGGAGAAAGAAAGCAACTATCTCTGCAAAGTTCATTTCAGGCCTTCAGTGAATCCTGTCAATGATGCAAACAGAAACAGGTGTTGTTTACATGTCTAACTAAAATGTTGCGGCTTTTCATACTTTTAGGTCTTTGGTTTACTGATTCAGTGTATGCTAGTGTAAAGCAAAATACAGAGGAGTCATGGAGAAACAAGAAATAAATAAAGCATAGCAGACATGACCGTTAACTGCACCTCCCACTGGAGAAAGACAGACGATGTCAGGAATAATCCACAGACCTGTTTGGAGTAATGATTCAATTGTAACAGAAATAACATGACTTTTATGGTTTCTAATTGTCCTTCCGTTGTATTTTCAAAGCAGATTTGGATGGTTACATGCATTACTCCTATTAGTCTGGGGTTTTTGATGAAAAAGACTTTGAAGTCTTTCTTCTCTTTCCATTCAGCCTATTCCTCTCCATGTTGTACGACAGTTGTATGCTGCTACAAAAGTGAATCACAACATTTCAACCCCCCCTCCTTTTATTACCACAATTCATCCAGAGCTGTGTTTATCTTTGTAGGAGGCAGACTCTTTCTCACTAAGTTTGATAACTCATCTAAAAGAGGACTCGTTGCTCTTTGTCTCTGTCAGGTTTTGTTTGTGCAGCTGACAGTCAGCATTACTGCTTAAATAGTGCAGGAGGTTTTTTCTCTTCCAGTTACTGTCTGTGTTTCTTGTCATCTATTCTGTTTGATTTATACAAAAATGCATTGTGTATCCATCTTAGGAGCCTTTGCAGCACAAGAAGATCTTATTTTACCAGGATGCTATCAGATTGTATTATATTATTTTATGCTTTCCCTGAATAAACACCAGCCCCAAAATATCTTCTTGTTCCCTTTGCCTGGCTTGACAAAACCAAGAAGTCTCTTTTCCTCACAGTGTCTCAGGGCTTTTTCCCTTTTTCTTTTTTACATCCATCTCTAAAGTAGTTCATTCAGAGGCAATCATGTCTGTGATTCTGTTCTATTACCTCTTACCACAGTCCTTTGTCACCATTACACTCATATTATCCTCCTCTTTTTTATCACTTATATCACTTTCTCCACAGTCCCTTCTTTTAAATGTACTTGTGTGTTTTTTTCTCTACAGTACATGTTCCAGAACCAGGAAGCGGAGACTTTCCCAGCTCCTGGCTGTGAGGAACAATGATTGAACCTTGAAGAGGACCCATTTTCATCTTTAGAAGGTACATTAATTCACTGTAAAAAAGCGGTCAGTGTTTTTACAACCTTCAGACACACTCGCTTTAAAGAGCCAAGGTAAAGCAAAAAGATGGTGATATGAAGTATTTTTGGTTATTGTTGACAACTCCCATCAAAAGAAAAACAACAACAAAAAACACAATTTCATCAGCCTGTCTTTGGAGTGATGTCTCACACCTGGCTCCTTGAAAAGAAACAAAGACAAAGAGAGTACTCAAAGCACTGAAGTTTGACATGTTTGTTGCTTAGACTTGAACAAACAATGAATTTGCTTGGCACTCTTTTCTGCTGAGCATTTATCCATTTAATTTCCAGTAGACAAATACTATGTGTGGGAAGTCTTCAAATATCACAGTCAGTGTTTTTGGTAAAAAGAGAACATGTCACTCCTTCACCATTTCACAAAAGGTGAAGACACTGCAGCTGTTAGTAAGGAGGCTAATTGCTTTCTTCAACTCCACTTCTTTACCTTTTGCTAGGTTGGCCAAAAGTAAGGTTGAGTCAACATTCCCAACATGGCTTTCAATTACAAATGAGCATTGCCTCAGTGATGTCACACATTTATCCAATGATAGCAGATGCCATAGGAATGGCGGCTCAATCTAATGTGAGAAACCCAGAAACACTAGACTATTTGGCACTGTGTATCTGTCAATGAAAATCTTTTAGCCATACCATGATCAAAATCAGCAAGTCTGTTTGAAATATTAAATCCACCTTACAGTGTGTACAAATGAAGAAATGAGCTGTAGATTACATTGCAGGGTTTTTTTTATGACTTGTGAGACTGCCAAGTGTGTCCCAATCATGTTGCCACCTGGGCCACTGTGGTTCAGTGATAGAGTTGTTTGTCTCTCAATCAGAGAGTTCGGGTTTGGATCCCAGGGCCAGCTGTACACATGCTGAAGTCTCCTTGGACACGACACTTGACTGGAAACTGAACCCTGCAGCATGTGAATGGGATTTAATACTTAAAGGGATATTCTGGCATAAATTTAACTTATGGTCAAAAACACCATAATACCGAGTTAGACACCCCCTCAAGAGATGAATGTTGTTGACTGCTTTCTTCTCTAGTTTTACCAGCTTTAGTGGCTTGACGAGTCGATCACCGAGTGCAGCGGATCCTTTCCATGAAGTATTAATCATCATAATTATCATTTTGCACTGCAGACACGGTACTTCTTCTGCATTAGCGTCTTGGTCTGATTGCATTTCCATGAAGTTATTAATTATAAATGTTCTTCCTTGAGCTGTGAAACTCTGCTGCATTCGATGATCGGCTGGTCAGGGCTCCCCCCACAAACAAGCAGCTGCTGGAGGAGAGTGGGTGAGTTGTGTTTGGTCTCTTTGCTAAAAAACCCAGGCAAAGCTAAAAAAAAAAAAATGTTGGATGACTAGTACTACGGCTGGGACCCTATATGTCCTGTTGATGAAGTTAGGTGCTGTTCTGAGCATTATTTGTGGCTACAGAGTGGCTATTTGGTTGAGGTTTGCAGGTGGAGATGTAGACCGCTGTGTATTGCTATTATGCGGTCATTAATAAAGTTGATACAACTAGAGAAGCAAACAGTCGGCAACATTCACCTCTGGAGGGGGTGTCTAACTGGGTGTTACGGTGTGTTTGACCATAACTTAAATTAATGCCGGAATATCCCTTTAAGGGCGCTCTACATATAGCAGCCTCTGCCACCAGTGTCTGAAAGTGGTGTGAATGGCTGAATGTGATATGTAACACAACAGCATTTTAAGAGTTCAAAAGACTAGAAAAGGCGCTATATTAGAAACAGTCCATTGACCAATTACCATGTGATTGGTGGGGGTTAACTACCATCAGAACCAGAGGAAGGGAAGAAAACAATGAGTAAACATTCTGTGTAAAAGTTTTGCATTAAACAAAGTCAATAAAGCAAAATCAAATTTTGCTGAGATTAATTTGTCTTAAGAGTACATGGCTTCCAGTGAGTTTGCTGTTATACTTACTGTTCCTCACTAATGAACAGTTTTCCCTCCATAATTGAATCCCAGACTGAAAAATTCCTCCAGACTTCTGTCCATGTGTAAATGTGAGGGCCCAGGCTGTTTCATCTTTTTATGTTTCTCTCCTCAGGCCACAGAAGCTGCTGTTTTCCCTCATTATTACACTCTGCATGAGTTGGATCCCAGGGCCCTGCCAGGCTGTTTCTCACCTATGGCTTTATTTCCTCTCTTTACAATCTCGTGCCTACATAACGCAGCATTTTAAGAGCATGTTTCCTTCCTTATATGTTTCTGGGTTGGAGACCCAGTTGGTCCCCAAGCTATGAGTTCTGTTGGCATTAATGCTGCATGAGGAAAGATAAAGGCCTTCCTTTAAGTTTTTCATAGTTACTTTGACAAAGTGTGTTGAAATATTATCATATCTCTACTCTGGTATCAAGCCAGTTGGATGCAGACCGTGCATTCTTGGCTGCAGCACTTTAGTATTTGTGTGAGAGGGAATTTCTGCTTGTACAAAGGACTTTTTTTCCTACTGTATAAAGAATTTATCAAGGATGTACAAATGAATACTTTTATTATCCTATCCTTATTACAAATACTGTACTTGTATCAAAGGAAGAAACTCTTGGAAAAAGTGAAGGGGCAATGTAGCATTCTGTTGATCAAAATGTACGTGATTTTTTTGGTCAGTGTTAGGACGTAGAAACTTTACGAGCTCCTTGATACATTTCAAATGATAATTGTTTTTAGATAGCCACCTTTGAAAACTATTAAAATACCTTTGATTGTTCACAGGCCCCTCATAATAGGAGGCCAACACACTCAAGAGCTCATGTGATGTATCTTTGCACAGGCCTGACATGTAGCCAGATTTAGTGACTTCTCTTCTGTCCATTTAAATGTGAAGTTTAGAGGAAATATTTTGGGATAGACTTCTCATTTGATAAAACCATGAATATCACTGCATTTTGCACAAACTGTATGATTAGCTATAGTATTAATTTCTGTTTTTAGATGACCAACTCTTGATGTGTAATACATGCATGTTTCTTAAATAGGTTTGAGCCTCAAAAACGGTGTTTTTTTTTTTGGGAATTCATGAAGGATAAATTGGTCTTGGCGACAAAAAGTCTATAATGGTACAACAGTGTTAAATTTAAAAAAAAGGCCCCTGATTGACCTCCAACTTGAGTTGGCATAGTGTGTTGATCCTGGCTAACAGTCAAAGACTGCTCATTTTCCTACTTGGTGAAAAAAAAGGAAGAAAAAATGGAAAATGACAAAAAGGAAAACAAAAAACCAAAATGCTAATCTGCCCACGAGCCAGCCGTTGAATGAGATGTTATTGTAGTTGACAGTTAAACTTTTGGTGAGGTGGTAACTTGAGAATTTGAGCAGAACAGTGGAGACCTGTTCACTGCATGTCAATTCTTTTGATGACCGAAAAACAATACTGGCTCGGACTTAAAAAGACATTCAAATACATTGCCCTTAGCGCTGGATCCAGCTGTTCAAAGATAATTATATTTATGGAAACTTAGAGGAGTTGAGTTGAATTGTGCAATGCTGTACAGAATCGTGAGACTCACAAAATTGCAATACATGGATGACCATGGGAATGTAGGTAACAGTTAATGTGAGTGGAGGATGCACTGCGAAGGATGGTGGTAGTCTGTAAAAAAATAAAAAAGACCAGCTAGCATTAGCAGATGGCTAAAAGTTTAAATTGGTGCAGCAGGTTGCACTAGCTTTTTAAATTGTATGTCTCACAAATGTATCTTAAGATAGAGTATTTTGTGAGCCAAACCTCTGATTATTTTCTCTGAGTTTCATGAGTCGTCTCATTGAACAGGTCATTGAACTCATATTGAGAGCAAATTTCGATTGGCATAAAGAAGATTTAAAGTGAAGTTTTTATGTTTATGTCAGAAGAATACATATGGATATAAAGACTAGTTTGAGGACTACAAAAATATATGTACAGTACAGTATGTAGATTTACAGAAACGTTCTGCCGAATACATCAAACCAACAAAAGCTAGTGCAAGTTGCCTTTGTGGCTTTACATTTATAGAATAGACCCTCCTTCCTTCTCAGTGCATGCTCCAGGGAGTAAAAACAAGTTGTGGTGTACAACAAGTGAAATTGCACTAAAAATCACAAGCGTATGATTATGAGAGTATGGTTTATTTATGACATAGCACATATTCTTGTTTCTAATGATAATATGAGTGTTAATGATTTCATTTTCCAGGGAGTGATGAAAACATTCATTTGCTTTTGTGTTCTTTAATTACTCTGTTTTTCCTTTTAATAATTTGCACTGGAAATGAACAGATGTGTGTTTCAATGACATTTATGCTTGTCAGGATTGCAGATAAATGAGCATGTATTTTTGTAAAATGAGTGAAAAGATCTCCGCTGTCACAAAGCCTGGCAACTCCAAAAGCACCTCTGCACCAAGGGTGGTCAACAGTACTTTAAATACTTAACATTACATATGATGTTTGTTAATTAATAGTAAAAACCTTTCTCTCTACAACCAAGTACATCATGGACCATCTTAGTGCATATGTTTTTAGAAATGGGCCATAACCGACTGGAAATGTGAATTGTTTTGACTTGATTTTGCAAAGATTAAAGTGTATCGTTACAGATGATCAAACAAACCAAATATGTATTCCACTTGTTTACGACAACTCTTGAAATGTAAAAACAAATAAAAATTAAAGAAAGCTATCTGTGTGACTTTATATCATCTTTGTTATTATCGCGAGTGCTAACAACTGTTGGCGAAACATTGCTGACGTCATGTTTTCAAATGAAACAAGAACAAATCGATAATTAATATCTATCTTTAACTGAGGCTATGTACGCACCGGGTATCTGCTAAAACAAATATATTTTTGTACGATTCGGCCTGTCATCCACACAAAGCCGTATGACTACGTCATTAAAAATGGTGCTTTTGGAAATCTTTGGCCAAAGTGAAGATTTCGAAAAACTCCAGTTTTGCGTTTGCATGTGGACTTTGATAACCAGAGTTTTAAATCTCCAAATGTCATTGTCCTAATACTAATAGATAAATGTCATATACTATGCAACCTTGTTTATGTCAGTCAGTGGACAGCACAGATATATTCAAAATATATATTTTTGTGAGGAGTAAAGGAGAAGGAGTGCTTTGCAGTCAGTTATGCTACACCAGATAACCCTTCCTCCACCTTTCTTGTGTCTTGTTGACTTTATACTCCAAAACAATGTTTAAAAGCAATTCCACCTCTTTGTTGGTCTATACGAACAATCTACACGGAGCTATGTTTCATGTCTGGGGAAGTGATGATGAGAAAGGGAAGCTTGCTCTGTTTGGATAGTACAGGTCTAACTTTTTGGCAAATACTACTAACTCCAGGTCTGGCATTATTATCACCGCGATCAATAGCACATTTATGCTGTTTTGTGTGGATGGGATTTTATTAGAAAACGCCGATGTGTGGATGCCGCTCTTTTTTTAAACAGAGGGGGTTGGATATCTGTTTATAAAAATACCTGGCTACGTGTGTACAAGGCCTGACTGAGAAATTTAATTATGAGGTTAAAAAAAAAGCAGCTTCGGGCCTTAACCTGATTGTCATACTGAACTACCACATACAACAAATTTCACAATCTAATATAATCTGTCTCAAAATGATCTTAAAAAAAACTAGTCCACACTTCTGTTACCTCCCTGTTTGATCATTTTTTGTTTTATCTGTGGCTGTGTGAATGTGTTTTTGTAAGGGTGTTTCAATATGTGACGAAGCCATGTCAAAGATGAATTTCTGTTTTCCTTTAGAACAGAAGAATAGTTATCTTAGTTATCTTAACTTCTTTCCTTTCACAAATCTGCTCTCAGAACACTGCAGCTCAAGTTCTGACAAGAACTTGAAGAAGAGAGAGTACATTTCTTCTGAATCATTCTCTTTACACTGGCAATTTAAGACAGAGCTGAGTATCCTTTCTCCGACTCACAAAGCTCTCCATGGTCAGGCAGCATCAACCCACTAAGAGCTGATAGCACACCCAAGAATGTAAGCCTGCTTGTTGTGCTTTAATTCACCAAAAGCATCATGGGAGGTAGAGCTCAGTGCTGTGATTAAGCCAAAAGACCTGGAATCCTGGTCGAGTCTTAGTCATCAGAAGAATCCCTGTTGAGTCTGAGTCTGAGTCAAGTCCTTGTTAGTGGGTACATACAAGGCATCTGTTTGACTCCAAACGTCTGACTGTCTGAACCAAAACTGACCATAATCATGTGCAGAAAACACATTTGATTTATTAACTTTACATTCTAATAGATCTGTGTCAGGAGATCTAGATGATCAACAAAGCTACAGCGCTGTAAGCAAAACAATCACCACACTTTTCTCGCTTTACAGACATACTGATAATCATGCATGGACCTCTACAGGTGTAGTGATCCAAGCACAAGGACCTGCAGTTTTTGCACATTTTGACTTTACCTTTCAACAACAGATGTGGCCCCTTGGTCTAAATCTGAAGTTTCTGACAGTTTCAAGTTCAGCTCATAAAACAGATCAGGAAGACTCAGGACATAATATTAAGACTTAAAGCTCATGTGGGGAGTCTTATTTATTTAATAACCCTAATGAACAAAGTGGTACATCTTTTCTTCGTGCTGATCCTGTCCTGTCAGGTGAGTTTTTTGACAGAAATGTCACCCTGCCTTTTGTGAACAGTCCCAGAAATTAGTCCCCATCAATCATTACCTTGAAAAAAGTAAAACATTTAGCTTTTGCAGTAACATACTGTCAGTTGCTTTTAATGGCTTTCAGATCTGTGGCAATTAGTCAGAGCAACATGCAGACTTAGGGCTCTATTTTCGTGTCCGCCAGTGAGGCGGCAGAGGGTGGCAGACCCCGCGCAGTGGTATTTTCGTCTGGCGGAGACCGGCGTACAGCCAGTTTGGTATTTTCGTGGACTGAGGCGCACCGAGATCCACCAAGCTGGGTGTGGGGGCGTGGCAGAGGGAGGTGTCGATAGAATCAGCTGGCGCAGTGACATTTTCATGCTCGCCGGTGGCGTATGAAGTGCGCTGAAAGCTCGTCGATTCAAACCTAGACAGCTTTCAGCTCAGCTGGTCTAGTGGTATTTTGGTAGACCTGCGGAGTATCGGCATACGTCACCGATGCCGCACCGGCAGGTTTCCAAAGTGTCAGGCACATTTCAGTGCAATAAATGATCAACAACAACCAATATTCTGAGTTAGCACATACATTTAGATCTAAATAGATTCATTCTGATCTATATCTGATCTGATGAGCACATTTGGCACGTGTTTGGACACTTAAC